GATTACAGCCTTACCTGAATTGCCGCTGCCCTGGCTGGCCACGTTCCATAGTCCATGGATGCCGAGATTATTGATTGTTTTTTACTTCTGGCCATGCCATGGGGAGCTAGGAAGAACAACAACCAGAAAAACAAAAGAAAAGGCTGGCATGATCAACCGATTCTCGTTCTCGCAGTCGTAACTAGTCTCGCCAACTACATACATACAGTCCAAAATACTTCTTGCGGGTTTGTTGGTGAGTCGGTGACCCTTAGGCCACCGGGGGCGGGGCGGAGTGAGTGGGGCAAAGTGCAATTATCTGCAATATCATGATTCATGAGTGAGGGCGGCCAGAAGGAGAAAGAAAGAAAAGAAAACTAAGAAAACCAACCATGAAAAGAAAAGAAACCTAAGAGAAAAAGGATAACCCGGACGGATTCCGTGGTTCTAGAGCTTGTATAGAGTACTCACCTAAGGTACCTACATCCATACATACTCGCAATTGTTCCGGTGGTGCAAGCAAGCAAGCAAGCATACCGGTAGCCAAGTAGGTAGGAAGTAAGTAACCAATATGTTTTATACACCCCTTCCTCCTGCTATTCCTCCTGGTGCAACTTCCAACTTCCTGCCAATGAAACGGCCCCGCTTACGCCAGCGGCCAGCGGCCACACAGGCAGCAGGCTACAGCTGCGATGCGAGGACGGAGGATACGCCTTTTTGCAGGATAGGCACATCGGTAGACGAAATTTTGTAGGCGAGACGCTGGTCGTTTCCCCCCAGCTTGGTGCTTTTGCCCTCTATGTACATACACAAGTAGAGTACAAAGTACATACATGCAAAGCTTGCGTAAACACCCTGGATGCCCACCACCCCCCCAAGTATAGGTACCGTATGTTATGTATGTACTCTATCTGGGCTCCCGCCACCAGGTAGCATGGTATGGTTGGACAACCCCGTGCGTCGAGGTCAGTACTTTGTGATGCACTGTAGAGCTCAAGGCTAGGACGAGGAGGAGGAGGAGGAGGAGGAGGAGGAGGAGGGCTGGAGAACGGGGGTTGCGTGGAGCAGCTTGATGACGACCAAGCAGAGGAGGAGGAGGAAGGGGAGGAGGAGGATGAGGTCCGAGGAGAAGGAGGAGGAGGAGGAGCCAGAAAGCGCCCTTACCCTGTATACCGATATGGCCCATGTTGGTCAGACCTTCCTATGCGCCCTGCATCTGATTCGAAAGCGGGCGGGCGGTTGATACCGTAGCTCGCCCATCAACGATCGCTGCGCATACTCGCACGTGTCGATGGAACAAGCAAGGGGAGGGGGGAAGGGTGGGCCAACCGCAGCGGCAGGAAGGATTCAGGAAGGATGGGCGGGGGTGCTTGCTTGCTTGCTTGCCTGCCATTCGGTGATGCAGTGCATTCATCAATCTCCAGGTCCAACTTGCAGCTTGTTTGTTTGCCGATTCTGTGGATATGGATGGGAGAGGAAGAGGGGGAGGGGGGAGAGTGCTTGCACTAACGTGTAGAGTACCACATCTTCGATCTTGAGAGTCACATCCCGGCGTGCATCCCATCCTGCATCCTTCGCTGAGCTGTAGTCAACTATGGCCGTGTGTGTGTGTGTGTGTGTGTGTGTGTGTGTGTGTGAGCGAGCAGCCAATCTCGTAGCCCATGGACCATGGCTATGCCGCCTCTCACTTGCGGAGCGGATACCCTGACCGCTCGCTCGCTCGCCAGGCTGCGCTATCATGGACGGTATCTACGGAATCACTTGTCATGGTCCTGGACGGCACGGACTCACAGTGGGATAATTTTGATAGATTGGAAGGACAATATGCAATAGCTTGGCCCGGGGTCAACTTTCCGGTAGTCGTGGGACGGATAGCACCATTGATCCGTTCCGCCGAAATACCAACATGTTCCAGAGACTTGCTCGGTGCCTGGTGAGCAATCCAGCGGCTCGATCTCCGCGTTTCTAGTAGGTAAGTGGGTAGGTGGGTAGGTTACAGATAGCCTTCCGTACCGGTGAATCCTCCGTTTGGATCATCATCATCGTCTCTGGCACGCCTCGAGTGCTAGCTCCCGTGTGTACCATCGCCGTTCCATACGCATTCAGTGATACAGCCAAGCTTCTGTAGCATACATATTATAGAGTACGGTGCTCCACTGGAGGAGAGGATGGGAGACATGTGGACACACAATCGAAACTCGGGATGTACTTCCGAAGCAAGCAGATGCCCTCCCCCATCCAGCGGGCCCACGATACCGGCCATGCATGCATGCATAGCAATCGACACGCGGAGGTATCCATTCCACCCATCCACCCATCCACGCAGATTATTATTTCCTGTCGACCTCCCTCCCTCGGCTCTCTCGCCCAAAAGCAATCCTGCCCCAAACCGGAAGTAGGTCCGACGCAGCTGTCCTGAAGGAAGGGTGGAAGCCGGGGACAAAATAATAATAATCAGCAGAGGAGCGATGGATGATGGGGTGGGTGTCTGTGTGTGTGTGTGTGGCTGGGCCTCGACAGGACAGCCAGGCGAACGGACGGGCATGGAATTCGGTTTTCGCCATGGGTACCATACCATACCATACATATGACTTGACTACATGTGCTGTCATAATACCCTACATACAGACATACATACCCTACTCTGCCCGGGTTTGTCCCACTGTTCGATGTTTGACAGGTGCTCTCTCTACTTGCTTGCTTGCTACTCACTCCACATGCACCCACACCACCACCACATTCCTCTCAGACGCACCCGCCCAAAGGCCAAAGGCCAAACCTGCCTACCAGGGAGGGAGAGACGAATGGAGAGATGGATGGATGGATGCAGGGAGGTCAAATAGAGCTTGTTCTCCATCTTAGGATGCAGCTGCATAATGTCTCATCAAGGCCCCCTCTACCCTCCCCTCCCCCCGGCAGTCTCTGCTCGGAACATCCGCTGTCGCATCTGTGGATAGATGTCCCTTACGTATACCGGCCGGGTTTGCGCGGCGCTCGGCGGTGGGCGGTAGCAGCGGGAAATCCAGAGGGCATACCTATGCTCATCTCCTGGCGATCACGGCTGGGGGAGGGGCACGATCATCGAAGGCGCCTGGAGACTGGGGAGGGGGGCATTCCAGAATCCACACTTCTACTGCCCACCAGAAGCCAGCCCGCAGCTACGTGGGTTGGGGCAGGGGGGCAGGGGAGTCGAGTATGTACCATCGAGACGTCCCGAAGCTGGCTGTTGCGAACTTGCGATCCAGCTGGGCCGGCCGGCCGGTGCAAGTAAGCAAGCAAGCGGATCCAGTCATCGCAGCCAGTGAGCCAGCCAACATGATTCCCACCAGACCCTCTCCCAGGCCGTCCCATGCCATGCCATGCTCCACATCTCCGCATGTGCTACCTGCTCTCGACACGAGAGTCGAGCGGTGTGGGCTAGGTTACCTTAGGTATGTAGTTAGCCGGTACGTACACAGCATAAAATAACATCACATACAGCTGCAATCATCTTGTCCTTGTATGTACATCCACAGGTAGGAACCTACTTTCTCCTGGGCAGTGGACTGTGGGGCCCTCGTCCATGTGAGTGAGTCCAGCGGAGTCTTCGCGTCTGGTCTGGCATGTGAGCATCCCCCGTCCAGGGCCTATCCGGTAAAGGTAAAGAAGAAGAAGAAGGAAAGAACGCTTTCGACGATCGGGACTGTTTTTTCCAGGTAGTTCGCGGCAAGCAAGCAAGGGGCGGGGAAAAAAGTAACCGTTACTCACATCCACATCACACATCCCTCCTCCTCCTCCTCCTCGTTCTCATCTCGGCCTCCCGAATCTGTAGAGCATGTAGAGTAGGTAAACAGGCGGTTGCACGTTGGGACCGTCCGGGGTCGGGGTCGGGGTTGGGGTCGGGGTTGGGGTCGCGTGCCAAGCATCAAGCATCAAGCATCAGTGCTGTCTGGTTGTCTAGCTGTCTGGTTGTCTAGCTGTCTAGCTGTCTAACTGTCTGTCTGGCTGTCTGGCCTTCCGGAAAAATGAAGGAGCGACCCAAAGACGTGGGCGGGCAGGCACAAACGCCCTCCATCCCATCCCCATCGGATCCCCCCATCCCCCCAAACTGTGGAGCTGGGGTTATGTACTTCCGCGCCGTAGGCGGTTGGTTAGTTGGAGTGGGGGGGGGGGGGGGGGTTATGGATGGATGGATGGATCATGGATGGATGTGTGGAAGGATCGAATAAATATAAATGGAAAAAAGTCAGTCCTAGAATAATATCCAAAAAGAGTGATGAAAACCCACGGTCCTCCGGAAGATTTTGATATTGCCCGTCCTGCCCGCCCCCTTCGTGAAGAATTTGATATTGCCCGTCCTGCCCGCCCCCTTCGTGAAGAATTTGATATTGCCCGCCCTACTCGCGGCCCGCCCATCGATGCGGTACGGTGCGAGTGACCACTGACGATGCCCGGTAGTTACCCACCACACTTGAGATGTTTTTTGCAAAAACAATAATCCGGTCCCATGAGCTCCCCGGTTGGTCGGTCGGTCTGCAGTGGACTGTACTGCAGTGGCCGGACTGGACTGGACTGGACTGGACTCCAAGACTCAAGTCTCCAACCGATGTTGTCGATACCTAAGCTGGTACTCTGAGACACCGCAATATATAGTATAAGTATAGTGCCTACATACATACAGACATAGGTACATACAGCCATACAGAACATATCTACATGCAGACATACACACTACATACATCATGTATGTACTCCAGTACACACTACATCCACACACAGTTACATACATCGCGCTACCAATAGTAGATGGGTACATGCTAGATACTTACTTGCGAACCGCACGCGCTCGCTCGCCCACCTTCGGACGCCCACTCGGTCGAGGTCGTACAAGATAAGCTTGAATGGAGACGTACATACATCATACCCCTCACTTTTCTTTTCTTTTTCTTCTTTTTTTCTTTCTTTTCCTGTTCCTTACCGTATCGGCCCAGCGTCTACTACGGTATTCTACGCTACTAGAGAGGCACAGCCGTACTCTAGGTCGCCGTGTCGCGGCGGCGGAACGCTGATCGTCGGAGCGGCATTGGGGTTGTGGAGGGGGGAGGGGGAGGCGTTGATCGTGCTCACAGGTGCGCGCGGTCTTTCCCTCCGAACGGCGAAACTCAAACTCCGAAAAGACGTAGCGGCCCTCGTCCTACCCCCTCCCCCCCTCGCGTCCACTATATATCTACACACGCATTCTGGCCCTAAGAGCTACTTTAGCACTTTAGCACTGTGGTACATACCGGACTCTACCGCCAGAAAACCTTGGGATGGGCTCGGGAAGACTGGTGAAACAGTTGCTGGCGTGGGATTGATAGGGAGGGAAGGGAGGGAGGGAGGGGAGGGAAGGGAGGCCGCGTGGGCGAGTCACCACCCACCGTTAGTTAACAACTAGGAGATCGCACCCTCTGGCGCTCGCTTGTATCGGTCGGCCGTCGATTGGAAATCCACGGCGGACGGGGACGACACAAGGAACCTGCCGCTAGAGCGAAAAGAGTAGACGAGACTTCGCTTCGACGTTCGTATATGTCGCTTGCCGGAGATTCTTGCTGTCCCGGGGGCAGCCCCGCAGACCAGCAGCCCCAGTCCAGCCCAGCCAGCCCAGCGCTGTAGTTATTTGGTGCTTGGTACTTGGTGCCGCAGAGCACAAGTGCTCCAGCATCAGATGTTCATCCATCCCATCCAGACATCCAGCCATCCATCCATTCCTGACGAAACCGACTGTACAGTACATACTAGTAGGCCTGACTTGGCCCGTGGGGAAGGTCTCCGCACGCGCACATCCCCAAGATCGATGGAAACGGGTACGGTGTTCGCAGGCGAGGCTCGAGACGTCCATGTGCAGCGCGGGAAATGATGTCCACGCAATGCTGGATGTTCCGTGAGTACAGTACAGCACTGCAGAGTGCCGACTGGGGGGCGCGGGGGGGAGGGGAGGGAGAGGGGGGGGATTTGCTCCGCACCGACGACGGCAATTGCGGTAAGAATATGCGACACGTTTCTTTGTGACGGGTAGCGGCCGTAAAGATCTCTGAGTGTCCACGACGTCCGGAAAAACCATAAGGTGGTGGTGGTGATGGTGGCTTGCTTCTCGAAATGTGGAGGGTGATGTGATGTGATGCCTGGCAGGGTTCACTTCGCGCATTGCAGCCCATCATGCCGTATGCTCCCCTCCCTCCCCCGTGACCATCTGCACGCCTCCCCCCTCCCCTCCCCGATTGACACCGATTCGCATCGATGCCACAAAGCCATCTACGCGATGATGGAGAGACATCCGTTCTTCCCCCAGATACCTACTACGACTAGAGTACACCAGTCAGTTTCGCAGTCCCAAGCAAGCTGGCCTCTGCGCGGGGGCTGGGAATCTGAAAGACAAGAGCAAAAAAGGAGAGTTAGAGTATAGTATATGCGGGGACTTCCGGTCACGATCGTTCGACATCCCGGAAAATCCCATGGAGAAGAAAAAAAATCCAAAAAACAATCCGGCCTCCTTAATATAGACGGGCCATCGCTAAGCATGATTTAGCGGGTCACTCGACCATCACCCCCCACCCCGGCCGTGAGTCCTTCGGGCTCACTCTTGTCCGCGATTGAGGGAGCTGGAAGCGTCCTTAACCCATCGAGGCGTTGGTTCCGAGAAATCATTCGAGCCGTTTGGACCGGGAGGTTGGAGGATGGCCTCGTGAAAATTCTCGCCGCCTAGGCCCGAGGGGACCGGTGTGAGCATGTGTATGTGTATGTGGGCGGTGGGTATGTGCATCCCATCCCTCTGATCCCTCCCATCCACCTCCCCCACAAGTGCCGAAACCCATGGAGCCGTCTTCCAGCTGGTGTTCTCCATATACCGAAAGTCCGATCCTAAATCGGATACACACAAGCTTCACGCCGAACGGCTACGTGGTGGCTTTCCATGAGGCTCTGTTTCATTGCGTAAGGAGGCGTTCCTTAGTTAGTTGCGTGCGGTAACGGTACCGTACATGCTTACTGTATGTACGTTGGCCGGGATCTTCAGTGGCTCCTCCCTGTGAGACATCTCACGAGTTCTTCGGCTTCCGCATCTTTCCATCTGGCACGCTAACGCCCCGAAGCCTTCCTTCCCCCCCATCTAGCTGCAAGTAGGACCCCACCGAGGGGACCGCAGGACCGCAGGTAGGGGAGCCCTAAGAACGATGGTGGAAAGTGGGGACGTTACATAAAGTGCCCAGAAGTGCTTTTTTTGTCTTTCGGGCTCGAACTCTGCTTTTTTCAGAAGTTGCTACATACCTATCCGACCCGAATGTATGTCCAGCATTAGAGTACCAGAATACCTAGAATATCATGTTAACTATTCCCCATCTTGCTTATCTTCCCTTAGATCTGTCTCGCCGCCGTCCGCGTCAGGAACCGGGCAAGAACTAGGGCAACTCCAAACTCGGGTCGAGAGAGAGAGAGAGCGAGAGAGTCCTCGCTCCTCTCCGCCGGCCTGGAGAATATGGGGGGGTGGGGAGGGGGGAGGATGGGGAGGGGGAAACCTAGATGACGCCTCCAACTCGTCAGCCCTTCCCTCCCTTCGGCTGCATTTCCGGGCGGTCCCTCCTACCTTCGGAGAAGGTGGTTGCGGTGGTTGCGGGATTGGCTAGGAAGAAGAAGCAGAAGAAGCAGAAGAAGCAGAAGAAGCAGAAGAAGAATATTTTTCGTCAGATGCCCGTTTTCGCTTATGTATGGGATGGAAGCTGAACCAAACCCAAGTACGAGAAGAGTACATACAAATGTCTTGGGTGAATCATGAAGCTCATCTCTGAAACCTCCTGTCTGGCTTTGGCTTCCACCAAGTACCAAGTACACACCAAGTGTGTGATGACTGCCGTAACCGGTACATATCATACCTGCCAGCTACCAGCAACATCCTTTCCCAGATTCTGGGTCCCAGAGATTCCACCGCCGGGGGGTTGGGTCCATGACTCCATCATCCATGGATCACGAATGATCTCGTCGACCGGGCAAACCGGGGGAGACACAGACACGAGAAGGCATCGTTAGTTAGGAGAGGCGATGGCGACATCAATCCCAAATCCCGAGCCGATCTTAGATGAAAATGAAAGGGGGATCGGTTCGTACGTGCTAGATGGGGGGGACCATGGATTGACATCGGCGCACGCAGTTCATCCGGGCAGAAAAGTTTTGAGTGCTGTGAACCGGTAGATACATACGTCACCGTCGTGGGAATTGGGGTTGCGGTTGGTGTGGCGAAACCGATCTGTTGTGGCGCACGGGAGCAGGAGCAGGAGCAGGAGAAGCATGAGAGGGTGGCAGGTGGCAGGTGGTCCGATTACGATTACGATTGTGTGTGACAGAAAGCGGTGGCAGGGGGGGTTGCAAAAAACCGGGGAGGGGAGGGAGGGGGCCAAGACCTCATTCGAGCTGATGTGTGTATCATGTTTGAACACTCTGGACGGTGGACTTACCGTACCGACTCTACCGGTACTCTACTGGGTGCGCACATGGCAAGCGAGATGTGCATCAAGGCAGTTATGCTAGTTAGTGGATTGGTGATCTCGAAGCTCTCCTGGAGCTTCGATGGGAGATAGGTACTTTGGGTAGGTACCTACCTCCCAGTTCCGGAGTCGCGCTGTCGTCAAGTAAAACATGTCTCGACCGGCCGACTGGCGCTCGCGAGTCGCGCTCCGTCGTCGCCGTCGTCCGCGTCGTTCTAGATTCGTGCAGCCATTATATGCGCATCAATATACTCTACGCAACTACGTTGGCTGGCCGGCGTGATCAACAGCGCGCGGTAGACAGACAGACTACAGCGTCGTAGGCTCGAAGCGATATGTAATGGCACTCTGGAGTACCGTAGTTAACTACTAGTAGTGAAAATACCCAAGTAAGTACATGGGGTGTAGGGTAAGTGGTGCACCTCCTTGGGCACCATTTGGCGGTGGTGGTGGTGCATCACTTTCCCTCACACCCGAGTACATACTACTATAGACCACTAGAGTAGGGAGTAGGTACTCCGTCTTTGTAGCCAATTGCCGTCACTTGGGGGGGAAGGGTCTCGAAAAAGCATTTCGATACGATACGATTGACGCCAAAAGCCAAAGTCCCAGCGGGGCCAGGATGTCTGGCTGGAGAGTATGTACCAACATACTCACACAGGCAAGTATCAGTCGGTAGGTACTTACTTGTCATATAGAGGTAGGCACCATATGCAGGTATCTGTATCTCTGACAGGGGAAGCGGTGGGGTGGGAGAACTTGGAAGCCGTTTAAGCGCTAACCGTTGCTGCTTGCTGCTGATGTGTGGTCTTGATACGAATAGCGAGATGTCTGGGCTTTTCAGCCGTATCGGGCGTGATATTTGCCTCAGATCTGGGGGAAGGTGCGGCGGGAGGGGGGGAGGGGAACACCCTCAAAATCTGGGGGGGTACAGCCAGCCACTCGCTCACTCGTTAGGGCCCTGAAAGTGCCGGCCCCATACTGTAGGAACGTATGTAGAGTACTGTGTTCTATACATACCAGTATCATACTTCTGACATACATATCTACATACGTCGAGCACAACATCTCGTATCATACAGACTTACTCGAATGTGCACTAGATATCTACCCAAACTGAGGTTGTCTCGGTGCGGTCATAATCGGCGCGGACTCTAGCAAAAAGTAAAGAGAAAAAGAAAAACACCGGCTTGAACCAAAAAGAAAGGTGCAGATTGATGATGTAGCGGAAGGCTGGAAGAAATTGAAAGGAAGGCCATAGTTAGCAGACGACTACGCAAACGATGATGATGATGATGATGGTGGTGGTGGGACCTACGACTACTATACCCAGTATCTACTATGTATCTCGTGCACACTGCACACCATTGTGGACCAACTGGTGACTGCACACCCCTAGATCGATCAGAATACCGGTATGTATGTACTGTATAGTACTATATCTATGTGGTCCTCCGTTGAGTTGACGGAGAAGATGCCTGTGATGGACCTAGCGGGTGGTTGCTAGTGACGGGAATCCCTATGTATGTTGTGATGGCTGCTTCAGAAATGCTTCTCCTTTCACTCGTCTGAAACTCTTCGCTTCCATTCCCATCGAGCGGTTCCACTGGTACTGTAGTACGTACTACTGGTTCTACTAGTTAGTACGTACTACTTTAGGTACGTACCGCTCGCCCGAACAACTTGCGTTTTGCGTTTTGCGTTTCTATATACGCATGAAAACTACTTGCTTGTGAATACCGGTATCTACTCTCCACTCGTTCCCGCACGTCCGTGACTCCGTGGTCAAACCTCCTCCCCCTGCAGAGTCTTCAATCTTGCTCTCGTCTGGGAAGGCTCGAACCGGGCCCTGGAGCTCGGGAGGACGAGAGTAGAGAGATAGAGTGGTTGTGAGCAGGATGGCGAACGAATCACCGGGATGTGACTGCGAGAGTGAGCAGGATCGTATGTAGAGTACCTAAGGGACCGGACTGACTCCGGTGATGATTTCGGGATGCTCGCTTTTGCTCCAGAGCATTTCGTGGGTGATCTTCTCCTTCTTCTTTGCTTTTGCCGCTCCCATCATCCCGAATCCCGACACTATACCGACTTTCTTTTGGTTATTGATGTACATGTATGTATGTACGGTACAGTGTACCGTAGGTATGTTGTATGTACCTACATTGCGATGCACATCATCTCGACTTGCCTTGATCCCGTCCTTTCATCTCGACGTCTTGCCCCCCGCCCCCCGCCCACGGAGCGTGATATGCAACATACCTTGAGTACATGCGCTTCCCAGCTGCGGCACTTGACGTAGAATAGGCAAGTAGCTTCCCCCTTCTTCGGCTCGCCGGACCTCAATGTCACTCCTCCGCCTCCAATGCGGCGGGACCTCAACGTCCCCCCTCCGGCAGTGCGGACTCGGAGGGACCTGATTGTCCTTCTATTGCGGAGTGACCTCAATGTTCCTGCAGTGCGGAGGAGAAATCGGGCCAGATTCCACCACAGCACTACCACCTCCGCTGAGTTCGCCGTAATCGTACAATGCGATTCCTGCCTGCCTGACTGGCATGTCCGGAGGTCTCACTCGCTACGGGCCATTCCCCCCTCGGGAGCTCCATGCACACTCATACTCCCGCCTCCTTCGTCATCCCTCCCCCCCCGCCCTACCCACCACCACCCTCCTACACTGCATCTCCAGACCTACATTACGCACTGCACCACCATCACCACCATCACCATCACCATCACCACCACCTCCCCACAACCTTGCCACTTGCTAGCATATAAATCTGCAGAGAGTACTCTGAGCGATCATCCCTGCGACCCTAGCCGAGCAAGGGTTGTCCGACCGTTAAGGTGATGGTGGAGGTGGAGGTGGTGGTGGGCGCAACTGGTGATCGCGAGCGAAAACGGAGCGCCTTCAGTTAGGTACGGTACTCTATCGCCAGACCGATGGGACGAAAGGCTCGCACTCGCTCAGTCGTCAGGCAGTGAATTAGTGTCTATGGCTCGTACTTGGCATGGAGTCAAATTACCGTCATAGTTTCGGGCTACGATGGGACTCTGGCCGTTGAGCGGGGGCTTTCTCTGCTCAGCCATGTAGGTGAGGATGTAGGTGGTATTCGCTCGCGATCGACTAGAGTAACCATTAGAGTACTGTTCTACGGTACACCACACACACCCACTCTCACCTACCCAAGTACCCACCGACATACCGTACATACATCACACTGACTTACATACCCACCACTCTACTTTTCTACTCATATCCCAGTACTGCCTGCTTGCTTGCTTGCCTGTCTGCTTGCCTGCCGGCCTGCCTCTACCGATGCGCCCACCCCTTCTTCGATTCCTTCTCGTTCCTGTACTGTACATACGGGCGTACACTCCCACCCAGTTTCCCACAGTCCCACAGTCCCACTCTGGGCTCTATTTCCGTCCTCCAGTATCGGTGTATTATTCCCCTCAAACCACGAATCGGCCCTCTGCCTCCGCAGCAGCGCTTCTGCCCTCGCTCGATTTCTCCACTACAGCAGTAGTAGCCGTAGCAAAAGCAGCAGCAGCAGCAGCAGTACGGCGGGGCGCCTCGATTGCCGCAGTCATCTAGATCTTTCTTTTGTGGCCGACTGACTGACTGACGACTGACCCCTCCACGTCCCCCACCGATACTGGCCCGCTAGTCCGCTTGCTATCATGCTATGCTAGTCGGTACTGGACGGCAAACTAGACGGAAACCCATTTAGTCGAAAAGTAGCTAGGCCCATGCTCGTGCATCGCATCATCCCTCCTCCTCCTCCTCCCATCCACCACCCCCCATATCCCCACCCACCCACCCCCCATTCTACCCTAACTAACTCCTCTCCATGCAAACCTACCGCCTGCACACCCTCGGCTTGCAATCCCAGTCGCAACCGTCGAACGCGATTTCGCCGCCCGACCCCAAGACCGTCCCCGGTACTTCAGGTCACTAATAAGTCCCGCCTAGGATTCCCCATTATTATTGTCCACTCGAAGGCTTAGGTGAAAAAAGACAAGTGGGAGAGAGAGACAGAGAGACAGAGACAGACAGAGACAGACAGAGACTCACACACACTTACACACTTACACACTTACACACTCACTCACTCACACACACTACTTACAAGCTCACACACTCACACTCAAGAGACTCGTGTTTTCAAATCCGACTTAATCCCGCCTCCGCCCTCCCATATATACATACCTTACATACACACCTACATATCAACTCTCTCACCTCTCTCGCCCTGCTCACCTCGCTCACTCACCCCACTCACCACCCGCCCACCCGTCCGTCCTTCCCCCCCGTGCGAACCCCGTACCCGCCCATCCTTCGTCAAGCCGGCCCCATCGCCCTTTCGTCCCAACTTTTGATATAGATACTCCCCCCCACCCGCCCCCCCCCAAATCCTGCGGCAGCCTTTGGCATCCCGTACCCGGCTTCCATCCGACCAGATGATGCTCTCACAGTCTTTGCACCAGTACGCCTCGAATTCGCACTTTCAACCATTACCTTCGTCCAATGGTGGCGATTTGGACTCGGGAATGCACCACCACCATCACCAACAGCAATCCATGCCACCGTCAAGCCACAAATCGAAGGCTCGTCAACACCCATACGGAATGCACCCAGACGACGACGACAGGATTAACAGAAGCGGACAGATGAACGGCTCTACTCCCGGCCCCATTCGGAGACGTATCAGTCGGGCCTGCGATCAGTGCAATCAGTTGAGAACGAAGTGCGACGGAAAACTTCCCTGTCAGCATTGTGTCGGTCAGTAAAAACAAAAAACAAAAAACCATTTAAATCTTGCTTTGGGTTGTAAATTGCGGTTGGCGGCACAGGTCACTAAGATTATATTTTTGATGTCTAGATTTCGCGCTGAAATGTGAATATGCTCGCGAGCGGAAAAAGCGTGGAAAGGCCTCGCGCAAGGACTTGCAGGCCGCTGCCGCCGCCGCCGCGGCTTCGGCGAATGGGCTCACGAACGGGTCCGCGTCGCCGACCGATTCGCTGAGAGGACTGAGCACCAGTAGTCGGCGAGATTCGGACCTCCCTCCTCCCCCGCGACCGGGAACCCTGCGGAAGGACTCGTCCTCCGTTACCAGCACGAGAACCTCTATGGGAGACCTTCACGACATGTCCCAGTCACAGCAGATGCACCATCACCACCTCCCACAGCAACAGCAGCAGCACCATCCGCACCACCACCACCACCACCACCACCTGCCGACTCCTGATTCGCCATCGCTCCAGCTCGGACACGATTCCGTTTCCGGTATGCCACTGCATTTCGACCGCATGTCCCCATTCCACCAACAGCCATCCAATGTGCCAGTAAGTGGCGTTCTTCTCTGGCTCGGTGGAACGTTCTCTGACTCGTTGAATGAACAGCCCGTGGCAAACGGCTATGCGCAAAACGAGTTTATGATGTCACCGCATCACCAAGCTCCCCCGATGACATTCGCGGGCAATGGAGCTTCTCCGATCTCGGGGCTGCTGGCGGGGCAGTCGTCGGATGCCGGCTCTCCCACCTGGATGTCGATGCCCTCACCGCCCCAGCACGCGTACAACGCGGGCATCAGATATCCTGTCCTCCTGCCCTTGCTGCCGCACATCGCCACAGTCATCCCGGCGACCATCGCTTGTGACTTGCTCGATCTCTACTTTACAAATCCCTCGACGTCGTTCTTCCAACCGGCTTCGCCCTACGTGTTGACTCACATCTTCCGTCCACGGTCTTTCCTCCACCCGACTAATCCCCGACCGACATCGCCGGCGTTGTTGTGCGCGATGCTCTGGGTTGCCGCGCAGACGTGCGATGCGCCGTTCCTGACGGCTACGCCGACCGCTCGCGGAAGGGTCTGCCAGAAGCTGTTGGAGCTCTGCATCGGTCTCTTGCGACCGTTGGTGCACGTTAGTTTCGCGACACCACAGCCCATGCAGCGATCGTCGGCGGACTCGGATCACAGCTCTGTCGGTATCGGTTTGGGCGGTCTCGGCGGTGGGCAGGCTGGTTCTCCCACTGGACGGGAAGGCATCGGAGCGGCAGGAAGTCTGGATGACGTTCTGACGTACGTACACCTTGGGATCGTCATTTCCGCTAGCGAGTTCAAGGCGGCGTCGCTCAGGTGGTGGCACACCGCGTGGACCATGGCGCGCGAGCTCAAACTCAACCGCGAGGTATCACCGGAAGAGCACTTGGAGGACGAGCTGGACGCGCACCATTCCCCGGCGGATACGGGGCCGGGTAGCGTTCACTCCCATTCCCACCCCAGCCCGACAGGTATGAGTGCGGAGGAGCGAGAAGAGAGACGGAGAACTTGGTGGTTACTCTTCATCATCGACAGGCACCTGGCGCTCTGCTACAACCGACCAGTTGCACTCCTGGATGTGGAGTCGGAGGGATTGTTCCTCCCGATGGATGACATCACTTGGCAGAATGGCGATTTCTTCGGCTCCAGTGAGCAGAACCTCTACTCTCAGCCTTCACCCAGCGCACCAACCCCACCACGCACTGCCGGCGTGCAATACGAGATCACCGGCTGCGGATTGTATCAGTTCTTCCTCCCCTTGATGGCGATTCTCGGTCAGGTTGTGGACTTGCATCACGCGAGGAACAGACCAAAGTTTGGGGTGGCTTCGCAGGCCAATACCGAGGGGAACAACGAGGGAATGGAGCCTCTGGTCCAGATGATCACGGAGGAACTGGATTCGTATGCCAGAAGTCTGCAGGAATTTGAGGCGGCTCACATTCGTTCCAACCAGAACAACGGCGCGAACGAAGGCGAGAGACGACCGAACGCGCCTCTCACGGAGATGGAAATCCAAGCGAAGATTGCCATTTCGTACGGTACGCATGTAATGCACGTTCTCCACATCCTCGTCTCCGGTAAATGGGACCCGATATCGATGCTGGACGATACCGACCTCTGGATCTCTTCCAGCTCGTTCATCTCGTCGACGGCGCATGCCGTTTCCGCGGCGGAGGCCATCAGCAACATTCTCAAATACGACCCCGATCTCAGTTTCATGCCGTACTTCTTTGGCATCTATCTGCTGCAGGGCAGTTTCTTGCTGCTCCTCATCGCGGATAAGCTGCAAGGGGAGGCGAGCGATGCGGTTGTTACTGCATGCGAGACCATCGTGCGGGCCCATGAAGTGTGCGTCGTGACGCTGAATACGGAATACCAGGTATGTAAAAGTTGCAATCCGGACTACTTTCCTCCGAACATACAGCTAATCTATTTATTTTTCCAGCGAAATTTCCGCAAAGTAATGAGGAGCGCGCTGAATCAAGTGCGCGGTCGAGGAGCACCCGAAGACGTCGACGAGCAGAAACTCCGACGACGAGAAGTTTTGCAGCTTTACCGATGGTGTGGAAACGGAACTGGTCTGGCTCTGTAATGGTCGCCACACCCATGCAGCTATCTCAAGCGCCGCGTCTTCACTTACGGCCGTCTGTTTCTTCCTGTATTTTGCCATGCGCCTAGAAGTCTGGAGGACGACCAAAAAAGTTTCGCTTTCTTATGTACAAGATACCCTTAGTGCGATTTGTTGGAAGGCGTCGTCTTGACCTCTCTCTCCGTTGCTGGAAAGTTTTCCTTCCGCGGTCTCTGCTCTTATTCACCTGCATATACCGTGGATTCATCTGTTGTTTTTGTTATCAGTTTGGCGTTTTTGTTACTTTGGGGTGGGGGTTTGGGGGCGGGCTTTGGCTTGTGATATTTTCCGTATCTGTTTTTCCTGGTGTTTGCTCTGTGTTTTTTTTTTCTCGTCTTTTTTTTCCCGTTCTATTTTTTTTCTCGTTCTATTTTTTTTCCCGTTCTATTTTTTTATTTTTATACCTCATATTTGTCGTGTTATTTTCGAAGTTGTATTGGTGGCTATTGTGGGGACGGGGGCCGGGGGCCGGAAACGTGGATTCAGTGGATGGTCGTTCGGTTGGTTATTGCTTGCGGGAGGCTCCACTGGTTGGATGGGATGGGGATGGGATGGGATCGGATCGGATTGTAACTTTTATTTTCTAATGGAGGCCGGTATACTCCATGGTGATGGTAGGGAGGGGGGGGAGGGAACGGTGGATCGGGATGGATGGATTGGATTGGATGGATATGGGTAGCATATATACATACATGTACTTAGGGTCACGTACATACGCATTGGACTAAGAGTTGGTGTGGACTTTGAAGTGTTCTTTGGTAATTGTCTGTTCCTTGAACTTGAAGACTGAAGTTTGTGGGCTGTGTTGGTTGTGAATTGGTTTGTCTGACTTGACCACAGTGGAGTGGACTTGCACGGTGTTCTACATACGGTCTGTTGGTTCATTTGCTCACTACGGGCCTACGGAAAGCTCCTATCCTTCGTTGACTTGATAACCGTCGTTGGACGCAGGAGACCGCTGAGACATCATGAGGCCGAGGACGAGGACGGGGATGGGAACGATACAAGCAAAGATGCCAAGAAAATGCAGCGCCGTACATGGGAATGCGTTATATACTCTGTGTGTGCACTGTTTACTTACACTGTAAATATGTCATACGTGCTATGGAAGGGATGAGACCCGGGGGGAGGATAAAATGGTACGGTATGTATGCTATGTATAATTTATGTATGTAGGCTACTTACACGCGAGAGTCGAGGATCGAGATGGGGGAAATTGAGATTCGAGATGTCCGACGTCACGCCAGAATTTGATGTCGGAATCTCACGGTCCCATCAGGATACCCAGCTGCCTGCCTGCGCACCCATCCACCTCCACACTACACTCCGCACTACGCTCCGGACTCCGGATCTCGACGGACCTACCTTGTATGTACCTACATACATGTCATGTAGGTATGAAGTTATGCAGTGATGTACCCAAGCATCGAGGGTGTGGGGTGTGGATCCGGCGCCGGAGCGGAGCGGCGACATATGATGACCGGCGAGATGGCCGGCAGCGATCGGTTCGTTAACCACCACGACCTCACTCCACCTCCCACTACCTCCCACCTCCTCCCTGCATATAGTTGTCCAAACTTGCATTTTTCGCGCGCACGTCAATAATCTAGGATTCTAGGTAAGCGGAGAGAGACCAGAAACAGAGTTTACAGACGGCGAATGGCGGACGGCGGACGGGGAAACTCTGGAAAGTACCGTACCTAGTACTGGGACTAGTACCGAGCTCGAGCCGGCGCGGGGCGCGGCGGGGAGGCCGATCTCGGCTGCTGCGTTCGGCTGCTGGTTTCGGCTGCTGGTATTGGCTACTGGTCTCGGCTGCTGGTTTCGGCTGCTGCGTTCGGGCCGGGCGATTATTGCTTATTGGCTCGGTCGTGCCGGAAGTATTATTGGGTTTTGGAGGCAAGTTTGCCACAACCAATGGTCGCCGGTCACTAGTCGCTGGTCGCTGGTGTGGCCACTGGTCACTGGTCACTGGTCACTGGTGGGCTGTGATGGCGCGAGTGAGCAAGACGTGAGCGAGACGTGAAGTGGGCAAGACGTGAGCCAGACGTGAGTGGTCCGATAGGTGCTACTTCCACCGCCGCCGCCGCCGCTCGTGCTCGTACTATTCGATCACATGTAGAGCACCTATAATTCCTAGGTACCTTAACCGATCGATCCGATCAACGCTACAAGTGAAGCAAAGCAAAGCAAAAAAAAACAAGCCATGTGTAGTTCAGTATGCGAGTACATAGATACAAGGTACGGTAGTAGTTAGCTGCGCCCTTTTCTATGTATGATATCCTTCCATAAATCCATCCATCCATCCATCCATCCATCCATCCATCCATCCATCCATAAATCCATCCATCCATCCATCGTCATGGCCATGTGGGTTCGGGTGAGATACTCTACTCTACATTCACGCACGCACGGTGATGAGTTGCCCACTCCCAACTGCCCACTGACTGCCGACGCCATAAAGTGGAGTATGTAGATATGCAGAGTGAAGAGCGAAGGTCTCTGAAAGGTGGGTATGGTACAAAGATAAGTGTGAAGTGGGGTAATCAGGCTAATTGGTCTCAGCCTATTACCCCACATCGACTTCCCCACCTAACCAACCAACCAACCAAGTTGAACCAACCAGCAGCAGCACCAGCACCAGCACCACCGCCGCCAGTAGTTAGCCCCTACCACCACGGTGAGACCAGACCAGACCGTCAACCTTCTTTCTTCTTTCTTCTTTCTTCTTTTTTTTTGTGGTGTATGCGGTGTGTGTGTGCCCGTGTGTGTGTAGATGGTGTGGATATCTAATCTCTCACACGTGGAGTCTAAGTTCTGTATGTAGAGCAGTTACGTGCAGCTGCTTAAGCCTTGGACCAGGAATGAAGAAGAAAGAAGAAGGAAGAAAGAAAGAAGGAAGGAAAGGAAAAGAAAAGAAAAGAAAAGAAAAGAAAAGAAAAGAAAAGAAAAGAAAACAGAGATGTCTCTCATCTTTCTTTCTTTCTTTCTTTCTTTCGGACTACTCCACTACTCTACTAATATACCTACAACTAAAGCCGTGTCACCATCACCATCACCATTGCGCTTCGCGTGGACGTCCGTGGTGGGGGGAGGTCGATCCGGCGCCGGGCGGGATTCTCCGTGCGGGGCGGGGGGGAGGGATGTCGCTGTGTGTACATACATAGCATTCCCAGCATGACGGCTTGAGTGGCTTCTGTTTCCAGGCTTCGCCGCCGACGCTTGCACTGTTCCACTCATACATGATACTGTGAACGCGCGCGCGGAGTTTGGGAAGCTGCGGAGCAGCGACCCAGCGTATGTAGGTACCATACAAACGGAGGTAGGTACGTAGTTGAGGGTACGTCAACTCGAAGCGACACCGGCCCCACACAGCCACAGGCACAGGCACGAGCACATGTCCACTCGCTCAGGAAGTCAGAGTCAGAGTCAGCTGGTGCTGGCCGATGGGGATTGTCCGGCGAGACGAGACGAAGTGAGTGCCCTGCTGCGGTCCTGCGGAGGCGTGGGCTCCGGCGTGACCCCTCCCTCCTTGCGAGTGAGATACCACGAACTTGCGATGGAACTTTCCGTGACCTAGATTCTGAAGATGCGTAAGCAACCACAACCACACCACGGAGATGGCTGGCTGGCTGGCATTGAGCTTTAACTAAGCCCTTGTACGCCACAGTCTCATAGCAGCAGGATGACCGCTCGTCCTCCAGGCTACCTCAGCCTACGGTAGATATTCCAGGGGAGGGCGGGGGACGTGAGACGGGGGCTTTCGGCGATGTCGGAGGTTTCTTCATACTCTACCTAGATCCTCACAGATCCCACATAGATCCCCCATAGATTGCCTAAATTCTAATACCTACATATAACCGTAGTCACTGGTCTGCATCTGCATGCCCATGTATGATGTATGTAAATGCCTATGTACGTAGCTTTGTATGTAACTTTTTATGTAGCTTTGTATGTAGAATCCATGGTAGCCCCCAGGGCCCATAGTAGGTCTGGCACATCTGGCGCCTCTCGGGGGATATCATACACGACGGCGCATTCCCCCGCCGGCGGCCGCCCTCGGTTACAACTTCCCCTGCGTTGCATTGCCCTGCGTTGCTAGGTACACCGTATTCTATCTTTGTCTTTTAGTCGTGCCGTTCGTTCGTTCGTTCGTTCGTTCGTTGCCCGTGACTCCACCACCGCCGCCGCCGGTGGCGCGCTTCGAAGTTGCGTCGTTGCGTCGTTGCGATTGGCGCAGCCAATCGGATGCGTGCGTCTGTCCTGACTCCTCCACCAATCTGCGGTCGCGGTCTGCGGTCTTCAGGCTGGTATCCGCGACAACAACGCGACGCCGGGTTTATCTGCACCGGCATGTACTATGTACCTGTAGGTACCTCTGGTCCGCGGCTCGCCGACTGGCTGCGGCCCTGCGGGCGCTCTCGGCGTAGGTACGGGGAAATCAGTAACGGCGCGGACCAAACATGTTTTGTATACTCGGTACAAACATCGTGAAACCCGCAGTTATGGAACTTGTGCTGAAGCGGTAAGGAATCCTCTGTAGTACCTAGGGGTGTGGGATTTATAGGGCGGGAATTGAAACTGTAGATTTCAAAGAAGGCTCGCTGATTGAGCGAGTGAGTACTTGTGAATCTATATCACCGGTTATCACTCTATTCTAGTAACACCCAACAAAAACAAAAAAGATGGATGATAAACAGATGATAAATAGATGATGGAGAACGGCGAGGGATTACTATAGACAGGATGTCGGAAGCGAAAGGGGGCTGGGTAGGGTTCGACTACGGTATTTGGGCGACTTTTTCTTACATGTACACACATAAATTTTGTCAAATGTACTGAAATAGGAAGATTGGTAGGAAGACAGAACTGTTTTGTTGCTTGCTTGTGGTTCTTCTTCTCCGGGCCGGTGCCCTTCTAAAGTACTAGGTCAAAAGTTTTTGTACAGGGGCCGTTTTACACCAAAAATGCCCATTTTCAAGTAACCAAAACACACCCTTCACGTGGTGGAAAAAAATCGAGTCTTTCATAGAAGCTTTAGAATCGCAAGATACATCACATATAAGAATTCTGACGACTTTGGCCTCGGACTGGTGGCGCATTGTATGGTGTTGTGCACGGGTTGGAGAGTGATTTCGGATTTTGTATAGGACCCTTATACAAAGTTATTGCGTGATAACTAGTTTCAACACCAACTTCTCTTCCATACGGCATTATTCAACCACAACAACTCAGAATTATGTGCCGATTTCGATTAAGGTTCTCTACCTGGTTTAGAAGACCTTCTAATGGTCCACATATTTTTGTACTACGTTCTGGTTGCTGTATCTACAGCGGGAAATGACCTGAGTGAAATCTGCCAAGCCGCCCTACTTCGCATAAAATAATCAGCTTTGCGAGCTGGAATTCTCGTTGAAGCTTTATTAGTATGTATTCATGATATATGCCAATTATTACTACTTTCTAATGTGTGGTTGTTGTGTTAGAGAGGTATATATCTATGGTGTGGTGGCGCTGTTGGGCAGGTGTACAAAAACTTTTGACCTGGTACTTTATATATACAGGATATGTCTGCCATTGGGAGATAGACCCGCTGGGGAGACCAGACAGCAGGCCAGGCACCTCCTCTTCCGGATGCAGTTCGCATGAACGAGTCCTTAACTCCTTCAAAAACAGTGCTCCTTAAAACTTCACCATCACTCTACAGCGGACATGAGGCGAGATATTTCTTGTGCTCCGGACGCCGTAATCTGACACATTTCCTTGGTGCGGGTGATGGAAGGAGGGCTGGGCGGAGAACAATACTTAAAGAACTGACATCGAGTCCCACGGCCAAAGGTCGGAGACAGTGGAGGGGATCCGGTTATGGGCATAACTGCCAGTCTGCCATGATCCGATGAGACCAAATGCAACCAAAAAAAAACAGGTGAAGCACCATCTCTACCCGTCCCTGAGCAGATCCATCATCCACCATCCACCCGAACAGCTTCACAACTCGGCACGCTAGCCAACCATGGCAGCAGTGATCCGATCCGATGATCGATCGGATGCTAAGCTACTAGTATAACTACCGCGGTCCGCATCGTCAGCCAAGGTGTTCGCACGCTGGAGATTTGCACTTAAGCGTGGACGGGACTCCCGCGAAACAGGGACGGACGCACGGAATCCCGCAGGAATCCCCACAGAAACCAGGCGATCCCCGGCCGAGCCCGACCAACCAACCAGCCCGCCATGCCATGCCATGCCATGCCATGCCATGCTGGACATGCCATCATCGTCATGCCGAGTCACTAGCTGGGCGGCACTAGTTAGCGCCCGCCGATGGCCATGCCATACCGCCAGGCCGCATGCCGCATTCATAATTCCGCACTCCACACTCCACACTCCGTCATCATGTCTCTCTTGCCGTCCGCGCTGCGGGGATATAAAGCCCGCCGTAGCAGCCCGTCAGTCACGTTGCGGTCAACAAACCGCCACAATGACCTGCTCACCGCAACCGCAACCGCAGCACCGCACACGCACCTCCGTCTCGATCCTGATCCTGGAAACCGACGTCCTCCCAGCGTCGGCAGGCAAAGTTTCCACAGCGTTCGAAAAGCTCTTCTCGCGCGCCGGCGCCGAGCAGCACCCGCGCATCGATGTCGCCGTCACGCCGCACTACGTTGTCGACTGCGAGCTGCCGCCCGTAGAAGACCTGCAGAAGTACGATGGCGTGCTTATCACCGGCAGCAAGTATGATGCGCACGGCGATGATGCGTGGATCATGAAATTGGTCGAGTGGATACAAGGTGGGTTTTAGTCCAGGGAGAAGCAGGAGGGGGAGGTGGTGGGGCAGGGCTGATGCAGCGCACAGTGGCGTGGAGGAAATACCCCGATACACGGTTCACGGGCGTGTGCTTCGGGCACCAGATCCTTGCGCGGGCGGTGCTCGGCGCGACAGTGAAGAATCATCCGACAACGTGGGAGCTGGCGGCGACCGAGGTTGAGCTGTCGTCGCTCGGGCGGGAGCTATTCGCCACCGGGCAGGAGACGCTGGTGCTCCACCAGATGCACCAGGATTACGTGGACCTCGAGTCGGACGAGTCGTGCGAGCGCGGCTGCGGCGGTAAGGACCTCAAGCCGAATGTTTGGGGGAGCAGTAAGGACTGCCCCGTACAGGGTTTCTATGTCCACAAGAGGATTTTTACTACCCAGGGACATCTGGGATACGATGAGGTTATGGTTAGGGAGAGTATTGAAGAGATTCAGGAGCGGGGCGGGTTACCGAGGGATAAGGAGGTGGAGGCGGCTAAGGAGGCGGGGGAGTTGGAGCATGATGGTGACATAGTTGCTGGGGCGATTTTGAGGTTCTTGGCGGAGTGGGACGATGATATTAGGCCATGATGATGCTGATTGTCCAAGTCATGTGTAATTAAATTTTCTGTTTTGTTCTCTTTGGTGTTTCTTTTCCTCCATTAATCATATACAGTCTATGGACTATAGCGATATACGCACTCTTCCCAATCCTGTCTGCAGTCTAGATGATTGCATTTCTGTGAGAGAGAGAACATCAATCTATTGTCGCATGATTTGAGTTTCTGTTTGAATCATCAATTGCGATTTCAGCTTCTGTGCTGTCAACATGTCGTCATGAATGCACTAAGTTCGAGTGATCGCCGCGGAAGATCCCGCCCGCCACGCATATGGTGCATCACAAAAACCCCCGTAGTCTGATCTCGGTCGGAACAATTCCGCAGTACATAGCAAAAGCGCCCTCTGAATCGTCAAACCAAACCGCAATCCCAATGCGCCGCCGAGCATCTACATAAAACACTACTCCCCCTCGCGCTCTAAAAACGTAGGATCGTACTCAACCTTCTTCTCAAACTTGACCCACCACTCCCTGAACGCCTTTAGCGGCACGACCTCCTCGCCCTGGACGTGCATCGAGAAGCTGCCGAGGTAATTGAAGGCGTTACCAATGATCCTCTGAGCCAGCAGAAGGGAGCCCACGCTCTTGCCCGCCTTAACCAGCGCGCCCTCCGCCGTCTGCGGCGAGCCCGCCGTTCCCAAGGTGGCCAACTGCGCCTCGACGCTCGCGACCTCCTCGACACTAATCCCCAGCGTGACCTCGCCCTCGCCCAAACAGTGACCCTGGTTCTCGCCCGCCAACCCGCGCACCCGGAAGATCGCACTGGGCTTTGCGCCCGAAATCGCGCCGAGCAGCATGAAGTTCTCGCGCGCCGGGAAGAGGATGTGCACCGTCGCCGCGTGTGTCGGCGGCAGCACTGTGTCCGGCAGCAGGAACACCACGAGGTGGTTTATGCTCGCGGCCGAGGGCAGGATGAACACGAACTGTGTCGGCGAGACCGACTCGAGGTTGGTTTGTACTGTGGACAGGGCGACGTTAGCGGGCCACGGCAGCCGGGCGAGACTGGGAAGGACATACCGGGCCGCCCTGCGACAATGCAGCCAAACATCGCGACTGGTATGGATCGTGTAATTGCGGTGGAAAGGTTAATTGTGCGTCCGTTTTGGAGCGTCGATGTTGTGAGGTGTGGTGTTGGATGTTGGACGGCACGTAGATTATGACGTGGAGGGGTGAAGACGCGCATGGGTCGCGCATTCGGAGGCTGCAGCCCCACCATGGAATCTTCGAGAAGAACATCATTCCATGGGTACCAACGAACATTCCACTCAACACCGGAAGATTCTCGCTGTGTCAATTTCGATGCAACATCATATCACGACTTCAGATCCATCAATACTACACAACAAGCCACAATAAGCCACAATGACATCTACATTCCCTCGGCTTTTCATCCCCCAAAATCCTCAAGAAAACACCCAGGCACTGTACTCCGGGCCCCAAGAAAACAAAAAACAAAAACGGAAATTAACACCGGACCCAAACACAAAAAGAATCAAACAAGAACCCCATTTTGTGACGACAGCAAGAGCGACCAAACAAACCCAGCACTAAAAGTTGATGTACCCGACAAAAGAAAGCGTAAAGAAGAACACCCACCACAACACAATTAATTCCGTAAGAGAAAGCCCTAGACCTCCTCGTTCCTCATTCCACCGCTCTCCGCCCACCCAAAACTATCGAGGCGGCAGAGGACTCCGCGCACGCGGGCCCTTCCGAGATGGACTCACTTCCCTGCTCCGCGTGGCGAGTCGCTCCCTGCTTTCTACCCTAGTCGCAAGCCCAACGGTCGAGCTTGATCCCGCCACATGCAGTCCAAGCCGTGGGGGGCCAAGGCCCGGGTCGTCGTAGCGCCCAGCCTCGAGCTTCGGAGTCCCCCATCCCTCCTCGTCGTCATAACTTCCAAGCTCAAACGTCGACGGACTCTCGTATCCATCCTCCAATACCCGCTCGTACGTAACGATTCCGGTGCTTCCAAGGATCTTGCGCTTCTTGCTCTTGACGGTGGAAGCGCAGATGTGAAGTATCCTGCGCCTTCTCTCGCGGCCGATGAGGAGCAATGCGGCGAAACCAAAGATGACCAGGAAGAGGACCAGACCGGGAATCCGGCGGGGAGCGGTATCGCCCTCTTGCCACAACGAATCATGCCAGTGCGAGTCTGGCGCCGTGTAGTTTCCACTGGGGAACGACGGCTTCCCGTGCTTACCTTGCGGCCCGCTCCCTCCATATTGAAATCCTTCGGGGACGCCGTTCGCGGTGAAGATATTGTCGCCAAAGCCTACCGGAAGTGCTTCTTTGCCCTCGACTTTGGCCGGCGGAACTTGCGAGGACGCGTAGAGAATCATTCGTCCTAGTGTCCACGACACCTCGACATCTTCAATCTTGTCGACGGGCTGGAAAGAATCCATAAATCCCTTCTCCTTGACGGCCTCGATAACCTCCTTAGTCCCGTTGTGAGAGCTCTTGCCCAGGCTCTCGAGCCCTACACGTGGAACTCCAATTCCGTCGTGAAGGACATTGATGATCCACGACGCCTTGAAGCAGACTTGCATCGCAGTGTCCACATCGACTTTCTTGCCCCACTTCTGCTTGCTCACATCCTCGTCGATGCTGTGCCAATCACGCTCGCAAAACTCCTTCACGCGCTTCTGGTAGGTCGCGAAATCGTAAGCCTTTGTCGAGTGCTTGTCCTCGAAGATCTCGTGCGTAGTGTGCCAGTATTCCGATACACCAACAAAGTGGTTGACGTCGAAGTCGATGGCCGGGACATGTACGCCGTTGAGAAGGCAGGGCGCATTCACGCAATGCTTGTCCTTGTCGAGGAGATGGTAGGCCTGCCGTTCGCATTCTGCGAACTGGCCTGTTCCGATCAGATGCACGGTCTTCTTCGCCACAGCCGGATCCTCAATCTCTTTTCCATCCAAAGTCCTCAACAGTCCCTTCGGGAGACACGGATCCGGGAGCTCCTTGACTCCAGGGGCGCCGCTTGCCTCGACGATCCTCTCGACATATCGCCTCCTAGCCTCGTTCACGCCGAACCCCAACCAAGTCGTCACAAACACCCTGTGCTCCATATCCTGCCCATCCAAGGTCCTCAGTCGGAGCAGCTTCAGGTCATCGGCATGCTTGATCGACTCCGTCGCATTCGGCGCAAACGCAATCTGCGCCGACGCGCCACCCATATCCAAGAATCCATACGTGTGGTGGCCATGTTTGCTGTGTGCATGCGCGTCGTGGACCGTCGGGTCGTCGAACCCGCCCAGCAGATAGTTTGCCGCGATCCACCCGTACAATCCCTCGGTTTCGCCGGGTATCACCTGGATGTGCAAGTCACAGTCGGGAAGGAGAAACTCGGTGTTCCGTCGCGCGTACGTGCAGATTTCGTCCAGCAGCCGCTTCCGCTCGTTCTCGGGAACCAATCGCATTCCCGCCGTCGCGAGCAGGAACAACGGCGTGTTCGGAACTTCGGCCCGCGGTATCGACTTCAGCGCATGTTCGAAAAGCGGCGCGAGGTGGTCATGGCCGACGGATCCGGGCTTATCGTGGAACGTGGAGATTCCTAAACCCCCATATCATCAGTTACTGCCGTCGCAGATGTCCTCGCTAGGCGCGCGACAGAGATGGAGACCAACCTGGTTTGACCTTCTTCGTCCACTGCTTCTTCGTTTTGATCTTGGGAATACTGCGCAGCTTCTCGGTCGACGCCTTTTTGCGAGCGTGTACCGGATCATTCCACTGGTAAATGTATAGTCGGGTCCCACTCGAACCTGCATCAAGGACAACGCCAACTGTTGCAGACACACCGGGTTAGTTAGCAGCTGCTCCGGTAACATCCCATGTACATATCCAGTCGGCGGCAGCTACTCACACTTGTGGTGTTTTCCGGAACCCATCATCGAGACTCCTTTCTCCCTCTCTCCTTTCTAGCGAATGACGTGCCACGAACGAGCGATACAGACTGAAAGGTAAAGGACGAGAAAGAATGGGAAAGTGCTTTCTGTGTGTATTCCGTGTGGAGAAGGGGCAGCGGGATGGGGTCTACAAGACTCCGCGGGTGATGATAACGACTGACTGTTGCTGATACGGAGTACCCAAGTGTGAAATCCAGACCTAACTTCGCCCCCAAAGGTTTGAAGGCAGAACTGATTGAGAGCGCGGCAGGGATGCAGGGATCTAGTGCGCCAAGACGTCTGCAAAGGGAAAGACAAGCAATAGTTTAACGTGCTCCCCCACGAAGCTCGATAGAAAGCGGGAGGAGGAGGGATGGCTTTCAAATGTGCGAGGGGAAGCTGAAAATAGGCGGAAGAATTGGTGGACAGAATCTTCCGTCGGTTCCCGAAGCCTTGTATTCAACGGAGAAAAAACTGGTTTCTGGGAACGACTCGGAACGACTTGTGCTCAGCGAGATGGTGCTCACTGCTGAGCGCATATGGAACAGTGCCAAATTTAGACTAGAGAACGCGTAAGCGCTTTTCAGCCCCAGGCCTCACATGCAAGCCCGTTTCTCGAGCAGCGAATCATATAATCGTCACTCGCATGAAACCAGAGATGTGTCTGAGTGATATCAAGTACATATGTACTCTACATAAGCAAGTACACACCTTGAGGCTGGAGCTCTGGTCCGTTATCCGGTTCGCCGGTATTCATAGCGAGGTGTGTGTTGACTTCACGACAGAAAGAGTCAAGGCATCTGATTCCTGCAGCATGCGCTATCCTGGGCTGACCACGTGGATGGACGCCGTGGATTTATGCTGGATCAGATCTAAGGATCTCCACGGCTCAACCACTCATATCGCCACGTCGGGTACTTCAGCCGCCTCCAAGTTACGCCCCTTTGCGGTTCGGCACAACCAAGCGGAGAAGCCGGAACCTAGGTACCGGGCAGTGATCCGCCAATCCACTCGTCCGCGGTCGTACGAGATGCCATAATCGAGACAACAGCTTGCAGCACCACGGCCGATACAGTCCGCCTCTCGACACTCCGCTCCTCAAGGTGATGGAAAATCCTCCTCAGAATACCGGTTCGAAGTCCGTCGTAGACTCGTATGCCAAACCGCTGATCTGTGCGATGGATACCAGCATACCCCGTGGTGGCATGGATTCTCGGGCTGATAGTTGCATGCTGTGGGGTGGTGGTGCGGGGAAAGGTGCGAGATACTCGAGACACACGAGTATCATATCCCGCTTGAATCACTCGCATGACACGCATCATGGCCGCCTCCGGGAGCGAGCACTGAGGCACTCTGCATACGGCCTCGTCCGGATTTACATAGGCGAATGTGACGGAAGAATGTCCTCCAAAGCACTTCAACACCGAGGTGCTCGCGTGCGCCTGTTTCCACCTCATCAACCGATCCACGCGCACCGATTCGAAGGTGGCCGTGGAGTATGGTGGTGGTGCGGGAACGTGTCATCATCTGCGTTCCAATTCCCTCCAAAGTCGCAGATAGATCGATCAACACGCGCGCGGCCGGAGGGCGATGACGCAACGTGCGATCGACAGGCCGTCTCTTGCCTTCCGTGTCTGGCCACTGCCGAACACGATTCAACTGCGTTTAACGTAGATTAATAAATGGAACCGAAAAAAGTGCCATGAGGACTGTCTCCGTGCATACCGTGGCCAAACGTTTTACCAGTCACTCTGACGGCCACGGTCTCGTGGAACCGATGCCGATGTTCCGACGCCCATATGGATTATCGGTCATTCGGGACGCAACGAAGACTCGCATGCCGGGGATATATGTCCCGAGAGTGCGTGCGGCGTATGTATGGCCTTTCTATCCGACCTGCATCCGCTGCGATCCTTGAGCCTGCACTCCACCGCTGTACCTGAGCGCTCCCGCGTTTCATCCTGCCGCCTCCCGCTCGCACGTGTTTCAGCGTGCTGCGTTCCCGGTCCGGCCCCGGATCCAGGGATGCTTCGACGAGGCTTGTCTCGACTCCCGACAAGGGAACAGCTGGAGAGTAGCATAATTCAATGTCGTGCCGGATATTCACCGGTGGAATTGTTCGCTCCAATCATCAATGAAACGAATGGTGCGAAAAATGCGGGGACAACTACCCCACATCGAAGACGCACTGTGCAGTCTTCCGGCGGATTGCAGACCGTACCTTCCCATCCGGATCCGGTCCTCGGTACTTCTTCGTCTGTGAGGGCCACTCACTCAGCCTTGGGGGCTTCTACTGGAAGACCATGAGCGGCTCTGTCCGGTCCCCAACCGGAACAGAACAGACCATGGCGAACACTGCACACTGCCGCCTTCTGCACGGCGTGAAGCGCAAGTACCGGAGGCTGCCGAAGGCTGAAGCAATGCGCCGGCGGGAGAATTCTGAGCACAGTCTGTTGATATTATGCGTCTTATTACCTGTTCCGGTGTCACTGCTACTTTCCACTGTCCTGTGCATACTACCCTCATTTCCTTCGTGGCTGCTTAGCATTGTAATTTGTCTATGGCTTCTCATTAGAATCAGCCTCGTTACTCTAGCTGAAAGCCTTCAAGCCTTCAAGCCCCCAGCCCAGTCCGGCGACGGCGACGGTTATCGTCGCATCCTCTGTCTGAGGCCCGGCTTCATCTCGTCGTCTACACGAGCCCGTTTGCCTTTATAAACAGTCTTCTATCTCATCTTTCTCGCATCAATACACCAATCAAGTCAAGTTCTTCTCTCAATTCCAACACAGCCGAAGGGAGGTGTGGCGAGTGCTGAGTTGTGACGGATATACTGAGCAGTGAAGACAGAAATTTAGTTGAATATCATCTTGTTGTACGGGAATGGCACATTGAATGACCGCATAGTTGTCCTGCTTACTATTGCAACAAAAGCACCTTCTGCTCGATCAACCCCTGTGGCGGAATTGAGAAGAAGCGGGAAGGTGAAATGTGCTGGCCGCAGGCGCGACTCATTTGCATTTACTTAAGCACTAATGTAGGATGCTCGTCAGAGGTCTAAGTCAATGGCTCCTCAAGTTTTGAAGCCGTCAATCCTCATCACATAAAAGACAATCCAGAAAGCAAGAAAATCTAAAAACCGTGTACGTTTCATTATCGATACTAGTACAGATCTGGGCTCGTGGGGGGGGGCATAGGGCAATCTTCCGAGCCCTCTTTACTAGAAGGCAAAGGCTTGTGGTAGACAATAAAATTGATGGTAGATTGATGCTTGACGGCTTAAATCTTGGAAGTGTTACGGACTGCAATTCGATGGCTTGAAAAATCGACCACCGATTCCGACCGATTCCACGTCATTCCAAGTCGCGAATCCCCCCATCCCCTAATGTCGAGCGGACTCAGTCGGCCTTCAACCCGCTCCAAGTTTCTGTTTTGTTTGTTCGATTATCAGTCCGTTCGGACTTTTGTAGATCCATCCGGCTCAGTTCCGGAATGATAGAGAATAGCAATCTAGTGCCGCATACAAGAGGGCCCGGGCAACACTCTCATTTCCAGAGAGAGAGATCTTCGGTTTATTTCGCATGCAACACTCTCATTCCCAACAAACTACCTAGCCGATTCGAACTTTTGCAAGCTCCGAGTGCTTCCACATGATTCGCAACCCCAACCCCATCCCCTCCGGCCGCAGCACGCCCGGCCTACTAGTAGGCCGCGATGTCTTTTTCGAACCTCCGCACACATCACCCACGCCCGCCGCCAACAAACACCTCTTCTCTTCTTGACTGTTCACAATCCCAGCAATCACAGCAACACCTTCTTCAGCCCTCGGTGGCATATATCTCTCGATCCGAGCCCCTTGTGGGCGCAATCGATTTTATTCCGGAACTTATCATCTGCCCACAAAACTTACACGAGGAGTATGTCTCGATCCTCACCCTTCCTCACACACACGTTTTGGTAGCAGGCTCTAACCTTCCCCTCCGCAGGGCCGTCATGGTCGCCAACTACCTACGAACGCCTCCATCGCCAGTCGCCAGCCACCCCAAGGACCAAAACCCACAGGGCGAAAATCTAGTCCACAACGAGGACGCCGGAGGATTTGAGCGCTGGTTTGAGGTAATACCTGTGCAGGACGCGGCGCCGGTTGACGAGCTCAAGAACTATTGCTCATTGCCAGTCGAGACTCGAGAGGAATGTTCGAAACAGTCACGCAGCCCGCGGCGATTCAATGGGCCGGGTGGCTGGAAGTTGGGACCCGTCAGCAACGACTGTTTCCTAACCTGGGCCGAATGGAATGGCGATTGCTATTCGCCCCATCCCATCCTAGCCATGTCGGCTGAGGACCCGGGGTTGAACGGCTGTTCTCCGAGTGAAAAATGATTTTCACTGATCATCGACATTCCCTAAGGACGGAAGGTGTTGAAGCTCTGGAGACTCGAGAGCATCCAGAGGTTCAATCGCCGCACTCCCATGGCCCATGGGTAGGCAGCATCATCAGAGGAGTAATCCAAAACCAGTACTGCACCTATCATGACATCCTCCCCGCGATAGACGAATTGTTAGACCATCTGGAATCTCGTAGAGTCGAATTCAGAAATCAACCGCATTGGCTCGCTATGGTGAACCAGGGTCCTGGGCTGGGCAGTTTTAGATAAGTAAGACGTACATCTCTCTATAGGAGCTCCATACAAAAATCTGATGCCACTTTTTCAACTTTTGCACAATACAACATCGTACACCACCAATCCGAGGTAAAAGTCAAGTTTTTTATCGATGAAAAAGCTTATGATCTTAAGGCTTCTATGAAAGAGATGATTTTTCTTCGGCCAGGTGGAGGTTAGATTTACGTTGCATGAAAAAGGGGCATTTTTAGTGTAAAATGGCCCCTGTGCGAAAACTTTTGACCTACCTAGTACTTTAGGTAGGTATATGGACCATGGTCGTGGCTTTCCACGTACTGCTTCGCTCAACGGCTGCGCAGTAAGGGCGGCGCGAGGGGTGTAAGGTAGCGGGATGGGGGCCGGTGGGTATGCGGGAGAGATTTCGGCTCGGTTCGGTTTGGGACGGGGGTGGGGAATCGGGGGTACTACCTATAGGCACGGCCGATGAGTGAATGTCCCATGAGAAAGCGAGTATCGTACGTTGGCTACCGGACCGGGAGAAGCGAGATCCTGGTGGCCGGTGATGACGGCCGAGTAGTACGGTCCTATCATACATAACCTATCACTCATGCTCGCCATATTTCTTGTTTGCGTGAGCCCATTAGATTATGCATTGATAAGTACTACAGCCATGGTCTACTAAGATCGAATGCTAAAATGCTTAAAATGCTTAAAAAAAAGATCGTGCGTATAATGCCTACAACCAAAGGCAAACTTTAAAGCTTGGGTATGTCACTGCTGAAGTTTGAGGATGGTATGCATAAGCAGTACGCCCCCGCCGCTGGATCGTTCATGAAAACTTATCTTTTTCCCGCCGGCTACCTAGAAGCGGAGTAGCACAGACACGTGTATGCAAGTATGTGTGGTTGGTCGAGTCATATCCCCATGGCCAGAGTGGGCGGTTTCGGTGGGCGGTGGACGGTCTGGACCACCACCACCTGCTGAAGCCTGAAATCCACCACGGGACTCTTCCTCTTCCTTCTTTCCTCGCAGAGGACAAAAATTGTTACCTAGTGTATGTACATACTTCAACCCTTTGGTGGGGACATGCACTAGTACACATCTCAATCCCCTGTGGTATGATACAGTGCAGCGCGGAAAACCGGTAATCAGGAAAGAAGCTCAAGTACGGGGCAAGTATTGATGCAATCTAAACGTTTTTTGGCTTTGGCTTTGGCTTTCGGACATACCCGTAATAGAAGCAGATTTCGAGCAAACCCACCGAAAGGAACCGTCACAAGGTTCAAGTTCCAGTGGCTCTATATCTCTGATAGAATTCTGTCCAAACGACTCAACGGGAAGCGTGACCAATTACATACCAGATATAAAGTCCTTGGTTCGTCCGCTATCCCTTCCCTTTCCTCCATCTCTCGTACCATCTTCATCATCGCCAGCCACTCGACTCAAGCCTATCCTCACTAATTTTTCGCTCATAACACCGTTTACACTCGTCACAGTCCTCCTACACACACACACACTCACTATCTCGCAATGGGTATTCCGTATTTCGTTGTCCCCACCAGTTCTCCCGAGTAGTAGTAGGCCGCCGCCGCCGTTGAGCCCTCGCCCGTCAAGCCGCAGAACGTGAGTCTCACTCCCCCCCCGATGATGTTCGAGATGGGATACCAAGAGCTGGGAACGGAAAACGAAACAAACCAGAACTGAACTGTTTTAACCAGCGTTCCTGTTTGCACCGGCCAAATGTTGGAGGGCCTGGCATTGTGGTCACTTTTTTGCCAGTGGCTCAGGCTTATCGCACCAGTCGATTCAACTTTCTGTAGTTAAGTAGGTACCGAGTGCTCTGCCATGAGGCGGACCGGGGGTGGGCGGCAGGGTTTCCCACGGCCACGGCCCCCTCAGGCCTATCCCCGCTCGCCGCATCTAGGGCACGACGCCATTTCTCAGGCCTCATAGAGGGCAATAATTGAGACTGAGAGGAACACAAAAGTTAAAACCGTGTCCGAGGACTACTATATGAAGTATGCATACGAGCTTGCCGCCGATGCTTGGTGCAGCTCCTCAGCCGAGAGCCACCGACTTCCCGCTTCTACTGTTATACATACAAAATCTGGAGCTGCATAGGAATCTTAACAGCTCAGCCCGACAGCCGAGAAGCAGGATAATCGAGCTAGCAGGCTGGCGGCTCTTATTAGGTAGATATGGAAGCTTTTATTCGTTCCGGAAGCTTTTAAGTATTCGATCTGGCAGATTTCATTTGATCGAGCAGCTTTTATGCGTTCCAGAAGCTTTTGATCGACATGGCAGCTTTTATTCGATCCGGCAGCTCCAGCAGCTCTAGCTGTCCAAGCATATGAATTGCGCCATGTGAACGATTAACCATTGCCGTGGCGAACTGAGGTATTGAAGTCTCTAATATCCATCTAGGTCTGCAGAATCCCGACATCCTGTCTATAGTTTACCAACACCACGCCTCGCTATCTCCTCCCCGCCAACGTCGTTTCAAGTACTTCGTATGTAAGGATACCTTCCAAGTTCCAACCATCACGTAGTCCCCGCCTCCACCATAGCAGCCAGTACAGCCGCGCCAATAACGCCGCCATCCCTGGCGCCGACGAGTTCCACCTTCCCCACTCCCGCCAGTACATCCAGAAACTGTTGACACCTCTCTCTGAACCTCCAGTACAGCTCCAGCACCGTCCCCGTGAACCCTACGACGACCTTCCTATTCCCGCCCGCCAGCTCGTCATTGACGGCGAGCACGCCAATGGTCGCAGCGGCAACGAGTGCCGCGGCACGGTCCGAGACCGCTCCCGCAATCTCCCGGAACGCAGCGGTTCGCTGCGCATCCCAGAACTCCGCCGAGCCCGAGCCAAAGTATGTCCGCAGCACCTCCGTCGCGGCGTCCACCGATGCCGCCCCCTCGACCTTCGAGCACAGCTTTGTATCGACCGCATAGGGCATCGTCAATATCTGCGGCAGCGGCACATCCCCGGCGGCAGCAAATAACTCCACCGCCGCCAGTCTCACCAGCTCGCCGAGATACCTCCCGCCCACCATCTCCTCAAACGGCTGGAACCCCGGCTTCTCGCTACGCGCAGCCAGGTCCTCATCCCACGCCGTCCGGATCGGCACCAGCGACGGCAGTGTGCCGTAGAGACTCCACTCCGTGTTCATCAAAATCACCTGTGCGCCTTCGCGGCGCTTATCAGCGGCAAGCTTTTCGACAGGGCAGAGACAGGTGGCGTTTGTGCCCGTGCCCGCGATGATTCCGGCGGCGGCGTGGGTGCCGGCGCTGGGTGGGCGGAGGTACGCGGTCGAGAGGAGGGTGGCGACGGAGTCGTTGGTGATTGCGGTCATGCGCAGGGGCGGGGAGGCAGTGGTGGCGGTGGTGGTAGCGGGAAGAGCGTCGTAGGCGTTCAACAGGAGCGCGGCTAGATTGTTGGTTCGCTCGACGGTGAAGCCTTTGCCCATACGCATTATTACGGCGGAGGTGTGCGATTCCTGTCTGCGGCATCGTCAGCTGGGTTCGGCAGGAAGACGGTAGCCCGGGACTCACTGCATCGGGAAAGAAAACGCCACGCCGACGCGGATCCCCTCTGCGAATACCTCCTCCCGCTCCTTTCCCGCCAGCGTCGCTACATACGCCTGCACAATCTCCGCCGTCCGCTGCGCAACCCAGCCAAACAGCGTATCGGCAGTTCCGCTCTTGAGCGACTCGGGTATCAGCCAGCTTCCCTGCGGCGAGATTCTCAATCGTTCATCCCCATCACCCCCGGAATTGCCGAGCAGCTCGACAATGGCAACACGAAGATTTGAGCCGCCCAGATCGAGAACGAGGAAGGTTCCTGTCTCGGATCCGTCCGGCAGAGAGATGATCGGCGTAGGCAGAAACTGTGCGCGAGAGTGCGCTGCGATGTCGTTGAAGGTACTCTCGAAACTCTGCGCGAGCTCGGGCAGCTGCGACAGCGGCGCGCGGAGCTCGGCTAGAAAAGTATCTGGCAGGCGCATGGCGTAACAGAGAGCGAGAGAGAGAGAGGAGGGGAGAGAAAAGGAGGGAGGGAGGGATGGAGATAGAGAGGGGAAGAGAGAGAGGGCGATAGAGAGAGAAAGCGGTGGAGTAGATCGAGAAAGACATCTGTGCTACCTCACTCCAATAGGTAGGTCTGGAAGTCACAGGGCCCATGGTCCATGGAGAGCTGCTATTTCAGGTCCGTTCCTGACAGGGGGGGAGACCGCTTCTCGTGCGCACGGAGGCGCCGGTGCGGGGGAAACGGCGAGTCTCGGATGGCACATCACAAACGGATAGAGCAGTCAAACAAGTGGGAGAACACAGAAGACAGCCCCACAACGTTGAACCCAATGGATGGTGCGCCCTCTCGGGCCCGGCGAAGCCTACTTTACTCGCTAATCGAATCTGTGGACACATCCGGCCATCAGGGCCCAAGCGTGTCCACCGAACGTCTGGATTAGCGAGCAGGCATTGACGCTCGTCCCCAGGAAGCCAGAGATAGCAGCTCGTTTCCGCAGCCATCTTTCGTCATCTGGTAGGTGAGATATAAACTTATCGGCGGCAGCGCTGTCAACTGATCCACCAGACGATAGGCAATGGTGTCATGTAGGGTCACTCGTTTGGTATCGCTACGAGCCGCATGCTTAACGCGTCCCCCTGGAATCGGCAGCAACTGCCGCTTTCTGCTGTGTGTGGACCGCGTCGAAAAAGCAAGTTCAATCGACATTCTTTACACGTGGTCCGCGAAAGAGGAGGGGAGGATGATGATGAAGAGGAGGAGAGGAGGAGAGGGGGGCATAAAGAGGAGTAGTAGCAGGAGGAGACGGAGGAGTGGGAGGAGGCGGAGGAGTGGGAGAGGAGGAGTGGGAGGAGGAGTGGGAGGAGGCGGAGGAGTGGGAGGAGGGCGATCGTTGTTCGCTTCACTTGTGAAGAGTCTGCTATGCGGCGTTTGCTCGAATGTCGCACTCCACCAGGTGCAGCGAATTCTGGGGAAGGTCTCTAGACTGCTTCGAATACTTCGACCGCATCCTTGGTGGCGATTCTTCGACGCGGGAACGTGCATATTCTATTCCAGCCGTCGAGTGGGCAAGCAGAAAGAACAAGCAAATGGCAAACGCCCAAAATGCTGTGAACGGAACGCACGCTCAAACATCGGCGTGAAAGGCGTGCGGTCCGGTCGTGGAATGGATGTACATAGCAAATCGTCACGTAGATAAATGCATCCGACTCCCATCCTTTCTGTCTCTCTAAGAAGTGCGGCGTGCCTCGTGCATCGAAAACCCGAAATGTCCAGGCCCAAGTCCGCCACCAAAACCGATGGCGCTACCACCACCCACACGCTAGCGTCAACCGTAAACTCGTCGTTGTCGCGTTCCTCCTCTGCTTCGAACGGCGACAGCAACCCCGTTCACCCTTTCCTCCTGCCCCCACCGCCGCACATTCAAAAGTCAGAGCAGCCTCGCCCACCACCTCCACCTCCTTTCGTCGCTGCCCCTCGTCACCTCCCAGCCCACCACCACCCTTTCCCCATCTCTCGCGTCCAACCCAGCTTCCTTCCCGCTCCTGCCCCTTTCCGTTCCTCGAGTCGCCGTCCCATCTACATCTCCTCCGACTCCGAGCCCGAGCCCGAGCCCAGCGTCGCGCCCCAGCACCGGCACCAGCATCAGCGCAAGCGAATCCGTCAACATCCCAACCGCCCCGCGTACGCTATGGCACCCGCCAGCGCGTCATCCGGGGGCTCCCCTGGACCTAGCAGCCGGCGCACCTCAGGGCGCGTCAAAGCCTCTGCGCCTCCCGCTCCCGCTGCACCTTCCTCGAAGGCCTCGACCTCCTCCCGCGCAGCCCACCAATCCGAAGCCGCGGCCGGGAATGCCACCACAGCAGCAGCAGCTTCTTCTTCGGGAGGTCGCTCACTCCGTCCCAGACGCGAGAGCGTAGGACTCTACGAGATTTCGTCGGATTCATCGGATGGGAAGGGTAGCGACTCGGAGCACCAGGATGAGGACCATGATGACGAGGAGGAGGAGGAGGATGAGGAGGAGGGAGAAGAACAGGAGGAGAACAAGGAGCCCGTGAAGGAGAGAGCTGAGCGTGGTGTAGGGTCAGGTCGATCCTTGAGGCCCCGTGGCTCGCTCGCTGCTCCGGCGGGTTTGGCCGACTACGTCGATAGCAATACTGCGCTTAGTAACCGCAAGCGGACGACCAAGAAGCGGAAGTCCGGGAAGAAGAAGCACCTACAGAAGCGTCTGCCAGCTGGAAAGGCTTGCCAAGCGTGTCGTGATGCGAGACGCAGGTGTGATAGGAAGAAGCCACGGTGCGGAGGGTGTGTTCGTGCCGGAGTCTCGTGTGTTCTGCCCGATGCCGGGGACCCGAACTATCCGGATGAGGTCGGAGATGGAGATGACGAGGGCGAATATTCTGTTAGGACGGAGATTCGCATGTTACTCGAGGAGACCAAGAGAAAGCGGGACGAATTCTACATTAAGTACAGGGACCTGTATGAGCCTTTACTGCCAGAGAAGAATTACATCGCCAAACTGGCTGAGAAGAGACTCCTGGAGTCTGCCTCGAATCCGGACGTCACGATGAAGGACAGCCCTCAGATTCCTGTCAAGGCGGAGTCAAATGTTACTGGCGAGCCCAACTCGGTGAAGACTGAGGCCCCGGTGAATGGCGTCAAGCTTGAGGATGGCAATGCCAAGTTCGAAGTCGAGGTCCGGGATAATGTCAAGGCCGAAGACGACCAGAAAGAACGCGTTGAAACCATCAAGTATCCAGAAGTGGTTCCTTATGAGCTCTTGGACAAACAGCCCAAACAGTATGTATCTGTTGCCCAATGACACCTGAGATGTATCTAACGGAATCTGCAGTGTCAAAGCTACCATGAAACCTTATCAGTTGTCTGGCCTTTCGTACCTGCTCTGGCTCTACAGGAACGGTGCTTCTGGCATCTTAGGTGATGAGATGGGTCTTGGTATGTTTCCTCCCGCTCCGTAGCCCCGACTATTCGGACGCTTACATGAAGTACAGGCAAGACTCTGCAGACACTGTCTCTGTTCTCGTACCTTACCACCTACGAGCCGGTGCCCGCAGGACATCAGCGTCCGTTCTTGGTAGTTTGCCCACTCTCGGTGCTTTCTTCCTGGATAGCGGAGTGCAAGAAATGGACTCCTCATTTGCGTGTCCTGCGCTTTCACGGACCTACTACAGAGCGTGCGAGACTCAAGAAGGTGGCCGAGACCGGTGAGCTATTCGGTGCAGACGATTCCGAAGGCGAAGGACGCGGATACGATGTCGTTGTAACCAGCTACGAGGTCTTTGAGCGTGAGAAGGCTTGGTTTCGCCGTGCGTTTGTCTGGCGTTATGTTGCTTTGGATGAAGGACACAAGATCAAAAATGACAAGACGAACATCGCATTGGCGCTGCAGGGACTCGCCGCCGAATATCGCTTGATCTTGACCGGAACGCCTCTCCAGAATAACCTCACCGAGCTTTGGGCACTGCTTCACTGGTTGTACCCGGATGTCTTCACGGAACAGACGATGAAACTGTTCAGCGATGCTTTCGACCTAACTCTCGGCAAGAATGATCTCAGTGTCATGGACAACGCTCGGAAGCTCCTCGAGTTGGTCATGCTTCGTCGTATGAAAGAGAGCATCGGAGTTAATCTTGGACTGCCCACGAAGACGGAAGTGATCATGTTCCTGCCTCTGACACCCATGCAGAGATTCTGGTACAAGCGACTCCTGACCAGGCTCGACAAGGGACTTCTCGAGGGTGTTTTTGCAAACTCAAAGGAGAAAGTGCAACAGGATCCTATCAAGACCGAAGATGGGATCAGGGGCGAGCACATCGTCAACGATCAGGAGTTGGAAGAGCTTGAGATCGACCAGTGGGGCGACACCAAGAAGATCGTTGAGCAGGCTGTGGCGGAGAGCACTTCATCGGACGGAAAGTGGAGAAAACTCATGAATCTATTGATGCAGCTACGCAAGGTATGCCCCTCCCGGGTGAAGTTCTTTTTACTGTTTCATGCTCACATGCTTCTAGTGCTGCGATCACCCGTACCTTCTCCCCAATGCAGAACCCGAGAGCGTGGCGGATCACTCCGCTACGATCATGTTGGCGTCGTCGAAAATGATCTTCCTCGATAAGCTCATCGACGAGCTTTGCATGAACCAAGGGAAGAAGGTTCTGATCTTCTCAGGGTTCACCAAGATGCTCGACGTCTGCGAAGATTTCTTGCATCTCAAGGGAGGCGATGGCAGCAAGTTCAAGTTTGGTCGACTAGATGGCACCACACCGAGAGCCAGACGAAACCTCGGAATCAGACTTTTTAATAATGACCCCAATTATAAGGTTATGTTGATTTCGACTCGCGCCGGAGGACTGGGTATCAACCTGGCGAGTGCGTCTGATGTGGTCATGTTGGAGTCCGACTGGAACCCGCAGGCCGATCTTCAAGCGCAGGCCCGTGCCCACAGAATCGGCCAGGTGAATCCGGTTACCATCTACCGTCTGATCACTCAGGGTACGGTGGAAGAGCAGATGATGGGCCGCATCCGGAAGAAGCTGTACCTCTCGGCGAAGGTCACCGAAGCAATGCGTGATATTCACACGCAGACTTCATCCGCTGGTCTCAACGGCGACACCGAAGACAATCTCCCCACGCTGTCGACCAACCAGCTGATGGCTCTTGTTCGCTCTGGTTCTCGTGCCATTGCAAGGCCTGAGATCGACCCCACGGAGATGCTGCAATGGGATTGGGAGACTACCATCCAGAAGTGCCGTGACTATCAAGAGAAGATGGAGACCGAGAACAAGGAGGGTATCAGCGATGAAACGGCTGAAGAAGAGCGTCGTTGGCTTTCCGAGATGGAGCGTGTCGAGACCCGCGTTTTCGAAGGAAAACGACACGAGAAATCGACCGATTCCAACAAGGACATCGCGAAGGACTGGGCTCGTTCTGACAGGCGCATGGGCATGGAACGTGTTGTCATGGTTGATGGTCACCCCGTCTTGAAGGAGACTATCGGTAACGACACTTGGGAAGCCGTTGCCACGTTCGCCGGTAAAGACCCTAGACTTGCGGAGCCTCCCAAGCGCAAGAGGAAGGCTATCGAGCACCAGGACTACTGTCAGATTTGCTTTAATGGAGGAACTCTACACACGTGTTCTGGCTGCCCCAGGGTATATCATGACGGATGTCTTCCCGAAGACTTTCAGCCTAGGCTTAAGGGTAGTAAGGTCGGACATTTCTACTGCCCTCAGCACGAATGTGTCGAGTGTCAGCAGAAGACAGGTATTACCCACTTCCTTTCCGCATACAGTTACAATCGCTAATCAGAATTTCATAGTTAACGCCGGAGGTCTCATCTTCCGTTGCCGTTGGTGTGAGAATGGATACTGTGAGGACTGTCTGAACTGGGAGCAGACCGAATTGATCGGAGAGAGCCTTCCCGAGCTCGATCTTCTCAACTTCGGCCCCATCGAGCAGGCGTTCTGGATTAAGTGTGAACACTGCATCCATCTCCACACGTACGACATCGACTCTAAGGCGCTTTGCGAGGAGAAAGTCAAGGCCTGGGAAGCAGAGAAGGAACGTCGCGATGCCGCCCCGCCGGAACTCACCATGGATGGCACTACCGTCCAGGGAAGCGAGGTCGCCACCCCGGTCGACGAGATGCCCGCCCTATTCATGGAGGATGAAACCGCCGGCAAGAAGCGCAGGAGGAAGACTGTCGACTCGTATGCGCCCCCGAAGTCCGCCAAGAAGGCTAAGACCGCGAAGACCCCGAAGAAGGCCAAGGCCCAGTAGCAGACCGCCACCGGCAACGGCGTTACTAACACGCTCACTTAGATTAGATCAGCACGACTCATACGGGGGGAGGGTACTACGGGACTCTTCTTTTTCTAGATTCTAATTCTGTTCTGGGGGTCTCTTTTTTCTTTTCTTTAGGAGCCGGTTGCTTTTCTCTGGTAATGGGTAAAAAAAGGGTTGGTGTGGTTGCTTGCTGTTGTGTTGTTCCTGTTCCCTTCCTATCTTTCCTAGGTTGGGTGTGTTCTTTTGTGTGTTCTGTTTTTTTTTGTTTTTTTTTGCTGTATGCTTTACCTAGAGGTCTTTTTGTAAACTTCGAATGAGTTTTCTGCAATTGGTTGGTTTTCGAGGATTTGATCGGGCGACGGGGATGACGACGGACGACGACGAAGGGTATTTGTACTGGGCTCGATGTGATGTATCTACTTCTTTTTCGCAGAGATTACTTCAGAGATTACTTGGTACCTACTCTACGGTACTGGTTACTGGCCCGACGGTTCGGGGGCTTTCGTTGTATCATTGAACAGTTGGAACTTGGCAGTTGGCAACTCATCCCAAGGCCCCTTGACTGGTTCAGGGAATCTGTAGTTGTAGCTGTAGTCGGGTTGTGCGGCGCGCCTATCTCCCGTCGATACAAGTCCTCACGAGTCACACTTCCAGCGAATCGATGCCATTGTTCTTTGGATATGGTGCTACTAGAGACCTGAGACTCACTCTCAGAAGTATCAAGTATGTAGGTTCTCAGTGATCAGTGCTCACGAAGTGGACACTGGACAGCCTACGGGCTACAGGTATTTACGGCACCCGCACCAAAGCCGCCGATACCATCATACAACGAAATCACGAAGTCACAATGCCTTGCAATTACGGCGTATGGGTATTCGGACATGCGGCGGCCACACGCCTAAGAATCCAACCAAATCCCCCATGAATCATGATCCAGCAGTGCCCACTACCCACAGGCCCACAACAGCGCTTTCAACTTTTTTTCAACTTTTCCCCCGACTACAGAGATTGTGAGTCGTGGCCCAGCACTGGCATTCCGGTATTTGGTGTTCGGCCTATGATAAGGCGAGGTCGAGATGACGAGGTGACGAGGTCATTATTCGTCCAAGACTTAAGACGAAAGACGAAAGACGAAAGACGAAAGAGAGCACGGCGGATCTGAGTACAAGGTATGTGCTGCAGTCTGCAGAAGGTCAAGGTTGAAGGTCAAGGTTGGAGGGATGGGCTCGTTCGTGATTCCGCTGGTTGACAGTTGTGATACTCGTCGATAGCTCGCGCCATAGTCTAGATAGGCTGCATGCGAAATAAAGCAGGAAGATCTGTCTCTCTCTCTCGTAGATAGCTCGGAAGGCGGACGTTGGATTGCATTGCAATGGAAGGGGGTGGCCAGGCTACGGCTTTACTGTACAGGCAATAGATGCGTTGGATTGCCGGTCAGCGGTACTTGCTAAGGAATAATTCCATATGTGAAGAATTTTGAGCCAGTAAAGTGTCTACCTAGGTTGATACAATCGAGAGGATGAGATACATGTGAAAATATGCATACCTTAATCGCGTGCCATTGTGGTGCCAAAATATGAACGATCAATAAGCTCAGAACCGACAAGAGAAGGGAAACAACTTGAATCTTGCAGGACAAAAAGGCGTAACATCCCATGAAGAATCAACCGAGAAAACCCCCAGGAAGCCCATGAAACCTCCTACTGCATTTCGCAGGGCCACGACATGTCCTACAAGTTACAACTCCATCCACCTATTCCCCTCCACCGCCCCCTCCCTTAGCACCTGCTCCCTCACGCTCCTCCCCATCCCGTTCCGCTCATACGCCTCCCTCACCTGCCTGACTAGATCCTCGGGCCTACTCCCGCCCTCACACTGTTTCCACACGCCGCCATCCCTAACACACACCGTCCTCCCCGCCACCCTGACCGTACAACTCGTTTTCACCCCCGTCTCCTGCGTGCGGCGCACACTCTCATGCAGCAACTGCTGCCCGCCCCCTGGTCCCAGGTCACTAACGCAGGCATTGAGCTCCTCAAACCCCCACCCCGCACCCTTCACCCTCTCCGTGCACCCCTTGACAAACCCCTCCTCTGCTACTCGTCCATAGTCGTCAAAGAGACACGTCGTGAACCCCCAGTACCTCTCGACGGGCGCGGGCATGGGCGGCGTCGACAGCGCGGCGCCGCACAGGTGCAGCATGTCGCCGAGACATTCTGAAGGCCCGTGGGGACACGATATACCACCGCCTGACGCGGCGGTGCCGATGAAGGTCAGTCGGAGCGTGGAGATGTTGAGCAGGGAGGGGAGTGCCGGGGTGATCAGTGAGCGGAGGCAGGAGACGGCGTCGGGACATTGCGACATTAGGTGCAGCTCTATGGGCACGGGCGCGGGCGTGGCGGCGAGGGCCAAGAGGGCCAAGAGGGGGAGGGTGAGGAGCGTGGGGAGCTTCATCTTGGTTGGTTGGGTTGGTGATCGGGCTGTGGAGGTGGTGTGAGAGGCGGAGGAAATGATGGGAGAGGATGAGAGGTGGTGCAGGCGGGAGGTTGGAGGTTGGGCTGTATGACGTAGCCGGGGTCAGTCCCGATCCACGGGTCTTTTTGCACCACTGTCGGGACTTTCAATGGTACACAAAAATGTGAAGATACTCTGACTACTTGGACATTTTACGAATGCTAGACAGCAGGTCCTTAAGAAATGGCACAGCTGCGATCAAGAAAGCCCGACAGCAACCGTCGTGAATCGCGATTCTTCACGTGACACGAGCTCTACTAGTCAGTAGAGTAGCTGTCCCTGGTACCGGTCAGGGATCCAGGGACCATAGATAAGCTCAAGCTATCGCCCCACCAGCAACCCCTCATCGCCCCATCTCTCCCTGATCCACCACAAAAATGACCACCACGATCACGACCATCTCGCCCATCAGCGGCGCTGCCATCCTGACCCGATCGGGAGTCACCGAATCCGACTTCCCGCCCATCCTCGCCACCGCACAAAAAGCCTTCTCGACCTTCCGCCACACGCACCCTCTAGCGGCACGACAGCAAATCGTCAAGAAGGCCCTACAGATTCTGGCAAGCAGGTCAGATGAGCTCGGAAAGGAGATTACAGAGCAGATGGGACGGCCGATTGCCTACACGCCGAAGGAGGTCGCCACTGCGGTGAAGCGCGGAGAGTACTTGCTTAAGGTGTCGGGCGAGGCGTTGAAGGATACCCCCGGAGAGGTGGAGGAGGGCTTTAAGAGGTGGATTCGGAAGGAACCGCTGGGGGTTGTGCTGGTTGTTTTTGCGTGGAATGTGAGTTCTCGTTGAGCTTGTGAGGGGTGAGAGGGATTGCGGACTGACAGTGGAATGGTAGTATCCGTACTTGATCCTTGTCAACTCCCTTATCCCCGCGTTGCTGGCGGGAAACACACTGCTGCTCAAGCCCTCGCCGCAGACTCCAACGATCGCGGAGCACATGGTTTCGATCTTCGAGGAAGCGGGGCTTCCCTCGGGCGTGCTGCAGACAGTGCACTGCGGCGACCTCCCTACGCTATCCAAACTCGTCGCGCGCCCGGAAATCGCATCAATAGCGTTTACCGGCTCGGTGGCGGGCGGACTCGCAATCCAGCAAGCGGCATCCAGCCGGATCGTCCCCGTCGGCCTCGAGCTCGGCGGCAACGACCCGGCCTACATCCGCGCAGACGTCGACGTCGCCTGGGCCGCCGCCGAAATCGTCGACGGCGCCGTCTTCAACTCTGGTCAAAGCTGCTGCTCGATCGAGCGCGTGTACGTGCACGCCGACATCTACAACCAGTTCCTTGCCGAGGTCGTCAATGTCCTCGAGGGCTACAAACTCGGCGACCCCCTGGACGCAGCCACGCACCTGGGCCCCGTCGTGTCCGCCCGCAGCGCGTCCACAATCGCCGAGCACGTCGCCGACGCCCTCGCCAACGGCGCGCGCCTCCTCACACCAGACGTCTTCTCTGCCGGCCAGGCCCTCGGCCAAACCTTCGTCCGCCCCGAGCTCCTCGCCGACTGCACCCCCAGCATGCGCGTCATGCGCGAGGAAACCTTCGGTCCACTCATCCCGGTGCAAAAAGTCGCGTCGGACGCGGAGGCAGTCGCTCTAATGAACGATTCCTCGCTCGGCCTGACCGCGAGCGTCTGGACTAGCGACCTGGCCACGGGCGAGGAGCTGCTGCATTTGATCGAGGCGGGCACCGTGTTTGTTAACAGATGCGATTATCCCTCGCCGGATTTGGCGTGGACGGGCTGGAAGGATTCGGGAAGGGGGGTTACGCTGAGTAGGTTCGGCTTTGAGCAGTTTGTTAGGCTCAAGAGTTTTCATCTCAAGGATTATCCGAAGTAAATGGGGCGGATGGGGATGTGGATGGGGATGGGCCCAGGGCTGAGGGGATGGGGGACGGAGGGGGGTGTATTTGTAGATAAGGGGTGCTACGTAAAATGACTCAATGAGATTGTTTTGCTCTTACAGGCCGGGTTGTGAAGACTACGGTATTCTTGAGAGCTGCATTCCCAAATCTGAACTTGCCTTCTACAATACTTCCCAGCTGCAGGATGAGTCCGCAAGCCTTGCGTCCAGTGCCTTCGATAGTCCAGTCCGTCCGTCCGTCTTTCGACAAAAGTCGGACTGAACTGAGGGGTTCAGTCCGTCCGGAAGTCTGCGTTGACTGGACTGGACTGGACAGTCTGTGCAACTGTTAGGGCTGGAGTCGCTGGACGGACTGCAGTCGACTGGACAGACTGGACTGGCACTTTGAATAGAAAATGTTCGAAATCAGCAATGAACTTTGTGTACACGTCTATAGTACAAGCTGTACAGCTATTGCAGATCATCCTCGTGCAGTGCATTGAGGATAGGTAGTCTCCTTCTGCTTAATATCGCCCTTTGTAAAAGCTACAAGACCATCTCGTTGCCAGCTTTGAGAGTCGAGACATTCCAGCGCCTCCAGCACCACCAGTACACCCGGGCCGTCACCCATCCCGCAGCAGCGACGATGAGAGAGACTAATTTTCGCCGCACTAAAAACTCGCTCCGGCTCTGCACTCGTGGTGGGAATACATACTCAAATATTCGAGGGCCATTCTGGCAAGATCTTTCCAGCGAGGTTCATGTGATAGGTTCTAAGAAAGAGTGCTGCCCGCTAGCCACATAACTAGGTCGACCTAAAAATTTCAGAAAGTGGCAGTCTGTCAGTCGACTGTACTAATAGTCGACTGCAGCCCAGGGCGGCAAATCTTTGGGACGGACTGAAGGCAAACCGTCCTCTAATTTTATGGACTGGACTGGCCTGGTGCAGTCCGGACTGGACGGACTAACGTCCGGATTGAACTATCGAGAGCACTGGATTCCTGGCTGACTGCCAAGGATAATCAGCATGGCTGCAGGAAGATCGCGGTTGGTCGGAATTTAGACGGACGTTCCGGGCAAGAGTGATCACTCATGAGTTGGTTCAACCGAAAGTCACGATTCACGCACGTTGTTGGGAAGATGGTGCACGTTTATTAAGCTAAGATGTGATGGCAAAGCAGAAAAAGAAGTCGATAGTAAGTAATTTAGGTAGGTAGGTAAATACGGGCATAAGTGGTGATATAAGTACACGGTTTCAAAATCTTCCAGAACTTCATGTGATAGAAATCGGAAATATAACTTCAGATATCGCCGCCACTGCCGTCCCCAAGATATGGTCGTGGTAAGCAAGCGTCCCAAATATGCATTACATTTCTGTCGTTCAGCTCGTCTGTGGACACTGGTCAGCAAATCCAGAGGGTGATGCTAAACCTGGGCAATGGTGAGCGCGTGCATCAATCATCTACGTGACATGGTGAGTCTCCTGAGTCCTGATATCCTCGAGAAACCTGGTGACGTCCGTTTTCTCACTCTGAGTAGCAATGAGGCCATAGACGAGGTGAATAGCGAAGTCGACGTCGGCTCCATTGTCGACAAGTAATATAGCGGCCTCCCTGGCCCCTTGCTGCATCCTTACCACTTCCGCCTCGCGCTCCTCGTCCGGAATCTTCGCGAGACCGCTCCTCGAGAGCCCCATGACCGCTGTCCTCGCCGCGACGACGAGCGCAGTCTTTGGCTGATCCCGCTTCGCATGGGAGAGCGAGTCGACCTCTGCCTCGTGTCGCAGGAGCACACGGATGACGCCGACGTGCCCGCGATGCGCGGCGACATGCAGCGGGCGCCAGTTGTTTGGGCGGCCCTCGACGTCGGCGCCCGCTCGCAGCATCATCTCGACGATGTGGGGGTTCCCAGCCGCGACTGTGGGCCTTAGGAACCACGTCAACGCGTCGGCGTCGACGTCCTCGCGCGAGATGAACACGGAGAGGATCGAGATGTAGCCCTGTTCCATGGCGAACTCGAACAATCCCGAGGCGTGCGAGAACCAGTTGCCGGCATCCTGCGCGTCCATGGCGTCCAGCAGGAAGACGGTGAGCGCGGCGTGCTCGTGGCACACGGCACAGCCGAGCGGCGTCAGATTTTCCATGTATTCGCGGGTTGCGTCGAGCTTCCCGCCCAAGTGCCGGCGGAGTGGGCTGGTTAGGTGGAAGGCCACGTGCGGATCTGCGCCGTACTGCACGAGGAGCCGGCATAGTGGGAGGTTTCCGGCGAGTGCGGCGATGTGCAGCGGGGTTATTGCGCGGATATCACATGGTGCGGACACAAAGAGATTGGGAATCGCACCGGCGGAGAGGAGCGTGGTTGCGAGGGTGAGGTTGCTGGTGGATGCCGCATGGAGAAGCGCCGAGACACCGCCGTCGTCTGAGATCGCGCGGCGGTGGAACTTCTGGGTGAGGCAATGGTAGAGCGTACGGTTTGCGAAGAGGAGAGATGCGAAGGATTCGATCTCAAGATGATCGGTGACCATGAATACCAGCTCCGTAGCGATAGTGTCGAGCGCCATGTCGAGGTGGGGGGAAGAGGTTAGGTTAGTAGATAAGGTAAGCTCAGGTATTAGACTTGATGGAGGTTGAGGGCGGCTATAGTGACTGCTGTCATTGAAAGCTCTCGGGATGACTCATCTGTGCGCTTCGCATTGGCAAATCACATCAGACGTCCGCAGCATGGGTTTCCACTCGTCATAAGTGTAGGGACAACCTTGAATAGGCATAGAGCATCCTCCGCTAGGTCTATCTCACGTATCCCACCCACGAAAACCTCCACCCACGAAAACCTCCGCAATCCCACTCTATTTTATTCGTGATTCCGCTTGCAGCTCTCATTTCGCCCCCTAAACATGCGCCGGAATCACCCCCACACAACAGCTAGACAATATGAACTTTTTTTTATATCCCCGACCGTCCCTCATTCACCAACGTGGCACATGACTTTGTCCATTCTACCATTGGCCCTCTTTTTGCCCGGGAGACGTGGAAGATCCAGCTTGGCGATCAGCAACCCAGCTACTAGGGACATCGCGAAGATGAAGACGAAACACAACTGTAGCGCGGAGTTGTAGGAATCGGTTACTGTGTTCCGTTAGTCACGAGATGTGGGAGATCTGGATGGAGGGAATACCTTGACGCAACTGCTCCCCCTTCAGGTGGAAGATGCTCTGCACGCTTGTTCTCGCCCTCTCGATGACCTCTTCCCTATCAACACCCGTAACATTCTCATTCAAGAAGACGAGCAAGAAGTTCTGGACGATCAGCGAACTCATGGCAACGCCCATCACTCCACCGAGTGAGCGCAGCATGATCAGCGTCGACGTCACAACCGCCTGATCCGTCTGCGTGCTCATCGCCAGGATTCCTAGGAGTGCACTCGGGAAGACGAAACCACTGCCGAAATGGCAAGGCACAAGGAAGAAGAAATATGCCCACGATGGCAGTTCGCGGGGTATAATGGTGTATAGGAAGCAACCGACCACCATCAGAATGCCACCGATGTAGAAGGTCAAGTCGAAGCGCTGGATGCGGGTGATTATGAGACCGGTCACGACCCCGGATGCGGAGTTCATTATTGCGGGGATCAGAAGGCGGCTTCCAGCTTGCGTAGCACTCTCGAGGCGGACGGCTTGGAAGTAAAGGGGGAGGTTGAACAGGACCTTGTTTGTCAGCTGAAAATTGTACTCGATGGGGGAAGGACGGGGCTTCAGCTTACAGCATTGATGATAGCCATGCTGAAGAAGTTGTTGAATATTATCAGTCCCCGCGAAGATGCCAGAAGTTTCAATGGCATGACAGGCGAGATGGCCTTGGCCTCTGTACGCACTAGGAGGTTCGCCAGAACGAGCCCAATGCATAGCGAGGCGAGAATCTTCCAATCGCTCCACGGCAGTACATTCCCTCCTAGGTTCATGCCGAGGATCAAGAACATCAGCCCAGTCGTCAGATAGAATGAGCCCGCGAAGTCAAAGTCCTTGAAGCGATCCCACAGGGCTGTAGCCGAATCTGCTTTGTCCCGCGATGGCATCGTCACGAAGAGAACTATCACGCAAATGACGCCGAAGGGAACCTGTAGCCCGAATGTCGCTCGCCATCCCCAGGCATCGGCGATTGCACCACCAGTTGCGGCACCGAGGACTCCACCAAGACCCCAAGCGAGGTTATTGATGCTCTGGTATGTCCCACGAATCTCAATCGGCAGAAGATCACTAAGAACGATTGCGCCCCTGCATCACCCAATGTCAGTCTCCGCAATTCGACCATACAGATAGACGAGACTATTCACATCGTCATCATCCCCCCAGCTCCAAGCCCACACACTGCTCTCGCCGCGATGAAACTGTAGATGTTCTGCGCACGAGCACACCACAGAGTTGAAATGGTGAATACGAGGCACGAGAATATGAACGGCGGTTTTCGACCAAGCACGTCGCTCAACCTTCCGTACAGCGGCTGGAAACTTGTCGCCGTCAGAAGGAAGGATGTGGACAACCAGGAGGCAAGCTCCGAAGCCTTGAAATCCGATGTGACAGAGGTGTGAGTTGACGCCATGATAGTGCCATCGAAAGCCCCGAGGAAGTTAGCAAGGAGGATTCCTGCATTATCTCATCAGCACTCAAGATTCCTATGTACTCATATGTATGTATGTATGTAGCGCAGGAAATTCACCACAGAAGATGACCCAGAACTGGCCCTTGCTGATGCCGCCGTGGAAGCTCATCTCGCTCGTCTCGCCGTCCCCGTTCACGGAACCAGGACGATACCTGAGCGTGTCATCCCTAGGCAGTGTCGTATCACCGTTCTCATCCGGCGAACACGCAATCGGAGGAATTGCCTCGACCTCGATTCCGATAGGAGGTGCACCGGTTATCGACAGCACAGACAAGAGCTCACTGTGCTCATCTCCGTGTGCAATGGTGCCGGCTGGACTCTCGTCAGTGTGCCGTGGTGATTGGAATCTGTTTGAGGACAATAGCAAGGGCGTGTTCTCGGATGATGCCTCGTCGTCTCGAGACGTGATGCTGCTTGAATGGGTGCTCCTCGTAGTGGCCGGCACTGACAGAGAGCCGTAGCTCGCCATCGTGACGGTGCTCTTGATTCTGCTGGTGGTCCTGAACCCGATGGACGGAGGGAGGAGGGAGGAGAGAGGAAAGAGGAGGGAGTGGGAGGAAGTGGGTGACTGTCAAAACACCACCACACACAGCTGCAATCACAACTATTTTGAGAAAGACCAACAACGAAGCACAGGCAAAGACCAGCTGCAGAGAAGTACAAACAAAAGTAAATGGGGTCTTAAGAAAGGACTTAAATGAACCTAAGTCGCAACAGAGGAAAGAGAATGGAAGACGATAGTGACTTCCTTCAGTCTCAGCACACCCGGACGAATACGAGCTGATATTTGTACCCTACGTCCATCTGCCCTTCATCCCAACAAGGATTTATCTGGCCCCACATGCGGGGTGCATTCACTGCTGGTAGGTAAAGATTTGGCTATCTCTCCCAGAGACACTTTCCTGGTGTAACAAGCATGGGAATAAAAGTTGTGGGAAAGTACTAGATCTCTTGGCCGGCCGCAGACGCAAATGTGCGTGCGCGGATACATGAGTGAGGAAGTAAGTAAGAAGTGGTTGTGTAGACGGGGTATGGACGGGACGGAAACGGAAAGGAAAGGGTGCTCGCTTCTTCATGGGTGATCTGCACCACACAGCCAACCGGTCCCACTCGCCTTCAAGTCACTTCGTTCTCCGAGCTTGACTTGACGGAACCTCCGTCGTGGGTCATTCCACTCTGATAGGTATCACAGCTCGTGAGAAAACCCGTCCTTTGCAACTCTTCCCTCCCTCCTCCACCGCTCCCCTCGGAGACTCTTCATGATTTCACGAGCAAGGAGCTACTACGGTATAGTCCGGTAAGTACCTAGGCCCTGCCTGGCCTCCCGGTCTTCCGGCTATCACACCCACACCCACATATCGAGCTTCTCTCCTGCGCGTGTGATCACTCTCCAGATAGAAGCTCGAAGCTGATATCGCTGAAGGGCGGGGAAGCTAGGCCAGCTTCTTACTTAGAGGCATACTTTTACCCCACCGTCAGCCACCCATGCATGAGGCTATGATCCAACGTCGCGCGCACTCGATGATTTCTCGGATTTCAGATGTCCGAGGAAAGTAAGGTGTTGATCGCGGACGCTACTGTGCCGCAACCTGCTCGCGTTCTTTGACTGCATATGATCCTTCGTGCGTTCGAGGGGGACCACCGATATGTACATACGGTCTCGAGCATCGTCGGATATGCGCTGAAATCCGCAGACTCTCCTCGCGAGCCGTGTGCATACATAGGAGATCGGCCCCCCGAAAGCCGGATGGCCAGGCCCGCAGTTGGCGAACCACGGGTAAAGCGTGAGGCGAAAGGGTTGAGTCGTCGGACCCTGAGACATATCGAAGGCCATATGCTCACTTCAAAGTTTTCTATGAGACTCCGAATAGCTTTTCGCAGATCTCCAGTGCCGTGAGCTACCCTCACCCCGCCCTTTTCGCTCCAACAGCGCGGGGTGGTTTGCCCGTTTACCCCCCGTCCCTCACGATGTGCACTTCTCGCGATCCCGGTCGCTTTTTGGCTGGCTGACAAACCCTGAGCCCTCAGCCCTAGTTGATACATAACCGCGCCATATCGCTGCCAGTTCCCACTTGTACGTTTCCAGTTTCCAACGATGGGCCCGAAGGCCGAGGGGCGAATCTCGATGCGGCGATTATTGATTGAGTGACGAGTCCTGGCAACGAAAAAGCTGTGTGAGTCCACAACCGACACGTTTCCCAGGTCTGGTGTGCACTTTCCGTGGGAAACACTCGCTTATCTAGTCCATATCTGTCGGCAATCTGGTTGTGTGATTCGGCTCTGGCAATCTGGCATTGGCACCGACTGGCACTGACTGGCACTGACTGGCACATGAAGATGTATGTATATATGAGGTATGCAGTCCGCCCATCGATCGGTTGGTAGCTGAGAAACATTTAGCCTCTTGTCATTGCTGTCAGGAGATGTATGGGGGAAAGGGGGAGGGAAACGTGGGAGGGAGGGGAGGAGCCTGGTGTCATCTTGTCCGCGTATGTCGGATTGGGAGGGGGCTTGAAGTGTGTTTGGTCTTATGAACGCCGTTAAGCTAGGTATGTCCCTTCAAGAGAGCCTCGAAGTATAGTATGATATAGTGCGTAATCTACCGCTGCGATGTTTCTGTGTTTTGGCGCAAGTTGCAACAGAGGTTTGTTGGAACCGATTGCACAGGCAAAATGTAAACACGACCTGCGGTGCTACACCTGCAAAAAAACATATACTCCACCTATTGGATTTGGTCTCCCGGCTCCTCGCCAACGCCAACGTCAACGTCAAAGTTAATGCCACCGCAAAGTCGAATCCCCGAATCCTTGAATCTTCAGGCAATTCCAAGGCTCCGGGGAGTACGATGCTGGGACTAGGAACGCCAATAAGTACCGGTAGTGCACACAGTCATAGTCACGACCAGCAGCCAGCTCTATGGAAACTTTGAAGTCGGTCGTAACTGGAGTAATTTTTCCATGCATACTTTCCCTAACTTCCCACGATAACTGCCACTGTTCGGATCGGAAGGAGGTATGAAACCAAAAATAAACGACAGAGCATTGATACGGGAATCTACAGAGATCTTGGATGTGGAGTGCATATGATAGAAGTTTCAGATATACCTCACTCGTGGAACCAAGTCACAGCGCTGCGGTTCTTGTATGTAGACAGTAGCACATGTGAAACGTCTCCGATATTCTCTTTCCGCCATCTCTTTCGCCGGGTGCACAACACTCCACTCTTGCCGCAGTTGGAATTCTTCCATGATCACATCCACAAAGAACACACTTGCACTAGAGATACTCTTTCAAGCTCCGACACATACGCATAGCCCCAATTCGTGCCTCCACTTCCATTCCTATCATCCCATCCCACCATACCACATCACATCCCACTCGATCTCGCATCTAACATCCACCAAGATGCTGGTAACTGCGATCCGCTTCTCGAATCCTCACGCCCTCCGGATCGGAAACCGCGCCGGTGCATATCGCGGCTGTCCGCATGCATTTCTCACTCACAGCCACCACCACAAACTGGTGTGCCTCGGTACGCGGTTACGATAAAACGGAGGGTTGATGCATCAATCACACCTGCATTGCGAGCCTTGACGGAACTTTCGGGCGGTATCTCTGCCAGAGCGCGGGTCTGTACCCAGACAGCTTCGGAGGCACCAGCGGTTCGGAGCAGGGAAAGTGGAATACTTGCCCCTCCGGTGTGATCGTCGTGACTATGCATCGGTGCTTGCAGCAGAACCGGTTGTCGGCGCAGGTTCGTCGAACGTCTGGAATGCCACGGAAGGGATGGGAATTGGTGTTTGCCTTCATAAGCAGCTCGTAGTCGTCATCGTCGTCGTCCTCATCGTCCTCGCTGTCCTCGTCGTCATCGTCGTCATCGAAAGGGACCCAAGCGTGGTTTGGTGGGCGAGGTGGAAGAGCGGGGGGGGAACGAGAAGTAGTTTTAGCAGTGGGGCGAGGAGGAAGATCAGGAGGAGGAAGATCAGGAGGAGGAAGATCAGGAGGAGCGAGAGTGGGAGGAGAGGAAGAAGTATTAGTAGTAGGAGGAGGAGGAGGAAGAAGAAGAGGAAAAGGATGAGCGGAGGATATTTTCAAGTGAAACCCCTCGAGCCCAGACTTCAGCCCTTGCACAACCACCTTCCCCTCTCCCAAACATAGCTTCTCCAATCCTTCCACAGCGAAGTGCAGCTTCCCAAGCCCTTTCGAGAATGCCTCTTTAATGCCCAGACGCATGTTGATATCCGCGACTTCTGCTAGGCGGCGATTGATCGGGGACAGCCACCACATCATGTTGATCCTGGTAATGAACTGGCTGCAGTCGACTGGGACTGATCGCCAAATCTTCGGCTTCGACTGATGGATTGCAAGGACGAGCAGGATCTTCGGGGAGTCGCAGACGGGAATGACAGTCACCAAGCCAGCAGCTCTCTTGGCTATTGTTACTGCTGCGATGAATTCGTGCATCGCCCCGCAGAGCACAATCATTGTCTGGTTGGGCTGTAGAACCATGTCAATCATGCTACCGGAGGAAATTTGGTCAGTAAAGGTAGCGGACGGCACGCAGGGCGGACTCTTACCTGTCAGACGAACGAGGAGCAGGAGCAGTAGAAACCTCTATTTCCACGAATCTATCCAAGGGTTTTGACATGGTGAGTTGCGGTGTTGTTGATTGACTTGGGTGTTGAGTGCTGGTGTCAAGGTGTCAAGATGTGCTTAGGTGTTGAGTGCCGGTGTCAAGATGTCAAGATGTGCTGTGAATGTAGCTTGTAGGGAGGAGAAGGATGGTTTATCCCAACCAGTCGAGCTTAAATGCCCAAGCAAACCTGGAAGTGTAGCTCCACCTGTCCCAATTTAAGCTTAAAGCTTGCATAACTCTATTCGTTTCGATCTCCGCTGCTCATCGAAAGCTGCACTGCTAGTTTGACACCACAAACAAACACTAGACTATTCAACTGAAATCGTTGACGTGCGAAGGGCGGAGTGATACAAGAAGCAATCGCCAACTACGGATGAATGGCGAGGATGGATGGCGAGCTGTAGAAATGAATGGTGGCCAATCGGAATGACCTAGATTGATTTGGAAGATAAACTCATTCTAGTATGGATTTGGAACAACATATAGACTTTTTTTTTCTTGCTGAGCAATATGCAGACGAATACATATATGTGGCATCACTGGATAGCCTTCAGCGCTCGGACCCTTACAGAGGAAAGGTATCAATCAATTCACATGTAGACAAAGATCACCTATGTACAGTCATCCACCTTCTAGGCTGACTTCCTGTGCATCACGCCCGCACCTGCCTGGTGGCTTGGAAACACCAGTGTATCAGCCACGACAACATTCTCCTTCCTGCCAGCCACAAAAACCACGACCTCAGCAATGTCCTCAGCTGTCAGCGGATCCACGTCGCTATTCACTCGTTAGCCATGCGTCATTCGTCATCCTATGTACTTGAGGGAGCTTACGCATAGACAGCGTCGGCTTTCGCCTTGTCCCCACGGAACCTAACAACCGAGAACTCCGTCTCGACTTGTCCTGGGTCCACGACCATCACACGGATCTTCGTGGCGATCAACTCTTTCCTCAGGGAGTCCGAGAACGCACGGACGGCAGCCTTAGTAGCGCAGTATATTGATCCGCCAGCGTAGGGATCACGGCCGGCGATGGAGCCGATATTGATGATATCGCCCTTTCCGCCGCGTGCGTGGAAGATCTTCACGATTTGCTGGGTCAACTGCGCCGGGGGATATCTTTTAGTATGCGACGTGCAGAACCAAAGTGAGGACAGACGTACGCCGATGAGCCCGATCACGTTTGTAGTCATCATGATGTTCACGTCCTCCTCCGCGATCTCGCCGACTTTGTCCAAGCCCTTGACCAAACCGCTGCGACATGGAAACATTAGCACTGCCCCCCATACCAGCCCCATCCATAGGCTAGAAGACGTACGCATTATTAACCAAAACATCGATCGCTCTCCACTCCTCGGGCAATCCCTCTACAAAGCTGGCGACTTCCTTTGGATCCGAAACATCAAACTTCACCGGCAAGACCTTCGTACGTCCCTTACTCTCCTCCTCGATCTGTGCCGCCACCTCCTTCAGCGTATCGATCCTCCGTGCCGTCAGAATAAGCTTGATATCCGGCGCGGTCCTTGAGAACTCGAACGCGGTAGCCCGGCCGATCCCGGACGAAGCGCCGGTAATCAACACTGTCTTGCCGGAGAGACGGGTTCCCATAGCCGAAAGCGACATTGCGCGGAGGTGTGTAATGTTGTGAGTGAGGGTGCGTGTGATGAAGCGACGGAGCATGAGATGGAGAGCGAAAGATAACTTGTAAATGGTTTTACGATCACCCCTGGGTACTTTGTTGCGCGTGGGGTTGATAGGATGACGTGCGTGCGCTTTTGGTGGGGCGCCGAGCGTCGGCCCTTCGGCATTTGAGTCGCGACAAGCGAGGCGGGGGTTCGGCGTAAATAGCCTTTTTTGTTTGGGAGCTCATTAATTGCTTTTCGGCGTCAATAGCGTGCGTGCTGATTGGCCAACGAGAGTATGTACGAGTGATGGCCTTTGTAACAGCGAACCTGATGGGAACTGGAAGCAATGAACGGGTAGCTGGACTTGGTGGAAGCGCTGTTGATTTATCGTCGAACAAATCACGCCTAGATTCGCCTCCGAGAATCTTTTTTTATTTTTAGACTACATCCGAGTGCACTCATAAACCGGGTCGACTTCTTCGGCTCCCTCGGTGGACATCTGGGAACGGACCAGAACCAGCTGCGCATCCAGATTGCTGGGCGGTCCCATGCAATAATATGTAGTCATAGCGTATCACTCACAGATGTCTGATCTTTTCCAGAAATGCCTGGCCCAGCCCAACATAAGGCCGTCATACCGAGCCAGCGATCCGGAGGACTGTGGATAGGATGGGGAGGAAGGTGTACGCCGTCAGAGGTAATATCTGTGGTTTAAATACGACCATGATCAACCAAAACAACACAGACTGAAATCATCTTCAATACCCCTGGATTGCGTTGAATATCCTATTGCCCAGACTCAGCAGCCTCCCCCCTCACGAAATTCTCTTGGGAGCTCGATGGTGGTGGTGGTTGTGGCGGTGGAGGTGGGTATATACGAACACATCTGTTCGTCGGGCATACAGAATACCTACTCCTTTCGAATCACCAGCGCTGCAGCTAGAAAACAGCAAGTTTTCTCCATAGAACCACCCGCCCCCCATTTACATCCATTGATCTATCCATCTGTCTTCTGCCGCTGCACATATCCGCATCGACTCGACCGATGTTTCTAGCGATCTGTCGCCAGCCATGGCTTTTTGGGCCGTGAAATTAATCACCATATATCCGGTCTGTGGATCAGGGGCACATAGGAATAATACGCAGCACGGTACATACGAGGCCTTTGTCTCCCCCAGCCAGGTGTATCTGTCGATCATGGCTGTGGTTGTAATCATGGTGGTGGTGGTTATGATAGTTGTGGTGGCTAAATAATACAAATTTGCAAATGAAACAAAAAGATCCCGAAGGCAGGTTTCAGGCTGGATTCGGTATGGGCTTAGGATGCAGAATCTGTATATATTTCTACATACAAAGTGAAGGACGGTGAGAGTAAAGCATCCTACCGCCCTAATTCAATGGAGTGCTAGATTTCTGAAAAGATGCGGCCTTTCATGCAGGACCTGAGAACGAATAATCTTCCACGCATGGCCGAAGAATAAGCTGGCTCTTCATCCGGCGAAGAAAGATGGCCTATGGCGGGATTGAGATGGGGCTTGAACCATAGTGAGGATAGCGAAAAGAGACGACGACAATCACTTGCTCAATCAGGGGTAGAAACATCATTGATCGCCATGAATGAATCGAGAGATCTAAACAGGGAGCTTTGGATAGCTATAGCTGAGGTGCACGGGCTGAAGAGTGTGTTCTGCTATTGGAACACGGCAAACCGAGCTCGGAAGCCATGTGCGTGCTGGAAAGATGAGCATGCGTGAGACATGTGGATACCTGGCCGGAATAGTTCTTCTGTGCACCACTGGTATAATACCTATTGCGGTCAAACACTGCCATCTTGAGATCCATCACGCTTTCTTTTCGGCGTCGCATTCCTGTCCAGACAGGATATAAACCTCCCAAAATCTCCCCCAAAATCTCCCGGGACAACCCACCGACTTCCACCAACCTAGGTGCCCACATTCATTCTTCCACTCCTTTGTAAAAGCTCAGTCCACGGCCAACTTCTCCGTCACCATGAAGTTCACCGTCATTACCTCTCTCCTTGCTCTCGCCTCAACCCTCGTCCATGTCACTGCCGTCCCACAGCTGGATGACTGGCGCAACCGTGATCGTTGCCCGGACACGTAAGCCCTGATTATCTCGCAGAGATGGGTAGTATTAGTCTGACTGTTAGCAGTACCAAGTGGTTGTGGAAGCACCATACCATGACCCGCAGCTACACCAGGTACATCACTAAGTACAATGGGTACCATACTCGCACGCAGACCGTGACTTCGACGGGGTCGGGAACGACTACGGTCACCATTGTCAGACCTACCACGGCCACTGTCACCCGTACTGGTGATATCAGCACCGTCGTCATGACGAGCACGGTCGAAATCCCAGGCGAGGGAACGACCGTCACCATTCCCGGAACTGACGTCTTCACCGTCACTGTTCCTGGGCCCGGAACCACTTCGACGATTACGTCTAGGCCAATCGTCACCAGTACCGTATTTGTCCCAGTGTCGGGGTCGGGAACTATCAGTACCCTTATATCGACGATCACTGCGCCTGGGACTACCCGCACTATCACCTCGACGATCGCCGGTGAGGGGACGAATCGTACAGTCACTTCGACAATCACCGAGGCGGGGACGACTCGTACCGTCACCTCGACACTCACCAATGAGGGAATGAACCGCACAGTCACTTCGACGATCACCGGGGCGGGGACGACTCGTACCGTCATCTCAATGATCACCCGTGAGGGGACTAATCGTACAGTCACTTCGACGATCAACGGCCCTACCGTCACCCGCACTGTCCTGTCCACGATTTCGATCCCCGGTCTCCCTACTACCGTCACCACGACCATCACCGCCAGCGGAACAGGGTAAGAAACCATCCCCCGATCCCACGTACCCCAGCCCAGCTAACCCGCCCTCAGAGCCAACCCGGACCCCACAGCGACGCCTCCCGTGTGCACGCTCACCTCCGTGATCCGCAACAGCGGCTTCGAGGACTCCTCTGGCAACTCCTCTCCCTGGAACATAATCAGCTCTCAGGGCAACGGGCAGACCGACAACCGAGTAGGCGTGCCCGCCAACCCGACACGCAGCGGCACACGCAGCCTACTCTTCCGTATCCCTCGCTCTGACAACGCAAACAGCTTCATCACCATCGCGCAGAGCGTACGTATGTGCGTCGGCCGCCGCTACAACTTCTCGGCGTGGACGAGGAGCACCAATGCTGAGAGTAGGTGTGCGGCCACGTTCTCGATCGATGGGGTCACCCTCGCGACCTCGGATCCGAACAGCGCGTTGAGGACCTGGACGCAGACTACGGCGGAGTACATGCCAACTGTCGAGTTCCAGCCGGTTAGCGTCCGCGTCGTCTGTCCTGGCACCGCGGACGGGGCCGCCGAGGGCTTCGAAGATTTTTGGTTGGATGATGTGGAGATGACTTTGGCTGCGGAGGAGGATTAGGCTCCGCTTCAACCCGTGAGAGAGCTCGGGAGACGATGGCTACTTGTTTTTTTTTGTCTTTTTGATTTGGATCCATCTGCTTTCTATGGTGCTGGAGCGCCGAACCGTACCTAATATCTGTCATTAAAACATAATGGTTATACCTTTGCCCCTAGGGCGCCGACTCAACAAGTAGTCGCGGACGAAACTCTGTTGAACATGTTGACAGGATTATAATAGACTATCGGCGTCGATTTCCCGGCCGATTACGTCCCGCCAAGTTTAGATCTCCAGCTGTGGAACTTCAGGCCAATCAATAACTGATTATGAAGTTGGTTTTGTGGCAGCTGTCACTCCGGGCCCAACCACTAAAAGCTCAAGATCGTATGCAGGAAGCCGTAGTCATGTACTGTAGATCACCCGGTTGTGCCCACACGTCGGTCATTATGCAGAAAATGTACAACACAGTGGTAGATGTGATGGTTCTAGACCCGTGTAATGATTGGGAGCTCGGACAGATTTGCTTCAGCTCACGTACTCGACGCAAGCTAGTACAGCTGCTGCTATGGCAAGAATACCCCATGTATGACCGACTCCTGAGACCCCCGCTATGTATAACCTTTAAACATTACACACATTATCCGTCAATCTTCAAGTCCTTAATTCCGTGCGTCAATTCTGCCTGTTCAGGTGCCGGAGCAGGAACCTGCTTCTCCTTCACCTCGCTTCCGCCCTGGTGTCTCGCCTCTGTATTCGCCTCTGCCTCGGCCGTTTGAGTCTCGGTTGGCTCATCCATCTCCCCCTCATCAGCGACCCTCTTCCCCTTCGTCTGCCTCTCCACTTCCTCAACCAAACTCTCTACAAACTCCTTATCGGTGCCCACCAGCGTGATGGTATTCCATTTTTGTCCCCATCTCGGATAGCTCCCCACTTTCACCCCTTTCGCCGCAACCCTCTCCTGCAGCTTAGTCAAGAATTCTGCGATGTCACTCTCCACCAATGGCGTCGAGATCAGCACACGCGTCGCCTTCAACTCCTGATCAATCCTTTTATCCTCCAAGAGCACACTCTTCAGTCCCTCCAGCATCTGTACAAAGATCCTCGGGATGCCCGGGAGAACGTGGACATTATGGTTCACTACCGCAATGGGAACCCACAGGTCCTCCGCAACATAGATCACCTTCGTCTTCGGTCCGGACGGCAACATGGCCATGCGCATCCGCGCCGTCAGGGTAGCCGAGGGCGTATCCCAATCGTACGGCGGGGCGTTAGGTCTAGCCTTAACTATCCTCCGCATGCGCTCCGCGGTCTCCTTGTGCAGCTCCAGCGGGGAATCGAAAGCCGCCGCGAGTGCGGGGTAGGTAATATCATCGTGCGTCTACCGTTCCCTCGTCAATCAGCCCCACTCCCCCACCCTCACCCCGACTCAACCTCGGGAATGAAAAACCAACCGGCCCTATTCCGCCCGACGTGACGACGAAATCGTAGTTTGCCGACATCCGGCGCGCGGCTTCGACGATTTCGCTCTCCTCGTCGGAGATAACCTCAATGCGCTTCAGCTCGATGCCGAGGTCGAAACAGTACTTGGCGAAGTACGCGGAGTTCGTGTCGACCGTCTATTCCTCTCGCCTCGTCAGCCCACTGCCATTTCCCCCTCCTCCCCACCACCACACACCTTGCCGTTCAACACCTCATCACCGATAATGAGACACGCCGCGGTCCGGATAGACTTGTTGAATGGGTCTGACATCGTGCGGAGGCTGGAGATTGAGGGGCGGCGGACTAGGTGGTGGGTAACTTGCGAGAGTCGGGAGAGCATCCGATATATGTAAAGATCTCGATGAATGAATGCGCGGTGGTGGGGTGGTGCTGGAGGTGGATTTAGCTATCACGCACTGGGCCACTGCTGCGTCCATTCTTCGGCAGTTCCCGACGGCACTAACAGTTACGGCAGCTTTCCGTCACCATCTTCTTCTTCCTCGGCGCAAATGTTCCGCGACTTTGGGAGAACGCTCACTTCACCGGAAAACTGGTGGCCGAGTCCTCCGGTCAGTCACAATAGAGCTATACAGATTCCATTGGGCCTGATGCGCACAGAAGCGCGCGGAATCGCAGACCGATGGAATTTTTTGGTCGTGGAGCTGTAGTTACTGGGAACACCCCCGGTAGTCAAAGGATTCCCGATCTTTACACTCCTTGACATTGCGAGCGAGATCGCCCTATTATTATGAGAACAAACAGCAACTACCACTGTGAGAATTCGAACCAAAAATCGGTCCGCAAAAGTTCTCCTTTTCGAACTAGTTCCAGGAATGAGTGATTTTAATTGAGGTCACAATGCACTGCCTAGCATGCTGTACTTTACCAATGAAGAGCCCGCAGCTCTACCTAGTACATACCTCACCAGGAATCTTCTTGTTTCCAATCGAATGCAGTGATGATCCCCGAAATGGGTTGTTTACGCCACCAAGAATCACGACTCCGTGGCGCAACGGTAGCGCGTCAGATTCCAGACCTGAAGGCTGCGTGTTCAAATCACGTCGGGGTCACTCATCCTTTTGCCAGCTAGTCCATTTGTTGTTTTTGACTGGTTCTTCGGGCCGGATGTCACGTTGTTCTAACCATTGTTGTCACTACCACCTACATCAAATCCCCCAATCGAAAAAGAATTACAAACAGTATTCATCCAAAGTTCCCTCACTTGGTATCAAGGTATCATCGAACACGACTGAAAAACTGCCAAGCGCCAACCCAACTCCAAAACAAATCCCCTCGGAACTCAGAACCCCTCCCATCTAGTCCCCAGCTTAACCCCCTTCCCCAGGAGAACGGTCCTTATCTCAATTGCACGCTTCCGACAATCCTCCGCAGTGCGATGCTTCAAGACCTGCTGATTGTCGAGCAGTATCTCGTGCCACCTGTCTTTACCCCTGTGCTCGTCCACCCCATCGATGATGGCACCGAGCTCCTTTTCGGTCCACGGTCTCTCTTTGACAAACGGGGCAGGAGCAGGAGCGGGAGCGGGAGCGTCGTAGTGATCCTCTCCTTCATCGACCTCCGCCCAAGCGGCCGCTACCGTGGAAGCCGCCGAGGTGCGGGTGGTGGAGGCAGTTGTCCGGCGGCCCGAAACTTGGAGCTTGGAGGCGATTGTGCGGCGACCCGGCTCTTGGAGGTTGGTGGCCGTTGTTCGCCGACTTGGAACGAGAGGGCTGGGCGCCGTTGTTCGTCGGTTCTCAGCCTGAACGTTGAAAGCTGCTGTCCGCCGGCCTGGGACGGGAAAGCTGGAAGTTGTAGTCCGCCGAGTCGGAATTTGGGCGCTGGGGAGTCTGCTCGCCTTCTGCTGTTTGACATCTTCTATCTCCTCCCGTCTTGCTCGCACCGCCGCATAGTACCTCTCGGTTTGTCTCTGGGCCCGTTTCTGGGCCTCTCTGTGACTCATCTCTTCCTCGAATTTCTCTCTCTCCAAGGCGTACTTGCGTATCTGGGCTTTGGTGGTTCGCCGCTCTTTCGCCTTTTCCATGGATTTGTATTGCATACTTTTGAAAGCCTTTTCGATGACCTCAATGCACGCAGTCTGGCCCTTTGACCGGGCAGACTGGCGGGTGAGCATCTCCGCTATGAAATTCTCATCGGCCATCTGCACCTCCCGCATCACCTTTAGTGTCTTGTCGAGATACTCCAGCGTGGCATCTTTGTTTTTGGTTTTCCCGGCACAAAGGTCGGTAATGATATTGTCGATTTGTGTAAGATAACCTTCCTTGGATACTCGCGAAAGAGTGTTTAAGCCCGAGGAGCGAGTGATGTACTCGTCGATGAGATTCCGCTCGGCTTCGAGGTGCTTTTCCAGTTCTCTGAGACGCTCCAGTGGGTCGGGGAATTCGTCCAGTAGCCCATCAGCTCCTTCGGATTGTAGATGCTCTTCGTATTCCTTGGCTGCGGCATGGGACGTCTTAGCGGAGTTGCGGCAGTTCTTGCGAGGCGCTTTCTGTGGGGGTGAAGAGTGTGCATCACTATCTTCGTCTTCGCTGGGATCCTCCCACCCTCCTTCATCCTCCGGCTCCTCTTCACCAACCAGAGTAGTCTCCTGACCTTCTAGATCTTCCTCGGTAGCTACTTCTGGCGGTGGCGGCGGCGGTGGTGGCTTAGCTAAAGTCTTGCCTTTCGAGCTCCCTTTACTATCCGTTTTCTCTGCAGTTGGCGGCAGTTTCGACGGAGGCTTCAAGTTTTTCGATAGTTTGAGTGGGTGGCTCGTAATACCTTCCCTGTTGGCTTCGTCGCCCGCTTCTTCTTCCTCTTCTTCCTCTTCTTCTTCCTCCTCTTCTTCCTCCCCCTCTTCTTCCTCCTCTTCTTCCTCCTTTTCTTCCTCCTCCTCTTCCTCCTCCTCCTCTTCCTCCTCCTCCTCTTCTTCATCTTCTTCGGTTGGCCGCGACTTCGCCGATGGCTTTGTCGATTTCTTAGGAATACTCGGCGGCGGTGAATTTTCTCGGCGAGAACCTCCCCTAGCACCAAAGAGTCCATTGAGCACATCATCCATATCGCTCTCCCTCCTGTCAGCCTTATCATCCGCGTTACTCTTGCCGCTGAAAATGACTACCGAAACACTGGATTGTCTTCGCTTCTGTCTGGCAGGTGTTTTCGACTGAACGCCCGCCACTGGCTCTGGTGTTTCTTGCGCAGCAGGTATCGCATTACCGGCATCTTCGTCCCCTTTGCCCCGAACCACCGGCTCCATTTCTTCGCCCGTCACCTTCTTCGCCGCCGCCTCCTTCCCCTTCCCCTTCCCTTTTCCCGGTGGCCTTCCGCGCCCTCTCTTTGCCGAGGGATGGGGAGGATCGGAAGGCCCGCCCTCCTGAGCCGCCACATTCTCACTAGGAGGAAGCGCCGTTGAATTCTTTGCCTGCCCGGACCGCAATGTCTCGCTGTGTGCCACAGCAATTCTCTTCCCCTTCGTCGCCTTCTTCCATTTTCTTCCAATTTCCTCTTCCTCTTCCTCTTCCTCTTCCTCTTCCTCCTCTCTATCCGCCGGCGCCTTCTGCGCCGCCGAGTTCTGTGCCTCCTCAGCCCGCGATCTCAAAGTCCCCTTGCCTTTCGCCTCCTTCAGCTTGCTCGCCACCCCGCTCCCGCTCCCGCTTCCCCTCTTCGCGCCCTTCTTGGCCGCAGCTTGTTTCGGCTTCACCATCCGCCGCTTCTTGGGAGGACTCGCCTCGTCGCCGCTTGGGAGGTCGTACACATCGACGCCCCGGACCTTGGACGACTTCCGCGTCTGCACCGCGTGGTCCGACGACGCACGTGCAGCAGCCTCCGCATGCGAGGGGCGGTCGCGCTTTCTTTTAGGCGGTGGCATTGATAGCTCTTCGTCTTTTTCTATTCCTGAGCCGTCAGTGTCGTGGATGGTGATGGTGGCCGTGGCAGTGGTCGTTGGTGGACGTCTGGGTTTCGGCTTGCTAGCCGACATTGCGACGTCGTTGAGTAGCTGGGCCGAGGGCGTGACGGAGCGCAATTCCGAGTCGGAGTTGAACTCGAACGCGAGTGGGGACGAAGTCGTGTTCATCTCGCAAAGAAAAAATCAATTCACGGCCGTCGTACGGAGTGTGCGTTGGTTGTTTGTAACGTGATGGGAGGGAGACGGAACGCGTCCACATGGTGCGGCGGCGGGGGTCCACCGCTCTGTGTGGTTATGCACCCTAACGTACGCGAGAATTAGCGGGTTGGGGGTCCGTGCGTATGTACTCACTACAATTCAACTATGTACGAGTGCATATCGTGAGTACGCACGAAAAACACAACAACAAGAAGGCGAAATATTCTTCTTTTATTCCATGGACTCTAGAGACTTTAGCTGATAACTATCTATCGCACCGGACAAAGAAGGACTTGCACGGCGGTCAAATTGTTGCTGCTCGAACAGTGAGCCAAGCCAACCAGCCAACCGATAGATCGCAGACTGCGAGTCTGCGGCACAGGAGAAACCCGTCAGCACGGCACGTCCAGTCAATTCAGCACTATCCAGCAACAGACTCGCAGCAATACCATCGGTAGCCGGTTGTCATGTTCTACCCAGTGTGCTCGGTAGCCGGTTGTCATGTTCTACCCAGTGTGCTCGGTAGCCAGCCCATAGCCTACCTAGATGGGCTCACTTCTGTGAAATCCAGTAACATTTATATCATGTATATTTCTACCCGCTACCTGCTTCCCCGCTTTCATCTACGTCTACCTATATCTATCTAGATAGACACTCTCTGAACGGAACTTGTTGCTGGAGATGATTCATCTATATACCGAGTGGTCACCCAGCGCTCGGAAACTGAGGTTTTCAAACTGTATTTCAATTTTCTATGGTATACAAAACGCAGCTAACAACCGAGAAGGCCCTTAGTCTTCCTCATCCTCCTCCTGCATCTCCTCCTTGTCTTGTTCCATTTCCTCCTTGTCTTCTTCGTTCTGCTCTTGATCCTGCTCCTGCTCTTGATCCTGCTCCTGCTCTTGATCCTGCTCCTGCTCTTGATCCTGCTCCTCGTCTTGATCCTGCTGCTCATCTTCTTCCTTCTCCTCCTCCTCCCGCTGCGCCTCCCCCTCTTGCGCCTCCGCCTGGCTCTCCTGCTCCTCCCCCCTGACCGCCTCCAAGTCCATCTCCTCGAAGTCCAGCTCCACCGGCCACTGGACGTCGGCCCCAGCAGGCACGGTAATGCCCACAGCCACCACGGCGCTCGGGGCGCGCTTCTTGCCGCCAGGCAGGCGGTAGAAGCGCGCACCCTCGACGAGCGCGGTGTGCCCGCTTCTCCCCATCTCGGGGGGGGGGGGGGGGGCCGAGCCGCACCATGGTGCTGTGCTGGGCTTGAGGGCGTAGGCGTAGGTCTTCGGCCCTTCGGGGCGCGCGCGGACTTGGAGGTCTGCGGGCACCATGTCAGATGCCCGTGCGTGGGATAGGTGTATGGGTTGTGTTGGGTTGGCCCTACCTTGGTGGCCTTGCGGCGGCGGCAGCGCACACGGGGTGCGCTTGCGCTTGCGCAGGTTGTAGTTGTGGCCGGGAATCTCTGAGAATCTCTGAGAGAATCTCTGAGAGAGATCTTCAGTTTATTTCGCATGAAGCCTATCTAGACTACGGCGAAGCCAGGCATCTCTGGTGGTTGCCTATCGTGTTGGCATTCGTTCGTTATTCGCGGATCGCGAGTGAGGATGTGTGATAAGCCGGATCTACTCTACTAGGTATACTTACTCACTTGAGATGGTGGACTCGTGGAAGTTCGACATTCGAATGTGGCGTTGGAGTTGGCGCAGAGAGTTGCGTGAATGTGGGAATGTGAGATGTTTGTGGTGAAGAGAGGAAGAGAGGAAGAGATGTTTGTGGTGAAGAGAAGAAGAGATGAATAGGTGAAGAGGAGAAGAAGAAGAAGAGAAGTGGGTGGGTGGTGGGCGTGGGGTTTTATAGGTAGGCGTGTTTGTTCCGTGCCCCAGCGGCTAAGCTTGAGACCTATCTGATGCGGGCGAGTTTTAATCGCAGATGGTGAGCGCAGGTCTAGTACCTAGTAGTAGCCTCGCGGGGCTACCGGTATTCAACCCCACCGGGCGGCGATAATTGCCGCCTGCAAGTTGCGCCGTCCGGACATCTGATCACATCTTTCCACCGATTGCACAAAGCTTTCTAGAAGGTTCCCTACCATGACGGAGTAAACATCTCCTCCCTGAGCCCCCTCAGCGGGAATTACGCTCAGGGCGAAACCAGCAGCAGGAGCGGCGGCGGCTTCCTGAATTTCCCCCACCTTGGACTTGTGTCTGGAATACTAGCTGAGGATACGCAGGTACTAGGCAGGGGCTTCGTTTCCTTGCTATCACACAATCATACAGACAAATGGGTTATGGATTACGAAGACACGCTTTTGCGAGGGCTCTTTACCAGTAGCCAATGCCTCTCCAGGCCTGACGAGAAAGAAAGCACACAGCACATCGAGAAGAGAGCGGAGATGGGGGGTTGGCCGTCTATTCGATAGGTGATGATCAAGAAAGAAGAAGAAGAAGAAGGAGAAGAAACCTCGCCATGCCAACCACCATTGATGCGCACTACTAACCACAATGCACATTCGTTTTCTCCTGCCGACAGGAGTCCTCTTTCACTTCCTTCTCTCGCCGACAGCTCCTCCATCACTCCACCACAAAGCCGTTTAGTCCGCCATCTGTGGGAAACGACATAAGCTGGATGAGGATATTTCGCACTCTTCAGTGGCTTCCGACCTAGGTAAGTAGCTGCTGGTCACAATCTTTAGACTGGCAGCTCCGATTCGAGTCGTCGCTTCAGTGATTCGTGGTTTCATTCGTATGAAAGACCTGTTCACGACAACTATACGGTTACTCCCCGAGGACGCAATGGCCGCGGCAGGGGCCAGCCAGCTCGGGTTCCAGATCGTATGGCTCTGGATATTTTGCGAGGACGGCTGGGTACCGGTATCCTTCGCCGGGTGAATGAGCAACTTGGTTATAACTTATTCGCAATCCGGAATAGAAGAGTAATATGGTCGGTGCGTAGGATGTATGCATAATTGAAACTCGAGACCCCCCGTGGGCCATCTCCCGTTGTACTTTTTTTCCTTCTTTTCTTCTTTTCTTTTTCGGTTTCATCATAATTCATTATGCATTCGACCTATATATCAAGAACATGGCATACCCGCATTTTGCGTTGCTTTTTTCGCTTTTGTTTTTCGTTTATTCGTACTGCATGGCAAGTCCGAAATCCTGGTCCTGCCCATGCGGTACTTGTTACATTTCCCGTTTCTTAGCGATTGTCGTTTTTCGCCGTGGTGAATACCTGCGAGTGATGCGTCATGCATGGACCTTATCGAGATAAGACGTGGGTCCATACTATACTTGGTTATCCGAAGGTACCATACAACATCAAGGCGATGTCCATCATCCACAAGCGAAGTCGGACCGGAAAATAGTCCCCGGGTTACAGGGTCTCAGGTTATCAGGTTGGCTCTGACGCACAAATTTCCAACGACGTCGACGAGAAGAGAAACCTTTGCTGGAGGTGTACCGTAAACGATAAATGTTTGGCACCTACCAACCACCCAGAGATAACTAGGCGCACATGCCAGGTCCCGATAAGTACTTCTTACCTTGCTACGCTCCTACCACTGTGCCACTGTACCATATTTGGGCCAAGCCGAGCATCGCTGGAGGGCCAGCCATAGAGCGGACTCCACATTACCCACCTAACGGTATGTACAATGTACACTCGTCGTGGAATCCACAAGCCAGCCAGCGCTCCCTTACAATCTCGAACGTGTTCGCATTCTAGGGGGACAACGTGGTCACTGGTCAACCTGTCGCCTTCTCCGTGCCTCACGGAGACACCGCCTCATCTTTTTCTAGGTATGTAGGATGTTGGTATGTGCCTGCTGTCGATATCGTCCGTAGTCGTAGTCGTGGCCGTGGCCGTAGTCGTAGTCGTAGTCGAAATCAGCTTATCGAACGCAGCACGGCTCGTTCGCTCGTCCGCCCTGGCGACGTAGGTATGTAGGAGACGATCCCATGGGCCACCGCTAGGTACCCCGGCTAGGTGGTTGGGTAGGGCTACGCAATCGATATCTGCAACGTCCGAGTTCGCAGTCTTTTCGATTTTCGACACGGCCCGTCATCTCCTGCTGTCACTGTGCATAGTAGAGATCGGATTCGCCCTCCGGTTCGGCCGCAGCGCAGACAAGATAAGATATGTGCGTTGGGACAGCCCCAAAAACGGATCGATCCGGGTCCGTGATGGCAGCGGGTGTTGCGCACTCACTGCTCGCTGTCCGCTCGGTGTCCGCTGTCGCGGCACCGGTTACACGACGGAACGGAGTAATGCATTACATAAGCCACAAGCGTGCTCTTTGCGGAGTGCCGTAGTGACCTTCGTTAAAGCTGAGGCAGTGAGCGGGCCCCGCGTGCGAGTCTGCGACCTGTCTGTCTGTCTGTCTGTCTGTCTGTCTGTCTGCAGCAGATCGCGGTGACGGCGATGCTGATGCTGACGCTGACGCTGCCTAGCCTCCTTTCGGGCGGCACTACCGGTATGTATGTAGAGTAACCACATACTTCGCCGTCGTGTGTGTCCTGGGGAGGGGGAGGGGTCGGAGGGGAGGGGAGGGAGGGGGGGAGGGGAGGGAGGGGGGAGGGGAGGGAGGGGGGAGGGGGAAGAGATGGTGCTGACTCGAGCTCCCCACTGCCCACTGCCCCACAGCCCACAGCCTACATACTTCCCTACGCTTTCACATGCGAGGGTTTGATGTTTCTGGTGCGATCCGGCGGTGGTGCTGCTGCGGCGGCGGCGGTTCAGGCGCGCGAGGAGGAGAACAGGCAGCGCAGGTTTCGGTTTCTCCTTTGAGCCAGCTGCACGACCACGCACGCACGCAGCTTGAGGTCTCGTGAAGAGGAGGGATCGCATCGTAGAGTGGATGTCGTGCTGCTGCGTCTCGAGTCGAGTCGAGTGGTTGGGTGGGGTTGGGGTGGTTTTTTTGCGCGCACATGCTCATGCTCATGCTGGTGCTGGTGCTGGTGCCGATGTGCTCGATGGAGTGAAGCCCGGCTACCGAACGTGTGGTCGAGTGTACATGCTCCGGTTTTTTTTTCTTTCCTTCGTTTTTTTCCCTCTGTTTCTTTCATTTCCTTGCATGTGGCCGGCGTCCGTCGGGTATCTGCCTGGAATGCAGACATGCACACCAGACGAGTCACATCCAGATGGATGCATAGACAAAAATTTCGATTTCATCCGTGCTGGTTCGAGGGGGGTGTAGGTGCGTAGGATGTAGGTGGTTGTCGTAGTTCGAGAAGATGGATCTGCCGCTGCATCAACCTTGAGTGGATGCTGTGCTCGGGTTATCTGGGTGGAGGGGGCGACCTAGATGGAGACAGGTTGGAGAGGCTGGCCGTGTGTTTCGTCATCGAGAGGATTTGGGATGGAGACAAGTCAGTGACTTCTTGCTCGGTCGAAGTTTTGGCTGGATAAGTCGACCGATCGCGCCCAGAGTACCTTCATACATATACCCACAGCGTGCAGGCCAGGGGAACGTCAGTCCAGGGGGATAACCAACGTCACGCGACGACGTTCGGATAGTTCAGTGCTGCGAGTCTGCGAGTCTGCGACGACCCCACAGTCCACATCCACACCACACCTGTCACACACACATTCTGCCATCACGCCGACATTCTTCCGCGCACCCGTCTTCACGTGTCCACATGTCTGCTGCGCGCTGGGCTGGCTGGCTGCTAGTGGTATGCAGGTCATGTTTTCTCTTGTGTAGCCGTACCTACTTCTTCACTTGTGGGCAGATACCTCATCGCACAGCTGCGGTCGGTAGATGCGGTCTTGTTTGCAATGCTGGTTCCTGGTTGTGGGATTCGCTCCGATTCGGTACATTGGGGATGCTGGTCGCTGTTGGAAGTCCCGACGCCCAGCGAGCTATATACACCGAGCAACTGCGAGCTATGGTGCCCAAGCACTCTGCCTACTCTACCTATACACCGCGCATAGTGCACTCTACGCTATGCGACTGTATTGCACTATGGGTATTGTGTCTACAGACTATGGAAACGACTCCGTTGGTTACTGCTTGCCGCTCTATGCGCTGCTTCGTGCATTATCGATTCGTACATATCGTCGCATTCTGATTCATGTACTAGTAGAGTACAGTAGCTCCACCCCCGAACTGACACGCCCAACTGTCTTGACTCTGCTGCGAGAGTATCCAAGTATGTACGACTAGTAGTAATCCATAGAGCTCCTCGTGCTGGGACTCGCCCGCCGTAATTGCTACCCACCCCTCCAGCCACGCATTTGCCCATCCATACCCTCGCCCGTCCATCCATCCATACCCTCGCCCGTCCATCCATCCATACCCTCCCCCATCCCCATAGCACGCTCCCCGTCCTCCTCCTCATCCTCCTCATCCTGCTGCAGGCCAGCATCATCCACTCGCAAACCCGCAATACCCACCCACCCACCCATACACCCACCCCTAGCTCACGAACTTGTCGCACTCCCGACAAGCACAAGACCTTCTCTCGGCCCCGTCCAATTGGCTGGCTCCAGGAACCTGGGGAAGAGGGAGGGAAGGGAATACTCCGGTTAGGTGTGCAGCTGATCAAGCTGCCTGTTAGCGCACTCCCTGCTGGCTAGGTCCGAGTGCCGTCAGGTGGAACTTTTGCACCACGAGGACTCCCTTAAAAAGCTCGGCCCCTCTGCTCTCCCCAAGGGTACATGCTATAGTTGCCCACCCGTCTTCTACCCGTCATTCGACCGTGGAAATCCCGTCGTCGTCTGCGTCTCGTCGGCTCTCTGTATTTCCTCCTCGTCGTCCTTTCGGATTTCCAGTCAGCGGATTCGCCCCCAGCCCGGACTCCTTCCCTCACCTCCAGTCACGAGACCAAGATGGCCGTTCTTCGGAGTGTACTTGGTTCTTTGGTGGGTGTTTACTGTTGCTCACAGCTAGCCGCCGCCTACGTCGTTGGCAACCCTGTCTCCCTGCCGGGCTACCAACACGTCTTCCCGAACCCAGCACGCGTGGATGTCCTGCCGCCCAAATTCCAGCCGGCCGACGAACAGCAACAACAACAACCTGCCGAACCACTCGTTCCAAATGGCCTCGAGGACTGGATTAAGGATCAGAGGAAGACTTCGATGCGATTCTTGCTCGAAAATATCGCCCCCAACGGCTCGAACGCTAGAGGCGCTGCGCCCGGTTCCGTGATCGCTTCGCCGTCGAAAGACGCTCCGAACTACTACTACCAGTGGGTGCGGGATGCCGCAATCACCATGGCCGAGGTCGTCGCCGAATACGGGGAGACCAAGGACGAGAGTCTCAAGGCCATAATCGAAGATTACGCCAAGCTTCAGGATAGCATCCAGAACACGTTCAACCCCAGCGGCGGCTACACCACTGGCGGTCTCGGGGAGCCCAAGTTCATGATCGACGGTGCTCCATTCACGGAGTTTGTATCCAGTGTGGTCTTATTTGTTCAATCCACCCACGCTGCAGTCACTGACAGGTTCGCGCGGTGGAAAGGAATTGGGGACGTCCGCAACGGGACGGTCCTGCTCTCAGAGCTCTTACTCTGATGAATTACGTTCGGATGCTGAACGAGACGGACCCTTCGCTCATCAGCCACGACTGGCTTAGGAAGTTGTACGATGGAAAGTTCCCCACGCGTTCAGTGATCAAGGCCGATTTGGAATATATTTCGCACTCTTGGAATCTTACCGGATTTGATCTGTGGGAAGAGGTTAAGGATCTGCACTTCTATACCGCCCTTGTCCAGCACAAGGCTTTGGTTGAGGGACGCGAGTTGGCGGTGGTGCTTGGCGATTCTGCCGCAGGGGTCTGGTATGAGTCCCAGCGACACGAGCTGAGGAAGTTTCTCACCACTTCTTTCTGGAACAAGGAGCGCGGCCATCTGGTTGCTTACCTGGATACCCGGTATCGGTCCGGTATTGACTGTAGCTTACTGCTAGCTTCCCTCCACGGCAGCCAGGAGGACCTTTTCCCTCCTTGGTCGGACGAGATTCTTGCGAGTCTTGCGGTTCTCGTTGCCGACATGGCCGAGAGGCATCCTATTAACAAGCAGACCCCGCCGTTCTACCCTGAGGGAAGGCTTCGCGGCGTTGGCATCGGCAGGTACCCCGAGGATAGGTACGACGGTGTTGGTCTCGGTGAAGGAAATCCATGGTATGCCACTCCAACCCCCCCCTCTCCCCCCCCCCCCCCCCAAAAAAAAAAAAAAAAAAAAAAAAAAAAAAAGAAAATAGGAAGCCCGGCTCTAATCAATGTCGTCGTAGGTTCCTCTGCACGTCTTCTGTATCCAACATTCTCTACAACACGATCGAGCGCTTCCTCGAGCAAGGTTACTTCGACATCAACGACATGAACCTCGGCTTCTACCAGCGGTTGCACCCTACCGGCAACGCAGTGACAGGACGCTACACTGCTGGCCAGCCGGAATTCAAGAACTACCTCACCGACATGTTTAAGTATGCCGACAGCTTTTTAAACGTGATCCGCTGGCACGCGACACCCGAAGGCCGCCTCAGCGAGCAGTTCAACAAGTATTCGGGCTGGCAACGTGGCGCTAAGGACTTGACCTGGAGCTATGGGAGCTTTACGTCGGCGGCGGACGATAGGGAGGTTGCAAAGAAGGCACTGGTCAGGGGTATGGCTGTGGCTGCATGAGTACTTGGGTTATGAGTGTGTGTGTCTGTGTGTGTGTCTGTGTGTGTGTTTGTGTGTGTTTGTGTGCGCATGGCTGGTTTCATTATTACTACTACAACCCTACATTACGTGGTTCTGTTTGCGATCGATTCCACTTTTTATGAATGACGCGGGGTTTGGGCGCTTTTCGATGGGTAGACTGTTTTTTTGTACTGTATGAGTCGAGTCGAGAGAGTTGAGCGGTGTGTGGATACAATCGACATCGTTACGAATACTTGGATTGTTTGAAGTGAAGTGAAGAGAAGTGGAGTGAAGTGAGCCTGAACCAGTGAACAGCTGAAGAATATCAGTCAGGCATTACGACAGACACACATTCCACATCAGTCCTAGACTTGAGGACCGAACCCACTATGGTACACAGCCCTTGGATGTGCGCAAGATGGCAGGGAAGACCTATTGCGAAGCCTAGATAAAGTACTTTATCAAGATCCAGGGGGAAGGGGGGTTGATGTTCATCATCTAGCATTCGACAGGCTGCCGGCTTCGGCTTCGGCTTCGGCCATCGGTAAAAACAAAGTATTCCCGTCCTCCCGTGGGTTGCCTCCCTCCTATATTTCCGTATTTCCATGATTCCATCTTCCGAAGCCGCGGAACCGAGTCCCGTGTCCCGTCATCCGCGTTTTATACTGTACTTTGGCGCCAGTAGCTACACATTTTCCCCAACATACCTATCCCGGATAGGTACCAGGGGGTTGTCCGCACGGGTTTGTCGCAATTTTCGATTCCCGCCTGCTTGGGTTGGGTGGCTTTATACCGGTGTGGTCGGAGGAGTGGCGGTATACTCTACTTTAGTCGGAAGATTGCCGGAGACGTTCGGGCTACCTCCCCCTCCTCCGATCACTCACCGGCACTGCGAATAGCGCCCGCCGTACCACGTCTCGTCCCGTGTCCGTACCACTCCCCGTCCAGTGTCGTGTGGTCCCGCCCGCCTTCTGAGCCCATCCCCTGCAATCTAGGACTGGATACTAAGTAAGCGACGTGACATCCCATGACGCATCGGGTATCTTTCCTACTACCTGGGTGGTAATAGTACAACTCCACCGCCAGAACTGAGCTACGCATCTGCGTGTGCACATATTAACTAGTAAGCATCGGTGATACTGTTCTGTCCGGGCTTAACTAATGTGCGTAGCTGCTATGTCGAGGCAGTCCTCCCAGGCTCCCGCGTCGCCTGTTCACGCTCCATATGGATGCTGGCCCGCTTCTGGCAAGAATGTCGACAGTGGTGCTCTATGGGAACGCTGCCTCGCATACCTGACCCGCGGCGCAGTAGCATACAACGGCTCAAAGGTTATGCTGGGTTCCGCCAAACAGTCCGTACATCTTCTCTACTCGGACGTGGGAAGGATTGCTACCTACGCTGCTAGATTTCTACGCGGGATCACTCGGTGTTGGTGTTGGTGGTGGTGGTGGTGGTGGAGGTTAGTATGTAGTAGAGATGGTGAGGAGTAGTTTAGTGTTCGTTCCTCGTCAACAAAAAGAAGTCAAACAATTTCTGAGGAGAGCTGGCAATGGATTCACACCACCCTAACCCTCTTCGCAACGTTACAGCCATCGCACATAGCACTGATCATTCACGGTGCCCATAATACCACCAACGGGAGAAGTCCTCAGAATCGTCATTGCTTCATTTAAACGTATCTAAAGGCTGTACTCCTTGACACCATCTGCCGTGACAGCCCTGATCTTGAGACCCTTGAAGTCTATCGGTAACCGCTTCACCAGCTGCAGCACAATAGATGAATACGTCAGAGCCGTCCCATCAACCTGGGCCGAAAGGAAGGAGACAAACCTCATCGTGACACATCTTCATCAGCTCGAGGCCTCGCTCCAGATCGATGTCCGGCTGGTGGTGCTTATCCAGGATCGATAGGCAGTAGTACTGTGCGTATCCGTGGGCGGCGTACGGTACGGAGGCCTGCGACGCCAGGTAGTCCAGCCAGTAGAGGTGTGGCTTCTTCGTGGTGGTATCGAAACCGCCGACTAGGAGGTTGACGTTGTAGGCGTTCTGCACGTTTACTCGCGATTAGCCACAGCGTCTGCAAGCTATCCAGAGGGGGCGGACAAACCCTCGACCTAAGCGACCTCGCAAGCTCCCTCCGAATGAACGACGCCACGGCAGAAGGGGAGAGCTGCCAGTTCGTGTTGTTGCGCATGCCGTAGAGCTGGACGTTTGCCTGGATGTACTCGGCGAACTGAACTGGACACCCCCGGGCCGTGAGCTACTGGTCTCCGCCATCATCCTTCTTGCATTCATCGATTCCATCATACCGGTGTCGCCAGACTCTCCCACGTACGCCATCAAGGTGTGGGCGTTCAAGGCCCGCATCTTGTCGTCTTCGGCATTGAGGATGGTAACGCCGCGCATCGCCGCCTTCGACGACGCAAGCAGCACAAAGTCTTTACCGGTGATGCCTAGAAGAACCTCCCTTTGCAGTCCCGGGAAATTAGCGGGCTGCCCGGCAGCACATCAAGATAGCTCGAGCTTACATTTTCGCTGTACGGTGATGGAAGGTGGGGATGAAGGTGATGTGGAGGTGTTGGGGTTGTCAGTGTATGAAGCTCGACTTGAGGTTTGGCGGGCTGTTTGGCGACACACCGACGCGGGCAAGGTCTCTCTCCCACCACCCAACCCACTCTAACTCGCTAAGTCATCAACTGGAGCTAGTTAACTAGAGCCGCATTGATGCCAAGAGTTCCCGTTCAGTGAGGCGAAAAAAAGATTTCGTAGCGCAGTCCATCTAGTAAACTCTCTCTCTCACGCTGAGAGAAATGTCATTCCGCCTGTTCCTTTGTCGGTGAACGCCAACACCACTCCATTACTCAATCGGCCGCGAAACATATACATACGCTCATAGTACCAACCGATAATGTCGTCGTTTTTCACCCTGCCGGGCTCTGCGAAACGAAAACGTGCCGACGCCGCCGGGAATAAGTCTAAGAAAGTTCGCCCCACAGACGCAGCAGCTGGTGGATCGGAGAAGCGACCGCAGAAGAGGAGGAATGAGGATGATGAGATCTCGAGCGAGTCAGAGGATGAGAATGCGAAGCCCAGAGGATCGGACGACGAGGACGAGGACGAGGAGCTTGCTGGGGAGACTGCGGCGGAAAAGCGCCTGAGGCTTGCGCAACAGTATCTGAACAATATTCGCGAGGAAGTTGGTATGTTTCGGTCGGTGGGGGGGTGCTATTTTTCTTTGCGGGAGCTTGGAGACTGACAGTAGGATCGCAGATGAGGGTGGATTCGACGCTGCCGACATCGACCGTGATCTGATCGCCGAGCGCTTGAAGGAGGATGTCGCGGAGGAGAAGGGCCGTTTATATCGACATATCGCCGACGATTTCTCGTTTAGCACTGCCGTCTCGTCCCTATTCCGAATGGATGCTGGTCCCACTACCGGCATCGCCGTCAGCGATCCATACATCTACACTGTCACCCGTCACCGATACCTCGTGAAGTGGGAGCTCCCCGCTTACCCGCCCCCACCAGCCACTTCGAACAACACTCCCCGGACAAGGCCTAAACGAGTGCAGTACGTGCGCGGAGGCCGGAAGAAGGACGAGGGCTTTGAGGGCCACACGGATGATATCCTTTGTGTTGCTGCATCCGCGGATGGGAAATTTGTTGCGACTGGAGGCAAAGACCACAAGCTCATCGTATGGGATGCCGAGACATTGAAGATCCTGAAGGTGTTCAGGCAGCATCGTGCAGGTGTCACTGGTCTTGTTTTCAGGCGCGGGACGAATGAGCTGTACTCAAGCTCTTCCGACCGGACAGTGAAGCTGTGGAGCTTGAACGAGCTGGCGTACGTGGAGACTCTTTTCGGACACCAGGATGAGGTTCTGAGCATTGCTGCGTTAGCTGGGGAACGGTGTGTTTCGGTTGGTGCTCGCGACCGGACGGCGAGGTTATGGAAGATTGTCGATGAGACACAACTTGTGTTCCGCGGCGGTGGGTCTGGGGAGGGGAAAGTACGAAAGAACAAGGACGGGAGTATACGGCACGAGGAGGGCAGTATGGATTGTGTTGCCATGCTCGATGAAGAGCATTTCGTCACCGGAAGTGACAATGGGTATTATCACCTGCCACCAAACTTGCCGCTGAGATCACAGTTCTGATATGATTTGCGCAGAAACATTTCCCTCTGGTCGATCCACAAGAAGAAGCCTATACACACGATCCAAGTCTCCCACGGACTCGCCCCACCCCTGCTACCGGAGAAATCTAGCGCGGAAACAAATCCTGTACAAGAGCCCGCCGCTCCCGCTCAGCCCCGCTGGGTCACCGCGCTGACGGCTATTCCATACTCCAACCTAATATTCTCCGGCTCTTGGGATGGAAGTGTAAGAGCCTGGAAAGTGACGGCCGACAAGAGGAAGCTCGAGGCTGTGGGTGTGATAGGCGGCGAAGGCACCGTCCGTGGAATCGTCAACGGGATCGCAGTTCTGGAGAGAGGTACCACCAAGAAAGATGCGAAGGTGGTCGTCTGCGTCGCCACCGGAAAGGAGATGAGGCTGGGAAGATGGATGGAGGTCGAGGGACGGAGCGGTGGCTACGTTTTGGACGTCATGAAGAAGAGCTCGGGCACTGGCGGTGCTGACGAGGATATGGAGGAGGGCGGCGATGCATAGTCAGAGGATTTGGTTGTAAATACAAAAGCTTCTCATCTATAGGTTCAATTCTGGAGTTTGTCTGTAATAATGACTTGGTTTACTCGTACCACCTCCTCTACATACTCTGATTTCCAAAGGGCTGAACTTTTGAAGGAGTGATTTCCTATGGGTGGAGCAATCCTTAATCCTTGGCGGATGCCTGAACAAGACGCATGTCAGCCTTGCAGTAATAACCCATGAGGTACCAGTATATAAGACCCCGCGGTGGATAGTCCCAAGCAATGGCGAATTGTCGATCCAGCTACTCTCGCGATGTCCGACTACGGCAGTCTCGACCTTGAAAACAGCGACGTCGAAAGCGACTTCGACGTGTCGGCGTGCTCATCGACCAGCGTCTCGGGGACGCCCGTGAGCGCGGGCTTCGTCGAGTCCGGCGGGCTGGAGGCGCTGCCGCTCGAGCTGCACCGGCTGATAATGCGGCACGTACGGCACCACGACATTCCCTACGAATTCACCCGCTAACATCCCCACCTCGCAGCTCTCGAAACCGGAGCTGTGCTCGCTCTTGCTGGCCTCCAAAGCGCTCGCCGCGATAGCAGTGCACGAGCTCTACCGCTCCGTCGCGTTCGTTGGCGGTGCGCACGCGCGCAACAAGGCGTTGCTCGCCGCGCTCGCGGCTGGCAAGAAGGCGCTCGTGCGCTGCATCTCGATCGGCCGGTTCCACCTGGAGAGCGAGCCGCTGCTCGCGATCGAGGCGCTGCTGGCCGAGCTCTGCGCTACCAGCCAGCTCGAGGCTGTGGTCTACCCGCATTCCCGGCTCAAGTCTGAGGCGTCGTGGAAGAGCCGGCTTGGGGTGGGCGTGCGCGCCATCGCCCGCACAAGGGAGCTGAGGTACTTGGCCTTGGGCGTGCTGGATGTGGCCGACTGTGGGTTCCTGGAGCTGGGAATGCAGTCGAAGGAGTTGCTGGGGCTCTCGGCGGTGTTCTCCCCGCACGCCACTGATCCGCTGGGGGAGCTACCGGATATGGCGGCGAATGGCGACGTGAGCTGGTTGTTGCCGCGGTGTGGCGCGGTCGATGACAATGTGGTCCTGCGCCGGCTGCTGCAGGACGCACAGGGAACACTGGAGGGATTAGCTTTGGATGCGAAACGGGTGCGCGACTTAAAAGCGTTGTACGCGAGTGGCAGCGGAACTGGGATGGAGAATGATCAGGGACTCCTAAGGTTTTGGGAGGGGATGGAGTTCGGGAGGTTGACCAGACTTGGGCTGTGGCATTGGGCTATGGGGGGATCGAAGAACATGGCGGGGTTGCTCGCTGCGGTCAACTTTGAGGCGCTGGTGGAACTGAGGCTGATGCTGTGTCCGGACCTGGCGGAGCTGGTGCAGGCGTTGGGAGCGAAGGAGATCAAGATGAAGAAGTTGAAAACGCTCGCTATCTGCGGTTCACAGGAGGTGGTGGCCAGCTTGCTGTGTAACTATGTGCCGCCGGAACAGCTGGTGGACCTTTACATCCGGATCACAGATGGCACTCACCAGGCGTGGAACAACAAGGTCTTCGTTCTGGAGCAGGATTTCATCAATGCGCTGGTGGGCTGTGGGAGTTCCATCGAGATGCTCGACATGGCCGTGAACTGGGCCTCGGGGACATACCTACGAGGCGGGCTCGTTCTCAACGGCGCGGCACTGGGCCAGATCACCAGCACCTTCACCAATCTGCGTGAACTCTGCGTAGCGGTCGACTTCGCCGACTGGGTAAGCTTATTCCACCCCTCCTCCCTCCCTCCCACGACTAACCCCTCCCACAGGTCGAAATCGTCCAGCACCTCTCCCACCTGTCGCATCTACACACGATCCACCTCACGCCGAACGAGCTGATCCCACTGCCTCGTTCACGTGCTCACGCCCGCCTCGTCGAGATGTCTGACCTGAGCTACGAGTACACGTTGTCGCAGGTGCACCCGTCGCGGGCCAGCGCGCCCTCGCTGCATTTCGACGCGCACGCTCGCGGGTTCTTGCTGGACCTTGTGGAGACCATCCTACTCACGTGTTGTACCCGTGCCCCGCTGCATAGGGCCTTTGATTTCTTCAAGGACGCACGGTTGAGAATGGTAGGCCTCACCATGCCCGCTGGTGGTACTGGGGCGTATCAGGGTTATTGGAGGGCCGTTAAGTATGCTATCAGGGCTGAGAGAATGGCACCTGTGTGGGCGCTGACCCAGGAGGCGAAGAGGAGGTCGTTTGAGAGGTCGGATGTTGAGAGGGTTGTGGGAAGGGTGGGCGGGTGGGAGGTCGGGCTTGATTGTGTAGGCATCGGCAATGAGGATGAGATTGAGAGGACGGAGCATGAGAGGATCATGAGTGTCGTTTTTGGGAATCACAGGTAGGAAGGGTGTACATGTACCTAATGTATGATGTGATCTACAATTTTGGTGTGGTTTAAGAGATCTGTTTGGGGAAAGCTACAAGGCTAGAAGAGTGTATTGCCGTTCTAGCAAGATATAGGGAATGCCAGGGCTTGGATTCCAGAGGCATCTCTACTATCCCCTACATGTCCGGGGCGGGAGTATACCTGTTACACTGCAAAGTATGCCCGACTAGGCCCGTTTAGGAGGCGGCAGTGCGTCTACACAACCACACGGCTCACTGTCTCGATTAGTTTGGTTGCAGCTGTGCTGGTAGCAGTCACGGTTGCTACTATGATAGTCGCCGTCGCCACCTCTGACCCACGATCCTTCAAACATCCGCGGTTCCAATACCAGAGAAATGAGCAACAGCGTTGATACAGAGGCTATCGGGCCGGGACTCGAGTTATAAAAAGGCAGCCATGTTGCAGACAGGCCACCGGCGAATACTACTACACCGAGGGCGGCGGCGGACTCTACCAGGTGCTAGGTACACTGTCAAATGTTTAGAAAAGATTCGGGCGAAGGGAAGTGGGAATATACGCTGCTAAATACATAATGTTGGAGAGCCTGTTTGTACTAATTCACACATGTTGCTTTGCGGAAGAGCCCACTCGCGGAATGCTTTTGATATCACTCGTTGCCACCTTTCTGCGCCAGTCCAAATTAGGCCACGCTAGGGAGTTGTAACAGGTATACTCCCGCCCCGGACATGTAGGGAATACCGCTTCCACTCAGTGGCGTACCAGGCAGGCGGCGTGGTTGGTGACGGGATTCAAGCACTGCCAGCGTGAATGATCACTCGGTTGGACACGTTTTGTCTTGGAAGGATGAATGAAGGAGGAAGGAGTGAAGTAAGCTTGAATAGGTTCTAAATACAGCGGTTCTGATTGATGACATTTTATGATAATAATAGAAGGATAAGTTATAGTGGAATACGGGAAGTAAGCATTAAAAAGAGATGATAAAACGAAGAGTTTCCAAGAACCAGAAATGCGCAATGAAGTCCAAAAAAGCCAGACCAAAGCGTATCAAGCCACCGTCAACGCTCACGCCACTCCGTCTCCTTAGGCTCCTTCCTCCGCCTCGACCACGGCTGCTTCGGCCATCTACCACACGAGTTCTTGGTCGCGTAGTGCTCCAGACAGTAGTCATCGTAGCATTCTGTCCAGCTCATCCACGAATGCGGTAAATTCTTCAGCTGGGCGGCCGTGGTAGGGGCGGTGATGGTGGTGGGGGTCCCCCAATCGAGATCGGGGTCGTATGGGACTGGAGGCGGGCGGTCCCAGTCTGAGAGGTAGCCATTTTCATCGGCATTGGTGGGGGAGTTGTCGGGCTCGGTGGCCTCGGTGGCCTGGGGGCTGGGAACGGTAGCGGCAATGATTGCTTCGGGAGGATCCACCGACGTATTTCCCTGCTCAACTGGAGCTGGTAGAGTGGGTGTGCCGCCCGGTACCATGGTGTACTCCTCTGCGATTGGATCCACGGGGCCCGGCGTAGTAATTTCCTGTAGTTCAGTGGCTGGAGGGGCTTCTCGGACGGGCGTGAACTCCGCGGCATCGGAGACGGCATCCAGTCCAATGCTATCCTTTCTCACGTCGGAGACTTCTGGCGTCACAGGGACGGAGCGCAGAGGACGCGGTCTGCCAAAGCCCGCCGAAAACGCTGCTGCCAAAGGTACTGCATACAGGTAACCCGGAGCTTCGCCAAAAACGAAGCCGATATACCGCTTCGGCCCGAAGATGAGACAAAGGAGATACACCGCCGGTGGCAGAGCCGCCAGCACAGCCCTCGACATTGTCATCCTGCGGGAGATATTGAATACTACCACCAATGCATAGGTCACGGGTACGAAGTAGTAGTAGTAGCAGCAATCGGACGAATAGTCAGGCCTCCTACCATCGTAAAAACCGAACATGATGAACGGACCGACAATCGACCAGAATAAGGAGGTCACAAGGAGATGCGCTTTGAGGAGGAGGCCACGGCGCGACTGCAGCTTTGCGGTGGTAGCTGGCTCGGTGCTTCTCCGCAAGATGGCGAGGACCGATTCGGTGAGGCTATGGATGTTAGCAATCTAAGAGCACTAGCACTTGCGGAGCTTAGTTACCTGGCTGCGGTGACGATTTCAGCTACTACGGCAGCATGATGGCCGCCCACTGTGTTGATATGTAAGAATGCAGACACGGCTACCACCATTGCTGTGCGGCAGTCCGTCAATGAAGGATCAACTATTGCTGCTCCTTTCCCGGCAATACTCACCCAACACAGTTTGGAGCTCATCGGCGTACATATTGCCCCACTTCCAAAAGATGCTGTAATCGTCGACCAGACCAGCCTCGTCTGCGAAGCGGATTTGGTTCGCGACTGCGGTAGCCTTCATTAAGGCTTGGGCGGCTCTCCGGCTCTTGCGCCGACGTGCGCTTGCCGATTTCCCCTCCGTCGCAGTAGCGCCACATGGTATCGAAAGTGCATTTCCGCTAGAGTCGTTGGGATCAGCAGGTGTTTGCATCCACTTGAAGATCCGAATCGCATACCTGGTCGAAGAGCTGCAGCATGCGGCCCAGATAGCACACGCAACCGATGCGACTCCAAAAAGGAAGGGCCCCGGTTTCTCTTGCATACCCGATTCCGCGAGCATCGCTGCGCAATTGTTTGTTCGAACGCGACGAGTCGACGATGTGGACTGTGGTGATGTTGCGAAATGCTTCAATCGTCAGCCCCTGACCTGGGTTGAGAATTTGCGTTTGAGGTGATACATACTCTCTATGCTTATAGGTTGCGGCGGCTTGTGTGACTGTTGCTTGCAGCAGGGTGGGCTGGGAGAGGCTGGAGGTTCGTCTCGGCGTCTCGAAAGTCCTCAGCATGCTCAGATACAAGTTTGTTCAGATATATATACCCGCCTCACCATTGTCGAAGTTGAAAACGTACCTATGATACTTTCCTGATGTAAGCGTCATTACTTCTGCCGGAGAACTCAGCGGGTTAGTACAAACCATCCGCAATGCAGTGACCAGTCTTCTCAATCCAACGACTGCTGACCGGTGATGCCGTTGCCCTCGCTGTTATGTATCGTACAAGCTGTTTCGGCGGCGAGTATGCGTCTTGCTCTTGCTCTTGCTCTTGCTCCCCCTTAAAAGAGAAGATATCGCGAAAAATAGAAAGACGATTAACATCCCAAAGTTGTCTAGTCCTCCAGGCTCGACTCTACTCTGAGTATGATTTACCTGGCACCCACTCTACCAGTATTTGCATGTACACGCATGGACGATGGCTGAGACGGTGAAGTTACTCTGTGACAAAGGCACGTAGCCAAGACGAGTGGCCGTCGTAGGGACAGACCTTCTCGGACGGACATCCCATCCAACCGGCCCTACACATCCATACCAGTTCCCTTAAAACTCATAACCACCAATAACCCATCACATCCTGAACCACGTGACGAGCGGCATGCACGGACCAGGTCCTGTTTAGCCTGCAAGCCTGCAAGCCTACACATCAAGTGAGGTGGATTCCCGGATTCTCCACGCCCTGCGCTCTGCCGAACTCCGCTGTTGGCTCTTAGTCTGCAGCGAAGCGCGGACCGTCGGGCCGTCACACCGGGTCTAACGAGACGTCAGCACTCCCGATACGAACGCAATTGCTGTCGTGCTGAATTTAAAGAGCACCGCATCTCCCCCAATTATTATGGCTACCAGCCAGATACTCAATCGGCTACTACGATGATGGACACGAAGCAGAGCGAACGGGAGAAGCTCCTCGACGAGAAACACGTCGAAATCGTGCCCCACGGCGCTCGACGCAGCAAACGACCGTCGTCACACCGGAACGCCTTTTTGGGATTCGCTGTTCTTGCGACTGCAGTGTTGTACTTCACATCTGGCCCCTGCCGCCATCATCCCCACCACGGGCCGAACGATGAAGCCGCGCAATGGCAGAGCGAAGGATGGTTCCCCAGTCGTTCGTATACCCTCGATCCCACTTTCCTGACTTGCCTCACCCTTTCTAACGTTGTACAGCTCGCGGCGGAACCGTCAAGAGCTGGGAAGAGAGCTACCGCAAGGCAGCTGAGATGGTGGGAAAGATGACGCTCACTGAAAAGGTCAACGTCACTACGGGAACCGGATGGTCACAGGGTCTATGTGTTGGGAATACGGCGCCAGCCGTTCACGTCGGCTTTCCATCGCTGTGCTTGCAGGATGGTCCGCTGGGATTGCGGTTTGTGGATCATGCGACGGCATGGCCGGCAGCGTTGACGGTCGGGGCGACGTTCAATCGCGAACTGGCCTTCAGGAGGGGCGCGGGCCATGGCGAAGAGGCAAGGAAGAAAGGTGTTCATGTGCTATTGGGACCATCTATGGGACCGCTGGGGAGGATGCCCGGTGGCGGGAGGTTCGCTACAACTGAAATCTTTCTCGACTCGATACTAACTGTGGCTATAGAAATTGGGAGGGTTTTGGCACGGATCCATACTTGCAAGGTGTGCAGGCTGCGCAGACCATCCAGGGAATCCAGTCCTCCGGTGTTATTGCTACAGCAAAGCACTTCATTCTCAACGAACAGGAACATTTCCGACAGATTGCATGTCTTACTACATTCCCATCGATCCACATTCAATCCCTAATCTGTTGATAGCTCGAGTGGGAGGAAAGCCCGGAACACGCCATCTCAAGCAATGTCGATGACAGGACCATGCACGAGCTCTACCTTTGGCCCTTCGCGGATTCCATCAGGGCTGGTGTAGCCTCTGTGATGTGTTCATACAACCAAGTGAACAACACCTACGCCTGCGGAAATTCCAAGACTATGAACGGCCTTCTGAAGGACGAGCTCGGTTTTCAGGTAAGATATAGTCAAACACAAGCCATTCTACCACTCTGCTAACCCCATACTAGGGATTCGTCCAAAGCGACTGGTACGCTCTCCGTGACGGAGTATCGTCGATCCTCGGCGGTCTCGATGTAGTGATGCCCGGCAATATTGTACACGACGACGCCGGCTACTCTCTTTTCGGTGCCAACCTCACCGCCGCCGTCATGAACTCGACGATCCCGCTGGAACGCCTGGACGACATGGCACTCCGTGTAGTGGCAGCCTGGTACCAATTGTCGCAGGACGACAAGTCCAAATTTCCCGAGGAGAAGCCCAACTTCTCCAGCTGGACAGACGAGAAAGAAGATTTCATCTATCGCGGCGCCGGGGAGGGCGAGCGCGGCGTTGTAAACCAGTACGTCGATGTCCAATCGGACCACTGGAAGACTGCTCGGCAGATTGCGGTCGAGGGAACAGTACTAGTCAAGAACTCTGGTATCCTCCCACTTCGGCGTGGGGCATTTAAGGGGAAGAATATCGGCATCTACGGCGAAGATGCAGGTTCCGAGGATCAAGAGGGATTCCCCAACTTCTGCAAGGACCGCGGATGCAACAAGGGGAGTCTTGGGAGTGGCTGGGGAAGTGGTGCGGTCGAGTATGCCGTTTTCCACTCGCCGTTGACGGAGTTGAAGAGATCATTCAACAGCTCCGCCGATGACATCCCCAATTTCACCGCAATTACGGATAACGACCAGACCTCGCACATTGCGAGATCTGCCAGTTCCCAGGATCTGTGTTTCGCCTTCATCAATTCGGATGCTGGGGAGGGTTATATCACGGACCCGTTGATAGGCGTGGCTGGAGATCGTAACGATCTGTATGCCCAGCGCGGTGGTGATAGCGTTGTCAAGACCGTCGCCAGGAACTGCGAGAATACTATCGTTGTCGTCCATGCCGTTGGCCCGGTCATCCTCGAGAAGTGGATCGATATTCCCGGCGTCAAGGCGGTCGTTCTCGCCCACCTTCCGGGACAGGAGAGCGGGAAGGCGCTGGCCGAGATCATATTCGGCGACGCAAACCCCAGCGGAAAGCTCCCCTACACCATTGGCAAGAGCCTTAAGGACTACGGCCCCGGCGCACAGATAATGTACCACCCGAACGCCGAGGTGCCGCAGCAGACCTTCAAGGAAGGCTTCGAGGTTGACTACCGATACTTCGACAAACACGACATCACTCCTCGCTATCCCTTCGGCCACGGGCTGTCCTACACGTCATTCACCATCTCCTCACCAAAACTAGTCGAGCACATGTCCAAGGCCACCTTCCCATCGCCGCGGCCAGATATGATCGCCCCGCCCACGATCCAATCCACACTTCCTCCGGTCTCGGAGGTCCTGTTCCCACGGAACTTCAAGAAAATCCTCCACTACATCTACCCCTACCTCTCCAGCGTCTCCGAGATCTTCTCGCAGCACCCGGTCTCTTACCCCAAGGACTACTTCACGACGCGCCCCCTATCCCCAGCCGGCGGCGGCGAGGGCGGTAATCCCTCGCTGTGGGATGTGATCGCTAGTCTCTCAGTGGCGGTCAAGAACACGGGCGATGCGTCCGGGGCGGAGGTCGCGCAGCTCTACATTGGATTTCCCGAGGTTGAAGGCGTCGAGTTTCCGGTCAGGGTGTTGAGAGGGTTTGAGAAGGTGCACCTTGGGAAGGGCGAGGAGACGAAGGTCACCTTTGAGGTCAGGAGGAGGGATTTGAGCTACTGGGATGTAAACGCGCAGAATTGGAGAATGCCCACGGATGGCAGGTTTACTCTGTGGGTCGGGAATAGCTCCAGGGATCGGCAGGTTGAGGTCGAGTTTTAGAAACTCGGTGGTGGATGGGATGGTGGTTGGTGGCTGATAGAATGAATTGTATACTTTTTGGTTACTGAAAATGTTCTTGAGCTTTAAAAGTGACTTCATTACTGTGCTAGGGAATCGGTATTGAGTGATTATACATCGATACCGGCAGGTTGATACATGAGTAAAGCTCAGGCCCCCAATTCGTCCATCACAAGCCCATGATAATCTCAACAATTCCAGGCAGTCCGTCTGGTCCAGGCTGCAGTCCGGGTTGGACTACCTATATCGAATACTGAAACGGACTCGGCGGATATAGTACCTAAGTAGGCGAGCATGACAGTGTGAGAGCCCACGGATTGGAACTTAGAAGCTCCGACGCAGCTCGGCAAGCGTCTGTTGCTAGCCATGGTGATGGTTTTGATCGCATGAAGGTTTAAGGAGCATTGCGCTCACTTTCTACCGAGGGATGATTTGCTGCTGATTTGCGTTTGTATCGTGAGAGAGATTGTGGAATAGAGTAGGAGAAGTAGGAGAAGTGGGAGGAGTACAGAGAGATAGGGCGTGTTGGATTGAAAGTTCTTGGAATAATTTCCCAAGCCAGTAACCGGCATCGTGAGGCCCGCTGGAGGATGCAGTCAAGCATGCATTATCACTCGCCTTCCAAGCCCTCGACCGTTGGTGGCATGCGGACTCGAAAGGATGAACGCAGCAATAGACCGACAGCGGTAGAGCCTTCTATCTACCCCCGCAGACCTGGCAGGAAAGATCGGGTTTGTGGTCGCTATAGTCTAGACAGGCCGTATGCGATAATTAATTGGTGCTCTCTCTCTCGCTCACTCGAAACGATGATCCCATACCAACCATTGAGGGGCAGCGACATTCATTCACCGGATAAGACTGCTGTTAAAGACGATGTTCCCATACGCAGAATGAAAAAGAACCCAGAAAGACAGGTATCGTCAAGACAAGTAACTCCAGCCAAAAGCAATTATCCTCCGCCGTGCTCAAACCTCAGACCTCAAACGTCACAGTCCCTCCGTCTTCAAAAGTACTATTCCCGCGCCTGGCATGGAATTCCCTGTCCCTGTCCCGGTCCCGGTCCCGGTCCACCGCCCTCACCCGCCGCTCTCCAAGCTTCTCTCTAGTAGCCCTCAACTTCTCCCGCAACTCACGTCTCCTCTCCCTCTCGCCAGTCTGCAACCCAGGCACCGGAGGTACATACTGCCTGGGCACATCCCTCGGAGCCTCCCCCGCCCTCGCTCTATCTCTCCTCCTAACCCTCTCCTCAAACAACCCCCTAACCGCCTTCGCAGTAGGACAGTCGCACTTAACGGCCTCGGGCAGCACTCCCGTCGCCTCAACCCACTCTCTCACGACCTGCTGGCCCATCTCCCCGTCCCCCTCCCCATCCACCCCCTCATCCCCCTCCCCTTGCCCACCCATCTGGACCCCCCCATCCCTCACTCCCACCCCCAAGACCGGCGGAACCCTGCGCACCCTCTTAACCCCCCTCCTCAAATCCTCGAGCTCAACCCTAACACGCGCGAGTTCCTGTCCGGTCTCGCGGGCGACCCTTTTGGCAGCCGCAAGCTCGAGCGTCTGCACGCGCGTGTATCGGTCGAGCGCTGCACATTGCCGCTGCCATAGGTCCTCGGACTGTCGGGACTCCGCGAGTAGGGCTTGAAGGTCCGCGAGGTGGTTTTGGAGCTCGGCCGTTTGCGCTTGCGCCGTTGTGAGCGCCGCGCGGTAGGTGGCGAGCGTGCGCGCGTGCGCGTGCAGGAGCGGGTTGGACATGCGCTGCGAGTGGAATGGGATGTGGAGAGGTGGTGGGCGGAGTTCGTGGTGCCCGTGGCCGTGTGTGCTGTGGTGGACAAGGTTGGCAGATGACGCGAATCAATGGGGGTGCGGAATATGCCGACGCGACTGGAGGGATGGCACTTTACTCTATTTTGACCCCACCTGATCATTCGATTAAGTACATGTTCTAGAAACGTCTTCTGAAAGGCAGCCTACTAGTGACTACTATAAACGAAGACGTCAATTCGTCACCCATCAAAACACAAACTTTTCCGAAAAACAATATACACACAACATTTCCCTGCTCTTTACCGCCTTCCCCTATTTGTCTTGCCCGCCCTGCCCTCCCTGACTTGTCCAAGTGGTTTTCTATCCGACATCTGCTTCTTGAAACCACCGCGACCACCACGTCCCGGCCCACCAGTCCTCCTCCCGGTGTTCTCGCTGGAGCTCGGCTTCTCTCGCTCATCGTCATCCAACTCCATCTCCTGATCTCCCTCCCTAGCCCTCTTGTTCGAGAACTTGACCTTGCCCTTGAGACCACGCGTGTAGGCGTTCTTCCCGCTGACGGCCTCAACATACGCACCCACACCGTCACCGCCCATATCCAGATCGCCGTCGTCATCCTTTCTGGCAGTAGGGATAATCATCTCATCGTCGCTGTCACCCAGAATGAGCTTTCCATCCTCGTTAAACTTGGCCTTGGACGGTTTCTTCTGTCTGGCATTCTGCTTGAGCGGGCGGGTAGTAGAAATGTGCGCCAAACTCTTACGGTCGAGGAGATCCAGCGGCTCGTCTTCATCCTCGACGATGAACTGCTGTCCCTTCTTCGAATCCCTCTTAACCCTAGGTGCAGCGGCCATTTCGGTGTCGCTACCGGCCTCCGACTCAGACTCAGATCCGTAGAGCGCATCGTCAAATTCGTTCTCGAATCTGTTCTTCCGGCGGGGCTTCTCGACAACATCGGTAGCATCATGATCGCTGTCCTCTTCCTCCTCACCGGTGGCCTTAGCCTCGTCCTTCTTTCTCTTGCGGCGCTCGCGAGTCTTGCGGATATTGGCGATGAGCTTCTTGTCCTCCTCGGGAGTGTAGCGTTCCACCACTGGCACGCCGAATCTTCGGATGAGACGCTCGATGATGTGCTTCACCTTGGCCTTGAAATGTGCCTTGTGCTCGTGACTCCACACCATAAGGTTGGGAATCAACGTCTTGAATCGCGGCTCCATCATCTCCTTTGGCAGCGAAATGACGCACACCTTAATGAAACCAAGGACACTGCGAACAATCTCTCTGTTCTTGGAGGTAAGGAAGAGATCGAGGGTTGCGACGAGCTCAGAGAGCAGGTTTTGGTCCACGTCGTCCTTGAATTGCCACATGATCCTGGTAAGCGCGGTGATAGACGCGGAAACCATGTGTGGGGCACTGCCGGCAAGACCGGCAGAAACCATGGTGAAGTACTCCTCGAGCGAGGCGGGAACGTCGGGGGCATCGTCGGCCATGTGTTCCACCTTGCGGTTGACGACGATTCCACCCTCCCTCATCTTCTCACCCATGGCGACGAGGATGTCGAAGGCGGCAGTACGAGCCTTCTCATTCACCTCCTTAGCAGAGATGACGACCTCGGAGAGAACGGAAGGAATGAAGTGTAGGTCCTCCTTGGGGATGAACTCCACTATGGTGGAGAGGGCAATAAGACGATCACGGCGTGCCGGGGGTGTGACGGTGGCCGCGGAGTCGATAAGCAGGGTTTGCAGAGCCTCGTGCTGAGTTTCGAGTGCTGCACGACCGGTTTCTGTTTCAGCGAGACGGGGGATAACTTTGTAGGCCTTCTTCTGCAGTTGGGGGTCAGACTCCTTGTTGACCGTTGCACTGAAGATCGCAAAGAGGGTCTGGTATGAATCTGCCGGCAGGTAGGGCGTAATGGTGATGACCAAATCCATCAGTGTGTGAGCCATTGGGGGCATTGCCGAGGCATCCTTCTTCTTCTTCTGCTTGTCCGCCTGGGTCTGTGCTGACAACTCCGCGAGGGAAGACTCCAACATGGTCGAGACTTTGGAGAAAGTATCCATGAGTTCAGCGTGGGGAGTAATGCTGAGGAAGGAGTTGAGGCACTGGAGAATGAAGCCACGGAACTGAGGGAGCGTGCTGCTGTAGACGTTGAACAGAACGGCAAGCAAGTTACCGGAAAACTTTGCAAGATGGTCGATGTTCGCTTGCGCCTGTTCCTTCGAGACCCGGTGCTGCGCAACAAGGTCTTCCTCATCATCATCGTCCGTCTCTGTCTCCAAGATAGCCTTGTTGGAATCAACAAGATTTTGCAGCGCCTTGCAGATGTTCTTGCGGAGCTCGACCTTCTGATAGACAACATTTGCGAGAAGCTCGGCGAACGCCTGGTCGAAAGTCTCAGTAAGATCAGAGGGCAGGTTGCAGTAACCTGGCAGGAGATCCCAGATTTGGCCAACGAGAGTCTCGAAGATCTTGATCTCTACAGTCTTTTCTTTGTCCTCACCAAAGTCGACAACCCTCTGGAAGAAAATTTCAGACAGTGGGACCATCTCGGAACGGAAGTGCGCAAGCTTGGTGTTGAAAGTCGCACCACGGAGGATAGGCAACATCCAAGCTCTTCCCGGCTGGCCGGGAATTGGTTTTGACAGCCCCAATGGCAGGATGGAGAGGACAACGTCGGGACCCATAGCACGGATCGCCTTTGCAAGCACCTCATCGGCCTGTTTTTTCCCCTGAAACCCGTCATTGCTGCGGAGTTCACCCAAAACCTTTACGGCCTCGCGCAAAACGGGGTCCGATCGCCACCTCAGTTTGACAAAAAGGGCGGAGAGAATATCAAAGACCTCCATCCATGCACCTTGATATCGGACACTCAGCAGATCAGTCGCAATTTTCGCAATTTTCTGGAAGACTGATTCTGTGGTGCGAGTAATATCAAGCAAAGCACTATCGGGGATCATGGACTCGGTGAGGGATATGAGACACTGGGCGCTAGATGTGCGTATATTCTCGGCTGAGGATTCAAGGAAAGTGGAGACCATTTCGTAGAGCGTAGGAAGCTTGGTGAACGCGATGTCGGACGAAACTTGTGCGTAGACTTCGTATCCTCGAGCCGTGACTGCCAGCCACGGGGGAAGGAGCTGAGAGTCGCTGTTCGATGGCCGTAGCTCCTGGATGGCCTCAAGAACCACTTCTAACTTTCCGCCTCCAACCTCATCCGCTAACCCAGTGAAGATCTCCTCGAACACTCCTAGTGCGGCCATAGTCATGAACTCGTTACCACCTCTGGCAATCTGAAGCAGAGTCTCACAGAGTCCCTCGATCCTTTTGCTGGGCCATGTGCCGGCTGCAGCCACAGCTTTGACCAGTTGCAAAGAGTGGATTACTCGAGGATCGTGTTCACCGCCCTTCTTCTTCTGCGCCTCGCTCATTTTCAACAACTCCTGAACACTAGACAGTGTAGTTGCCGCGCACATATCGCTCGCCGGGTGCTCCAGACTGGGGCTCGGTGGTGCATTCTTCAGGACTGTGGTAAGAGCCTCTTGTGCGCGCTTCCGCACCTTCGGTCGATCGTCCAGCCCAAGGTTTAGCAGTCCAGCAACAGCTCTCCGTGGTCCAATCTCCTTCGGTGGAATCGCCCAACTTGTCCCATCCTGTGCGACCAAAAGACTCTCCAACACACCGATTGAGCTTCGCAGTAAGGGCGCCTCAACTTCGGCATTTGTGAGTGTAGGCGCAAGATGTGTCAGGATCGGCACGAATTTCGCTCGTAGAAGCGGCGCTGGAGCGTGTGGGGTGACGAGATCGAGGAGGTAGACCGTGGACGCGGCGAGGTCTTTGTTCAGGATTGCGGAGGAGGAAATTGACTGCTGGAGGAGGGAGAGAAGTGCAACGAAGTACGCTGTGGCTGTGAATTCGGTACTCTGATCACGCAGGATATCTTCGACGGCATTGAGGACAACAGTAACCTGTTGACACAAGATATATTAGATTTATGACATCTTCATGAACAGCCAATGGAGTCTGCGGTACCTGCTGCTGGTTTTTCTGTTTTGGTGACCGAATGCGGTCAAGTTTCTCCTCGAGGGACGACATGGCACCTGCTTCTGTTTTTATTTCCCGGTGCAACTGGAGAGCGAAAGGAAGCAGGAGTATTCTGTAGTCGCGACGGGTGAATGTGGAGTCAATTGATTCGTTTCGTGGTGGGGAATTTTCTTTCTCGTGTCACACACACACCGATAACTTTGAGGCGGGACAGGGTTGAGATATCTAATCTAATCTTTCATGAAATCTTGGCGGCTCTATTTCTTTTTGCAGTCATCTGCTCAAAATTCTCAGCCGCATCGAAAGGCCCGCATCTTATTTTATGCCACCGTTCCCAGGTATCCTCCAAGTCTGCGTACGCCAGGTTACCCCGCCAACGGCACGACGCGAGAAAAAAAGTCAAAAGTTTCAACGATAAAGTTCTCCAGCAACAATCTTCGGTGCAAAAGACTTGGTATAACCTTTCCGAATAACCTATCACCCACCACCACCATCAGCAAACCCCCTCACCTGTTGCTCAGGGTCGCGCTGAGGTAACCCCCAGGTCGTGCCAGGCCTTCATCCCTTGAAACTAAAAGCTTTCCCGTTTTTCTTCGCTTTACAATGGTCAGCAAAAAGTCGGCGCCGAAATCAAAGCCGGCGCAGAGCGCTTCGCACCTGTCCTCGAAACTCTCGACCGCGGCAGCCCCTTCAGCGGCACTGACGGCCTCTGCTTTCTCTCCTCCGGAGCTCCGCCTTTCGCTATTTGCCTCTGTCGTCCGAGGCCTCGATGCGTACCGCTTGAGAATCCACGACACCACCACCAACCGTCTGCGGTGCGAGCACACCTTCGAGAAGGGCGTTTCGATCAATTCGCTGTCCTGGGGATCGCTACCGCCGAAAGACAAGAAGGGTGCAAAGAAGAAGCGCAAGCGGTTGTCCAACGGCGCTGGGGCCAGTGCTGAAGAGGATGCGAAGAATACGGTTGTTGCAGCTGCGACAAATCGGGGCACTGTGATCTTATTTTCGCCCACCGAGGGTGTGGTGGTTGGCGTTCTGGAGGGAGAGCATGTGACCGGCGTTCAATTCTTCGTTTTCTCGGCAGAGGAGGGACGTGGTTGGAGTTGCGGTCAGGATGGCAAACTGGTGGAGTGGGATACTAACAGGAAGATTTCTCTCAGGTATGCTCTCATGGGTAGATCGCAGCTGCCGGTTCACAGCTAATGTCTCTGCTACAGTAATATTGCTCTCCCAGATCCGTCGATAAAACGGCTTGCGCCTACTACGGAAAAGATCCTGTCCGCCTCGCACACAGTCTATGCAATCGACAGGAAAGATTCTGGCATGGTCGAACCTGCGAAATTCACTGCCAACTCCACGCCAATTCACACCATCATCTCCTCCAAGGACGAGAAACAGTTCCTTACAGCCGCCGAGACTGATCGGTTTATCAACATCTTTTCGCTATTGGAAAACAAGCACGTTGGAGCGCTCGTCGCAGAATCTGATATTCTCGGGGCATCATTCTTCGAAGGATCCCAGCACGAAATCCTGGCTGTCGTTACTGCCGAGGGTGTTGTCGAGGTGTTCAAGTCGCCTTTCGAGCCTGTCGTGGCAAACGCCGGATCACCAGTGGCCTCCAGGAAGAAGAAGGCCGTGACACGGAAGGGAGAGGCAAAGGTCCGCATTGTGCGCCCTAACGGCAAGGATATCGTCTCGGTCGCCGATGTGTCCGTTCAAAACGAAGAACTGGTTCTTGCCTGGGTCGAGGGTGGTGTCAACATTGAGTTCGAGAAGGTGCGATGGACGAACGCCGAAGATGGAAGCTTTGTCCTCAGCGGCACCATCGACATTACAAGATCTAAGACCTCCTCGCTCGATGCCAACGGTGCAGTCATGAATGGCGTCAAGGAAGTTGGGAAAATGGTGGTTGACCAGTCACACGCCATTGTTGTCGGAGGAGACGACATGCAGGATGTCGGTATGGAAGATGCGCCAGCTCCCGAATCCGAGAACGAGGAGGAAGAGGAGGAAGAGGAAGAAGAATCGTCCCCCGAGAATGACGATGACGATGCCGATTCCATTGCGGGTGCCGAGGAGCCTTCGTTTGGCGACCGCTTCCAGGCTCTCGAAGTCTCCGCTAAACCCACAAACGCCCTCGCCCCTCTCAAGGTGAAGCGCTCTCTCGAGCCTCCAACAGCAAACGCCCTCACCTCGGTCCTCACCCAGGCCCTCAAAACCAACGACACTACGCTCCTCGAATCTTGTCTCCATACAACCGATACCCAAACAATCCTCAACACCGTGCGCAAGCTGCCCTCTCCCATGGCAGTCACCCTCCTCGAGAACCTCGCTGAGCGTCTCGCACGGAAGCCTGGACGTGCCGGTAGCTTGGGTGATTGGGTCCGCTGGACACTAGTCGCACACGGAGGATACCTCGTCACTCTCCCCAACCTCGTCCGCACTCTGTCCGGTCTCTACTCCACCCTCAACACCCGGGCTGGTGCCCTTCCGCGCTTGCTCGCACTTCAGGGAAGACTCGATATGCTCCACGCCCAGGTGCAGCTCAGGCAAACCATTCGTGCCGCCACTGCCGGCGAAGGCAGCGGCAACGACGATGGCGTCCTCTACGTTGAGGGTGAAACTCCCGAGAGCGACACCGACAACGAGAGCGACGAGGAGCCAGAAGAAGTCGGAATGGAGGGTATGAGGATCGAAGATGCTAGCTACATCAAGTCTCCAGCAGCCCTGGATGATGACGAGGACGACTCTGCCGAGGAAGGTGGAGCATTCTTGGACAGTGATGATGAGGAAGAGGAGGACGATGAGGAGGACGATGAGGAGGGCGATGTCAGGGCGTTTATAGACCTTGAGGCCAGCGAGAGCGAGGCGGAGGATGATGGGGACAGCGTGGACTATGATGATGTCGATGCTGCTAGTGAAGAGGAAGAAGAGGCCCCTAAGAAGGGGAAGGCGAAGGTGAAAAGTCGGCGGTAGAATAGTCAACATGCGATGTGAATAGTTGATTTTCCGTGTAATTTTTTCTTTCCTTATTATCCATCTTCATTGTTGATCATCAAAAGCTTAGGCGGGTTGAAATTAATTTTGTCTATCATAAATCTCTCATGTTGCAAATACTGAACACATTTGAAGTCACTCGAGTGGAGCCTGAAGAGTGTGAAGCATGTACTGGTACTTAGAAAACCATTCATCGTATCGATAGTCTAGATACGCTGTATGCGAAATAAGAATGAAACAAAAACAAGTACATCTTGTACAATCGATTCCATCGTAATTGTCTCCCAAACCGATCGGCCCATTACTCCCAAAGAATGACCGCTCGCTCGCTCAAAAGCATCAGAAAGATCAAAAGAAACTCCACAAACTTTTTCGAACCAGAACATGAAGCCCATATGAACCACAAATCAATCATCATCATCAAAACAAAACTCCTCTTCACTCTCTGTCTCACTCCCCGCAACACTCCACTCACTATCACTAATGTCCTCGCTGCTCTCACTCTCCTCGCCGTAAACCTGTACCTTCTCCGTAGAGGAATCAAACTTCATGAGGGTTGCCACCTGGGTTTCATCAAAGCCGTGGCCAGAAGTAGCACACAGATGTTTCTTGAGATCATACATTCTACAGAATCTATACTCGCAGCCCTCGACAACGCACTCAATATCGCGTCCGGAGGCTTCGTATCCCCAGCCGGTAAGTAGCTGCGCGATATTGAGCGCTCTAGTTTTCTTCTTCCTGGATTTGCGGGTGGATTTCTGGGTGGTGTTTTCGGAATGACGAGACGTAATGTGGCGCGCGAGGACGGCCTTGTGTCCGAAGCGTTTATCACAGCCAGGCTCGGTGCAGGGAAAGGGCTTGAGGCCTTTGTGGACGGTACGGGTGTGGATTGTCAGATTGCTCTTCTTGGTAAAACCTTGGCCGCAGTTGTCCCACCCGCACACCCACGATTGGCGTTCCTCGACGGTCGTCTCGTGTTTGTCGCGGATGTGAAGGTATAGGTCGCCTTGTCGCTTGGCGATATAGCCGCAGCGTTTGCACACTGGTGGGTGCGCAAGAGTGATGTGGCTGCGGAGCTCGGCGTGCGTGGCAAAGCCGAGCATGCCCTCAGTACGCAGGGCCTCGGGTGCTGGTTGTTGTAGGATCGGGGCTTGGATTACCGGGAAGCTGGCTTGCGAAAGGTTGAGGAGGAGAGATGCGTCCTCGGCGCTTTGATCGGTGACCTCTCGGTCGAGGTCGACGGCATGGGGTAGGGTGTTCGTTGGAACGGATGTGGTGGGCTGCTCAACCAGTGGTGCTTCGGGGGTGGTAATGCAGATGGTGCATATATACCGGCGTCTGGCGAGGCCGTTGTGCTGGGTTGCTACATGGTTTCCGAGTTTTCCTTTCGTGTCGAAGGCCGCCGAGCACGGTTTGTTAGCATCGTCGATGCTTTTGTGAGGGCAGGCCCATGGCTTCAGTCCCAAGTGTTCGGAGCGAATATGGCGGGTCAGGACACCCTTCTTGCGGAACCCGGCAGCACAAGGGGGATGGTCTTTGCACTTCACTGTCGTCAGCACTTCATCCTCAAAGTGACTATCGAAGGCAACTCACAATATATGGAAACGTCTTAAGGTGACTATCCACATGACGTTTCAGATGCTGGTTGGTAGAAAAGCTAGCACCACATTCCCTCATGCCGTTAGGACCTTCAGCAGGTTCAGAAGCCTTCCTCTTGAACCCAAACTCGCCTCTATCGTCCTCCCTCCCTGGCGGTATCAGAAAGGTACATCTATATGGCTTCGTCTTGATGTGCATGGCCTTGATATGAGCTTTGAGATGCGAGTCCCGGAGGAACGACTTGTCACATTGTTCCGGGTCGAAGGTACACTTGAAAGGACGATCGCCGGAGTGGGAGCGGAGGTGTTCATCGAGGCGGCAGGGCCGGGCGAAGGACTTATCGCAACCTTCATGGGTACAGACGTACTCTATAAGAGATCAATATCAGTCTGTGGAATAGTCGAGGGAAAGTCTCCGGCAGGTGCATACTTTTCGGTCTGGGTTTCGTAACCTGCTTCTTCTTCGGTTTGGTCGTAGCAACAGGCTGAGACGAAGGCGGCGTGATCAAAGAGCCATCATCGTCGTCGAGTATTTGTGGAGACGCATCACCGCCAGAGCTGGTGCCCGAGCTAGTGTAGCTGCGAGGCTGGCTGGCTGCTTCTCTCTCTTCTCCAGATTTCGTCCTCTTCGCCGCTGCATATCGAACCGTCGGCAATTTTCGTTTCGCAGGAGCTGGCTGATCGTCTACGCTCGCTTCAGAGGTGAGTTTAACGCGGCCGGGCATTGTGAAGAGGGTATGGAGTTGTGAAGAAGCTGTGATTGACATCGCCTTTTTTCCCGAAAGTGAGATTGTACAAAAAAAGTTCATTGTGCGTGTAACCTCAAAGGTGGGCGGCGCTATCCCCATGCGCTATTCAAGCTTCTCATAACTGGTTAGACTCGGTTGATCCCAGGGTCAGGGTTTATCGCCTTGTCCTTGACGCGAGAATCTTTCCGTGATCATCAAATCCACCTACACTACACACACGTTAACTACCATCCCCACAACTCCTCCCTACCACAACAATGTCCGACTACGGTGACGACGGAAACGAACCAGAGTTTAACGAGGACTACGAGGAGCCGGAGGAGGATTTCGAGGAGGAACCCACCTTCAGCGACAATGAGGAGGCTGGCGAGGCGGGTCGCAATGGTGTCGTGAACGGAGACCACGACTTCATCACCAGTGGCGATCCTGCCGCCGCTGCAGCGGCTGCTCAGGGAGGCTCCAAGAAGCTTGACGACAAGAAGATTCCCGACGATCAGAGAAACACGACACCCTACATGACCAAGTACGAGCGCGCGCGGTTGTTGGGCACGAGGGCGCTGCAGATCAGGTCAGTCATTCTGTTGCGGTGAAGGATGGAGGAACATGTTTCCTGATAATTCCCGTAGTATGAATGCGCCTGTTCTCGTCGATACCGGTGGAGAGACGGACCCCCTACAGATCGCGATGAAGGAGCTGCAAGAGAAGAAGATTCCTTTGGTTGTACGGCGGTACCTACCTGATGGATAGTATGGACCCCGTTCACCTTTCGCCTCATTTCGCTCTCGTAACTAACACGCTGGCTTGTAGCTACGAGGACTGGCGCTGCGAGGAACTCATCTAGTTTAATACCTCGATAATAAGCTGTGTTTCGCTCAAAGTACTACTACAAGTGATGCTTCTTTCTACATGTGCATGAAAAGCCCAGTGGCCCTTCACCATGATTCTCACCGTTGCCATCATCGCTCCAATACCCACCACGATAGATAAAACCCAAGTGCTATACTTTCCACTCTCGCAACAAAATATTTTCTACAGGATCTGTTATTAATAGAGCACGACCTCCTCTCGATGTACACAATGCTGTAGAATACCCACGTTACGTCAGGGGGGAGCCAGCACTTGAATACAGCCTTACGGTCATAGCATGAGACCCCCCACCCCATGGTAAAAGTCCGGATGGAGATCAAAGCATATCAAGCCTTAAATTATGCTCTCTTTTTGATTGCAATCCCTTCTTTTTGTCCCGGCCACTCTCTGTTCCTCTTCCCTCCTTCAGAAACCTCCATTCCACTGTGCTCGAGCAATCACAATTCATTAATAAACGATTGTAGAATTCCGAACTCCGAGGCAGTATCCTTCCTATTGTAATCTCACTACTCTTTTCGGTTCACTAGGCTCCTCAACCTGCACGTCTTCTCGGCTTTCTCGAGTCTATTGGGCGAGGTGCATTCTCGATGACTCGTAAATCGGCTGTTGCGACACCAACTCTCACTCTGTTAGGCCACCCGGTGGGATATGTCGAATCCGGTTTTCTAGGACCGAATGCCGGAAGGGAAAGCTTCCATAATCATCGATTTTGATCGATCAAGCTTTTGTCAACGATCCAGTCCTGGTAATACGTAGCCTCGTCGTTCCGCATGCACACCACTCTGAGTTGAGAGATATCCACCGCGCTCTCATCGATACCCGCACACATCCCCGACGAGCACAACGACATCAGTACTACCATCAACCCACGCAGCTTTCACCGTATTTCATCATTCCTTTCAACCACAGCTCCACCGTCCTCTTTCAGCATAATACCTACCACCTTTTCTGCCGTATCTTCCTTCACAGCTCAAACATCTCCTCCCACGTCACAGCTCACATCGTCCACGCTCCGCCGTTTCCCTTCCTCATCACCGCCAGCCAACTTTCGGAATAAGTATGTCTTCCATCGGAACCATCGTGAAAACCGAGGTGCATCTGTACTAAATATCGAAAACCAACAGCAACAAGCCAATGTCGTATCATGCTTCGAATTCAGGACAGGTTTGGAAAGGAAAATCCCGTTGGATCCCCCATCTGGCCAACCCGTTTCACGCTGGCGAAGGTGCGCAGCAGCCGCAGCACACCTCGGCAGACGAAGGGGCCTATCACAGTGATTTCGACGGCAACTTTGGGCCAGCCGTCTACAACATGCCACCACTTCGGAGCTTGTATACCAGCGGACAAACCGGAGAACCCTCGTCAAGCCGGAGGATGCCCGCGTACGGGGGTGCGTACGGAGGTCGCCACGGAGAATCCTCGATAAGCCAGCGGATGCCCGTGTATGTGGATGCGTGCGGAGGTAGCCACGGCGAACGTACTCCAGAGCATATAGGGCCCGCCGGGATTGAAGGTTTCCAGCAGTCCTCATTGGCGTTCAGACAAGGAATGCACGGAAAGAAGCATTACCCACGTATCCACTTTTTCGGTCTGAACTTCAACCACCTCCCACCGCTCGTAACGGCCCCCTCATTGCAGAATCCCGTCGCGCCACCTCTGGCCCTCTCGCTGGGAATCGACATCGACTGGTCCAGTGGTAATCCAGCTGTCACCTTCCACCTTATCCACATCGAGCGTCAGAACGGGTTTCCTCCGAATCGGCAGCAGCTGTTCCTCAATCTCAGCTGCCCTGATTCCAAGGGACTCCCGTGTCCGTCGCTCAAGTATAACCCGCACGACCTCCACTTCCTCGCTCCGTCCTCGCAGATGATCTCGCCGCTGCAGATTGAAGCCCTCGCGAAGCTAGAGGCTGAGGTTTTGGTGGTTCGTACCGGTGCCGTCCTTCCAAACGGAGCGCAGGAGTACCGTGTGCTCTGTGATATGGACAAACTGAGCAAACGCTGCAGCCACTGCGGACGGTGGGAAGCGTTAGTCAGAAGAAAGGGTGTGCATACAGGCAGCATGAGGGAAACGCACAAGTATCGCCGGTGGGGGAAATGCGGCAGTTGTAGGGTCGCCTGGTTTTGCCGGTATGAGTGCTTATACAATGCCTGGACGCACGGTAGACATTGCCTTGTCTGTTTTGTAGCAAGGAAAACCCTGAAGTTATAGTAGCTTTGGGCTGATGTGGTTCTGGGTCACTTACATCCGTTCTAGATTCGTTGCTTTGATTGTCGGTCATGTTGCTTTAATTGTTGGTCATATGGCTTCGGATTCAGGTTTCTCCTTCGGTCTCCGACTCTCGGGGAGCTTTTCTAGGGTTCGGTCCGTGTTCGGAGGTGTTTTCTGTCTGTTTTTGTTGCATTATCTTTACCGGATCCTGTTGAAAGGGATATATGTCGTCGTTTGGTAATTTCTTGCCCGTTCTTCGATCACTGTTCGTGGGTTTGCGTGTTTTATCGAGGGTTGGATCAAGGACGGTGTACGAGGCTGGTTTGAAGGATGGTGATCGAGGCTGGTTATAAGGACGGTGGACGAGGCTGGTTATAAGGACGGTGGACGAGGCTGGTTATAAGGACGGTGGACGAGGCTGGTTTGAAGGATGATGTACGAGGCTGGTTTTATTCATCTTCTTCTAGACAAATACAATGCGAATTGATGATGATGCCATACGCTGGGTACATGAGGATTTAGCCACATTGGGGATTAAACACAGGAATGCCATGATCCACTTGGGCGTGATGGGGATGCTAGATCATCGCAACATCGATAGCAACTCCCGTGAAGATGTGTTAAACCATCTGGAAGTTATACCGACCACATACCCGCCCTTGGTGGTTCTTCTGCAGCCGTTATAGTCTGCGACTGTGGGCGGGTGGTCATCTTTTATTTCGCATGCAAACTTGGTAGACGATGGTAGAAGAAACCAAAATAGCCTTTCCTCCCGCCCTTAAAGGTGGACTGGAAACTCCTTTACGTACCAAAAAGAGAGATGAAGCCATGTATAAGTTACCACCGGCGCTGCCTCGGCTCTACGGAGGGTTGCGGCGAGGAACGATAGATTTTATAGAACGAGTGATTCACATGCAGTGATTCGCCTTTCCGGCACAAAGACATGCAGGCTCGCATTCTACGTAGCATAGTGATGCCCCGAATGCAAGATCCAGCAGAAGATACTGTGGGCAGAGGTTCGGAAGGAGATGGGGAGGAGATGGGGAGGAGAAAGAATTGCTTCAGGATCCGAGACCTCTTCGCAGATGAGCGGTGCAGCCAGGCCATCCTAGACTTCCTCTCTTCCATTAATGTCGGCAGGCGAGTGCTAGAGGCCGGCGAAGAAGATGTATCCAGTCAGCGTCCGAGTGGGAACTCGGGAAGCCCGAGGCGCGACGGAGCAGTAGGGAGCGGAAGTTGCTTTTCCTTTGAATCATTTCCTTGATGCGTTCTACTTCTATCGATGACACAGCCTGGGACGAAGGGTAAAGGAAGCAACATTGGACTACTCAATGAAAGCCGAGGAACCGGAGTGTGTGTATATTGCCATGACCTACTTAGGTCGCAAACAAAAAACAAATTTACATGGCATAGTCACGACGCTGTACGTCTAGAGTTCTGTTGCGGTAGTCACTGTGGTTGAAGAATACTACCGGATCATGGAGTAGAACAAAACACAAGCGAGTGTTAAGGAAGGCTGCCCTAGTTCCTCCAGGTTCCTCTAGCTACAGACATCCTGCACATATGATTCCGAACATGATAATCGCCACTGGTTCCGGAGTCCAGACACTCTGGCTCGCTGGCTGGCGGAATATCCAACTCCGACATCCAGCTTTTTCTAGAATGTTCCCAACTTAGCATCACGCTTCAGCCTCGGAGTCACTACATGTTGCAACATCCGACGCAAGCTCGAAGCCGCCTCAGCTGTAGCTTTAGCTTCAGAAAAAGCTGTCTTTTTTCGAAATTCTGGCGCGAGTTCTAGCAGTTTCGAGAGCTTCGCTTTACGGAAAGGCGCCTCATGCATCGTTGGCAACATGAAACGAGAACGAGGTTGAGCGCCGCTAGCTGCTTTGGAAGCCGCTGGAATCGGAGAGAACTCTTGTGGAGAACACGACAGGGATGAGGATCACACGGAGATAAGATTAGATCGAGGGGAAAGCTTGACGCGAAGCATGTGGGATGGAGCGAAGCAGAGGAGATAGAAATGAAAGGAGAAGTCAGAACAGCTGTTTGTGTGTAGTGGAGAGTTCGATCAATTAATTTCCGGCGAATCCTGGAATGAGGCCAGTTCCATTGTCTGTCCTTACGTCGAATGCTCTAGATTTGCTCCGATGCTGCTCGCGGAATGAAGGCTTCTGATTTCACGGATGAAGCAAAAGTCATGCCGAAGGAGTGGGATTGCAGCACAAAGAGCCGCTTTTCTGCTTTGGGCTTGTCTTTTTGGTTCGGCGGGGGCTGTTTGGGGCGTAGAAACCGCTAGAAGGTACGGTGCGGGATCGAGCTTGGCAGCCCTCCGCGTTCCCTCTAAATTCTCTGCGATTTCCTCCCTCTCTCCTCCTCTCTTTCCTCTCATCAACACAACAAATAAAGCAAGACCCCACCCGCGATACCTCCCTCGCTCTCGTCTCTCCCATCTCCTCATACGTTTCTTCAACACTCTCATACTCCACTTAGAAGACACCCCACACAATAAGTGAGTTTACCCCGCCATTATTGCTGCCTTGCCGCGAGCTGCCCCACCAAAAACGGCAACCACAACTTCTTCTCCCCTCCAATCCACTTCACTTTCAGCACCACTTTTAACAGAATCTTGCTGACCTTTCACTCCCCATTACAGTATCCAACATGTCTGAGACTTTCGAGTTCCAGGCTGAGATCTCTCAGTTGCTCTCTTTGATCATCAACACCGTTTACTCGAACAAGGAGATCTTCCTGCGAGAACTCATCTCGAACGCTTCCGATGCTCTGGACAAGATCCGCTACCTCTCCCTTTCCGACCCTTCTGTGCTCGACTCCGAGAAGGACCTGCGGATATCCATCATCCCCAATGCTGATGAGAAGACCTTGACGATGTATGTTCCTTCCCTACATGGTCGATTACCAGTCTGTCCGTGTCACTAACACTCACTCAGCATCGATACCGGTATCGGTTTCACCAAGTCTGACCTCGTCAACAACCTTGGTACAATTGCCCGCTCTGGTACCAAGCAGTTCATGGAGGCTTTGTCTGCTGGCGCGGATATTTCTATGATCGGACAGTTCGGTGTTGGTTTCTACTCTGCCTACCTGGTGGCCGACAAGGTCCAGGTCTACACCAGGTCGAACGACGATGGTGAGTTTGATCGGCTTCCCCGGAGCATTGCGCGTTTCGGTCGCTAACTATGTCGCAGAGCAGTACCTTTGGGAGTCCTCCGCCGGCGGATCCTTCACCATTAAGTTGGATGAGGAGGGTCCTAAGATCGGACGTGGTACCAAGATTGTCCTCCACATCAAGGATGGTCTCCAGGAGTACCTCCAGGAGTCCAAGATTAAGGAAATCGTGAAGAAGCACTCCGAGTTCATCTCGTACCCCATCTTCCTCCACACCACCAAGGAGATCGAGACTGAGGTTCCCGATGAGGACGAGGAGACTACCGATGCTGATGCGGACAACAAGCCTAAGATTGAGGAGGTTTGTTTCCGGAACCCTGCCGTGCCCCATCGACTTTTGCTAATTCTCTCTCCAGGTTGACGAGGACGATGAGAAGAAAGAGAAGAAGACCAAGAAGGTTAAGGAGATCAAGGAGGAGGAGGAAGAGCTCAACAAGACCAAGCCGATTTGGACCCGAAACCCCACCGACATCACCACCGAGGAGTACGCTTCTTTCTACAAGTCGCTCTCCAACGACTGGGAGGACCACCTCGCCGTCAAGCACTTCTCTGTTGAGGGTCAGCTTGAGTTCAAGGCCATCCTCTTTGTTCCCAAGCGTGCTCCTTTCGACCTTTTCGAGACCAAGCGTGCCAAGAACAACATCAAGCTTTACGTCCGCCGTGTCTTCATCACCGACGATGCTACCGACTTGATCCCCGAGTGGCTCAGCTTCGTCAAGGGTGTCGTCGACTCCGAGGATCTCCCTCTCAACTTGTCTCGCGAGACCCTCCAGCAGAACAAGATCATGAAGGTCATCCGCAAGAACATCGTCAAGAAGACCCTTGAGATGTTCAACGAGATCGCCGAGGACCGTGAGCAGTTCGACAAGTTCTACACTGCTTTCTCCAAGAACATCAAGCTCGGTATCCACGAGGACGCCCAGAACCGCCCTCAGCTTGCCAAGCTTCTCCGCTTCCACTCCACCAAGTCTGGCGACGAGATCACCTCCCTCGCGGACTACATCACTCGGATGCCCGAGCACCAGAAGAACATGTACTACATCACTGGTGAATCCCTCAAGGCTGTCTCCAAGTCCCCCTTCCTTGATGCCCTCAAGGCCAAGGACTTCGAGGTTCTCTTCCTGGTCGACCCCATCGACGAGTACGCCTTTACTCAGCTGAAGGAGCACGACGGCAAGAAGCTTGTCGACATCACCAAGGACTTCGACCTCGAGGAGACCGAGGAGGAGAAGAAGCACCGTGAGGAGGAGGAGAAGGAGTTCGAGGGTCTCGGTAAGACACTCAAGGAGGTTCTTGGCGACAAGGTTGAGAAGGTCGTTGTCTCGCACAAGATCGTCGACGCACCTGCTGCCATCCGTACCGGTCAGTTCGGTTGGTCTGCCAATATGGAGCGTATCATGAAGTCTCAGGCTCTCCGTGACACTTCCATGAGCTCCTACATGGCCTCCAAGAAGACTTTCGAGATCTCTCCCAAGTCTCCCATCATCAAGGCCCTCAAGGTCAAGGCTGCTGAGGAGGGAGCCTCCAAGTCGGTGTCGGACATCTGCCACCTTCTCTTTGAGACCGCCCTGCTGTCTTCCGGCTTTTCCCTCGAGGACCCCAACTCTTTCGCCAAGCGCATCAACTCCCTTGTTGCCCTCGGTCTGGACGTGACTGAGCCCGAAGAGAAGTCCGAGGAGACCACTAGTGCTGCTGCCCCCGCGGCGGCGGCCGCTGAGAGCTCCATGGAGGAGGTTGACTAGACGGGATAATTCTTTTGGGTGTTTTTCTTCATTTGGCTTGTAGTCTAGTACCTTTTTCTTTCTCTTTTTCAACTTGTTTTTTTCTGGGGCATTCTGTTTTTTTTGTTTCCTTTTATCATTCTTCCTTCTCTTCAAAAGTTGCGGGTATGAATTGATGAGATACGATCGGGGTTCAATGGGCTGTTGGGTGTTTGTTCTTTTATTCGACGTCATCTTCTATTGTATGTAATAGAAATAGGAGTCGATTCACTCAATGATCTGCAATGCGTGTGAAACTCGGATGGTGACGAACTCGTAAAACCTTGTTCTCCTCCACACGTGGCCGAGAAGCTCTTGGCGTTTTTCTTTCAGGCCAGCTTTGGTGCTTTTTGAGTATCCAGTTGGGCCATGGTACGAAGATGCTATCTCCGAGTCGATTATATTCGTGTCGGCCAGTGGTAAACAAACCTACATATGTCGACTACTTGAAGCCGTTGTCACAATACCGCTCAGTGATTCAGTATGTCACTAAAGCTTGATGGCTGACAGAGCTTTTTCGCTTTGAAGCACATATCAGAGTCCCTTCCCCACAACATCGCTTCTGGAGCATTGTGATATGTAGTGATGCGAGAGGGCGAATCGATAGGTACATAGCTCATGGTTCGATAACCGCCCGGGGACTGGGAGCTTTTTTGCGAGTTACTGTGTACCGTATGGTAGACTGACACACTGACAGCCGTGTGCGAATACGGTACATTCGACGAGACGGCAGGAGGAAATGCAGATATCTAGGTGCGAAAAGCGGAGCCGTTTAGTCGAATACAAGTACATACATGCTGTCTTAGTCCACAGGTACTCACTCACACACTCACCCATCCGAACCCATTACTGCCCCCGCCCTACGATACCTACTCGCGAAGGAATGGTGATTTCACGACGCGGATTCTGGAATCGGCTGGGCCGCTGGTATGTAGGAACATATGCCCGTCCGTATCGTACCGTTACTTTCCTGGCGTGGGCGGGTTCGAGTGAGTGACATCCCATGGCCCCGATAATCCTCCGGCCCGGCCCTGCAGGGTCTGGCAGTCGGCTTCTTCGCTCCTTCTTGCGCGGGGTTTTCGAGTGGTTTTCTTTTGCACCATCTGTCTGTGAAACGGAATCCAGGCTGAAGGAACCGTGCCTCGAGTGCCAGCCCATGCCCTCCGTCAGCTACTCCCACCGCACTCTCGAGCTCCCTGGGATCACGTATCTACCGAACCAATTGCCATGATTAGTCGGGTACATAGGGTATGTATTTTCATCATATTTACTGCCAGAATTCCAGGAACCGTGTCACCTCCAGAATCCAAAGCCGATCATGTACGGTTTGTATATGTATAACTATGCTACAAGCACAAGAACAGCGCAGGGATGTGATTGGGATGTGATTGGAGACAGAGTTCGCCCGGGACCGATATCGGTGCTGATATTCGACGAACCGTTCTGGCGGCGGAGGAGGCAGCCGGCCGGCCGGTCGGTCGGTATTTGTAACGGCCTATGGGCTCGCTGGGTCCGAAGCTATGTACCTCCGCATCTACCTACCGGAGGTCCCGAGAAAGAGGAGAGATAATTGCGGAGGAACAAGCTTTCGCCCAGCCTGCCCAGCCCGCCCAGCCCGCCCAGCCCAGCCCAGCCCCGCGCGATCTTTTGTTTAAAACCCCTTTTAGCCATGCATACGCCATCTCGATTCTCGCCACCTAACTAGAGTAGAGCAACAGCCGGCTTCAATGAGGCTTGCTCCCGGCTATATATGGCGGTGGGGAAACCTGTAGCCTGTAGGTGGGGAAAACTCTAGGTGCGCATGTGACCAGCGGGCAGGCGGGGCAGCGGGCCAGCGGGGATCAGCTCCCCGCCCTTCCACTTCAAGCACATCCATATATACACCTTCCCCTCCGCGACTCCGTGACTCCGTTAACCGACCCACCCCCGCCCACCCCCGCCCCGCCCCCCCGGATCCCCGAATTCCTGCCCTCTCCCATCCACAACCCTGCGTATAGGTATACGCGGGGCTCGCCGTTATCCTACTCAGCCCCGCCCCGCCCCGACTCTCACACCTTATCTCTCGAGCCTTTACCTCACCGATTAGCAGCCTACTCTAGAGTAGCGAGCCTCGCTCTCTCGAGTCTCGAGTCTCGGCTCAACCCCGGCGGCGGCGGTTGACGGGTCACGGATTTATTCATCATCTCGGTCGTTGCGTACCCAACTTGCGTTGCGTTGCGGTGTGTTGCGTGCTCACTACTCAGCCCTCATTTGACCCCCATTTGACCGGATGATATTCCTTCATTCCTGAGTAGAGTACCTGGCATATCGCCATATAAACAAACAATAACCAGTACCATACATACAGTACTTGAGTAAGCCACAAGAGAAAACTGTACGAGAAACGAAGAAAACGAAGAAAGCAAACCGCCGCCATACGCCTCTGTGCTCCGCCTCAGCCCCCCAGTTAGTTGGTTACCACCCCCCTCCTCCCCCAAGAATAAGCTGCGAACCGAAACAAACCACCGGAAAGTAAAAAAGAAAAGGTAAAGAGAAAAGAAAAGAGAAAAGAAAACCTGGGTGAGAGAAAATTTACAGTCAGAGGAGAAGCAAGGAAAGCAAGTGCCGATTTTTGAAAGATCAAAAAAGAAAAGAAAAGACAAACAAATTAACTCCCACATAAAAGCAAAGAAGAAGAAGGAAGAAAAAAAAAACCAAAAAAAAGACCCCGGTCCAAAATATACGCCGGCTCGATCGCGAACAAAGCGACTCGACTCCCCTTCCCTCCTTTCCTTTCCTATCCAAAAGAGAGGTTGAACTCATCATCCATTAGATTATCGTCGCATCATGACCATCCCATGTAAGTTGTCCAGTTCAAGCGGAAACCGCAACACCCGGCGACGGCACCGCTGCCTCAGCCTCGTTGTTCCCTGGACTCATGGTCACTGCCGTCTTTTCCATTCCTTCCATATCATTCTTCGCGGCGCTTGTATTGCTGTCGGTGCACCCGTACTGCTCCAACTTCTTTTCCGCCTCCTTCAACAGGCTCTTGGTGCCCTGCAACTCCGTCTTCAGCTGGTGGATGTACTCGATCGCCAGCTCGACCGTGCTGGCCTTGCTGGTTTGCTCCTTGCCTGGCGCCGACTCTCCCTGGCTGGCACTGGGTGTCGGCAGAAGGCTCGCCATCTCCGCCAATGCATTGTTGATTCTATTTCGTCTTCCTTGTTCGGCGATCTTGTGAGACGTTCGCTTCGAGGTCAGATTCGTAGAGAGGTGCTCGGGATATTGCAACCCCAAATGGCTGTGGTTGCCTTCAACGATGTTCTGGTAGTTGCTTTTTGAGGCGAGGAGGAAGGCGGAGGCGTCTGGGGACATGCCTGTGTATCCATCAACAACATATCCGGCATGGTTGGGGCTGTAATAGTTACCCTGCGGCAAAAGTGGTTTTATGCTCGGCGAGATCTGCGAGATCTTGGGCTGAAGAGCTGGACTCGACGATACGCTTCCGCGCTTGCGTATCCGCGCCGGCTCCTTCCTTGTGGTCGCGCCAGAGTTGACGGGGTCCAGTGGTGAAGTGTGCCGTGACGTCCGCACGCTACTCGAGGCCGAAAGTCTCAATGACGGCGTCAACGACGGTGTTCTGCTGCTGCTAGGGGCACGCATAGTAGGCGTTGGCATCTCGTCGCCATTTTCCGACCCGTGCATGCTCGCTTTCGATGCATCCGTGACTTCCACTTCCCGATTCAAGTATTCGGCGGTATCCATGGATATCGGTGGGGTATCATCGGAGTGTACATTTGTTGGAGGCAGTCGCATGAGGGTGGCCGGCGTCATGGGTGCGCTGAACGTTTTCTGCGTGCCAAACCCATCTTCCTTTGCGCTCGAAGTCCGGCGAGGCGGCGGTGCCATCAAGACCTCAGGAAGAGGCTCCGGCGAAACCGATTCGTTCGAAGAGCTCCCCCGGCTCATGGGTTGCTGCGTCGGAGTGTTTTGCCGCGAAGTACCGGGCGTCGACGAAGTCCTCCTGGCGCTCTGAGGTATCGTCAGAGGCGGCGGATATGATGTTTGCGCCTGTTGCGCCAAAGCATTGGCGAGCAGCGGCGCTGCAGCCAGTGGCGGCGGTGGCCGCTTTCTCTGCGGCTTCATGCTCGGCGACTCCCGAACGACTCTCGCAGGAGTACGGGAGGTGACTGACCTCCGCCGACCACCGCTGCCATTATTGCCGCTGCCCTTCTTTCCGATCATCGGCGATTGTCCGGACTCCACGTGCGTCGACATCTGGTTGCCCTTATGTGACACATGGGGATTTGGCATGTGGGTACGGTGTTGGTGGGCGTCGAGCGCGGGAGATGTCAACGGGCTGAACGGCATGACAAAATCCGGTATCTGGCGCGAATACTCGGTCTCGAGAGGGGTAACCGCTGGCGATACGAGAGGGGTGAAGATCATCTGTTGGGGCGAATTAGTCGTGCAAAGGGTCCGCGAGGGACGGGCTGACTCACTGGCTCCTCTCTGTACATACTGAAGCGGTCCATCATCATCTGAGGATGTATGTTGTGGAGCGTCGCCTGCGGAAGGCCCGCATGCATCTCCATACTCGTCGGCGTCGGCGGGATCATGCCATGGTGGTGGTGGTGATGATGGTGCATGCCATGTTGGCGACTCATCATCTGCGCTTGGGCCATCGATTTTTGCATTTCGTGGAATTGCATTTCCATGAGTTCGGCCTGCGTGACGCCAGACATCCCATTCCCGCCTCCCGTCGAGTTATGCGAATTATTCCCATCCAGACAAAAGTCTGTGTCCATCGTCAAGGAATCCCCCCCATCGTTCCCACCAGCATCGAAGGGCGACGTCAAGCCCAGCGGCAGGTCACCAAAATTCAAAAACGTAGAAAAATCGTCATTCAAATCGGGGGCTCCGTTGTCGATTCCCGAGTCGTGGGCTTGGTGCCACATCGGCGAGACATTGTCGTTCATAGCAGGCTTCCAAAAAGAGCGCACGCTGGACGGTTCAGGCGATCGAAGGGTGGTAGTTTCCGGGAGTCCGGGCGGCGGTTAAAACCTCGACTTCGGTCGAGTCGCGGGGAAGGCTGGAGCAGCGGCGGTGGCGGCGGTGGTGATGGCGACAATGTCCGACGGCGACGGAGTTCGCGAACTACTGCGATTGGGGTTGCCCGCGTGTGGGCCACAAGCGGATGAATGTGAGAAGGCACTGCCCCAACGATGGACGTGAGCGCAGAACGATTGAGATGGATTCTTGTAGTATGTAAACGCGGATGCAGGCAAGCGGCTGTAGGAAGTGTGAGTGGCAGTATGGAGAAAGCTTTTGAAGCTGCAAAAACGAAGGAAGGAGGATCTGGGTGAGGGTGAGGGTTAAGGTGGTGGTGGTGGTGTTGGGGAGAAAGGAGCGACAGCGACCAGCACTCAGCACTATAGTTAATCGTTACATACCGGAAAATCACGAGTTTTGTCGAAAGTTCGGCAGGCAGTTTTAGTTACTTACTTGCCTACGTTAGCACCGAGCGCAGTGCCGCGCATATGGATGGCTTAGTCAAAGGTGTGGGGGGAATGTCTCCGCGGGACCGGAGAGCAGTGGTGTAAAATACACCGTGCCGAAATGAGGCAAGTTCGACAACTATCCGGTTCATGCAGACATGCAACGCGTACAAAGAATGGAGGAGAAGCGTGGTGTTGTAGGTGATGGAGAACAACAGGATGAAGGGGGAAAAATGTGGTGTTGTTGGCGATGGACGGCAACTGTTTGGTAGGTGAGACAACAGTGGGGGATTCCGCTGGGGCGAGGGGGGTGGAATCGCGGGATGGATTGTCCAGCCTCCATATAGATCGGTCCAAATCGACATCACCACCCGTCAACAGGAACGGCTGCTAACAAAACATACATATCGGCAGTAGTTACCTGGGTAACTATTCCTCAACCACAAGACACCATGCCGGATCGCGGAACCGCCAGAACGCACCGGCTGGCGAAGAAAAAGGACGCAACAACTCAGCGGCGGGTGAAAAGGCCCTACTCGGACAGCAGGTAAAAGTTACATAAAACTCGCTAAAGCGGCCGGCCTGGTTCTCTGGAAGGCATGTACTACGGCATTCTACCTGGGTTGCTGGTCTAACTCGGACCCCACAAGCTTCAGCATCAGCAACAGCTTCTGTCTCCCGAACTCTCGTTACAAAAGAAATCCGAATCGAACAACGTTGGCCAACTCCGTCAACGCGTGAGAACCCCATAACCATCACACGCACTCGGTCATGCACGTACACACGATCTGGGGAACGGGGGCAGCAGGCATCCGGGCCTTTGTCCGCTGGAACTGTGTCTCCCCTTGTCTGTGTGACCACTACCTCACACATCCGATGGATGGATGATGGCGACAACGATGTTCCAAACGAAAATTCTTCACCTCAAAGTCTTCGACTCTGTCTAGCGGTGCCCTCCTCCAAAGCACTTGTTCGAGCTCTCTTTGCCCGCAATGAAGCTTGCATAGTTGTATGCTAGCTAAAGTGCTTGACCCAGCCACCGGAAAATCTCCTGCATAAGTCCACCTTCGCTTTCGATCACAAAGGTATATACTAGAGGGATTTTGCAATGGGCTTGGGATCGAGTTTGGGATCGAGTTTGGGATGAGAAATGGGATGTAACTGGGACAACCGGTTAATTTACATAACCACAACACATCCCAAACTCCACAGGTTGGCGTTGGAACCCGAACCTGTAAACACCGCTAAAAAGTTATAGTTGGCTGTGTTGGGAATAGTAAACATGCTCTTCTAGGGCACATAAGGAATAGCAGAGGAATAGCGTTGACATGGTGAGCTTGGCTTGCGTAAGTCCCCTTGGTAGCGCCACACTATCCTCATCCCCAACCCGGGATTTGCAAAACCTCTTTTTCTGAAGTTTGGGTTCGATACGGGAAATTGCACTAACATCATAGCCAACTTACATCCCCAACTCGACTGCAAAATCCCTCTACTTTTATATGTATGTAGCTAGGCATCTTTCTCCTCGACATCTCAAACAAGAGTTTTCATCGGGCAAGCAAATTATCCGCCCGTCCTTTGATCCATCGCGAACATCTAGCGCATCCGGCAATCAAACGCCAGCCTATGTGACTGTCACCTAAGGCAACAACAGCATGTACCTAGAAGGCTATTGTTTTCAACTTTCCCCTCGCCTTCACCCCACCGCTTAGCACGATAGATGTGCGTTCAGTCAGTCGATTCGCTAAACGGCGCTTCTATGGTACATGGGTACGTAGGTTCCGAATTATGTTGTGAATTATATCACTTGAGGGAAAGGAGTCACAGCTACGAACACCCGTCCACTGGCCGATTCTCTCCGTTGCGCCTATGTACTCCAAAATCTCGGTCTGAACAAGCCTAGCAATGGAATCCCACTTGTGACGACACTCTCATCACGGGATAGGTACCTATGCCTCTAAGGCGAGTTCCTCCTGGTCTCTCGACTCAAGATCCTTGAAGGTTGGCGATGCTTGGCCTGTCACATGAACTTCTCCTCCGCTGTTCCAACGCCGTTAAACCGGGTCTCCAGACAAATGTCCATCCGAAGAGCATCATCCTATACGGGCACAACGATTGTGGAGGTTTCTGGACACCAGAAACGCTCTCTACGTCGGGAGACCGTTGAACACTACTTTTCGTCATATACTATCACTACTGACCAACGCGATTCATGAAAGTCTAACGAGAGGTGTTGAAAAGTAACCAACCGGACGTCTTTCATGCCCAACTCAACTGACCTCTGCAGTCGACCAGTACACGCAATAGGTTATCGGAGTAGGATCCCCCGTAGGTACAAATACGACCGACCAAAAGAAACCAATCCATACTGGTGAAGTGTGTGAGATGAAGAACATCAATTTACTTCGCATATAGCCTTTCTAGACTGCCGGGGAAGTGTGCAAATAACCGTCCATCGCGCTATATGACTTCGTCGGGTGATTCCCAGTGACTCATACCGCATTTCATCCCATCGTGCACACTGGTTATGACTTGTTGGTCTCTGCTATCCGTCCATAAAAGACCGACCGGCCATAGTAGTCCGTTGAAAGAAGATAGTTGCTTATGACAACTTCATCACATCATTAATCTCAAGTTGGGATTGGATAGAACTTCGCGGTCTTTACGGAACCGTCCCGGTGTCTTTTCTGCGTGCGCCGTGAGCTATCTAGCGTGCGTCATCAGCCACGGTCCACCTGGGGGGTTGCGAAATCTAGTGTTGCCCTCCTATGCTAACTAACTTCCTACGGTACTACATATATGAAGCCCTCCTTCGAAATGCCAATCTGAGCCTGGCACCGCGGCAGCGCAATCAATCTCGCATTCAGCTACCGGAACTACATATCATGCATAAGTTCACCTGTGATGGATGCTTCCTGAAGTCTTCTTTGAACTACATATGTCCGATGTGAGCTGGGTGCCTAAGTAGAAGTACATATGATATGTATCCCACCCATGCAGTTACCTATGGTAATTCCCCCCCAAACTTCCACCACCGAAGGTAATCTATCTATCCGTCCAGCTCGCATTCCATTCTTACTTAGGTACATATGGAAGCATATCGGTAGCCAATCAAAACGCTTGACGCTGTCGTTTTCCATTTTTTTTCCTTCCCTTTTCAGCCGTATGTAGATAATTTCCGTTTGAACTCTTGTTTGCATGAGTAAGTTACCCCGCACCGCGGAAAGGAAACTAGAGCTTCTTGGCCAGCCAAGAACTTAGAACGCGGCTGTTTTGAATTTCTCCCGAATATGGTCGATGACGATGTTAATCCCCTATGTACATACATATGTAGGCCCAGCTAGCAAGAGAAGGAAGGAACTTACGTAGGTCGGGGGAGGGTCCGAGCCTTCTCGCTTTGTATGTACATATGTAGACCATCTGGAGGTTCCTGAAGCTGGAGATCTCAACGAAAGGAAATTTGTATGTACCGTATGTAGTCCTTTCACCTTCATTTTTTCTTCTCATCTCACGATCTCCGCTGCCGGAAAACTGTGCACACGGAACCCCCACTATGTATCTACTCTAGGTACCGGCAGTTGCGGCGGACGCGGCGCCGAGAAAACGAGAAGAAGCAGCTCACGTCGTCACCCTGTCACAAATATGTACATAGCAAGCGGAAGGTACATAGAGAATGATACATACACGCCGCCATTGCAGCACGTGGTCGTGGTGAGTAGTAGTGGGGGGTGGTGGTGGGAGGTTCGCATTCATGGGAGCCTGTCCGGTCTAACTGGGTAACCAGTAGTCCTCGACCGTGAAGCTAAGCCGAGCACTATAGAGTTCGTGCACATCGGGATCCGAGTGGGACATCTATAACCGTGTGTACCTGCAGTAGGGGGGCAGGCTCAGAAGTCAAGACCAAATTTTAAAACTCGAAAAAAAAAGAGGGAACCGAATCCCGAGTGATATCCAGGCGGCAAGCGGGGCGGGCGGGATCGACTCGGGCGGACGAACGGCCGCGCGTGCGGTAAGCTCGTCTAGTGTCTAGTGTCGACGTCCATCCCCCCGCACTCCGTTCCCGCCCGGTGGTCACCTGCTACCTATGATGTACATGCTCGATACTTCTTGGACAAACATGAGCATAAAACGGCGAGTGCGGTGTCGTGTGCTCGCCCTTGCCGGCTGGGAAAAAATCTGCAGCAGAAGTTTTGTGCATTGCAGCAGTGGGCAGCGATCGCCGGGTCTGATGTAAGGGTTTTAGGTGCTCCGGATGTTGAGAACCAGGCACGGAAACATGGAATAGCGGGGAAGGGGTGGAACAGCGGGGAAGAACGGCAAATGCAACAAAAGCAAACAACCCAATACCTACGGAGACTCAAACAACCCAATACCTACGGAGACTCAAATATCCGGAATATGTATCCGAATAATACATGGGCCTTTGCGCTACCGCCAGCGTGCTTACTCTCTACATATCCGCACACAAGCGCTTTGCCGCTGGACTCGACGTCGAGGGTTCAGGGCCCGCGAAAGCGGGGGGTGACTCGGGAGCGAGATTGCATCTAATGATGTGCGATCGTCAACCGTAAAATTTACTGGTCAGTACATATCTGACTGTCCCAGCATATAGGACACGCTGGGCTAAGCACGGCCTGGGCGCCACAAATAGGCATCCTTCGCGGCCCCAAATCTATTCATCAACATCGACTGTTGTCATTCGACGAGTGATTTCACGTGGCTAAATCATCGCCATCAAAGTTCACCGTCACACTCAAAGTTTCACTCTGTTTACATACTACGATGTTTTTGAGCAGCAATCCATTTAGACTAGCTATTTGGAACAATGACGTACTAGGGATGTTTTCCACAGCCCCTCACAAAATGTCACTCGCCCCTAACGTCCCTCTCCTTCCCATCCTACCCTCCCTTTTCCGCCAGCCTTCTCACGACCAACCAAGATCTGTGGGCCCAGTTTTGAATTGTGACTTGCTTCCGTTCAGTGCAATCGCACGACCTCTCCACCCTGTTCCTCGGGTTCTCAACCTGGAGCGTATCCGTATTCCCGTTTGGGTGTCGCCGGTCCGGGTGCATTTCGTCTACCCCAGCTCTGACTCTTTCCGTCGCACCACTCGTTGAAGCTTTCCAGCGCTTGATTCGCTGACCGACTGCACGTTTGCGAGGACACGCCGACCAATCGGGCTCACCCACACCACAGGACGCAAAAAAAAACCAACTTGTGCTGTTGTATCCTGACTTCTCTCCCAGGACTCGTCACCCACCCACTCCACTACATTCACCACACCTAAATCTCGACTCAGAAACACCCATCCACCCATCACCACCACCCGCCGCGAAGATGCCGCCGGCTCCGCATCTCCTGCAGCTGGTGATCCAACAGTACCCCGTTTTGGGAGTTAACTCACAAGGGAGTTTCATTGGCACTGATAAGTACAAGCAGCGGTTAATTAGGGCCTTCCCTACTTATACCGAATTACAAGTGAAGCAGGCGGTGAATCATCTGAGCAAGTTAGCTTATCCTTTCAAAAGAAATGTGATCGTACCGAGTGCTCACCAAGCTGCTTAGGACTTCGCAGCTTCCCCCGGCATCGAGTGCTCACCCTACCGGAGCGCAACCGCAGCAACAGCAACAACAGCAGTCTTCAGCACAAACTTTGGCGGAATGGATTCGCTCGACATACCCTTCCTGCTGCAAAGGCCCGGATGGCGCGCTATTGAGTCGTGTGAAGATTGTGAAGATTCTTTTTACAATGCTTCCCCCTCATCTGAAGGGAGGTACTACTATATTTGCCCTCAATGATGCGGTTCGGGAGATGTGTCTCGAAGGAGTGAAAGGAGGGCCCTCGCCCGAGTTTCCCGCCGCTTACAACTCGACGGATGGTGCTCGCCCACAGGCCTTGGTTGGATGGGTGCGCTCAGTGTACCCACTTCATGGCATAGCCCCAAATGGCGACAGTCTGGGCAAGGAAGCTATTCTAAACAAGCTCTTGAAATTGATTCCTCCGCACACCCGTCCCAAAAAGGACGATCTAAGGAGTGCCATTCAGACTGTGCTCAACGAGGTTACCGCAACTGCTCACGCCAATGGAGCAAATGTCTATACCACCTCAGGTGGTATTGCCCAATCGTCCACTACACAAGTTCCTGGTCCAGGGAATACCGAGAAACCCCGAGGATTAGGTGGCCAACTGCGTAATTATGAGTTGCGCTTAAGCGGTGGGCTGGCGTCCTCCGGCTGGGTGGCTCGGCCTCTAGCAACCCCTCACGATCAAGTGGGGCTTGCACAAGACACGAATGGGCTGGGCTTCAACGCCAATCCAAGGGCCATTACCCCAGGGATGCCTCTTCCGGAGAAACCCATTCACCGTAACGCTAAAATTGCCGGTATGTTTATGGAAGACCACCATGTTCTTTGGACTACAAGCTAACCCCGTCTGCAGCGGCACTTGACGTCCATGAAGAGGACGAACAGAAGGAGCCACAGGAAATCCCTCTCCTTGATGATCAGATGTGTTTGTTAGATACTAGCATTCACGACCAGGACCGGAAACCCTCAGATCTCCCGGATAGTGATATCAAGAACTCTGTGCTCTTCACCGTTGATATCATCGAGGCAAACAAGAAGATTTTACCGCAATATGGACTACTGGGCGAAGTGTTTACGAATGGGACACAGTCCATCGCGGATTCACGTCTGTTCTTAAACACGAATCATCCGTAAGTTTTCCAGCATACCATTGTTGTTTCGCTGACCTGACTCGACGGTAGTTTTTCAGTCTTCTGCTGTGGATTGCAAGGCGCCGGAAAGAGCCATTCTCTGAGTTGTCTTCTTGGTGAGTAAATCCCGTCTTCAGGTGGCTCGTCGCTACGTTCTGACGATATATGACACCAGAGAATTGTCTGCTTCCCACCCGCACTCTCGGCATTCTGAAACGTCCACTGTCCGCTCTTGTTTTCCATTTCAGCCAGTATACCTCACGATTCAACTTCAGACCGTGCGAAGCGGCATTCATTGCGTGTCCGGACCTCAAGTTCAAGGACCAGCACAGTGCCGTACCGGTAACGGTTCTGGTTTCTCCATCGAACTACGCAGGTCTCAAAATCGCGTACTCCGAGATCCCAGGAGTGACGGTCAAGCCCCTTCTCCTGCGGCCTCAGGATTTGAACGTCGGGTCCATGCTGACTCTCATGTCGGTGAACCAATCGTCCAGCGCGCCGCTGTACATCTCTCACGTCACCAAGATCCTGAGGGAAATGGCATCGCAGACTAACAGTTTCAACTTCAAAGAGTTCAAATACCGCCTAGATCAAGTCGACATGATGCCCCTTCAGCGCAAACCTTTGGAACAGAGGATTGATCTGCTCGAATCGTTCCTGGACTTGCGGGGTACCAATGATGGCTTCGAATTTCCCGAAGGCAGCATCACTATCGTGGATTTGTCCTGTCCGTTCGTGGACGAAAACACCGCGTGCGTGCTGTTCAACATTTGCCTTGGTGTCTTCCTTCAAGATTCGACGCCGGGCGTGGGGAAGGTCATTGCTGTCGACGAGGCGCACAAGTATATCACCGACACACCGGCGTCAAAGGTCCTCACCGAGTCCCTACTACAGCTCATCCGCCAGCAGCGTCATTACGGCGCCCGGATCATCATCTCTACCCAGGAACCCACGATCGATCCTCGACTTATGGATCTCTGTTCTCTGACGCTGATCCACCGATTCACCGTAAGCCTCCCAGCACTAAGCCTGATTTGAAGCCCTCCAAGCTGACACATCTCCAGTCCCCCGAGTGGTTCAAAACACTCTGCAAACACGTCTCCGTCATGGAAGACGATGCAAAGCTGTTCAAGCGGATCATCAACCTGCGCGTTGGCGAGGGTTTGATCTTCTGTCCCAGCGCCATCATCCCCTCCGCGTTCCTTAGCGAATCTCCATTTGCCAGTGAAATGTCGTATGGTTATGATGGAGAAGATAGTGGGTCGGGATCTTCGGCGACGCAGGAGAAACTCGGAGGCAGGTTTCTGAGGGTCAAGATCAGGAAGAGGTTGACTGCCGATGTGGGTTCTCCAGAGTATTCTCTACTAAAGGAACGATTGCTGACTGTGATGTGGCGTATAGGGCGGAAAGTCGATCGTTTCGGTGTAATCCATCTAGCCTTGCTTTGGGATATGGGGGGTTTGAGTGGAGCTTTGGCCATGTGGTTTTGATTTGAGTTTTGATTTGAGTTTTGACTTTGGGTGGCCATCTCCATTCGCTCTTTAGATGCCGCTCTTGATGAATACCTGTTTTTGATCGTCTGTATTGCAAATGGAATTCCAGTTTTGCAATCATTTACCGTGTGCACACCTGTGATGAATTTGAGTGATGCCTATGGGTGAAAGTGGGTTAAGATGATGGTAACACAAACACATGCTCAAAACGCGCACCTCATCTAAAGTAGTACCTACCCCACCACGCTCTCAGCAGCTTCAAGCTTCAACCCATACCACAGCGCAAGATGCCCGCACCAACCCCCTTCAAACCCGCGCTCTTAATCGTGGACCTCCAAGAAGACTTCTGCCCACCAGTTTGTGCCACTCCCCGCATGCATGACCAGCTCACTAACCCCCATAGCCAGTCCGGGGCGCTTCCCGTCCCCTGCGGCCGCGACATAATCGCGCCGATTAACACGCTCTTAACCCTCCCGTTCGCGCTCAAAATCGCCACCAAAGACTGGCACCCCGCTTCGCACATCTCCTTCGCCACGAACCACCCGTCGTCTCCCCCGCCGTTCGTGAGCACAACAACCATCGTCCACCCGACCAACGCCGCACACAGCTACACCAGCACCCTGTGGCCCGTCCACTGCGTGCAGCAGTCCGCGGGTGCAGAGTTCGCGGCCGGCTTTGACGTTGACAAGGTCAACACCACCGTCTACAAGGGCATGGACGAGCGCGTGGAAATGTACTCGGCGTTTTGCGATCCGTTTCAGTGGGTTGAGGGATGTAATGCCGTGGCGGTCAGTGAGCTCTCCGGGCTGCTGAAGGAGAAGGGCGTTACAGATGTGTACGTGGCGGGACTGGCGATGGATTACTGTGTGCTGGCTACTGCGAGGGATGCGGTCAAGTTTGGGTTTAGGACTTGGGTGGTTAGGGAGGGGACTAGGGCGGTGGGCGGTGAGGAGGGGGCGAGGACTGCGGAGAAGGAGATGCGCGAGGCGGGGGTGACGGTCGTGGCGATGGATGGCGGAGAGGTGGCGTGGGTGAGGGAGTTGAAGGAGTGAGGAACGCGGTACTGAGACTGGACGCTGCAATTTGGCCGGGCTCTCACCAATATGCGGTCACATTGCTGTGTCAACCTTCAGTATAAGGCGTATAATTCCTCTGGCTGGATATCTGCTGGGTTTTGGCTTGATCTACTCACTGTGTTTGGGGAAGGGATGCTTCATGATTGATAACGAGACTAACGCAATACACATGATTGACCGCCACAGCGTTCCTCACACAGTCGGATTACGCACCTTGTTCCCGGATACCATAAAACTTTAAACACCGGCACTCTATGCACTGACCGAAACAAAGCAGTCTGATCACTCTCCGTCCTCCACTTTGTTTCACTTTACATCCGTACTAGGTAGTAGTCATCGCTATCCTATTTATACATTTTCGCAGTCTTCCAGATGCTGTAGTCGCAGATTGGTTAGGGGGCCGCGTATGTTGGCGATACTGGGATATTCCTACTGCACCGGACGGTCTTTCAGGTGGAAGGGTTCAGCGAGCGGAACCAGTAGGATTGGCAATAGACAAACGCTCTGGACTGGTGTTTGGACGTTTCAACGAGTTCGTCGCTCCGAATGTTTCGTTCTTCAGGATCATGGCACATCAATCGTCACTCGCCTCTCAGCTTGCGCATGTGCTCATGAGACTACCAATATTCTGACCGGAGCCTACATGCGACCGGTGACACTTGGGCCGACATTTCCGTTGTCGTCATGGACTCACTGGATATTTACTAGGTATTCCTCGGGCTGCGGCGATGATGTTTACCGGTTCATCCAGACGGACCCCAAATTATCCGGGACACCGATTGCAATTGCACAGCCCCCATCTGTCTGCCTTCTTCAGCCCGAGATACTCTAGGTGCCGGGGTTCAGAGTGTGTTGGGACTTCGAACTTGGAAGACCCAGAGCCGAGCCTGCGGAAGCCGGCTGGCCGAGACGCGGCCTTTCGATTGCTCTGAGATTTGGAGCTCGGGGTCTACTACCTATACTGCGAGATTTGTTCTCGAAGGAGTTGTGAGATCTGCCAGTCATAACCTTAGGACTCCATGCTGTATGAATTATCAACTCGTGAGATCTCATTGTTGATGGCTATAGCAGCGCCCAGAGCTGTCCCGGACGTTTATGTATGCAAGATGGCTCGGATCCGAATCCAGCCGGGGAGATTGCACTTGCTGCTGGGTAATCGGCATGCAAGTGAAGGCTGGCTTGGACTGAACTTGGATCGACGGCCTGGGTTCCTTCCTCTGCCTTTCCGGCCCGGATGCCTTCATTCGGTGGGTAAATTGTCGATAATTGTAAGGGCCGTCTGGGGAGATGGGGATACTTTATATGGATCGTGGGGACAGAGCTCGAGAGTCGACTATGTACATAGAGTACCCAGAGTAGGGGTGGCTTTGACTGGCATCGAGGTCGCCTTTGCTGGTATGTATCTACCTAGAATACCCGCCGCCCCCATGCTGTCAACACATGCAGCCTCGCACCTCGCACCTCGTGTCTGTCAGATTTGCATCCGCCCTAGCGTGTGTCATTCTCACCACCGGCTTGGTCCCCCACCCCCTGGCTCTCATTTACCCATTCCTTCCTTCCCTCCCTTCCACCGCCACGTTCTTTCCCACGTTCTGTCCCCCAACCCTTATCACACAACACCCCCGACCTTACCGAAGCAACATCCTCAACACACACACACCTTACCTGTATCGCCTGATCCGATCCCCTTCCCTGATCTCCTCCCTCATCTTTACGCAACCCGACCAAACCTGCCCTCGGAATAAATATAAAACCCAAACCAACCGCCGTCACCGTCATCGCCACCATGCCTAGCTCGATCGTCTCAGCCGATTCCTCCAGACCAATGCTCGTGAGTCCCAGTCCAGCTTACCGTCCGCGATCTTCTTCTTCTCCATATCCTCGTCCTCGTCCTCGTCCGCTCACCATGATTTCTTCTTCGCCGTCCCAGACCCAGCGCGACTCGACCGATTCCAACACCATCAACGAGATCGACGAGGGTCTCCGCAGACTCGATGATCGCAGATTAGTCCAGCAGCGCTTTGTGCCCACCGAGCAGAAGACGGAGATGCTGCAGAAACTGGCTCTGGGCGCAAAGGTGGAGCGCGCTCTGAGGTGGAGGATGGAGGGACAGGATTATGTCCCCAGACTACCGCGCGCGAAGTCGGGTTAGACGGTCGTCACGATGAGAGAGGGTGGATCGGCGAGGGAGGGAGGTAGTGGATGTATGGGTTGTTTTCTCATCCGCCCGCCTCCCCTCCCCTCCCACATACCTAGATTCTGGATCATGATGCTCATCACCTACCTACTCCTGCCTCATATAGGGGTTAGGGGATGACAAACTTTCGACATTCGCTTTTTTTTCCCTCGTTTTATTGGACTGGGCCGGACTGGACTACGAAAGGCATTACGCGTGTGATTTTGCAAGTAAAAAAGTCAGACGGGTTTTGGCGTTGGGAAGGGTTGTTTTTTTTTTTTGTTGTTGTCGTCTATGCCTGCGCGATTATTCTCATGATCTTCTCCTTTTTTCGTTCTGATTACCCTGCTGCCATTTTTGTTTGATTTGATTTACACCTACTTGTAGTTATGACTCTTCTGCGAGTCTGCGGGAGAGATGGAATACTGTTTGAATATACTACGTTTGAATTTTGGGATTTGTGTCTTGAGCTGGAGAAAGCGATCTCGGTGAGCATAACAGTGCTTCGGAAGGTATGCTTCGGCAGTTTTTCGAGACATCGAACTCGAATCGGCTTCGTTCAGCTCGCGGACAGCTGCGGCATCGCACCTGTGTACTTTGCTTTGCTCCGCCTTCTTTCGACTGGACATGGCGATCATATGAGTGGCAAGAGATTCAGCCAGATCAACAGGTTTGGTTTGGTTCAGCTCTGTCGCGATCGAGCACAAAGGACTTGAGTCTGTCAATGCATTTACAGCTGTTCCCTCCAGCTATTCCAGCTCCAACAAGCTCAGTTGTAGTTGTCTTTGTTCTCGCTTTGAGCCCAGGTTCCAGTACGTGAGCTTCAGACCCTCTACCTATGCGGGTTCGATCGTAATCACCAATCGACCTCCACTGAGCGCGAGTGAATGGGAGTAGCAAGCAACTGGCAGAGCCGATCTACCTACTCTTTGATGTGAGTTAGGTTCTAGACAAACAGTTTCCCTTGCGAAAAGGTGGGGAAATGCCAAGCCGCTGCAGGTCGCTGGAGGTCCAATTGCTTTATTCACTTTGCTGCCTCTCGCTCTCTTTTTCTTTTCTTGCTTTCTTTCTTGTTAAAGGCAAGACGAGAACTTGCTCCTCCTTTCAACCCATTCAACGATCAACTGCCTCTCCCCCCTTCAATTCCTTTAATCTTTCCCTTCCTCTCCCTTGCCTCGCATCGTCTCAATACCCAGCATTTACCCTCCCTTGTCCAATCCAGATCACGTGGCGCTTCCCCGACCTTTCTCCGATCTTCTTCTGCCGCCGTCGCGCCCCACATTTTTTTTTCTCTACCGTTTCCTTAGCTCCAAAATTCCGAACGCCCACACACACAACAGCAACAACAATCCCGCACAACCTATCCGCCCGCCACCCTAACCACACTACCCAAAAAAACCCAAACCCACCCCCCCGAATCCCCCACTACACCATCAATCCCCCCCTCCCCCTCCCCCCGCTAACACTACTGCTACCGCATAACTGCATTCACCTTTTCTCTCGTCAACCTCACCTACCCATCTCTCCAACCCATCACCTCCCGTCCACCACTTGCCTCCTTCTCCGCAGCCGAACAGCCCGCGCACCCAAGGAAAAAAAACTACACCCCACCTTATACCCTCAACCAGTCTATCCCGTATCGACAATCACAATAGTTATGGCGTCTCCCAACCTTAATGGAAGTTATCTGCAGCAGGCAGACCCCCAGCACTTCCCTACGAATGCCACCGGTGCTCCACCACCAAACTACACTGCTCCCACCGCTGCTCAACCAGAACAGCAGTCACAGAGCCAAGAGGTCCCCAAAGATGAGGTTGGCTGGTACTTTGTCGAGCAGTACTACACGACCCTGAATAAGACACCGGAACGTCTTAACGTATGTTGCTCGGCTTGATGCTTCTTCTTGCTGTTACTTCTTGTGTGCTGATTGATCTCTTCTCGTCATAGCTGTTCTACAACAAGAAGTCTATAATGGTGTGGGGCACGGAGGGTGAGAGCCTGCCAGTGGCCCATGGACGTTCGGTATGTTGATATGACCATCCTTTGTCAACCCCGAGTCCGATCAAGACTAGCGACTAACGTTTCGTCTTGATGTATAGGACATCGCAGAGAAGATTGCTGCCCACGAGTTTAAAGACTGTAAGGTTCGGGTATCAAACGTCGACTCGCAGGCCTCCGCCATGAACGGTATCATCATCCAGGTTCTCGGTGAGATGAGCAACAATGGCAATCCCAACCGCAAGTTTTCTCAGACTTTCTTCCTCGCGGAGCAGACCAACGGTTATTACGTTCTGAACGACATCTTCCGATACTTGAAGGATGATGACGATATCGAGGAGGGCGAGTACGAGTACCCTGAGGAGGTCATCAATGAGGTCCAGGAGGCTGTTGCGGCGGCCACCGAAGAGATCATTGAAGAGATCCAGGAGATGAGCATCAAGGAGACCAGCTCGGTGGAGATCGAGACCGCTGAGGGGGACAAGATCAAGGTTGCGGAGACAATTGAGTTGGCGCCTACCCCGGCTACCGAGGTCGAACCCACAGTCGAGGAGACTCCCGCCCCAGTCAATGGATCCGAGGAGACTGCCAACGGTACCGAGGAGGCCATTCCTGTTCCCGAGGCGGAGGAGAAGGTGGCTGAGGCGGTCGAGGAGGAGAAGGAGGCTGCCCCAGCTGAGCCGGAGGCACCTGCTGTTGAGGAACCTGCTCCTACGCCAGTTGTCGAGGAGAAGCCCGCCCCACCCGCGCCTGTGAAGGCTACCCCCCCTCCTCCGCCTGCGCCTGTTGTTCCCAAGACCTGGGCCAACCTTGTTGCCTCTGGTTCCAAGCCTGCCACCCCTATCGCTCGCCCCGCTGCTGCTGCCGCTCCCGCTGCTGCCGCTCCCGCCGCGGCTGCTCCAGTTCAGACTTCGGCTCCTGCTGCTGCTGCTGCCGGTTCTGCAGCCCCTGCTACCACTGCCGCACCTGCTGCCCCTGCTTCCCCTGCTGTTGCCAGTGGAGGATCTCAGTGGCAGACTGCTGATAGCGGGCGTCGCTCTCGTACCGGCGCCGGTGCCAGCGCTGGCGCTGCTGCCACCCCTGGCCCAACTAATGGATTCGTCAAGAACGTCACCGACGCGGTCACTGAGGAGGCTCTCCGGAAGGCTCTGACTAAGTTCGGAAGCTTGAAGAGTCTTGATATCAACAAAACGAAGGTATCATTATTCCCTCGAGCGACAAATTGACGATCAAAAGCTAATAATATACCGCAGAGCTGTGCTTTCATTGAGTTTGATAACCCCGCCGCCCTCGCTTCCGCCATTGCTAGTCCCCTCACCATTGCTGGTTCCAGCGTTGTCGTTGAGGAGCGCCACCGTCAGAATACTCCCTACCGTGGTGGCCCGTCGAACCGAGGAGACGGAAGGCCCCCTTCCCAGGGTGGCCGTGGCTTCCCGAACCGTGATGGCCGAGGGTTCGACGGAGGCCGTGGTGGTGGACGTGGTGGACGTGGCGGGCGTGGTGGTAGCTTCGGTGGTGGACGGGGCGGCGTCAAGACTGCCCCGGCTGGCAACTAGGTAATGCCAACCAACGGGTATGAATTACTCCTTTTCACCTACGACAGATGCTGACTGATCTACAGACGTCCTAACATCGGTTTGGCTAAAAATTCGGGGTCTCTTATTGTTTCTGCATAGGGTTTCCTTGTTGGCTTCATCTAACGCGTATGCCTCACGAAAGCTTTCTTTCTTTTGTCACCACCTGGGTTGGGTCATTTGTTTTCTCGATTTGGGTCTGTGGTTCGGGGTATCGGCGGCCTTTGGTTGGGTGGTGGGAGGTGCGATGGGGGAATGGGCTTTATTTCATTTTTCCGTGTCTGTACTACCTGCTACCTTACCTTACTTACCTTACCTTATGTTTCTTTCCCGTTTTTTCCTCCTACCATCGATCTTCTTTGTGTTCTCTTTTCGGGCATTTTCTTTACTTTTCTCTTTTCTTTCATGACGCAGCTTGTTTTTGTGTATGGAATAAGTTGGGTGGCCAGTAGCGGGCGAGGTTAATAGGACTTTTTTTTTTTTTTTGTTGCTCTACATATAACTTTTTTCGGGGGCGTTGGTTCTTTCTGTTCCTTTTTTGAGGGCTGTGAGTGGGATATGATATTGCTATGTGAGTGGTGGCTGAGTGGGTGAGGAGACGAGGCGGAAGGAAAAGAGGGAGACGTGGTGAGATTGAAGGTGGTGAGATTGAAGGTGGTGAGATTGAAGGTGGTGAGATTGAAGGTGGTGATGTTGAAGGTGGTGATGTTGATGGGGGGTGGGGTGAGGCAAAAGCGGATGGAATGATGTGGATGCGGACAAAATCAATCAAGTCGGTGTTTTTTCATGAGTTATGGTTCGCTCTCTGGACCGATGCTGTATGAATGGGAAGTAGTTGCCACCCTGGAAATGGAAATAAACGAACGGGCCGTGATATTCGAGGTGGGGCAACCCTCTCGATGATCTCCATTTGACGCCCGAAGCAGCAGCAAGGTCAACGATTACCGTAGGTACTAACTATACACGTCCCAAAAAACTCCAGCAGAAAAACCCCAAAACAATCAACTCCCTAAGCACTCTTCCTGTGTCTCAACCGATACTAGGGATCACCATCACAGAGTCACAGGCCCCGCCGTCGATCCCACCCTCTCGACTGCCCGAAAATATAGTATGGGATGGAATGGCTATTCAGCTATTGGCCCGATAGCCTGGAGGGCGTATTTTCGTTTCTGCTCGTGACAGTAGGTATCCGTCCGCCCACCGGACGACAACGACAGGAAAGACACCATAGACTATATCCTGCCCACGGGCCACGGAAGAACTGAAAAAAGGTACGCCGCTGAGCCTGAGAGGACCATAGGTATCCTCTGAATAGTGTAGTGGCTCCAGTGTGTGCTGGAGACTTGCGGGCCCGGGAGGTTCTCAACGCGTTGAGAAGCACGTAGCTAATCCAGTGACGATGGGTGTCCCGAAATGCTGCTGCTGTGTTCAGTGTCGGCATCATAATGTGGAGGATTTCTCGCCTTGAGGCTTGAACTGCACCACACCATCACTCTGTGGGTCCAGGTCTCTCATGGCCGCTCGACTTCAGCGAGTAGGTGTTTTCGACGGGCACTCTGTATAATACGTATAACTGCCATTGAGCAGAGACAGGTCCTGTAGAATAGTGCAAGGTTGGCAGTGAACGAGTTCAGCCTTGGGAGAGCGTTGAAGGAGAAACCGCATGGAGAAATGGATGACAGATGGAGAGAGGAAGAGGAAGCTGAACACGAACTATCGTGGTAGGTGCTCTAGGTACTCCAGATCACGGGCTCTCAGCCCCACCACTAGCTTTGCCTTGGCAGCTCTAGCACGCGTCCGATGTGCACACCATAATTTTTTTTACACTTTCCCTCCGTGATCTGCAGCGCTCACCGAACGGGATCAGCAGAGGTCACAAGACCAGCATCACGTGACCAGCGAGTGATGGAATGTGATCTTGGAATGTTTGGTTTTAGCGCACCAAGTGCTGAATGCCCCTCCCACGCCCCATTCAACAATCTTTGACTCCATTCCATGCCAATATGACTCTACCGTATTGTTGAGTAGTCCCCCACGTCGCCGAGGGTACATACGGCGGTGAGTTCCCTGGACATCCCAACCTTTTTGAGGCGAGGGCCGCAATCAGCCGGTGTCTGCTGACCGCTGGCTATTAGTGACCCGATTCCGCAGCGCAGTGCGCTGAGAGCGTCAACAGCGCTCCGTTCGATTTCCGTAACTCATTTGACGGCTCTGCACGGGTCGGGCTCCTCAACGTTGCGTAACTTGCGTTACCTGCATCTCTCCTACGCACTCCACTCTACTCTGCACACCTGCCCTGTGCATCCAGTCCTACTCTACTATCCGCGATCCACCTCACCAACCACAGGGAAGACGGAATCAGTAGTAACGTCAACAGTTTCGTGGACGCCCATCTGTCCCATCTCGACTCCGCATTCGATTCTCCACTTTCCACTTTCCTCACGCATATCCCTTCCCAGAGTAAATAAAAATAGCTATCCCTTCGAGCTCCGCCGTGGCCTGTCACTGTGCCCAGCAGGTACCTACATGCTCAAAGTAAGTAAATGCTTACTTAACACCTTACAATAGCTCTACTCTACCGAATCAAGCTCTGTCCGCTTATTCCCTTGTCGTGCGCGAACGACGAATAACAGACGACGACATCTGTCTGGATCAGGCGGAAGAAAGCAAAGCTGCCAGGTTCCCCAAAACCACAAGGGGAGCTTGTCGTACTCTACAACTTTATTCACTCCCAGCTCATCCACCACCACCCACACTCCTAAGCAAACAACCCCACCCCAGCCATCCAGTAGGTAGCCCAGCTCCAAGCATAGCGACCACCACCAGCAGCACTACCACCGCCACCACCAGCACCAGCACCTTATCGCGAATCCTCCCTCCCTCCCGAATCGATGAGGCCGGCCACCACCACGACCTCCTCGGCCGACGCCGCGATCCAGGGCGTCTCGCGCCCGAGGAAATATTCCGACGCACCCGCTACAGCCGACGACCGAGACCGTGACCGCGACCACTCCCCGCCGATGATGTATTTCCTCGCGGACGAAGCTACGGTGCAAGCCGCGACAGCTACAGCTGCGTCGCTTCTTCCCGCGTCCGCGTCCGCGTCTGCGTCTACCTCTACCTCTACCTCCGTGTCCGCATCCATGTCCTCCAACGCGAGCTCGTCTACGTTTGGCGTGCGCAGCTTGCAGGCCTCCGTTTCCGACTCGGAGCTCAGGGGTGGCAATAGTAGACGGAACAGTCCCGCACCAGTAGTAGCACCGGTGGCGGCGGCGACAACAACAACAACAGAGGAGGTGGAAGTTGAAGAAGAACTGGAGGATCAAGACGAGGACGGGGTTTTGGACAGACTCGACACCCATAGCATGGCTTCGTTGAGTACTGCGAACCAGGACTTCATGTCGAGCGTGCCCTCGCCAAAGACAAACATGAGCGTGCCGTTGACGCCGATGCTGGGTCCAAGCATCTCGCCCAGCCCTATCGTCGGAAGCCCGGTCGCGTCGCGGAGCCGAAGCACTAGTGATGGCGGTGACGGCTTTTTTGGCGGCGGAGGGCCGCAGCTTATCATGCCGCAGATCGTCATTCCAAGTCGGCGGCCCTTTACGGAGAAGGGAAAGCGGATAGGGAAGCTTAAGATTTTGATTGCTGGAGATTCTGGTAGCCATATCATGCGTTGCGATATCTCGGCGCCAACGGCTGACTGGGTGTCTTAGGTATCGGAAAGACGTCGCTGATCAAGAGCATCGTTCAGACTTGCGAAGATATCGTGCATGTGGATCCCGTAACGACGCACAATATCTCTACGCGGCACAGCAGCAGAAGGAGTGGAGGAGCAGAGGAGTGCACAAAGAAGATCACAGAGGTTTATGCTTCTACGCGGCCATACCCTCAGTGGTGGAGCGAGATCGACGATAACAAAGTCCTCCGCCGAAGAAAGTCCCGTGGCATAGAAGAACAAGTGATCGAACGAAATTTGTGCTTTGTGGTATTTGGCCTCAGTATCCAGCTCCTGGGTAAGTGTTTTAACATTGCTTAGGATACGCCTGGCTACGGTTCTGGAACATCGGTAAGCCATTCCCCTTTCGCTTTCACCACTCGAACCACTCTTGCAGGTCCCTTTCACATGTTTTCGTTTGCTGCAGCACTATATTATTATGCGATGACGTATATTGACGGAACCCGTTGCAGTTTCTCGAATGCATCGAGCCCGTTGTACGCTATGTGGAGGCACAGTTCGACCGGACGCAGTCAATCATCACCAATGGGGAAGCTGAGCTGATGTCGTTGCTCTCCGGAGGAGGCGCTCCTCATGTTGATGTTGTGTTTTATGTGATACTGCATAGTCTGGTGCCCCGTGACTCCTCCTGATGGTGCCTTTGCTGACGGCTCATGCAGGACTTAAACCCGTTGACGTGGAATTCATGCGCCGGCTCTCGCCATTCACCAATATCATCCCCGTCATTGCCAAAGCCGACACTTTGACGCTTCAGCAAGTGACTAGTTTGAAGCTATCCATACTTGGCGATCTTCGATCGAACGGTGTTCACCCATTCTTGTTTGGGGCGTCATCATCCGATATCCTGCGAAGCGCTGCCTTCAACTCGGAGGGTGAAATGCCGACGGTCACCGCACCGTTTGCGATCTCTTCGATAGTGTCGTCGGATTCCGAAAACATGGATGCCAGCGTTTTGATGTCACCAGAGTACATACCGCCGCTGATAGACACCGAGCTCAAGCTACTGGTAGACTTGGTGTTCGACCCGGAAAATGTTGCGTGGCTCAAGCACTCAACAGCCAAGAAATGGATGCAATGGCGAATGAACAAGAGCGCCGCTCAACTGATCACCACCCGCCAAATTGGCTCACCAGGACGACCCTCGACACCGCCCCGTAGCTACTCAGCCCAGGGAACGCTGGTCCAGTTCAACCGTGACCGAGCTTCCAGCGGCGCGGCAGATAGTTTCACCCTCGCCCGAGTCGCCGACCACACGCAACGCGAAGAGCGCCTCGCCCAAGTGCGGCTCTCACGGTGGGCCAACGACCTGCAGAAAAGTCTCGCCGCCGAGCGCGAGCGATACGAGCGGCTCGCTCGTGGCGACCGCGCAGTCTGGCTCACTGAGCGTCTCGGCGAATGCATTTCGGACGGCCAACTAGTTCCCATCACCGTCGGCGGTGGCAGCAGCGGCAACGGCGGCAAGGCGGCGGGCTTCCGCCGCAGCGACGGCCGCAGGAATATGAACGGCGGAGTCGACACCCGCGATCCGTTCGGTATTCTGCAGATCAATGAAACCGTCGGGCATAAGGTGCTGGTCATGATCAAGATTGCGGGGCTGGGAGGCCTCGTCGGCGTGGTCGGCGTGTGGATGTACAAACAGTGGGGCGCGAGCGGGTTCGGGGAGTTGTTGCAGGAGGTGGGGAGGAGTTGATGGTCGAAATGCAATGCGATGATGTGGATGATGAGTCAAGTAAGTATGAATTGATTTGAATTGAATGGCGGGCGGATAGGGTAGCTGTGAATGATGTTTTTTCTCCTCTTTTCCTCTTTTCCATTTTTTCCCCGAGTTTACTTCAACATGTAAATCGATCATGTTTCTTTCCTTCTCTTCTCTTCTCTTCATTCAAGGTGCCGGGATGAACTTTACTTCTTTACTTCTTACCCACTTGACTTTTAGGGACTACTTACTGTTGGCTGCTGGCTGTTGGCTAAGGGCTGGGATGGAAAAGGAATGGGGGATGATCGATATGGCAAAAACGCTTGGTGAGATGGGTCACTGGGTGGGGAGGATAGGCTGTCTCTTTGTTTTGTTCTACTCTATACATGTATGTACGCTGATGTGTCTTTTTGTATGTATGTTATGTATTGTATGATACTCTACTTATGCTAAGCCCGGAGGTCATGGTGGAAATTGAATGGGACGATGTTTTATGGGTTATGGACGATGGTGTGAAGTGGGCACTTGGAGGGGGGGATTGCTGTGCTTGGGTGGTTGGTTGGTCGTGATGGTGATTAGCGGTTCTGGCGGAGATGGGCATCAGGGCTGGCACATAGGGCTGCAGGTGTCAGATAGTGAGGAGGGATCCGGGGTCACAACTCGCGATTCTTGAGGGTGGAGGTATGCATAGGCGGCAGAGCTATCATGTACATACAGACGCACCTAGACAAAGAAGAGTTCAAGAATAAGTAGCAAGCCTCTTGCTAGGTATCATTTTATGATTTCAAACGTCAAGGAAATAAAGAAGCATCAGAAGACAAAAACAAGAGTGAAAAAGAAAACACCAATCCACTACCGCAATCCGCTACCGCAACCCATCCTATTCGCCACCAGTTTACAATTACTTCCCCTTACAAAGCGTCCACATTTCGAACCACTTCTCAGCCTCCATGCGCTGCTTGAGAGCCTCGGCCTTCCAGATCTCCTCCCGTTTACGGACCTCATTGAGCTCGTCCTCCAGCTCCTTCATGCGGTCCTGCTTCTTCTGCCTGTACCGTCTCGCGGCGGCAGTATTCCGCTTGCGGCGCTTGTCCTTGTCGTCGTCGGAGCTGTGGATGTCTGTTTCGACCAGCTCCTTTGGGCGCGGCGAGAGCGGGGTGAAGCTGGCTCTGCGCTTGCGCGAAGAGGTGGAGGACTCGGGGGAGAGCGTGGAGGTGGGCAGGGAGTGCCCGAGCGGCGGGAAGAGGGGGAGCGTAGGGAGCGTGGAGGGCGGCGTGGGTAGTCGGAAGGTGGAGGTCGAAGTGGCGGTGGAGCGCGGTGGGGTCAGCTGGTCCGCGAAGGCGGGCGGTGGTGTTAGGACATTGCGGGAGGGTGTGGTCGCGGTAGGAGTAGACTCCTCGGAGCCCTGGGAGGCGTCCGGGGAAGGAGTCTTTTGCTGCCGCGTGGTGGTGTGGGGGGGGATTGTTATGGTGGAGGACAGCGTTGCTTCGAGGAAGTCGTCTGCTGCGGTGGCGGTGGTGGGGGGGAGGTTGAGGTACGAATCGAGGGAGATGTCGGGGGTGGTCGGAGTCGGGGTGATGATGCTACTGAGGGCCGGGTCGTCAAAAATTGACTTCTCGAGAAGCTGGTCAACCGTGTCGTTGTTTACGCGGTCGAAAAGCGGGAAGTCAAAGCCAAAGAAAGTGTTATCGTGATGGAATCCGTCGAGTTCTTGTTGTCCGAAGTCGAGATCGAAGTTTAGATCAGTGCCGAGGTCGAGGTCCAAGTCGAGGGGAAAGTGCTCGTCGTGATGATTAGTCCACGGTTGAGTACTTGGGTTCGCTTGGAATGCCGCCCGCGTTGAGTTTGCTGGTCCGAGCAGCCGAGTTGACTACAGACGACGGGGTCAATATGAGTGAGAGGAGGAGGATGGGCGAGAAGTTGGGGACTAACAGTGAGACATTTCGCAAATTGATTAGGGATCGCTGAAGGCGATGAAGACACGGGGGTGCTCGGGGTGCGGAGTTTATGACCTCCGCAGTTGGCGGGTCGTTAGGAGGTGGCGAGAAAAGCAGACGCACAGGGGCGTGGGAAGGGGGGAGAAAGACAACGTGGATGGCCGTCTAGTGATGGTGTTGTTCTGGAGGGGGGGCAAGAGGGATGTGAAGAGCGGGAGTGAGTCTACTAAATATCATTGTGAGTGAACAAGCCTTGACTGCGGGAGCGAGGCTAAGTCATCAGCTTACGTTCCACAGCATTGCTGCGCCTGCAGAAAGTGGAGTCATCCGGGGCCTTTGATTGGCTGGCAAGAGTGTCGATCACGTGCAGAGGCGATGTCGACTCATCATGATGAGGACGAGGTCTCGGCATGATATTTTATCCGATTATCTCCGGCGCTACTGCTGCCTGGAATCAGGATTAGGGTTGTTCTTTTGGCTTTGCCTGTGAGCGGAAAGACTCGATAAACGATAAGACAGACATAATTGGCTAAGCACCGGCCGGATGGCATGATTATTTTGACGCGCACATGCCACAAGAGCTCATGCTCGTGGGCTGTGCGTCCAAGCACGGGATGTCACTCGGTGGCCACCCATCAATGCTCACGATAATTCAACTTCACATCACAGACGATGGCGTTGCAGCAAGCCGGCTCACTGACGTAGACAAGGGAAAACTGGACGGTGGGAACAGTGTACATACATTGCCATGAGCTAGATAGGTTATAAGAAACCAATAATGAACGAAGACAAAGAACCTCACATCTCAGCACCGACTTGAATCACGCTGTGGTGTTCAAAGGCTTTTCATCCACAAGCATGCAATCAGAAGTTGCCTACTTTGTAACCCGTGGAACGATCTGGAACCGGCGGTTTTCAACGGCCAAAGCTCCTCGGTTCATCAGCACATCGAAGGAATAATTTTCCGGATTTACGTCAGCAAATACTAAGCAAGGTCATTTGACATCTCTCAATGTGAAACCAGTAGAGATTCCCGTGCAGCGTTCTACATGACAGTCCAGTCCGTCCGAGCCATTGGACGGGATTGGACTACATTCATCTACCTAGTCCGTCCGGAAGTATGTGCTGGACGAACTAGTCCGCCGGTAAAGTCGGATGGGGCGGACTGAAGTCGACTGCCAAGAATGGTCAGTGAGGTTGTTTAGAGCCATTCGCGCAAGGTCACTCGATTTTGGTTCCAACAATTTCAACAGATAAATTTGAACAACTTCAACAACTCGGTCCCCGAAAGGTGAAAGCGGCCCATCATGCTAATGCTCTCATTATATTGGCTGGGAGCCAGATACTTTCAGTCCCATAGACTTAATGGTTGTCCATCTGGCAGCAGATCCTCATGCTGCCACTGGCCGTTTCCACCCCACCTCAGGGTGAGCCTAACTGTAACTACCCCCAGTAAGAAGTCTTCCACGTTTCCTCCAGTGCCTTATGATAAAATTTATCTGTGTTGTGGTGTAGGTTGTTCTAGTGTTCTCCATAGTCCAGTCCAGTCCGTCCGGATCCTGGACGGGACTGGACTACATACATCCAGTCCGTCTGGAGGTGTCTGTGGGACGGACTAATCCACCAGTAAGGTCGGACGGAAAGGACTGCAGTCGACTGCAGTTGAGCCCCGTCTAGCAAATTGGCGGACGGGACGGACTACTTTTATCCCGTCCTCAAAAAGGCACGGACGGAACTGGATCTTGAGAGTCCGTCCCGTCCGGACTGCAGTCTGGACCGGACCAGGAGAACACTGGCCATGGGCTGTTCACACAATAGCTGGAAGAGTTCTACTGTCATATTTGCTCGGGTATGTGCTGAAAAGATTGGAACTTTTTTTCACTGCCGGGCTGCAGTCCAGCCCCGTCCAGCGAAACGACGTACGGGACGGACTACCTACTTTTATCCCATCCTCTAAAAGGAACAGAAGGGACTAGACTGAACCCGCCCAGTCCGTCTGTCCGGACTATGTAGAACACTGATCTTATATCTCTTCGTCTAGAGCGGGTATGTGAAAAAACGACGAGGACTTGTCGTATGCCGTAGAGTACCGGTACCGTAGCGAGTTTAAGTAGGAAGGGAAGGACGGGAGGAAACACCTACATATCTACCTTCTCAATGTAGACTAAATGGACGCAGTGCGGGCGCCATCTTTGCGATCCACCGACAGCGCTATGTACTCTACATATGTAGTTTCCAGAGAAGGGAAGGGAAGTTGTCTTATGACGTGGCGTGAACGGAAAGAAGGTCGATACAAGTGGGGCAATAGCCTATGGCTCGAAACTTGTACTTCGAAACGGAGGATAGAGGATAGGTACTTTGTACTTGTATGATGCGGACCCGCGCTGAATTCGAGTGCTGCGGGATTTGAAGCTGCATCTCTTTTTTTCGTTTGTGAATGCGTGCGCGCTAATGCCGGCAATCAGTTGTCGCTGTTGATAGTAGATATCGGTACTATTGGCCCACAGCACTGGCGCATGCCTTTGATATCACTCGCTAAGGTCTGGTCCAGTCCAACTTTTGGCATTTATCCGCGGTAGCTGAGCGTTGAGGAAGGGTGGTGCCGGGCCAGAGCTGGGCTGCAGACAGGAGGAGGGAAGTTTATACTCTATTGCCATGATCGGAGTATGTAGCTAGACCGCACGTAATTGACGAAAAAGATATGAACAATCACTCGAGATCCGACCGGAACGAAATGGGGCAGGAGCGGGGGAGGGAGCACGTCTTTTCTCCCCGCAACTCGATGCATATCATCGGTGGGGTGTGAAGAGCGAGCCACCAATCGGCATATAAGTAAGCAAGTATCTACTACTTAGGCAGTACGTTCAAGCAAACTGAACCCCCCGCGTCGGCGAAGTCGAGGAGAGGAAAGATCTCCATTGTTTGTTTGTTATCGGACATTCGTACATAGCGGTGTGCAGCGCTGACTCACCTCCAGACTGGTGGACATACCGAAGTACTTACTTCTTACATACTTCCTACGTACGTAGGCCACGATCTGTGACCCACATGGCGTCCGGTGATCGTCTACTTCTGCTTCCAGTCGAATCAGAAGCCCCGCTTTGATTGCTTGGTTTGGTTGTCTGTCTGTCTGGCGAGACACCACGTGCACGTGAGCGCTGATTCCAAACACTGTTTACATAGACTTCGGGCCTTCGGCTGGCAAGACTAATCATGAATGATGAATGTGGAACAGTCTGTTGATCACAAGCTCGAATAGAGGACAAGTAACCCACCAATGATTCCCAAGTCGGCCACCATGTGATTGACAGCTTCGCCTTTTTTTACTACGGTGCTCAAGTGTTACTCGAACTGCAACAATACCAGAGGCCAGTGGAGTGGCGTAGACGAGGAAATCGAGGTGGAATGTGAGATGTGCTCTCTCTTACAGCCGCTCGTTTAGGTTCCTCACCCTTGAAGAGGCAGGTTACATAATCTCCAGGTACTGTGAGTGGAGTGGTCAATTGCTGCAAAAGGATTGGTGTCTTGGTGAAATATGTACTCTACTCTAGAGAATTATGGGAAGCTCTATATACAACTTCTTTTCTTCCACATATCCCCCGGTCATGTAGTAGAATCATCACCGTGCGCCTCGGCAGATCTCTTGATCCTCGCTCCCATCCTCTCTTGGGCCGACTAGAATTTAGGCTCGTACGGCAAGGATTAATATGGGGCTCATTTGTGGGCGGGAAGGAGTGGAAAGAGGGGACAAACCACAGAAAGAAAAGATTGTCAGTGAGGGAAAAGGCTGATAATTTCAGACGCTTTGGTGTGTATTTGCGTCCTATCCATCAGTGACAATTGAGTCATTGACCACTAACCACCCGCAACCTACGGTTACTAACGCCAATGCAACGGCAACCCGAGGATTTGTCTCTGAAGTGTACAGCCCGCGATAAAAATGATCGTGATCGAGACATATGTACCGGTACTCGCCAGGCCGGTCGGATTCTTGCGAGGCAGCTTCCACCACCCAGCGACTGCAGCATCGTGTCGGTACTTCCTGCCTCACGTCACGTCAACTGCAAGGCCTACTCGGACGGCGAAAACCGTCGCTCGGATCGGGTCGGACCTGTATCTCCTTGATGCTTGTGAGTTGTTTATACGTGGAGACGGGGAGTTGCATGTGCATTGCATCCGTATCTTTCGGCGCAGGCAGAGCGATGCTATCTTTTTTGTTTTTAGGAGGCCGGTGAGCATAAAACATCTGCGGACTGCCGTGGTAGTGGTCGGAACGGAAGTACGCCTCTGACGGAGCTCCGGTGGGATTTTCGGTATGATATTGAGTACATAGCTGGGGAGATAAAGGCCGGCCACCAGCAAACTCCAATTTCAGGCGTCGATATGAAACAGAGTGACGGCCGATGAAGCCCGCAAGAGTGCCTTCCTTTCCGGATGGAACCTTGCAGGATGGATGGATGGGGCCGGGAGAGGTTCCTAACTTCCCATGCAGACTATTACCATCATCATCATCGCCATACTGCACAACTCCGTGATTCGATCCGGCGTGTGACGAAGCAAGGCAAGGCCTGCTTGCAGATGGTGGCCGGCTGTATTTGTTCCCTCCCGTACAGGGTGTATCACGTATCATGTATCATGCATGCACGTTGGACGGTTGGACGGTTGGAGAGAAGGTGCTCGCGTGCGCCATAAGGCCTATGTATCATCTCGATTCTCGCCGTCTGTGCTCTGTGGGGGTTGCACATTTGGCTATCGTTGGAGGCGGCGGCGACGGCGACGGCGGCTGTGCATTGATTGAGGCTTCCTTGCATTATCCCCATCATTGCAACATATACCCACTTACCCACCCACTTACCTACCGTTCAAATGTTGCTCTGGAGTTTGCCGGGGCCGCCACAAGGTGAAATGTCCTCGACCGTACCCGGTTCGATATGACCTGGTTGACATGGCATATCGATGCGCAACGATATTGACACTGTTCGGTGCGTGTTCCATGGCACCGTTACACGTGTGCGAGCCTGAGAGTATAGATAGCTAATATTAGCCCTCCGCCACAGGTCCTGACTCCTGACTCCTGACTCCTACTTCCGTAGCAGGTGAATGATTTAGCTCAGTGTGGCTATCTCAGAATAGCAAGGCCGGCGGAAGGATGTCCATGTGCCTGGCCCTGGCCACGGCCACGGCTTGCTCCATCTTCCGCTCTCTGGCCCAGTCCTCTTGTGTTTACCTGCCCAGATGCCTCATGACCAGGCTGATGGGTCACCGTAAGCAAGTAAGGGACCGGCTCGGTGGCATTTCTCGATTGGCTTCGGAACAACCCACACACGGAGTGATGACTGTGGACGGGCGGACGCGGCATTACAGTCCCACCTCCAATCCACTCACCCACCCACTCGCAGGTGGCCTATGGTGATGGTGTTCTGCATACACTCCGGAAGACTGCACCAACGATGCAATCGCAAGCCAACTACCGCTGTATGTAGTTTCGCGCATACGTTCTGGCGGATGATGCGAGTTTTGTGCCATAAACTGGTGGTGATGGCGGGATGTGGGTCAGCTCCTGATGACTGGTTGAAAGGGCAGAAGCCCGGACGGATGTACATACCCCCTCGATAAACACCTTGTTTCCCTTCTGGCAGGCTGACTGGCTAGCCTGTGATAATCGACGGATGTCTCCAGATCTCTCTCTCTCCTGCAATTGCCGCGTCCCCGTTGCTCACCGGCATCACCTAGCTAGCGGTATCTCGGTCACAACCTGCAAAGCATCATCCATGATAATCTGGGGGTTAGGGCCGGCGATCTTCCTTGAAAATCCTCTCCATGCCTGTAGCGAAAGTACTATTTCGGTGATTAGTATTGGTTGGTTAGTGCCAACAATCTCCAGAGTCCAGAGTCCAGTTGGTAACCACGGGCCACGGCAGATCCAAAGCGGGGCTGACAATACTATACTCGAATTCCTTCACAGCCGCTTAGTTGAATCGAGACGGAACGGATATCTTGATTATAGTATTAATATGAGCTGCGCCTTGCTTGCATACCTAAAGACTTACCTACTCCAGTCTCCACAGCTACGGTACGGGAGAGGATGGCAGGCAGGAAGTGGACAGCCCGCTGGAGACTCGCACAGACCAGAGTCACCGTTCTATTCCCTGAGATGAGCTTGTGGTTCGAATATTGCACTCCAACGAACTGCGCCTCCAGCCCGCTGCAAACCCACCACGTAGAAGCATTGTCGTCAAGTCGATGATCTGCAAGGGGAATAAATGCGGTGAAGACCACTATGCCGTTTGCGATCGTTGTGGTTGCAGGTTTCCTACGCTACCGCGCCGTGGTGGGGATGCATTTTGGTGCCATGGATTACTATGTGTATATCAGACCTCGCACCCTTCATCCACCCGCCCACCCACTCACCCACCCACCCATCTATCACCAAAAGCTCGAGTTGGGATTCTGTACATGAAGGAAAGAACACTGTTCACGGCCGTCTATTGGAATCGACTCCACATTTGCAACCATGCCGATAATCACTTCCAGCAGCTTCCCGAGTACTACTAGTACCCATAATCCGAATATGCCACCAGAGATACCGACCCGACCTAGATCCAGGAGCTGGCAGGGACTTTCGACATTCTCGGGCGCACTGACGAAGCTGGATGTCAGGCGTATCACCGTCTCGTCGGCGCTGGGGACCAAGATGGTCGTATCGGCACCGTCACCGAGAGATATTCCAGCATCATCACCCATTTCCCCAGCGACCCCGACGAGCTCCATTTTGTCGGCACTACGTATTCCCATGTCTCCCCTTTCTCCCCCAGCCTCGCCGACTTCCGCGAGATTGTCCGTGTTCGGTGAGCCATCATTCACCTCGTTCACCAAATACCGAGTCCGAGTCTTCACCAAGGAAGGCTTCGACTATCACTACTCCGAGATCAAACTCCCTCAGCAGCGAGTCCCTAGCATCAGAGTTAGCCCACCCGATGAATCGCCACTGCAAACAAGGTTTCTCGATCCCCGCTCACCGCCAAATATTCCTCCCTACACAACCCGGCATTCCTCAGCACTGTCCTCAGCAGAGTTCATATACCGACGGACCCGGAGCCTTGAGCCCGAGACGGCCCAGCCGATGATCCAACGAAGACGTCGACGAGCGAGCACACCCGCCCGACGGCCGGGAAGATTGGTCACGATGGGCTACAACCGCGGCGTGAACGCCGACTGGAGAACCACGAGACCACCCATTCCCTCTGATACACCAACCCCGCTTCCTCCACGCCCAGATACGCCAGTGGTACGACTTCTGGCAACACCGCCAGTCAGTCCTGTGGAGTCATTGACCATTCCCAAGGATATTGAAGTGGGCCATGATATCGGGTGCCTGTCGACTCCGCAGGAGCAGCGGGAACCACCGCTGTCGCCGCCACATACGCCGCGGAGACAGAAGAGCGATGACTCGCTGTCGTGGCTCTCGCAGGAGCTGGCGATCTCGGATGAGGTGGAGGAGGATAAGCCGGTTGTGGAGGAGAAACCGCTTGAGAGTCCGTTTATTGATTTTTCCACACCTGCAACGCCGTTCAGACGGGAATTCCCAGATCTATTCCCGACCATCGAGGAGGAGGAGGAGGGGGAGGAGGAGGGAAAAGAAACTGCCGTATATGCGGAAGAGATTACCGCAGAACCAGAACGTATTCCAGCAGGTGAGCCCGTGGAGCAGACGACGACAGAGGCAAACACCTTATTATCCCTCCCTGCCGAAATCCTCGTACGAATCTTCTCTGGCCTCCCATCTGCTTCCGAAATCGTTTCCTTCTCCCTTACATCACCGCACCTTCACCGCATCTTCACCGAAAACGCAACATCAATAATCAGCTCGGCCGTTGGCACCACATCCCCGGCGCTCCGCACACTCCTCTCCACGCCGAAACTCCACCCCACAAGTTTCAAAGAGTACTCGCACGCCATAACCACCTCCATCGAGACGGCCAGCATGCTAAAATCCGCGATCCGCGCGCGGTGCAAAAACTTTCTATCCAAGCACCTCCTCGAAGCTAGCGCCTCCGACGAAAAAGCCTTCGACGACGCCATCTTCCACGTATGGGCATTCTCGCTGCACTTCTCGGAAGCGCTCTCAAACGTCGCAGGGCAGATATCGTGGCTGAAATCGCGCCGCCTGGGAATGCAGCAGCTGCGGGACCTCCTCGAGGTGTACCAATGCATCGGCGTGCTCCTGTGCCCGCTGACAACCGACCTCTCGCTCGCCGTCAAGGCCGGCGTCGTCCCCGAGCTGGGCAAACACTGCGTGCTCGAGATGGAGGAGGGCGTCGAGCTCTGGGTCGTTTACCTCCAGACACTGGATCTGGAAACGCTCCGTCCGGTCATCGAGGCGGAGGAGGAGGATGAGGCGGGCAGGTGGGATGCCATAGTCCGCCAGGGGCTGTGGAGGTGGCATATGGCTGAGCACCCTGCGAGGAAGACCGCGCTCAGGAGGTTTCTCAAGGCCGCGGTCGGACAGGTGTATGCCGAGTTGAGCGATATCGAGAGGAAGACGAGGCTGCAGGATAAGTGGGGCAGGGAGGGACTATGGGGCGAGAATCTGTGGGGGGAGACGTGGGAGATTTAGCATACGTAGGGGACACTGGAGGGATAGTTACTTGGTTATGGGAGGCGAGGGAGTTCTGGCTTTTGCTGTTGGTTTTTTCATGGAGCCGGTGTCTTTGATTTTTATCTTTTCTAGGTTGGAGCTTTATGAAGCATGAGGAATGTCTAATACACCTATCATACCACCATACCGTATACACTCGTGTCTCGTCGCTCACATACAATCGTGATCACTGTCTACCTACGCTACAGGAGGGACCAGCCCATCCGATGAACTTGATCGAGATGCAAGGTAGTTGACGGCCCAAATCAACGTCAATTACTCGGGGTCCAGCCACCCGCAGTGTTCTCCATACTCCGGTCCAGAGTCTGGACTGCAGCCCGGACAGGACGGGATGGACTGCCAAGTTCCAGTCCAGTCCCGTCCGTGCCTTTTTGGAGGACGGGATAAAAGTAGTCCGTCCCGTCCGACCTTACTGGTGGACTACCTAGTCCATCCGACAGTCACCTCCGGACGGACTGGACCGGACTATGGAGAACACTGGCCACCCGTTGTAGCCGTTACATCGGAACGACAATGCAGTTACTACAGTCACTACAGTCTTCAGTCTACAGCCTACCTATGTAGGAGAAAACCTCCCAATTTAAAGTCGTGTATTCACAAAAAAAAAAATTCCTATTATCCAGGCACTCCAGGCATCACGGTGCCTACAGTGCAGTGCCGTCCCGCAGGCCGCAGAACTCCTTCAAGCAGGGCATACTACTACTGCTGCTACTACTACTACTGCTAAAAATTATATGCACGCCTTGCCTTCCAAGTTCCGAGACTCAAAAGAAGAAGAAAAAGAAGAAAAGAAAAGTGAGTGCTAACCAACCAGGTAGCCCCTCACTACACTACACACACTGCCATTCCGTAGCGCACACCCATCCATCATGCTCCAGGACTCGACGAGCTTGCCAGCGGCCAACGGCCAACCTCAATAGCACTTAACCAACACACTTCTGCCGCAGATGATTACGGCGTATTAGGACCTATGTATTCACGCGTTCAGTTAATTCAATTCCGCCGTTCCTTCGAGCGTCGTCGTCGTCGGGGGTGGGAGACATCAACACACCCTTGAGTCCGGCCTTGGATACGGCGAGCCAACGCCGTCGAGCCACAGCTCGCTTTCGTGGACTTCGAGCGGCTCCTTGCGCACGGCTACTTTCCTCTGCACTGCTTCTTCCTTCTGTACGTCCAGGCCGGCAAGCGGCTCTTTTGACTTCTTGCTGGTGGGCTGTTGGTGTTTGTTGTGGTGGTGTTTGTGGTGGTGGTGGTGGTGGTTGTGGTGATGGTGATGGTGCTGATGCGCGGAAGGGTCGGACGGCTGCTGCTGATTGGGGGTTTGCGTGCGCAATGGAACTTTCTCAACCGAGACGGAAGGCGATGGTTTGTACTGGAAGGATGGGGTGCTGAGGGACCGAGACCCGAAGACTTCATACCCGGGGAATGAGTAGAGGGAATCGATTTGTTTGGGGGTTTGCGAGCGAGTGACCTCGAATGGAGCAGTCTGTGTGGACCGTTAGCACAAGGCATCGCCAGGGAAGTTTGAAGATGATGCCCACCATGTCAATTGGAGATGATCCGGAAAAGCCCTCTGTCTGCTGTCCGGATTCTGACCGTGGAGCTCCATCCAGGTCTCCAACTGCTGGAGATTCCCCAGCGGTGGAGAGGCCCTGGGTTACGCATGTTGCGTCCGATGCTGTACCAGCCTCCTGACGTCTTCCCCACAGACTCCAATTCAAAGCATCCAGCAAGCTAGCAAATATCCCCTTCCCTCCGCTGCTGCCAAGAGATTTACTAGAATCAACGGAAGGCGCTCCGTTAAATAACAGTAAGGTCGAAGCACTGCCGCCGCCGCTGCCGCCGCCACGACCAACCAGGGCAGCGTATAAAGGGGGTCGTTTGTGGGTTCTCACCAGCGTCGAGACAACCTTCGAAAGCGGCTGATTCGCGCAGCTTCCTCGGGGCAGTAACTGCTGCTGCAGCGAGACGACGCTGCCCCCCTTAGGACCAGCCGCTGAGATGATCCCACCAAAATGTTCCCTCCACTCCAGCTCGTCCTGTGCATCGAACCTCTGTCTTGACCGCAGGATCGGTTCGGAATGCTGCTTAACGAGACCAAGGGGCATCCTAGCTTCCGTCTCCGTGGGCTGGTCGACCTCTTCCTCGTTGTCACATGGGGTCTTGGCCTCATGTTCGGCCTCCATCCACTCCTTCCGTCTCCTCTGGACAATTTCCTTGGCGCAGCCCCATCCACGGCCGGTATGCTGCCACTCATCGCGTATCCTCCACCTCTCATCGGCCAGCTCCCTCGCCGTGTCCTCCTCAGCGACTCCATGCAGCGTGAGATGCAACCTGCGCTCCTCCAGCGCGCGCTTAATCTCCCTAACCCCCAAGCTCGCCGACGACCGCACTCGCCGCTTATTCGGCCACCGCGGCGGGTCGAGTGCATGTCTGTGATGGTACTCGTTCACAAGGGCGCTGTGGAACTGCATGCCGGACAACTTGACCCACCAGAACAGCGGGGCGACGTCGACATCGTGGGGCTTCCACTCGATGCAATAGAGCAGCTTCCCGGCCTCCCAGGGCATGTGGGATACGATCCTCAGCACCGTGCCGCCGCACAGGATATCCGCATTCGTCAGCAGCGGCGGGAATATCGGCGTGGACGGGCACTCCGCCTGGCTGTGGGAGCGGGGGCGGCCGGGGGAATAGTCCGAGGTGGCTTCGGACAGCGCTTTGGCGCGGATCCGCGAGCTCAGCGATGACGCACTCGGCTCGCTGTCCAGCTCGTGCGTGGTCGGAGCGGTCGACGGCGGCGGCGCGTGGTGGCCCGTGCTCGGGCCCGCCGACGACGGCCTCGACGGCATTCCCTTCGACCTGACGCTCGAGCACCTCGAGCCCCCCTTCCCGTCGTCGTCAGCTCTCGCCCCGCCCGGTCCCCTAACGCATTCACTCACCTCAACCCTGCTCCCCGTGCCCCACAGCATCGGCCACCGCTCATCATACACATTCTCTGCCTCGGTCTCCACCGCCTCCTGCTCCAGCTCCTCCTGCTCCGCCAGCCACCGCACATGCAGCCTCACATAGCTCTTGTACAGGCGCTCCGCCTCTGGGAACCCCTTGCGGTGCGTGTACAGATTGTGGGCGTGGTCGATACGTTGCAGGAGCTCGCGGGCCCGCGATTCTTCAATACTATCGCCTAACAAGGGAATTGGAATGTGGATGCGTGTGCGGTGCGTTGATATGTCCATTGTAGAAGAAGTTGTAGAAGCGACGACGAAGAGGAGTAATGGGATCTGTAGGTAGGTATGGGATAGTAGTGGATGCGTGGTAGGTATGTATTCATACACGGATAGAGAGGTGATAAAGCATGTCGTTCTGTTGCGGAGGAGCAGCAAGCAGCAAGCAGCAAGCAGAAAGCAGAGGGAAGGTGGGATTGCAGTGGAGTGTAGTGTAGTGTAGTGCAATGGAGTGCAGCCCCACCACCACCAGGACGCCCAGGCCAAGGCTGGATGTAGTAACATGCAGTTTTAACGAAAAAGTGACATTCCTCCGCTCAGCCAAAATAAGTCAATTGAAGTCATCAATTCATCAAAGCGTCATGCAAGTGGCTTCTAGTCGTATGCATGCAGAAACAGCCCTACACAGTGTACAGTGTACAGTAACAGTAACAGTAAAGCCCACTCCCCCCCCTCCCGAAACATCTACATAATCATGCTCACGTAGGTATTCCACCCCAGGGCCACCAGACTTCCAAACACGACTCTCTTGTCAGCCGGCACAACCGAAAACGAAATCAGCGAGACAGCGGGCCAGAGTTTCCAGCCAGCCACCATGAACGGCATGAAGTTCTATCCCCCGGATCAATCAGCCGCCCACTCACTCACTCACTCCCCACCGCCAGCCAGCAGCGAACTCACTTGTTGAACATAATCCATCAGCACCTGTCCCTCGAGTCCCTTGAACCATCCCATGACCGCAAGGAACATTGCCGTATTGATCGGGGCGCCCAGGACCTGATCGGCCAAGAACTTCTTTGCCGTATTGGTTTTTGAGAGTCTAGTCTTCCCCGCCTTCGCCGCCGCCTTCTCCCCCTTCTCTCCCTTCTCTCCCTTCTCCCCCTTCGCACCCTCATCCGCGACCTGCCCGGGAAACCATGCCTCCAACTGCTCCTGCCACTGGAAATTCGGCGGCGTGTTGATGATCGTGAAGATGACGAAGTGAATGACGGGGGTGAAGTCGAGCTCCAGCGGGGTCTGTCTATCAGTCAGCAGGTGTGAACGCCGTGTGGGTGGGGGTGGGGACACACGCACCGAGGAGCGGTAGCTCTTTAGCACCTGCGCGAGGATGTTGGAGATACCCGAGAGGAAGGCGGCCTGGTAGGTTGCTGTTGTGATTGGCTTCATTGCTACTTGCTATGGCGGTGGTTGTCCGTACGTACGTAGCGGGGTTATAGTTATAGTTATGGGCAAGCGGGAGGGAGGTCGCGATATGAGGTGCGGTATGTAGGCAGGCGGTATCTTGCGGAGTCGTTGTTGATATGTATTCTAGCAAGCAGGGCAGCAGCAACAGCAGCAGGTTGAAGCAACGGTCGCCGGAAACCAGGGTTTAGGGTAGAGTACCTTGCCAATAGAATACGGGACCTCGGTATGTGTCGGCTCGGATCACTCGGTCTCCATCGACACGGACACGGCGTCATTTCTTTTTTCAATGCGAATTCCGCCACGAGACAGAGACATCCAACACCAACCGTGGAAGTAAAACATCCAACAGTCCCGCAATCGTAGGCGAGCTTATGCACGCCATCCAGCCATACGTGAGGGACTTAACTATGACGATGTCATGTCAACGTGCCGCACGCAGGCAAAAGGAACATCCAGCCGACGCCGTAGCCACCGTTTTTGGGGGGCTGGCACGTGAGATATATGTCAGTATCTTGGGAACATTAGATGGATGAAACACCGCTTGTGATTCCCATCACGAGTTGTCTCGAGGCAGAAAACGAAGCCGAGTCGAGCCACTGATCAGTTCATCCGATTGAATTACAAGCAACTTATGTAGAAGTAACAAGTAGAAGAGGAAAGAAAGAAAGATGCAAAACACCGAGTACAGGAAACAGAAGTCCGGTTCGATCTCATACCTACACCGTTCCAACTGCAAAGAAATTCCGTTCTGTACCCCCAGCAACGATCAACAGCGACAAACAAAGCAGAGCCGTAAAAAATCAATAAAATAGCAGCCTCCAGAACTCCGGTATGCCCCCGAAAAGAAAAAGAAAAAGAAAAAAACTATGGAACACAAACGACAGTGAAAAAAAAGCCAGGACCCCAGGTCAAATGCATTCAACGATCATATCATCATGCAGTAAATTCCGACAAATATGTTCGTTCGTCGGATTTCGTTTGCTTTAACGAGAGTGACAGTCTCCAGGGGGGAAAGAGAAATAGCGCAGACACCCGCTGATCACCGGAGAACACCCCCACAACTCACTTCCCCAGTTTTGAGGGTGCCTTTGGTGACAGCACTTTCCGCACACCACCGCCAACTCGCGCCTAGTGGGTTAAAGCGGGTGGTGGCAGAGCGATCGGATTCGGCTGCTCGGTTGTCGGCGAGCCCGCCGAAGTCCCCTTCCAGAAACCACCCTTACCGCTCGCGGTGCTAAACGTGGGACTCGGCATACCGGAGCTTATCGGCGAGGAGGCGGTCGACGCCTGCGTCATGCTCATGATCGAGCTTCGAGGGGTGGTCCTGCTAGTGGTCGTCGAGAGTATCGAAAGTCGGTTTTCCCTGCTCGGCGCCAGCGACCCCATGGTCATGATCGACGACGTGGAAATCCTGCGCTCCGCTCTGATGGAACGCGCCGAAGAGTCCAGCTGTTCCGGAGTCTGTGGTTCGAACTCGACAGTCCATCTTCACCGCATCGTTAGCATCACGTTTCGTCGTCGTTGCTCGCCAGTGTCAGTAGGGTGGTGAAGGGGGTGCCATACGCTGGATGCCTGACACTCCTCAGCGCCGCCTCGACCGCCATCCTGCACGTCCTCTCATCCTCCGCCTCCTTCCCGAACCAACTGCTGCGAGCATTCGCAATCCTCATCTCGCGCTTCACCATCAGATGATTTTCCCATCGGCCCGCATCTCTCAGATCGTTGTTGGTATCCTCCAACTCCTCGAGGACCTGGACAACTTGCTCTCCGGGTCCCTCCAGCCATCCCTCCTGTAGACTGCGCGCCTCACGCTCCTCCTTGCGCACCCTGATTTCCCTCCTGTAGCGGTTCTGCACAGGACGAGCACTGCTCTCGGGGTCAAACACTGTGCGTCGCGAGTGCTCATCCTTGCTGGACGGTGTCTCGAAGACCTCTTTGTTGTCCCAATATCCGCGAGGCTGTTGGGGAAGCTCGAATTTGTCGAGAAGTAGAAGGGTCGAATGGTGAACAACTTCCCTACGCGGAGGTGGCATGGACTGCCTCGACGGTGGAGGGGGGGCTGGAGCGGGCTCCTTTGGAGGTGTCTGAATCTTTGGCGGGGCCTTGGCAGTCTTGTCCTTCCTGAACAGCAGCATGATGGAGGTTTATTGTTCTTGTTCTTGTTGTAGGTGTTGTACTTGTCGTTTGGTGTTGTTGGGGAGACGAAGTGTTTGGCGGTGTGGAGTGGTGGTCTACGGGAGTACGAGAGGGAGTAACAGTATGATATATCGGTTGGGGAGGGAAGGGGGGCTGGATGACAGTTGAATTTAGATTTGTACGACAGTATGTAAGTGAAGGTCGAGTCCAGTCCGGTCCTTGTTCTCGCTTTTCGACGGGGGGTAGGTTGAATTGTCTGTGGTGGTGGTGTAGGTGTGAAAGTGCAAGTGTGAAGGTGGAAGTGTGAGGTGGGCTGTGGTGTGGATGTCTCGCTTTCCTTTTCCACCTTCAAGATGAAATACCTAATCGAGCAAGCTCTCCCGAGTGTCGCTTTCGATAGGTTCAGCTAGCGGATGGTAGTAGTGCGAACGCTGAGAAGTGGGGGAGGTGGTTCGTCGCGAGTGGTTGAACCGGGGCGCGCCGTCAATCGTGTATTTCAAGCCACAGAGAAGTGGAAGGTGGAGACAGCGGGAGTGGAGACAATGGTAGTAGAGGATGAAGACTGTGGAAAGTGGGGGTGGAGACAGTGTGAGTAGATGGAAGTGAATGATGGAGACTGTGTGAGTAGATGAGAGTGAATGATGGAGACGGTGTGAGTGGGTGGGTGTGGGGATCGGGGGGTGTTGTGGTTCTCCGACAAAGCGTTAAACGGCGCCCGGAATCATAGGGCGGTAAGGTATCGTTGTTGGAGTCTGAGTTGAATGCAACCGACGGTTGACCAGTGGCGCGGTGACGAGAGTTGCCGGAGCACAGACAGACAAAACAGAACAGACGGAAGAGATGAAGGGTCGGGTTTGGAAAGCAGAGAGTGGATCCGAAGAGCGGGGTCTGCTCTAATACGGCCAGCCAGCGTTCCCCTCCTCCCTTCCACCGCATTTCTCACTTATTGCGCTCTCAGCTGCCTGTCCTCGTGCGTTTCCAGTGCTCACAATTGGACGGTAGGCGCTGTGGCCAATGATGGCTCCCTGTCGCGCCCAGCGTGCAGAATTGGCTTATGACAGCGCCAACTCCACTCCTCCTCTTCGTCCGAACAGATAGGCAGAGCAAGTAGGCAGAGAGTTATCTCTCGCTGCGTAAGTGCAGAGCAGTGCAGCATGCATACGTCGGTCCAATTTAGCGAACAGGCAAGCAGGTGCAAGGCTGAGAAGAGAAATCAGCAGAACTCCTCGCCATCCGCCCCTCCGAGTCCCCATCTCACCTGCTGCATCGCCCACCTTCTTCTGCGGCCGAGTATTTTCATCCGCCAGAGCCCACTGACTGTCGCCGAGCCCCTCTCCGTGCTTGAGCCTTGAGCCTTGCACCGCCCGGTATAGCCGCCGCGCCGCACAACACAACACGACACGGAACTGTAACCTCGACTGCCCAGCACACCACCACCACCACCACCACCACCACCACGATGAGGTATCTACCCCATGTCCGGGCACTGCTGATCCCCCAAATAGCGAGGGGCTGGCTGGATGGAAGCCGCGCCCTTGTCGATCTGGCACATTTCAATTTCAATTTCCATTTCCACCACGGTCCACCACCCCTCCCCCCGCCCCGCCGCGATGCGAGAGCGCGGTGTCGTTGTATGGATTGTATCTACCATACTAGTCCTAGTACTATTACTAGCACCATTATACTCTACTCACTCTACCTAGCACACCCGTCGCTGAAACGCCTCACTTGACCTTTCTCGAGACGGAAGGGTTTCGGGTACACTACCGGTGCGTAGAGTACAATACAGCAGTGTGGCGTGTACGCACGAAGCAAGAAGAATGGAGAACAAAGAATGGAGTTCGGGCTCGTGGCTACATACAACCGTGACAACGGATATTGTTTCCACCTCCATGTGCCTGCGAGCAGAGAAGAGATTTCTCCCTCTCCCTCCCTCTCACCCTCTCACCCTCTCACCCTCTCACCCTCTCACCCTCCCTCCCTCTGCTGCACGCTTACCGCACACTCGCTGCATGGTGTAGATGACAAGCGTCATGCATGCGATGTATGTCTACTCAACTCTACTAGCAGTATGTAACTAGCAGACCTCTCCCTCTTCGCCGTAGCCCGTCGGATGCCTCTTCCCCTACCCGTCGTTGGCGAGCGAGGGAACGAGTTCGCTACGTGACATGCAGGAACAAGGAGAACTCAAATCCACTGCTACATACATAACCTAACTTCCTTTCCCGACTTCAATCCGGACTGCCTTTTGTGTATCATAAGTAGGACGTGTACAATGCAAAATAATGCACATGAGTCGCATCGAATGGAATGCTGCCCCTCGGCGGCGCGGAAAGAAGAAGAAAGAAGAGCGCCTCGATCACTCGGCGACTTGGATTCAACTGTCGCCCCCTTCCAGGCGCTTGTTGTCTCCCCTCCCCCTCCTCTCCCCCACAAAGCGCCGAGAGAGAGACAACATATGCCACCTGCCAGGGTCGCGGAATGGAGGAAACACTGCAAGGTAGACGAATAAACAAAACAAAACTCTAGACATGAACCCCCCCGGCTTACCTCCACGGCGTTTGTGGGGAATGGGGAATGGAGGGAATTACGGGTATGATTACTCCGGCTGGGAATCTGGGATCACACGACGCAGCCGGTATCCTAATCCCAAGAACTCGGGGAGTCGAAATCTCGAAGTAGGCCTCGACGAGATGGCGTTGCCGCACTTCAATATGATAGGTACCTATGATATCGTGGCCAATGGTCATGCTTGGCATTTCGAAGTGCATTGCTCCTTCCCACTCCCCCCCATCATAGGTATGTGGAATTCCAAGGCTATATAACCGTCCGTCCATCGAGCAGTCGGTATGCGAGTCGCAACACGATCCAGCTAACCCGACTGTCCAATGTCCATGCCTACTGATTAGCTAGTAGTCCGGAATGCTTGCCCACAGCCAACCCCAGTTTTGAGCAAAAGACTGACCGTGGCATGTGGCATGAAGACCACGGTTGACAGGCTGGCCGCTGGTCAATATCTCTTCGTTCCATAGCCAGGAATTTCAAACGTCTAACACGGCCTGATGCCAAACTGCGACTTTACATTCATGTTGAAAACAATGGACCTTTAAGGTGGAAGGAACGAGTTGGTACAGTATCTACAGTAGGAACAGTGGCTACATACCGAGTATTGCTCATGTCTACATACCCGGTTAGCCTGATGGTCTCCCAATGACAGGCTCGCCAACGGCCAACCATGTACTTATAATACCTATAGGTGCTCAGCGCCGGGCCGGGACGAGATTAAAGGACCGACGCAACGATTCTACCCACATACCTGGATACCGCTCTCTCCACCCGGGATTCATATCTACAATTCTACATACATGTGACCAGAGTCACGGAGATGAGTAATCAGTACATACCTACCTGTACCAACATACCAACGAGTAGAAGTGGACTGATCACCGGCCCCCCGGCCCCCGAATCACCGACCCTCAAGGGTCCGACATGCGAGTGATATCCCACGCAACCCAAGCTCCGTAATTCTCAAGTCCGAGCACCATATAACTCACACTCCCGCCATGGATCACTCCCGCCATGGATATCCCCGAGCGCAACGCAAGCACAAGTGCATGGCATTACCAGAATCTGCTCGAGCTTGGGGGGCCCGCGGCCTGCGGCCAGACGATATGTTTCGCCTTAGGAGGGGAGCGGGAGGGGGGAGCGGGAGCTTACGAATCCTCCGAAATGAGACGTTACAGACAGACAGACTGATAAATAGATAAAAGCTCCGTGGATATCCATACCTACTGGCTACTGGTACTGGTAGGTATGCATCATAGGTAGGAGGTAGGTGGGTAGGGTAGGAGGGTATGCGTCACGGCTCACGACGAGCTCGAGCATGTGCCTATCTACATAAAAAGGTACTTGGGTACTTGGGTAGCATACAATCCGTCATTTATGATTCACTACGGCTGGAATATAGAATACAGTTATACCGTACGGTACGTATCCCCCGCCCACTCACCCACCCCACCCCACCCCTCCACCCACCCTCAGATCTTCGATGGAGTGGGAGGGGGGGGGGGGGGATTCTCCACACTTACGTGGACTTACGAAGCGGTCATGATTCATGAACGCAAATGACTAAGGCTGATGAATAAACCTGCACATGAAGGCTGAAGGCTGAAGGCGAATGAATGATTAACGAACGAACGAATGAACGGCGTATTCCGTGCTGACGTCTTGCGATATCTGATAGCTGAGCTATCTACTATGTGCTACGGAGCTCTGCGGGAAGGTAATCCTTCAGTATACACCTCCATCCGTTGAGGTGCTGTATGCTTAGAGGATATATAGGGTTCTGGGAGTGTTTTCGACGGCCCTTTCACGTCAAGTGCAGCTCAATGGATCTTCCTCCTATGATACTATGTAGTAGAGCTTTCAAGTAACCTCTCCAGCCCTGCTCACGGAGCGAACCAGAAACCTGCACCCCTCGATCTACGGTAACCAGAGTAAGTACATCGCATCCACCACCGGGGGCGGTATGTACGATCTACATGTGCTCACACAAGTGAAAGCATATCGAACCGAAAAAAGTCAGAAAAAAAAAAGTCAGAAAAAAAAAGGAAACCAAAATCCATACATGCACTGCATAGTCTACTATACTATAAAGTCAATCCCTCACCGCCATCGCAACAACATTAATCTTCTTGACCTGCACTTGGTTCTTCTTCTCGAACGTGAACGTGATGTCCTTGAGCTGGAACATCCACACGTCGTCGACGTTTCGGTACGTCACCAGGTCGCCCTGTGCTCCCACGTAGCCTGTCAGCCGTCTATTCCTCCGTCTGCGGGTGTGTATCTATGGGGAACATGGAGGAGGAGGAAGAGGGGGGGAGTAGTAGGATACCTTAAGCTTCATGACGGCCCTCACGGACGCGAGACCCTCCGCCATGTGACGGTCGAAATGCCGCAGCACCAGGGCGCCCAGCTGCGGCGTCATCATTCCCGAGGACTGCAGCTCGTCGAGCGTCGAGGTCAGAGTAGTTCCTATCCTGCGCGAGTCAGCCAGAGCCAGCTATCGATCGCTCCCGTTCACGACGCGCGCCGGCGGAGAGGGGGGTGGGGAGGGGGAGGGGGGGCGTACGAGGAGTTACGGTAGAGCTCGTAATAGCTTGCGGGCGCGGACATTGTGTGCTGACTAGTGGTGCTAGTGGTGGTAGTGCTGGTGGTGATGGTGGTCGTGGTCGTGGTCGTGTAGTGAGGGGAGACGGTCGTAGGTGGGGACACTGGGGATGAGGCGATGAGTGGCGAGCTGGGTTCGGTCGGTCGTGCGGGTTGCTTTTTCCGTACGTACTATGCACTGAACCGGACGTGACATGATCCTGCTCTGCGGTGGTGGTGGGTGGTGGTGGTGGGTGGTGGTGGTGCGCTGTGCTACATACTTTACCCCCCACTGTCCCAGAAACCGGTACTTGGAGATAGAGTGCATAGCTAGGCTACCCCGCGTTGCTTGTTTGTACGACGGAGTGGGTCATGGAATGTCATTCGGCGGACTATTGGCCAGGGCGGATTGCTGGAGGATTTGAGAGAAGGTTGAGAGGAAGCGAAAGTGGAAAGGGGAAGGGGGGAAGAGAGGGTGGGAAGAGAGGGTGAGATTTGGAAGAATGTGTCCCGTCGTGGGCTGATAATGCTCGCGACAGGGGGGCGTTATATGTGCCCGTCTTCATCGGTGGGAGCAGGAACGCCAGGCTGCAAAAGGCACGCAACCACCATAAAGAAGAGTCGGAAAACCTTCAAACGAAGGGGCTGAGGGCGGAAGGTAAGAGCGGGCGTGTCAGCCCGTATTGGAGAGAGGAGACGTTGGAAGGAGCGCGCATGCAGGCCCATATCAGTCTTTACCGTGTATTGACGTTGGGTGCCTAGGCGGAGGGAGGGGCAAGAGAGGGGGCCACCACGGGCTGCTCGACGAAAGTCGGGTTGGATGGTGGACAAGGCTAAGAATTGAAAGTCTAATGATGTGTTTGCTGCGCTGGGCGGTGACGAGTAGGATAGGTATGACCGCTCCGGGCCTGGCTGTCTGTGAGCGTCCGAATAGACACAGTGCTATCGGTACAGCGGTACATACTTCGTGTACGATTCCAGAATAGGTTTATTACAGACGTCTCACGAACGGACAGGATTCTTGGTTTCCTGCACTACTTCTCCTTGCTACCGTGTCGATTCCGCGTAGGTTCATACGAAGCTTTCTCGCTGGACTTGGAATGATACTAGACTTTTGCGGGCAGAAATCAGTACAGAGCTTCACTCGGTGGAGCTTGGAAGACTGTCGCTTGGAAGACTGTGGCTGGGAAGACTGTGGCTTTGATCACAAACTCTATCGACATGTGAAGGTTTTGGTTTGGTCGTAGAGATATCGAGTGATCGGGTGACTTGTCAGCTGGAAATGTGAAATAACTAGCCACCGAACATTCCAAGTGTTTCCGTCACAAATGGTTCAGGCGAAGGACGAATGAACCTGAACACAGTCCCTAGGCTTGGAAGAACGCGAGGCGCATGCCATTCGGCTTCCCTTTAAACCAGAACCCACAACCTTTAATCCCCCATACGTACGGCTCGAGCACTGGGATATCACTCGGCTACGGCCCTCAACCCGCAAGAACTACATGTAGATTTCTATGATACAGCCAGCCAGCCCGCCACCCCAAACTCCGGTTTTTACAGCCGCCGCCCCTACTGGTTGACCAACATATCCTTGACGACATTGAAATACGGGCGACCGGCGACCTCATCGACCTCCTCTTTGGTGAGCCACATGAAGTCGTCGAGGCCAAACTTGTTCTCGGCCAGGTCGGCCTGTCCAGCCATGATGCGCGCCTTCATGTAGAACACCTTCTTCCCCATGTAGTCGCCGTCCTCCGTGTACCCCTTGGGGTACCGGTAGCCGCTGTGGCCTATTGGCACGTTGCCGACAAACCACGTGTTCATGTTGACGCCTGCCGCCTCCGCGAGTGTTCGTTCCGCGGCCTGGTTGATCGCCCGTGTTAGCCAATATTCACGCGGCGGTATGGTATGGGCAGAGGATCACGCACCTCCTTCAGGTTCTCGAAGCCAACCAGCGGGCTCTGTGGGAACTTCCACGCATACCTATCGCGACCCTTCTTCCTGACGAGCAGATAGAGGGTGCGAGTCATGTGTCGATCGAGGCTCCTACGGTCTCCCTCCATATCCGCCTTACTCGTCCTGCCCAGCGGCATTTCAAACTTCTTAACACCCTCAACTCCCTCCGCGGTCGCATCCTCGCCCGACACCGTCGTCGCCGCCAGGCGACGAAACCCATTATCGTCACTCTTGTGTGATTCATCGCCGACGAGCAGCTCGTCAGCCCACGAGCGCTTCCCGAACCCCGTGAACACGTCGTCCCCAAGAGCCTTCTGCTTCCGCTTCCACTCGAGATCCGCCGGAGTGTCCTTCTTGAAGTAGAAGTACCGCGTGAACGGCAAAGCCAGCCGCTGGTTCAGCCGCCGCTGGTAGAAGTAGAACGACTCCTCGAACGGGTCCAGGTCTGGCGTCAGCATGGGCGGGCGCGAGAGGACCACGGCGGAGGTCGTGCGGTAGGGGCCGGCGCTGCGCGCGGTGGGCTTGCTGGGCGTCGCGGTGGGCGTGGTGGAGGCATTCTGGCTAAATTGGATGGGCGGGGCCGGTGGCGTGGTGGGGGTTTCGGTGGTGACGGTCGCGGGGGCGGCGGAAGAGTATGCACGAGGTGCTGCTGCTTGTTGCCGGTGCTGCTCTATGAGAGGTTGTCAATTGGCTTTTCCTGTTGGGGGGGGGGCCGGAGGGAGGGAGGGCGGGCGCGTACTCAGCAGCATGCCTAAAGGCCGCCGCGCGGATCGTAGACCAGCGTTCATGATTGTGGGATTTGGGCGACGACAACACGAAACAAAACGGTGGTGCACTGCAAGGTGGGTGAAGCTTTGGAGAAAAAGTTGTTCGGAAAGAGCCGCCCCCCCCGCTAAGGAAGCAGTCATCGGCTATCAATCGAGGCTTGCCATTGAGGCCATCAGTTTTGGCCCGAAAAATGCTGCAGTCACAGACGAAAAGCGTTGTGGAGCCATCAAAGTCTTTAAAAATGTCATTATCTACGTCTCCACAAAATCAAGACAACTTTTGGCCAACCGGTCCTCAAGACAGTATATACAATCATTACATAAGACCGCTTTCCCGTCACGATTGATCACCGCCCTGATCTCAAGAACTCCGCAACACCCAAACAGAACCCTACTCTTGACCCAAGTCTGGTCTGTTCCGCCCTCAACACTGCCTGCCACGTCTCGAGCGCTTCTCTGAGCCCACTCGCCCCACCCAAGGCGATAGCTTCACCATGGCACTTGACAAAAACATTCATCCACGTATTCACCAGCTCAAAGTCCTTCCTCGTTCGCAGCCGCTGGGTGAGTGCGTTTACAAAGTCAGCCATTTCGTCGTCCTGCAAACTCCGAAGCTCCAAATCTGCAGATGATGGCGGGAGGCTCTTGAGGTGGTCGAGCAGCTTGGCCTGGTTTCCAGAGCGCAGCGTCAGTGTAAACTGCGACTCGCCGGTGCTGATGTTGGGGTCAACACGCATGATCCTATTCCGGTCTGCGGCGAGGGCGGTCGCTTCTTCGGCCGCTCTTTGTGCGGCAGAGGCGGAAACGAGAGCGAGATTCTCGGTCATCGTGTTTGGATTGCCTTTTTCGAGCGAAGGGAGGAAAAATGGTGCCTTCTCGGGGACCTTCGGGGCCTCCTTGGGCTTGTTGCGTTGCTTTGGGACCAAAGTTAGCACGGAAGCACTGTCGGAGGTACAAGAAGGTACGTACTCGGATCACGTCAAGGTTGAGAAGCGTTTGCCATCGGGTCCGGGGCACCAAGGACATGGTGAGCAAGTCCTTACTCAGCTGGTCGGCGGTGTTGTAAACACCAGTCTCAACGTCATCCTCGGTGTCCAGATTGAGGGCAGCGTGCACCAAGCTGGTTCCGCCTTCTCCCGAGATCGAGGGCATGGCGAGGTCGACGATGTCCGAGTCCTCGATGTGGCGGGCCGGAACATGGCGGAAGAGTGTCCGATTTGTCCTGGAAATCGGTCAGCACTGATTGAGAGCTGGAGATGCGAGGTAACATACCAGAGATTAATACTAACACTTCCCACATGAGCCGTCGCCAGAAACTCTCCAGACCCAGCGAACGCCAAGGCAGTAACAATATTGCTAGTTCTTATACCGTCGATAAGGTGACCGGTCGGCAGATCCCAGACCCTTATTACACTGTCCATAGAAGCAGCAACGATCCACCGGCCATCGTTGGAGAAACAGAAGTCACTGATCTTGCCCTCGCAGCCCCAAAGCTCTCTCACGACCTTTTTAGTCTCGACGTCAATGACACGAATGCAAGTATCATCGCAAGAAACAGCCATGAGCTCCGAAGGCCGATGGAACTTCATCATATTGGGTATCTTTGTGGTACCTTCCCAGTTGAACTCATGGATCAGGATTCCTGTTGTGAACTCCCAGAACTTGATTTTTCCGTCCAGGCCGCAAGAAATGACCACCCTGTTCAGGGCATCCGTCACTATTCCCGTGACCGCTTTGGTGTGCTTTCCCCTTCCAATCATGTTCATCTTTCCGATGGCTTCGCCCTTCTTGACCTGCTTAGCCTGCGCGGGGGTAAGAGGCTCTGGAAATCGTCTGCGCTGCATGCCGCTCTGGAGGTTGAACATTGTGATTCCGCCCTTGGACGATCCGATTATTGCAAACGTGCCACAGGTAGTGATGGCCACCGACTTGACCTCGCCCTCGTCGTGGGTGGGTAGTTGCCATCGTCCAATCTTCTTGTTCTGGAAACTCCACACCCGAGCAGCACGCTCGTCCTGATGGGCAGTAACAATGCCCTCCCATTCTCTCCCGGACGTACCAGCCCCATCGTCGCCTGAACATGTTGCAATGGCCGTGATTGGTCCCGCCCTGAATTCTGCGATTGTGTTTGCTGCTTCTTCAATGGCGTTCTGGGCTGCCTTTGTGGCCTTTTTGACCGCAGCTCCTTGCGAGAACTCGAACGATTGGGCGTCGTTGCGGAGCGACTGAGCTCGGAGTGTCCGATCGCGGGAAGCGGAGAGGAGGAAGTGAGAGGTTCCGGGAGATGCAAAGGTCAAGGAAGAAATGGCGTCCGAGTGACCACCCCGAGAACGCAAGAGGCGCGGCCTCGTCGTATGCGGAGAATCGAATACCCATTCCTAGCCATGGTCAGCATCTCAATCCCCAACTCAACAGGTCCACCACCACATACTTTCACACTGTTATCTGCGCCACTCGTCACCAGCACATTCATTCCCGACAGCCATTGTACATGGACACCCTGCGGCGAAGGGGTATGCGCGTTTCTGATGTCTCCAAAGACCCTGCGCTTCTCCAGGTTCCAAAGAGTGACATGTCCGTCCTCATGTCCCACAGCAAGAATACGGCCACCTACGCCCTCTGCGCCCGTCTTCTCTGCGCCAACGAACGGGTCGCTGCAGAACGACAGGCTCGCAACACGCCTGGTCTGGGAGGAGACAACGAGGGAGCGCTGGTTGAGGGTAAAGAGCGGTGCATCTGTGTGGATATTGTGCAAGTGAATCTCGCCCGTCGAATATCCAATCGCCAAAACCGAGATCGCCGGAGTCTGCACAAGGACGGTGACCGCCTTTGGAGAATTTGGAGTGCTTGGAACCGGTGAGAGTATGGTGTAGATTTTCTTACTGGGCTCGAATCAGCGACGCCGTTGTTGAAGACCCCCCCCCCCACCTCCCCTCCCCCAATCGGACATAAATACCTGGTTTTGATGTTCCAAATCTCCAAGTCACCGTTTCTCCTCGCAACGACCAGCTTGTTGAGATACGCACTGGGGTGGCAGACCGCGGTGACCGCGCCCCCCTTCCCGCCCATCTCGATCTCGGTGTAGACCTCGCCGCTCTCCCTCCTCCACACAACGAGCGCTTTATCGAAGGCGCCCACGACCCATTCCCCAAAGACGATCAACTCCTTCCAGGCGCCCCACCTCTGCGCCGGCATCTGCAACTCGCCCATCTTCTTTCCGCGCTTAAAGATCCAGACGCCAGCGCCACCCGCGTTCGAGTCGGCAAAGGCGACATAGACCACATCCTTATGTGCGACGACACGGGCGATGACGCCGGGCGTCGGCGGCGACGACACGAACAGCAGGTTCAGCTTCCGCACGTCATACGTCTGCACCGTGCGCTCGAGCGCCGTGGTAACCTGGAAAGTCTTCCCTTGCGGCAGCAGCGAGAACGGCACTGGTGAGGTGATGTGACCGATGGCCTATATTTGCAGCAGCAGCTTTAGCAACCGAGAGATCTCCCCCGCCACCCCCCCACCCATCGCATCGACGACGACCACCGGGACGGAACGCCTACATACTCGGTATGGAGCGAAAATGCGGGAGTGTGTAGGTGTAGGATGAGCCGCCTGCTCCGTAGTCGCACCCTGGATGCGCTGCCGCTTGGGATGAGCGGACGGCATTGTTGCGTTGGGTCGTGTTCGGATCGATATGTTACGCTGCTGCGGGGCTCTCCAAACTTGAAGAATTAGCAAAGCAAAGTGTCGTTACCGTTTTCGAGGTCGTCCGTCACTCGCTCGCTCGATGCTTTCTCAAACTTTTTTTTTTGCGGCGGTGCTCGCGTTTGAGGCTCCGAGATTAATTTTCTTGCAGGGATCAGCGGCGAGCTTGGCGGTACTAACTACTATATGGTTACCGAGTGATACACTGTGACCCAGCATGGCACGGGAGACGCTGGGCGCGAATCGCGATCAGCAGGGCGAATGGACCATCGCTTGCTTGCCCGCTGTGTATCTGAAACAGATATTATTGGACGTCAGGTATATTCCTAAATCGTACAATCCGGATATAAATTGTAGTCCTACTATATTCTTGAGCTTTTACAGCAAATAGAGTACAATACATACCTCACTTTTTATTGCTGTCGGACTTTATTTTGGCTTCGTTCCACGGTTCCAGCTCGGAGGTATTTGGATGCTGAATGTGTATAGCACTGTGGAGCCTGGACGCATAATAGGCGATTTTTGTGTAGGGAAGTGAGCAGAGTAACTACTATGCTCCGGCCTGCCCACCCGCCCGGCATCCCCCCTCCGCATCGCTTGCGTTCGAGCGTGCCGATCTACCTACTTGCTGCAGCACACGCAGCCGCCTCCGAAGCATCGGGCATCGGACATCGGACGTGAATCGTGATGGCACCCGCTAATAGTAACGCGGAAGATCATTGATCGGGGACCTGGTCACGATCCGAGCGCGGACGCAACCGGTGGATAGTCCATAGCTCAGCTGCGAAGCGTCGGGACACGACACGAGACGACGAGCTCGAGCGTCGGCGGGAGGGACCCTCCCCCCTCCTAAGCTTACTGTGTCGGTGCCAGATGGGGCTCTCTCCCGCCGTGCAGCAGACGTCGAGTCGACATCCATTAGTTACGCCGCAACAGGAAAGCGAGCGTGCGTGGAAGGATGGATGGAAGGATGGATGGATGGATGGATGAATTGAATTTGCCGGGTGCACTGGATTGTGGGCGAGAAGCGCGGGATGCGGAGTCGACTCTCGAGTGCACGGCGAATTAATTACACTACACTCCCGTTCTAGAGCGCGGCGGATGCAGCGTGCCCATCTGCAACCGACGAGAAGCATGACCGTCGACCGACCAGCTTACCTACATACCTGCCTCGACGCATGCGCGTCCACCGCAGAACTGGGATGGTGGGTCCGACGCTTCAGTAACCGTGATGCTAGAGTAGGTAGGTGGAGTGGAGTGGAGACTGTCGCCGCGCCGGAGACCAGCCAACACCGCCGCCGCCACCGCCGCTCTTGTGATGGCCGCCGATTGCTAGTATGTAAGTGCCTACCTCTTACCCACGTGAATCCGCTCGCTCGCTCACTCCCTTTCACTGAGGTGCTGCCCTTATACACTGGCTACCGTACTCTGCCCACCCTCCCGTTGCACCGCGGCCGCTACCGGCGCCGGTCTGCTGCGGACCTGCGGTGTTCCTGGAATTATCCGGGCTTCCTACTGATTGGGGTATCAATCAATCGACACCAGCGCTGGTCACGGCAGTAAGGCGTGTTTTCACGCCCAAGAGAGGTACCGTAGATATATACCATGCATCGTTCGTGTGTGTAGTAGTATTTGCAGTACAGCAGACAGCAGACAGCAGACAGTCGACAGCCGACGTTGATGGGCAGCAAGCCCCACCGCAAGGCGGTCCGTCCGCTGATATGCTCCTTTCGATTGATTAGCCATCCTGCTCTCTGCTCCGGCTTCGACTTACTCGTAGATGGCCAGCCTCAACTGCTGCTGCCTGCCTTATGTCCCCCGCAGCTCCCTTTGGCCACGGGATAGAGACTGCATGGCCCAATCCCTGCGCTCTGGGCCAACAGGCACTGTTGTTTGGTTGGGTGGTTGCGGTTGGTGAGACTCGAGGATCACAGCCTAGGGTCTACATACATGCCCGTATGTATCTACCTAACAATGTCGAGTGGGTGTAGTCATTCTACCAGTAGTACGTACCGTAGTTACCATAGGTACATTTCTCTCCAGCAAATCAATCCTTCTACACACTCCCCCCGTCCGTCATTCGTTCCTTCTTCTCCTGAACTGAGTGCTTTTCTCGGCCCCCCCTCATCGGAAAACTACCCTGCCGCCTCCGCCTCCTCCTCCCTCCACATCCACTGCTGCTACATCCTCTTCCTCTTTCTCCTTCTCCCTTCTCGTCCTGCCCACTCCGCCAGCCCCTCCACCACATCCATCACCAAACGGACCATAAAGGCACTTGCCCCATTTCTCTTCTTCCCCGTTCTCGAAGACAGTTTCCGCGAGCTTCGCCTTCGTCGCCCGTAGTCACCTCCGTTGCCGTTGCCGGTTGTTCTTTTGCGCAGCTTTGTTGTTGCTTGCTCTCGTTTCGCCTTCTCTTCTTTGAACGTCCCACACACCACACCTCCCCTCCCTTGGGCTGGCTGGTTCACATATACATCTCGCTTGCCAACAAAGTCCCCCACCATCCCTTCGGTCTGAAGTTGCCGACACTCGCCGTATTGCCGCCGCCGCTGCCAACTAGGCTCGTAAACAGTAACCCGCAGTGCTAATAGACGTGGTTCGTCGTGTCCGCACATCCAACTCAGCGCGCCAATAACCAGAATCCTGCGACCACCTCCCTCGAAGCCTCCAGTTCGGTCCCATTAGCCAGTTTCAACTCCTACAAACACATCCTTCCCTCGGACTCGGTTCTGCGACTGGGCCGCATAAACGTCTTTGCGCCCCACCCCCCTCCCCTTCTCCGCTCATCCACCCAGTCGTTTTGAAACATCGAAAGAAAAAAAGAACACCTCGCCACACGCAACGATCAGGCGCCACAGCACCGCTACGGCCTTCACTACCTCTCCGACTACTGCCACCACCTTTACCCCTCCCTCTCTCCTCTCTCCTCCTCTCTAACACCATTCCACGCTCTTCCGTCTTCGCAAAATTGCTTGCTCTCGCACACCGCAGCAGCAAAGCTCCTTTGAGGTCAGCAGGCACTGCAGGAGAAGCTCGCACCGTCGCTTTCGGCAGTACCGTCCTCCTTGATAGCTCTAGTAATAGCGGTTGATCCTCACCACTTCAACATTTGCTCCACCTTGCTCCTGACGTGTTGAAGAAGTGATTCGTAGTTTTGGCTGCCTTCATTGTTCGACCATCAAGAATACTTTCATCAATTAAAGCCAGCCTTCTGTCGAACACACCATCACCACTCAACATTGGGATACCGTTTCCTCTCAGCGCAACCGACACTCCGCATCCTTCGCATCGCCGCGACACCCGTGAATCGAGATGTCTTCCCTTAACAAGTCCGAGCAGACGTCCAACGGCGGATCGTTGAGACCCCCGACGTCTCGACCCGGCCACCACCTCCGAGCCTCGGCCGACATGTCGGGCGCTTTCCAATCTCCGATGGGCGGACGCATCCGGCCATCATCCGAGATATTCCTGAACCCTCCTCAAATCCCGCAGCAGAACGCCGAGACCGAGGCCCTCGACAAGGCCGCTCGGGAATGGATCAATGACCTCGAGACATACGAGAATACGCTGGAGGAGATGGCTTCGGCCGCATTGGATCAGGAGTTCAAAGACGAGCTCAGCGCTATCGAGCAGTGGTTTCGTGTGCTGAGCGAGGCGGAACGCACCGCCGCTCTGTATGCTCTGCTGCAGCAGACGACTCAGGTTCAGATCCGGTTCTTCATAACGGTCCTTCAGCAGATGGCAAAGTCCCATCCGATGTCGAACCTTCTTTCGCCAAACACATTCGAGAAAGGTTGGTCTTCTCCGGTTGCGTTGATGGAAAAGTATGCTAATCTCCGGCAGATCCCATGGCCAACCGAATGAACGATGCCATGACTAAATTGACCATGGGAAGCCGCGAGGCATTCAACAATCGTCCTCCCCCGCCATCCCCTGGCGGGCCCAACAGCCGCCCTTCTGCAGACCCCACGTCGATGTTCCCGGAAGCCTCGGCCACGATTGCTGCTCAACGGGCAAAGCTCTCCGGACAGGGCGGGGCTGCCAGCGGAATCAAGTCCAATCGGAGCAGCGCTCTGTTTGAGACACGTAGCACCGCTAATCTGAACACTCCGTCCATCAACACCGGCGGCGCGAACACGAAAGAGAACAACCCGCCGCCCTCCCCTTGGAACCGTCCTAGCGATTCCAACAATGAGATCTCGCGCCCAAAGTCCGCCTCCGGTCAGTCCGCCATGGGCAATTTCCAGCTGCCCCAGCCTCCTTCCGCCGGCCTTCGTTCTCCCAGGAACCCTCCCCCGCAGATCACCGGCGATTCCAACATCCGGGCTACCACTCTGGCTGCGCCTTCTGACAACCTGGAGCTGCCCCAAATGTCGCCGTACCCGGTTGCGAGCACCAACTGGGCGTCGATGGTCAACACGCCGGTCGGTGCCATGTTCCCGCAGAACCAGAACGCCGATATGATCGCCAACGCTACCGCCATGAAGCTCGCCGCGCTTTCGACCGTCAACAACCGTATAATCCTCGACAACGATCCCAAGGGCTGGGGCAAGCGGCGCAAGGACGGCACCCCTGGTACTCCAGGACTGGCCTCGCCCCGTGGAATCCCAGGTCTCTCGCCGGCACACATCACGATGTACAATGAACACGGGCAACTCGTGCAGATCCCCGCTGCCGCAGCGGCGGCCGCGTTGCAACAACAGCAGAACGGATCGAACCTACTCGGCGGCAGGTCTCGGCCGAGTTCGCCCGGATTCTTCAATCCCGCGTCGCAATGGGGCGGGATGGGATTCGCGTCTCCGCAGGCAAACGGGTTCCTTGCCGCGCAGTCGCCGCTGCTCAACAACGGTCTGCTCGGACAGTTCGGTTCGCTGGGCGGTGGCTCGGAGGGGTACAACTCTGACGATCTGAACGGCGGCCGCGGAAGGAGCCCGAGGGGTCGCAGGGGAAGCTCTAAGCCCCCGGAGGACCCCACTAACCCCGAGCTGCTGAACGATATCCCGCAGTGGCTGAGGAGTCTGAGGCTGCATAAGTACACGGACAACCTGAAGGATCTCAAGTGGACCGAGTTGGTCCAGCTGGACGATGATGCGCTTGACAAGAGGGGCGTAAACGCCCTGGGTGCGAGGAGGAAAATGCTGAAGGTACGGCCTAACTGTGATGTTGCACCGGGAGAATATACGCTGACTTATATCAAAACAGGTGTTTGAGCAGGTTCGCGCAGCACAGGGAGACGGAAAGCTTCCCGTCCCAAATTGAGATATCTCGCTCGGCAGGACCCTGGAAAAAGAAACACAACATGAGGTGATCTGAGGTGATCAGGCGGGTGGGCGGATTAGGGGTTAATGATGAAAGAAAGATAGGGACGCTTCATTTGCTACATTCATTCATTAGTTGTGGTGCTTGCTATACTACTTGATTTGCGGGTTTTCTGTTTGGGCCTCTGTTGCTGTCTTTTTCGTTTCTTTTCTGTTGACTCATATCTTACGATGTCTATGCTGTGTTGCTGTTGCTGTTGCCCGACCGCTACTTACCTACTCTCCCTTTTATTTCTGTTCTACTTCTTCTTTTCTTCTACTTCTTTTACTTCTTCTTTCTTCTTCTTTTGACTTGGCTTGTGTTTCGATGTGATTTGATTTGTGGATGTGGCTGTGGCTGTGGCTGTGGATGTGGCTGTGGATGTGGCTGTGGATGTGGATGGGTCAGATGTGGACGGGTCAGATCTGGCCGTTATGATGATGTATGCATGTTTGTGCGGGTGAGATGCCATGTAGTGTGGTATGGGCGGCAGCGTGGGCGGAAGTGTTGGCGGAAGGGTTGAAGAACGAGCGAGTGAGATGGTATGCATACATGTTATACCTTCATTACCCTCCACTATCCACATCTTCCTCATCCTCACCAAACCAAATCAAATACAATGACCCCCCCCTCCGTGACGTACCCACTCCAGCTGTATACAGCTCACCAAGTCTCCTGCCGATACCGCCCCTCCTTCTCCAGCCGCTCGAGCCACTTCACGGCGTCCTCCCTGCGCATCCCCCCCCTGGCTGCAAACACCTCCACGAGCGCCTCCCTCACAGCACTGGGCATGCGCCCACTACTTCCACACACAAACACGCTCCCGCCCCTCTCCGCGAGGGCGGCCCACACCTTCCCGGCATTCTCGCGGACAACGGTCTGTACATACCGCTTCGCCGGCTGGTCCCGCGAGAACGCGGGTAAGAGCTGCAGTGCGCCGCGCGCTTGTAGAGAGGTCCACTCCGACGAGAAGAAGTAGTCTGCGCGTGAGGAGCGGCAGCCGAAGATTAGTGTGTTGTCCACCGCTGGGCTGGGGGATAGGAGGCGGTGCTGCAGCAATGCCCGCATGGGTGCTACGCCCGTGCCCGGCGCGATTAGGACTACTGGTGCGCGGAGGTGTGAGGGGGAGAGGCCGAGTGAGCCTCCGTGGAACACTAGGGAGATGGTGTCGGCGTCGGCGTCGGCGTCGGGGAGGAGCGAGGCGAGGTACCGTGTGCACACGCCTAGCCGGGTTTTCTTAATGACGGTTTTGTAGCGGACTATAGCCACGAGGAGCTCGATGCTTGTGGGTGAGGAGAGGGAGGACGAGGCGATGCTGAATTGTCGTGGGCGGAGGCGCGGGATCAGTTGCAGCAGCCGTGGGAGCGGGATACGGATGCTGCTGAATTCTTGGAGCACTTCGAGAATGCTGCGCCGTGGGCGCGTCGTGTAATCCCATAACTCCTCGATCCATTGCGGGTCTGCGAACTCCGCCAGCCGCTCTTTGTGTGTCGAGTCGGTGGTGAGGTGCGCGGCGAGCGAGAAGAAGGACCGCCGCGGGATCGAGGTGATGTCCAGGTGGTGGATGAGGAGGGTGCGCAGGGTGAGGGGGGATATGGGGGTGGAGATGGGGCACGGCGGGATTTCAGAGGGCGCCAGGTGGGCGGAGGGTTTGAGCACCAGTGGCCGGTCGGCGATCGCGGTCCAGTTCTGCAGCGCGAGGAGGTGCTCTACGTCCGCCGGGAAGTTTTTGGGAGAGATGGAGAGGACATCGCCCGGAGACCAGCACATGGGCTCCGGAAGGGTGAAGGCGAGGTGCCGCACGTCCTGCCAGTGCTCGGGCGTCGTTATCCGCTCGTTCTTTGCGACGGTGGCCAGTATCGCTCCGGGCCGCGGTGCGTGCAGCTTCCTCATGATTTCCATCCCATCCACCTCGCCCTTGCTGTCCGCCTCCCCATCCGTCTTCCCGTCCGCCTCCCCGTCCGCACCCGCGAACTCAAGAACCCACTTACTCTCGAGCACGACTTCATCTTTAATCTCCTCCGTCCCATCCATCAGCGGCCACTTTTGCCTCAGCACGCTCCTAACCACCTCTACCCAGCCCGCAAACGCGCCCTCGGTGCCCTCATCAGCGCTCTGATCCGCCTCCACCCTGGGCACGACCTCCTTCGCACCGAGCTGCAGCAACCTCCTCCCTACCATCCTGCCCGCCCAGCAAAACTTCGGATACGTCGTGTCGCCGAGACAAAACACGCCAAAGCTCACCTCCCCCAGCCACGCGGCGGGCAGCTTCTTCCGTAGCAGACCGCGCCAGAAGAGCTTGGCGTTGTCGGGCATCTCGCCTTGCCCGGTGGTCGAGATTAGGAGGAAGATGAGAGCGTGTGTGGGCAGGGTGGAGAGGGGCGTGAGCTCGTTGCATGACAGGACGGTGGGGTGGATGTGGTGCCGCGTGAGGACGTCGGACAGCTGGAGAGATAGGTCTTCGGACGTGCCCGTTTGCGACGCGTACAGGATCAGTGCTCGCCGCGGGGACCCGGTGGTGGGCGCGGTCATGGCTGGATCTGATTCGGGAGTCGCCATAGTGATGGTGGTGGTGGTGGTGGTGGTGGATGTGCTGCTGGTGAAGGTGAAGAGCGCATTGCGGTGGTGGTGGATCGAGTGGCCACTAAGGTACTGTCTTAGCTAGAACATGATGATTACGGATTATCCATCCATCGCGGAGAGTTTGCGCTGCTGTATCAACCCCACCTTGCCGTTGCCGTTGCCCCACTATGTAAAGACTAAAGTAGGTTGCCACTCCCACATGCCACATGGAACTGAACTCGCTTCCAAGGAGTCGATAGCGTGTGGCGGTTGTGTGTGGCGCGGCCCAGACCATAACTCTTGCTCAGAATCTAGATGAAGAGTTACGGTACGGTACGTTTGGTTTCCACCCAGTCCAGACTCATCAATAGGAGCGCCGGTCGTAGTTACGGTATACGACCATATGCCCACGTTTGCCCCCCCTCCCCCCGGGACAGAGTAGGTACCTAAGTTAGGCTCTGCTCCAGAGTTCTTGAGCAACTCTCGGACTCACCATCGAGGAGTGCCTAAGGTTCACGGGTAGATACCGTACGATCGCGGGCTAACCATGTGAGGGGGAGAAATACCTCCGCGTAGGCTGCGTATATGATCAATATCGAGGACCGGAGGTGGCTGGTAGGCGAACGTCTGGGTGAAAGGTGCTCGGGAAAGAGTTTGAGGTCTAGATGATGAAGGAACTGTGATTTGACGGAAATGCTCTTTCTATATCGAGTATTTAGGCTTTTAAGGTTGAAGTTAAAGCTCCATACTTTTTTTGGGATTTTTCTTCAGGACGAAATCTTTAAGTCTCAGACCGCCAGTGAGTGAGTCCGCATATACCGCTACCAAGATCTCCAAGATCTGTTATTCTACCCAATGCACTACAGATCCAGAGATCAGATCTATGTAGATCCGTCACCGACTCACCGCCCTGCATAATGTAATTACCCATCCTCCTCCGGCCGGCGATGATATCACAACGAAATGAACTTAGCAGTTTGGCAGAAAATGATTCTTCGACCTCCATCCATCTACTCTACTTCTCTACTTCTTTACGGAACAGAACAGAAGAATAAACCATGCGGACTATACGGCCCGACATAACAAAGATCTCAAAAAATCGCCAAAAACGGTGCCACAGTAGTAGAGATGATCCAATTGCACACACACAAAAAATTCCCAGATCCAATTCCTAGCCTAGCCTAAAAACACGCAACACACGCAACACAACACAACAGTCGCCAAAGAACAATCAACAAGAGCAAATGGCAGTTGATTCATTAAGCAACGATTCCGCTGGAGCGACTGAGCTCCTTCTCGAGGATCTCGTCGACAGCTATGCCGGCGCGGCCGGCCTTGATGACGACGGGCGCGGCGGCGGCGGCAGCAGCAAGAGTGGTGGTAGTGGTGTTGGTGTTGGTGGTGTTGGAAGCCTCAAGACTCAGCTGTTCGTCGGTCCAGATGGGCTCGACATCGGTGACCTGGCCGACTCCGCAGAGCCCGCCCTCGCGAGCCCAGTCAGAAGTGCGCTTGAGCTCGAGGGTCTGCCAGACGTCGTCGAGGGCCGCGTAAAGCTGCTGCTGGAAGACCTCGGTGTGGCCGGGGGTGGGGGTGATGCGTAGACGCTCCTGTCCCTTGGGCACGGTCGGGTAGTTGATCGCTTGGACGTAGATGCCGTGCTTGTTCAGGAGCATGTCGCTGGCCGCGCGGGCCTGCTCGGCATTACCGACCAGGACCGGGACGATGTGTGAGGGGTTGGGGATCACGGGGAAGTCGCGGGCCTCGAGCTCGGACTTGACGATGCGCACGTGGTGTTGCTGCAGGTGGCGGTCGCCGTTGTAGTTGTACTGGTACTCGATCGCGGCCGCGGCACCGGACATGGTGGCTGGGGGGAGCGAAGTGGTGAAGATGAAACCGGGGGCCAAGGAACGGATGGCGTCGACGAACTTGGAGGATCCGGCAATGTAACCACCGACACAACCGTATGCCTTTCCGAGGGTACCGGTGATGATGTCGATGCGGTCCATGATGGTTCCCTCGTGGTTACCAGTAGCATGAGCCTCCCAGTCGAGATGCTCAGCAACACCGGCACCGTGTGGTCCATACATTCCAACAGCGTGCACCTCATCCAAGAAGGTGATCGCACCGTACTTATCGGCGAGGTCACAGATCTCGGCGATCGGGCCGATGGATCCGCACATGGAGTAGACGGACTCAAAGGCAATGATCTTGGGAACATGGAGGGGTAGCGACGCGAGCTGCGACTCGAGGTGCTCCAGATCATTGTGACGGAACACCATCTTCTTGGCTCCCGAATGGCGGATTCCCTGAATCATCGAAGCGTGGTTCAACGAGTCGGACAGGATCACACAATCGGGCAGTTTCGAACCGAGGGTCGCCAGCGTCGCATCGTTCGCCACGTAGCACGACGAGAACACCAACGCCGCGGGCTTCGCATGCAGTTTGGCAAGCGTGGCTTCGAGTTGGATCGCATGCTTGTTGTGTCCCGAGATGTTTCGAGTTCCTCCGGCACCAGCTCCATACGTATCTAATGTCTCGTGCATCGCCTTGAGGACCTCCGGGTTCCTTCCCATACCAAGCTGAAATCCGAGTCAGTTTACCACGGTCGTCAACCCCCCGAATCAATGGACAGATACTCACATAATCGTTGCTACACCATGCCGTGACTAGTTGGCTGGGGTCCTCCAGATGTGCTTGGGGGAAAGCATTGGCGAGACGGTTGATGTTGTTGAAATATCTGTAACTCTTGTCCTTGTGCTTCTTCTCCAATTCGTACGAGTAGAAAGCCTCGTAATCGAACTTTGCAGTGCAGACGTTGCTGGTCGTCTTGCGGGCGCTGGTGGGAAGGGTGACTCGAGTGCCCTTAGCAGGTAAAAAGGCATCGGCAATTTTCGCGGCGTTCATGGCGGCAGAACCATGAGGACAAATCCCTGCACGCAACCAACCAATGTTAACCCATCAATTCCAAACCCCTCCCAAAGATGCAATGCACTCCGAGAGAATTGAGAAAGAAAAGAAAAACATACCCTTTGAGGTGTCGATAACGCCAGCCCTTCTATGGACCTCAGACACATCGGCAGCCTCGGCAGACCTGGTGTTGGTGGTGCCGAAAGCGCTGGGCTTGCTCGGCACGACGTACGAGCGCTTCTGCTGCTGAAGGCCGAGGCCGAACATGGCGGCCGAGGAGCGTCTGAAGGCCGAGTTCATGGTCGAGCCACGGCCGACGCTCTGGACGGCCATAGCCTGCGACATGATGGGGCAGCGCTCGGCGACGATTCGGAGGTTCGACATAGCGCCACCGCTGCTGGAGACGGACGTGGACGTGGAAAGGGCGCGGAGGGTGCTCATGGACGTCTTCTTGAGGAACGGGCAGACCTTGGTCGAGTGCTTCAGAGCGGGCTCCATGATGGGCGAAAATTCGACGGGTTTGGTTTTGTTTGGTTTTCGGTTGGTGGATAAGCAAGTAGTAGTAGTGGTTTGTATTCGTCCGGGAGAAAAGTTAGACTAAGCAAGCAAATGCCAAAGACGGGCCGAAGCTAGAGAATGAATTGAGGAGCGAGTACGGATGGCGGGTTTTGGAGGGGGGATGGCGGGTATTATGGGGGGAGGGGAGTTTATGGAGGGAGGTCGAAGTGAGAGGAAGAGAAGGAGTGGGGGAGGTGTTGGGGGGGGTTTAGGGAGTTTATGGGAAAGAAAGTTGTCAGCCTCTGGCAGCGTTACGCGGGTTTTGTACTGAGGCAATGGCGATGTCACAAGGGTCCCCTCCCCCATTCCCGGCGAGAGTGTCGCTTGCAGCACGAACGAGGAAAGAGCAAGTAGTGGCCACTCGATACAGCTCTGGCCGGACTTTTCGTCTCTCCGTCTGCTTCGGAAGACCAACCGTTACCAGCCCCATCATGCATGGCTTGATCGAGAGTCTTCGATTGGGTGTCCGATTAGTGAGGACGAGGACGGTGCCGGTCCAACTAACTTTCTGGCCCAAACGCACACGTTGTGAACTCTGCCGGGGAAGACGGCCACAGGCCTTTCATAATCACATTCACATTCACATTCATGGCGATGGGAATGCTCGGTCTCGGTTCCGGTACTCTCACGGCCATACCAAGGCAAGTACCTAGGTTACAGGTACATAGCACCCGTCCATCGAGAAAGCACTCTGCTCTAGACTTCATCTCCGCCGAGCAAGCAGGCAAGCACTCTAGATATGTGTATCTCCATCCAGCTCACGGGGACTCTGCCAGCATTTTCTCCCATACATACCAGCCAGGTTCTCCCCGGAGTTTCGTTTCGTCGGCATTCCCGGGCTGTCCATAGTGTCTCAGCATTGAATTGCAGCGCTCGCGATTGGCTGGAACCCCTGCTTACTCGAGCGTCACACTGCCTGTCTGTTGTCTCTTGCCGGCCCGGCAAGCTTTCCCCCAAACACCAACTTGAAAAAAAAAAGTTGAAAAAAGAAGGTCTGCAGCGGAAGAGGGAATGGAAAAGACGAAAGTCGACCTCGATGACTGTCCGTCCATTTGTTGGTTTGTTTCTTCCCGGCCGGGTCGACTCCAATAATCAATCAATGCCTCGACCGAATACAAGTAAGCAAGCAAGATGCCCTCCAGTCAGTTAGGTATTCTGGGCAGTCTCCCGAATCTCGTAATCCTCGCCGCCCGTCTCGACTCTCGACGTGGGAGTTTCTGTCCTGCGCGAGCTTTCACAAGCGGTTAACGTAACCCCCCGCCTCTCCCCCCACCCCTCTCCACCCATTCCTCCCGACCCGATCGGAGATGTGTTCTCTTCTTCCGTTCCAACACCCACACACGTCTTGCAACACTACCTACCGTGCTCTAGTTAACCACATAACACTGCAACCGCCGGGAATGTGACGAGACAATAATCTTGTCTTGTCTTGTCGCAGCTCAGCTGTGTGGATTCGAAGATTCGTGGTAGGTATCACATACCCGAACATGCACGCACGCTTTCCGAGACCGGCGGCCGCTGGCGGGCTGGGAAACTACCTTGCCGACACTGCCGAGGTCCTTTTGTGGCGGACAAAAAGCACGATGGACTGGAGTCTGGGGACGGGGATAAGGTATATGTAACCAAGTACTTGTTTCTTACGGTGAAGTAAATACTCCTGCCCATGATGGTGATATGAACGAAGTAGGACCTACGGTATGGGCTCATGTATCCGCCGGCCCAACCGCGACGCATAAACATCCCCCATTGCCCAATGCCCAACATTATGGTACCGGATTGACCGCGGCAAAGCTTCCCCCCTCCCACCCATACAAGAATCCCACATTACCATTACCCATCCTCCTCTGTCTCTCTCTAGAAGCCCCACCGCCCCACCCCCCTACCCCGCATTTAAGCAAGCAAGCAAGCTTCCGCCCACCGATTCCCACGCACTCAGCACAAGTTGGCAACAGGTTTCCGCGGGACTATCGGCCACCGGCTACTGCAACCGGTAGTTATAGCCAGGGTGCACACTGCGGTCCGTGGTCTGTGGTTTGTAGTCTGGTCTGGCACTGTGGCCTGGCTGCGTTCTGGCACTGTGGTCTGGCTGCGTTCTGGCACTGTGGTCTGGCTGCGTTGGCTTACTGATATCCACCATACCTACTACTCACATGTAGAGTACGCTGGACATGTACTCTATCGAAGTTCTACTACTGCGTATGTGGTGTAGGTATGTGGTGTATGTACTCCACTCATGTGGCAGGTATTGGCATGTGGTGTGCTCCGTGTGCTCGGTGTGCCAACGGAATATCGAACCATTTCTAAACCCTCGGACCAGATGTGTACCTCCATACTGAGGGGTGAAGTTCGTCCGGCGGCGCCACAGAAAAAGTCGTGACCACTGATCACCACACCGCATCAAAAATCAAACCAGTGGTGGTCACGACTTTCGGTGTGGCTCTGATCCTCTGGACGAACTAGAGTAGTTACCACTCGGTCCGCTTTTGTTGCCACCGCGGCGAATGTGGGATAGGACCGTGGGTAGTCGTTCTTCCAGACCAGACCAGACCGTGGTCTTCGGAAGCCGGACAGCTAGGTAGAGTTCCGATCACTCATGTAAGCCGGCAAGCCGGTATATATTGTCCGGATCGATACCAAGCTGTCGAGGGGTCGGGCCGCGATGCTTATGTAGTGTGATCCAACTGACAGATGTCGAGAATACTCATTCAGCCTGGCCAAGTGACGTGGAGTGGAGTCCATTGGGACGGTTGGAGGGGGGGGGGGGGATGGAAGTTGCTTTTGCTTGGTGTGAAGTCGAGATGGCATCTGATGGTGGTGGAGGACGTCATCGGGCGCGATTTGAGACGAGGAGGGAGGTCGTGTTGGAGTTTGGACACTTGAAGGCCTAGTTTATGGACGATCTGGCACGTGGGCACGTGCTGGGTCACGTTGCTGCACATTTACGCGGAAGCAGATTTTCGGTTGACCATAGGCTTCTCTAAGCTCGAATTATCATTCATCGATAGACCCTCTTCCTCTGCCGCGGCAATTCCAAGTTGGTTACCAAGATTTACATGCCTATATAGTAGCCACTGATCTCTACATAGGACACACGCTTTGGCAGTTGATGGACACGGCCCGACCAAACCCACCGAAGCGGAATTCACGACTACGCCCAAGGCGAGCGAGATTCCGAGATTCCCCACTCCATCTCAGAACCTCGCAGTCACCTGACCAGCGGCCCGAGAGGTCTATGATTTCTTCCGTAGACACCGGTAGTCTCGCACGACGACGATATATACACAGATGAGCTAGCGGAAGTCGTTACAAGGCGACGATGAATCCATGTTGGCACCCTTCATGAGCGATTGCTCCGTATAATAAGAGAAGGTCTCTCTTCGCCCTTATTCCCAACTCAGCTGTCGTCACTCTGAGCACCCATTCTACTCTACATCCTATTTGAAAGTTGATATCGTGCGAGTGTCCCGACCTAGCCAACGGTTGCGATTCCGTCTCTTGGCCCTCAATCCTCAAACCGCCCAACCCAGTAGGCCATTAAACATTTTGTCGAGCCCTCCCTCTCTCGACCATCACGCCACCCCACTGGTCTCGCCCCGTAAGGTCACACGGCGACGACGGAAGGTGTAACACGCGGAAAGAATGGGTCGGAAATGCACCCCAGATTCCACAGATTCCAGATTCCTTGTCTACAGATTCCGAACCCACCGATTCAGATAGAGTAGTGTGCATCAACCTTCGCCGTTCGCCGTTCAGGGTCTGGGCGCACTGTGCAGGCAGGCAGGCCCCAGAAAGAGAGAGAGAGAGAGAGTGTGTGTGTGTGTGAGGCGGGTTGCAATGCCTCTTTCCGGCAGCGGCGGCGGAGGCGGCGCGGGTGGAATCCGTCGGTTGTAAATATATACGAGTCCATCTATACAGCTAAATACCCACGGGCCAGTGTTGTGCTGTGCTGTGCAGTGTTGTGCTTGGCGGAAATAGAGTACAACACATATAGGTACCTAGACGGAGCAGATCCGTCTCACACACCCAAACTTCGAAGACGGAGGAGCCGGGAGGTCTCCGGCGGCGGTATTGAGACTCGAGAGGATATTGCGATTGTTCACATGATCTGTTTGGTATAGTTAGTACTCTAGCTGTCGTGATGCTGGTGGTGTCAGGCTCACGAACGACATCTATATTGCGACGCTGGTCACTGGTTCCGTAGTCCCTCCCGATACCGTGACACGAACCTGCAAGCACCCAGTGAGCTGAGCCGTCCCGTCCGGCCCGGCCCGTGCGAGCTGAGGATGGGTTCCGTGTCACTCGGTTCTTCTTCCGTACTGTTCCATTCGTTTCTCGGCACTCGTTTTTCCCGAGGTGAAAGCTTTAGTGGGAGGGATGGCACATTCTGAGAGTGATAGCGGGGACCAACTATTGGTATTCACGTGGAATCACTCAAGTATGATTCAAGCAGTTTGCTTTGTGTGGAAATTACCGTATCGTTTGTCATGTATTCGCCCATGTTATGGAAACGGTTGACATGTCTTGATGGTATGAATCGTCTCGGAAAGTGATCCAGCCAACCCATAATTGTCAATAAAGTACAAGATCTTCCGTACATCTATGCCTACAACCGCGTGCACACATCTATGTATGTTATTTTACACTCCCCTAAGCCAGCATCCTAACACAGCCTGCCACCAGCTCCTTCGCCAGACCCGAGCTAACTGCAACTCTCTGCGCAACCTGCTCGTCACTCAGGGGACGGCCCTCCTTGAGCAGTCCACTGACACGGCAGTATTCCAGCAGACTCTTCGCCTCCTCCTCGGCCATGGCGCCGATCTCCATCACCTCGGCGCCGGCAATGCTAGGAGCGATCCTAGTGTCCAGCTTGGAGTAGGCGGGGAGCTTCCAGCCACGGAGGGCGTACTCGAAGGCGTCGGTGCGCGGGGCACCGGCGAGCGATGTGGCGCCGATGACCAGTCCGCGCGGGAATGCGCGGGTGCCGTTGAGGAAGTCGCAGAAGTGCCGGGGGATGGCGAGGTCGTGCGCGTGGATGATGTTGTAGTCCTGGTCGTGGTAGTCGGAGTTCTGCATCATGAAGTTGAGCGAGTCGACGGCGAAGAGGACGGGTGGGCGGCCGGCGTGGCAGAGCTCCTCGAGGAGAGTGGTGAACACTTCGTGCGAGATCGTGGCGTCGCGCGATCCGCGTTGGCAGAACTGCGCCAAGTCGGTTGCCGCGGGGAAGTCGATACGGTTCAGCGTGTGGTCCTTGGAGAGCTTCATGCGGGCGAGGACGGCGTGGTTGGCGGACAAGATGCGCGATAGAAGCGACCGTGTGTATTCCCGCTGTGCCCAGGTGCCCGATGTCGCGTCATGCTCGTACTCGGTGTGGCCTATCACCAGATCGTGGGCTAGAAGAAGCATCGAAGCTGATTAGATATGGAGGTGCTGGCTGTGTGAAGGGTGTGACGGGTACCATTGGAAATGTTGATGACTACCCACTCCCTCTGCAGCGCCCACGACATAGCTTGTAGTAAAAGCACACTCTTCCCACTCCCCTTGGGACCCGAAAGAATAACACGTTCGCATGCCCCCTTTTCACCCTCCTGGATCTCCTTCAGCATCTCTCCCAGCACCAAACTCTCCTTCCGCATGACCGTACTAGGGCGGTAGAAGAACTTCCAATCCTGGGTACGCCTGAATGCCTGAAGTTCCCTCAACTTGTCCACATCGTGTGGAGCAAGCGCGAACACACTGCCGACGGTGGGCTCATGGATGGAAACCTCGACCGTGAGCTCGCCGAGGTTTACCGGCGGCGCGTTGGTATTCGAGAGCACGATGCGCTGACGTATTTGTTTGCGCTCGCCCTCCTTGTATGCAGCCCGCGATTTCGACTCCGTAGTTGGAGGACCACCCCTTCCGCCGACTCGCTGTTGGCCCGTCTGTACGTTCCGCCCCTGCCCCCCCTTGACGTTGGGTTTCGAGCTCTTGTCGAGGGTCGCCGCGGAGGTGGTGAATGCTACTGCTGCCGTGGGGGTAGTAGGAACGAGTGATCGTGGGAGCTGGCGGATGGTTGTAGAGCGGAGGCACCGCCAGCCAGCGGTCGAGAGCACCATGATGGATGTGCAGGTCAATTGAGGTGTGGAGGAGGTCCGTGGGGGGTGGGTCGCACTGCGGTTGGTGGGTTGGTGGGGGGAAGGTGATGTTCAAAAAAACGAGCCTCCGCTAATCCTATTGCGGATGCGGCTGAAACTTTTCCTTCCACTTGCGCGACAGTTTGAGATCTCTTCGCAAGCAGTTCCACCACCACCACCATCACCACACTTCCCCCCACCTACAACCACCACCAAAGTCCTCACAATGCCCGCCGCAGAGGTTGCCCCCGCCAAGCGCGAAAAGCTCGTCGTAACAGTTGAGAAGCCAATTCCTCTCGAATTCGACATGGGCCACTTGACGGCCTTCGACAACAACCCTCTCGATGCTGCGCTCTACGCCACTGCGCGCGAGGAATGCCTTTCGGTGGCGATCCGCGACGGTGCTCAGGCACTCATCAACCAGGTGCTTACTGCGCTGCCGCTGAAATCCACCAAGGACGGAATCTTCGTTGAGCTCCCGGAGGGCGTCACACCGCTGCCCAGAGAGAAGCCAATTCCTAGACTGAAGGAGTTGACCAAGTGGTTTGTCTACCTTTTGGTTGAAAATGTGGCGGAGAATGATTGCTGATTCTTCTACAGGGAGTTGTTTGCAAAGAAGAAGGGCATCCGCACCAAGCCCCGCGACGGCAAGATGGTCTACGACGAAGAGAAGCAGGAGTGGGTTCCCAAGTGGGGCTACAAGGGCAAGAACAAAGAGGTGGAAGACCAGTGGCTCGTGGAGATCGACGACACGAAGAAGACGGCCGAGGGTGACGAGGTCAACCCAAGAAAACTCAACCGCGAGGAGCGCAAGAAGAATATCAAGCTCAACGAGAGACAACAGAAGAAGAATCTTCTGCAGGGCGGAAGGGCGCCGGCTGCCGTATTGAAGCCAAAGAAGGCCGGTTCCGGTTCTATTGGAAAGAGGTAATCTGCAAGAAAATGGTGCGGCTTCATGAGTTTAATGATTTTTGTGTTGGTGCATATACAAAAGTTTGGGTTTTGCTACTTTACGGTATAGCATGTATAATATCATATGTTTTTTCGGTCAAGCCAATGCGTGGGAGACACCAACCAATGCAGAGCATCAATGGTCCTTTGAAGGGATCAATAAAGGTTTAAAGTGGCGATTGGCTCCTTGATATCTAAACCACGGAAATACGGAGAATTGTGTTGTATTCTGCGTGAAGAAAGGCTGCGGGCGTCACCAACTAGTATCTAAGCTCAGATGAAGGAGCGTCGATGCCAGCGGCCGAGTGCTTTTACGTGAATCTCGATTTCTTAATCGGATGTTTAACATGAGAAGTTTTCGTGATGACGAGTTTATTGGGTAGGAGATAGAGATCCCCGTATGAAGATCACGAGGCGTAGCTTTTTGGTCATGGTTGACTGTGACGATTTATATCGGACATGGTTGTTCTGCGGTAATTACTGGTACAGTCACCCCATGTTTGGCAGCCTGTTAATTCAATATCATTGATCCTCCGATTTCAACCAGCGGTTCCAAGAGGATGGAGCACATGTCTATTGAATAGATTAAGGTATACATGTGAGGTTATGAGTGGCACGAAAACCTAATTCTACAGTCCGGGGAATACAAACTGTGTAGCCCATATACGCAATGAAGAGTGTCTCGGTGGTAATTAGGCCAGTCCGTCCGAAGACTCAACGACGGCATTGAAGGTCGTAATAAGGTAACCATGCACCGAGTTTCCACGACCAGTCATCTCACCCACGAGCTGATGACATTGGAGTTTAGCTGCATGGCTTGGCCTTTTCATGGGGTCCTCAGCCGCGACTTCAACTTTTCACCCCTCCCCCGCACCGTCCCTCCGCATTCGTTGTATCTTCCCGTTCGCCCCCATCAATTCGTCCAGTCACGCCTCACCAACGTCCAACAATCCTCACAATGGCTGCGCCGTCTCCCTCACAGCGATATTTGAGCTCCCGCGGCGGTTCCTACGGCGTGAGTAGCCTTCCATCCCTGCGGGTGCGGCGTTGGGCTTAACCTTGTCGCTGCAGTTCTCGTTCGAAGAAGCCGTGCTCAAGGGACTCGCCGACGACGGCGGTCTGTTCATCCCCGAGGCCATCCCCTCGCTCCCGCAGGACTGGGCCTCGCGCTGGTCAAAGCTCCGATTCCAGGACCTCGCCTGCGAGGTCCTGTCGCTGTACATCTCTCCCGACGAGATCCCCGCAGAAGACCTCAAGGAGCTGGTCGAGCGCTCGTACTCTACCTTTCGCCATCCCGAGATTGCCCCCGTCGTCGACCTCGTGCCCGAGGATAACCTGCACGTCCTGGAGCTGTTCCACGGCCCTACCTTCGCGTTCAAGGATGTGGCGCTGCAGTTCGTCGGTAACCTTTTCGAGTACTTCCTGGTGCGCAAGAACGCGCAGCAGGGCACGGAGGGTGGAAAGCGCCATGCGTTGACCGTCATCGGCGCGACAAGTGGTGACACCGGCTCGGCGGCCATCTACGGTCTGCGTGGAAAGAAGGACGTCAGCGTGTTCATCCTGCATCCTCGCGGCAAAGTGTCGCCCATCCAGGAGGCGCAGATGACTACGGTGCTCGACGAGAATGTGCACAACCTGTCGGTGGAGGGAACGTTCGATGATTGCCAGGACATCGTCAAGACGCTGTTTTCGCACCCTGTGCTGAGCAAGACGCACAACCTTGGTGCCGTCAACTCCATCAACTGGGCACGAATCTTGGCGCAGATCGTCTACTACTTCTCGTCGTATTTCGCCCTGGCGAACAAGCTGCCCGAGGGCCAGACCCCGAAGATCAGATTCGTCGTGCCGACTGGAAACTTCGGCGATATCCTTGCTGGATACTTCGCGAAGCGCATGGGATTGCCCATTGACCGGCTCGTCATCGCCACCAACGAGAACGACATTCTCGACCGCTTCGTCAAGAGCGGGCGCTACGAGAAGCACCCGCTTTCGCCCTCGGAGGCCGAAGGCGGCATCGCAGCCGACGGCGCAAAGGCGCACCCCGGCGGCGTCAAGGAGACCCTGGCACCGGCCATGGACATCCTCGTCTCCTCGAACTTCGAGCGTCTCCTCTGGTACCTCGCGCTCGAGTCCGTCGCGGGAGTCCCACAGAGCAGCGGCGAGCCAACCAAGCAGCAGAAGGAGGTCGCCGGCAAGACCGTGCTGCAGTGGATGGATAGCCTCAAGACCGTGGGCACCACGATAGTCCCCGACACTGTCCTCGACGCCACCAGGCGGGACTTCGCCTCCGAGCGCGTCTCGGACCTGCAGACCGTCGACACCATCAAGCACGTCTACACCACACCCCCGTCGGCGCCCTACGTGCTCGATCCCCACAGCGCCATCGGCGTGGCCGCCGCTATGCGCCTGATACAGAAGGCGAAGCAGGCCGGCGAGAAGGACGTCCACTTCGTCTCGCTGTCTACTGCCCACCCGGCAAAGTTCAACCATGCGGTCGATCTGGCGCTGAAGGAGCAGGCCGACTACGACTTTGAGACCTCCGTCAGGCCGAAGGAGTTTATTGGGCTCGAGCAGAGGGAGAAGCGCGTCAGGGTCATTGCGAAGGCGGACCCGGAGCTCGTCAGGGCTGCCGTCGAGGAGATGTTGGCGGCTGAGGGAAAGGTGTAGAATTTTTTGGGGTTTGGTTGACAGGTTGGTTGTTTATGTTGGGCTTGGTTTACTATCTATATTGGCGCAATGATGTTTTTGGTTTTGGTTTTAGAAAGTAGTGGTAAGCTGGGTTGGATCGGTTATATCTATCTGCAGCAAAAGGGCAATGAAATAGTGGTGTTTACTGGCAGAATTTACTTCGAGTCTGGGCCTTCCCCCCGTGCCCTTGTGTAGCCCGCTACTACCCTCTATTCGATGGTCAAGATGATCTGTTTCATCGATGGCTTGTACCATATCTCCTGCGAGACAAAGGCGGTAACTACCGTAGTTCAGAGAGGTGACCATCCGCTGCAGCCCTATAATCCACTTGGTTGCGGATTGGCCTTTGTTTTGTTGTGCGACTGCATCACTGTTTTTTAATGAGTCGTCAATATTTTCGATTGACTGGTGCTGTCGGTAGTCAATTTTCTTCGATTGGCTCGTCAATTTGGTGGTTGACTTTTCAGAAAGTAAGGAAAGATGAATGACTGACAATTTCGGGCGCAAAGCCACATGGTAAGCACGAGGTTCAGTTTGTCTTCTAACTTTTGATCAATGCACATCACACTCTAATCTAGAGTCAAGTCATCGCCCGTGTCATTGGAGCGCCACGCTCAGCCACGCTCAGCCACGCGTGAGGACAGGTCGGAGGTCGGAACACGAGGGACAAACGCCCAAATTCAAAACGGATTAGGTCATACTGTCCGGGGTTGAGCTTGTGGTGGGGGTGCCAAGCGAACGGTCAATCAACATCCCGCAGCTCACAGCATAGTAACTAGGTCGAGCACCAATCGACCATCCACATTTCTACGGAGCATCTGTAATCGCCGCTACATCGCATCTCCGGCCCCCTCGCACCCCTCATTCTCACCCCATCACAATGTCCGAAGGCACATCTCCTCCACCGCTCTCCTCCCTGGCCGACCTGGACACCGAAGGCGCCTCACCATGGGGCGACGAGCGATCCTCGAGCACACCTCCTGTCGCTCTACCAACCGACCACGAGAACGGCTTCAAATCCGAGCACGAAGAATCACACGGCGCGCCTGCAGCTGAACCCTCGGCAACACAGGACGGAGGAGAAGGGGACTCGAACCCAAACCCACCGCCGGCCCCGAAAACCCGGCGGACTCCGCGTCGTCCCGGCCGCCAGGTCGTCCGCGCCGAGGCCATCTCAGATGATCAGGGACCGCTGGGCCCCCTGGGCGACGGCTCGTCCGAGCCTACTACTCCGCTACTACAGTCGACCGCCCAGGATGTTCCGCCGCAACCCCCAGTAAAGGAGGCGTCGCCGCTCGCGGCGGGGAGAGGGAGCGTAGTTTTGGCTGCGGCGGCTGCGGCAAGGCCGGGAATGAGGGATGCTCTTGACAATATTGGGTTTGACGATGAGGAGGGCGAGACACGGGGACATCACGGTGGTGGCGGTGGGAGCGGTGCTGAGGGGCAGCCCGCTGCTGCTAAGCCGATGTTCGAGATTGTCGTGGGCGATCCGCATAAAGTTGGAGATCTGACCAGTGCGCACACCGTCTACAATGTTCGAACAAAGGTGTGGTTATGATGATGGCAACGGTGGCAGCGAGGATGCATGGCTAATCCGTGTAGACCACCTCCAAAGCGTTCAGAGTCCCTGAGTTCTCGGTCACCCGCAGGTACAGCGATTTCTTGTGGCTTTACAAGGTGCTGAATACCAATAATCCTGGTGTCGTCGTCCCTCCGCCTCCGGAGAAGCAGGCCGTCGGTCGGTTCGATGAGAACTTCGTCGAGTCGCGCAGAGCAGCATTGGAGCGTATGGTGAATAGGATTTGCCAGCACCCAATCCTGCTGCAGGATGGAGACCTCAAGTTGTTCCTCGAGTCGGAATCGTTGAGCCAGGATATCAAGAATCGTGAGAAGCAGTCGCCGCTCCCCGCGGAAAGCAAGGGGTTCCTGGGCTTTGGTGGTGGGATATCATCCTCCAAGTTCATCGAGACAGACGATGTATGGCTGCCTTCCCTTACTCTGTGAATCGTTGCTCTGACATCACATACAGTGGTTTCACGACCGCCGCCAGTACCTCGACGCTCTCGAGACGCAGCTCAAGAACCTCCTCAAAGCCATCGATGGAGTAGTGAAGCAGCGCCGAGACCTTGCCGAAGCAGCCAACGACTTCAGTTCCTCGCTGCACGCACTCTCCACCGTTGAGCTTTCCAAATCGCTATCCTCCCCTCTTGACAACCTTTCCGAGCTTCAAATCCGCATCAAAGAGCTGCACGAGCGACAAGCCGCACAGGACGTCCTCACCATCGGCATCACTGTAGACGAATACATCCGTATCATCGGTTCGATCAAGCTCGCCTTCCAGCAGCGCCAGAAAGCATACCACTCCTGCCACGCCGCCGAAACCGAACTGATCAAGCGCCGCACGACATTCGAGAAGCTGCAGCGCCAGGGCAAAACACAGCAGGATCGCCTCACGCAGCTCAGCGCCGAGGTAGCAGACTCGGAGCGGAAACTCCACCAGGCCCGCGTGCTGTTCGAGGATATGGGACGTCTCATGCGCCAGGAACTCGATCGCTTCGAACGCGAGAAGGTTGAAGACTTCAAGAGCGGCGTCGAAACTTTTCTCGAGAGCGCCGTCGAGGCGCAGAAGGAGCTCATCGAGCTCTGGGAGAGTTACCTGCTGCAGCTGGATAGGGAAGAGGAGGCCGAGGCTGCTGCTAACTACGGCATCCCCACGCAATCAGCCCCTACGACGCCGACGCAGCCTAGCGCACCGGTGCATGATGATACCGAAACGGAGGAGGAGGGGGAGGAGGGGGAGAGAGAAGTCTAGCGATTTTCCCGTCCCGCCGGCTCATGGCCCTTTCTGTCATTCTTTTTCGAGCTCTCTATTTGTGTGAAGCGTTTTTCTTGTAGATATGTAGCGGCATGCTTCATAACGCTTCCGGTTTCTGTTCTCTTGATGGTGCTCTGTGAGATCTTGATAGGTGATGCTGATTAAACTCCGCTATGTGTACAACTTCGGCTTTGGGGCCGTAAGGGCGGCCGCATAGGATCTCTACGAGTGCTTCGCGCTGCTTACTTACCTCAAGATACTATGAACCACCAAGCCTAGTAATTCCCTACGACCCAGTAGAATTCGCACCACCCGGGCGGAGTACCGACTCGGAGTCGAGTCGTGGCTCTCGGTGAGATCTGGGAGCTGGGCGGGAGTTCCTAGTTGGGATTTGCCACTCTCATGGAGGGGATCACAACCTTGTGCTCACAGGTGAAGCTTCCGGCCGGGGTGGGATTACCACACATCCCGAAGACTACAAAGATGTATCCATTTACCTGCACGGAAGACCTCCTGATGATCATTTCGCTACTTTTCATGTCTCCTGTTCTCACGTTTCTCTAGGAACCACCGCCAGACTCATATCTTGCCTTGGCTCTTCGTTCGTGCAGTCCTCGCAGGAGTGAGGGCGTGCCAGTTGATTACGGTCCTTGGGTGTGAAAGGTAATGCGGTGCCGTTGCCGTCGCTCACGAGGTCGTTTTTGTCTGTCTGTCTGAGAGAGTGGGGAAGTCGTTGACTGCTGCGCCGCTGGAAATCATGTACACTCACCCGACGAGTGAGTGATATCTATGATACTATAGAGTGCTCTGCGAAGACAAAGCCTAACCTCTCCTCGGCCAAATACCGTACAGAATGATAAACCAAAAGCCCAGCCCGGTATTTTCTCGCCTAGATAACTCCACTGCATGTAGACTTCTTCCAAGTCCCAGCACGTAGTATAGTATTTCATGGTAGCCAAAGCCAAAGCCGAATAGCTCTTGGGTACCTACTGTGGGACACAGCGGAAACGGCGGGCATGGCGGGCATGGCAGATGCACGAGCGGTGAAATTTTGCCGACCTGGCTAGACCCGATTCGACGGGGTTAAACGTTCAGAGTGCTCTTGTTTATTTTGCCGGCGGGTCCGTCTGTCTGTCTCATCGTCCATCACCATTGCTTTCATCGTTCTTGTCTGTTACCTGATTTGTTGTTCAGCGGTCGCTGTGATCGTCTTCTTTAGTCCGGGACTTCCTAAATTATAACTACAGGTGGTCCATTTCTAGTCTCGTCCTCTTTCTCTCTTGTGTCTCGTACTCGGCCTCTTCCACCCTTTCCACTCACAACGTCGGCGAAGGGCCCCTCCGGCTCTTAGCTCTTCACTACTTGTTATAGCCAGAATCTCGCCAGAATCTCGTCAAACAGTCAACATCCGAATTTACAACTTGTGTCATCCACTGACATTTGCAGTGGGCTGGAGATGGTCTCCAATCCTACCTCGAGCCTGACTTCCAGGAGCTTGGAAAGAGCAGGTCCAATGTTCTTGGAAACGGTGAAATAGATGGTCTTTTCTAGCACATAGACAACCAGTCCTATGTAAAAGCTCTCGAACGCAAATGCTAGTTTCCCCGCATGAATGGTTAGCAGCGCATCCCAACGGTTCACATCATACATATATACAAGCACATGATTACGTATTACTAGTGTTCCAGTGAATGCCGCCGGCTAGCTAACCGTCAACGAGTTACACAGCCGAAGAGCACATGCCGGCCCCAAGCTCGAACGAGCACGGGTTCCGGACCTGCATGCGTTAAAAAGGCATAGAAACAGCTGCCACGACGGCCTCTTCACCCACGGCGACGCTCCGGAAAGAAAGAAAGAAATAAAGAAAGAATTATGACGGCCACGACCGAAGAATCCACCTTCAAGCTCAGCGACGGCGTCGAAGTGTACACCAAGACGTGGAAGGTTACTCAGCTAACTAGCTGCGCACCCACGGCCTACTAGCACCTCGCTAACTCCCTCCAGTCGCCGACCGCACCCATAGCGCAAGCCTTCTTCCTGCACGGCTTCTCGGACCACAGCAACGCGTATTTCTCGTTCCCGGAAACCCTCGCGCAGTCCGGAATCGAGCTCTTCTCGTTCGACCAGCGAGGCTGGGGGCGTAGCTGCGGCTCCAACACCTCGCAATGGGGGGTGAGCGGGGACACGCGGCAGCTGCTGGCGGACATCGACGAGCTGCTGCTGGTGCGCCTGTCGGCGCACCCCGGCCTCCCGCTCTTCCTGCTCTCGCACTCGATGGGCGGTGGCACGGCGCTCACCTACGCGCACAGGGGCGCCCACCGCAACAGCCTCGCCGGCGTCGTCGCCTGGAGCCCCATGATCGATTTCGCGGCCGGGGCGCGGCCCGCGGCCGTCGTGCTTGCGGCGGGCAGGCTCGCCGCTAGGGTCTTCCCCGGGCGACAGTTGCTCAATAAGCTCGATGCTGCGGCCATGAGCAGGGACACGGAGGCGTGTAGGGTCTTTGCGGACGATCCGCTATGTCACGATACGGGCACGCTGCTCGGCATCGTCGAGATGCTGGACCGCGGGAAACAGCTGCAGGATCGCGAGGTGGCCGCGAGTTTTCCGAGGAGCTTGCCCGTGCTGGTCGCGCATGGTACCGCGGATAGGGTCACGGATTGCGAGGCCAGCAGGAGGTTCGTCGATATGTTGCAGGTCGACGATAAGGCGTTCAAGGTGTACGATGGCTGGTACCATAAGCTGCATGCGGAGCCCGGCGAAGATAGGGTTGTGTTTGCGAACGACGTGGTGGACTGGATCAAGGCGAGATGCTCTACGCCGACGGCCGCGGATAAACAGGCGGACGAGCCGTCGTCGAAGCTTTGATATACTCTATCATATGGCTTGTTGTGATGATATGACGGGCGTTTTCTTTTCTTTTTTTTTGTTATTCATGTTTTTTCTTCCTGTATGATGTATCCTATGCTATGAGTACCCTATGCACGAAGTATGTATGAATGTTCCCACTCTACTTTCTTCTATCCATCCATCCATCCATCCGACGACGAGCCCCATTAATCCAATCTTTTTTGATACCTACACCCGCCATACCCAGCCATGTAGCCATGTCATCCCCTCCGCTCGGCTTATATCATTGCCGACGGACATCTAGACTGCGTATGTAGATCCTCCAATACATAAGCTGACATGCAGCGGATGCAGCCGTACATAGGAGTCTGACCACCTCGATGGCCCGGTGGCCCGCCTACATACTTTATACCACTGTGACGACTAACGATGGGGTATTAATAATCAGGCACGACGACAGATCTATGTTCACGGGATATCACTCAGTGGAGGACGTCGGATCGTCGAGCTGTGTAATCGAATCACAAGCGGTGGAGGGGGGGCATCGTGCTCGCCGCCAGCGGGGTGGGAACGGATACCATGAAGTATGTATCTGCCGTGATCTATGTACCGGCACATACCGTAGTGAGGTCGAACAGCGCAATGATGATTAAACAAGAATCACCAGCGGGGGGCAGTGGGGAAGTGGGGAGTGGGGAAATCCACATCGAGCCGTGGGGCAGTGGGGAAGAGGACACGGTCATGTAGGCATGACCTAGATATTCTACATACCAAGGCCGAATGCTACGGGCCTACGGACGTACTTATGGTGATCAAACACTTAAGGAGAAAGTTGAATCACAAGCTGTACATAGCCTGTAGGTAGAGCAGGTAGATCAACATCCTCGGCTCCGGCTAACTAGATGTACATAGATTATGTAGATAAATAGCCAACCAAGTATGCACTTAATATAACCGGAGACAGCCGATGCGTGCTGCCGTGCAGTTCCCCAGATTTTCGCATGGGTCGGAGAGTAGAGTAGTGGGTTCGGATATGTACCACTGTACAGTGTGCATACCAGAGGGTGGGGGAATCACGGCGACGGGGGGTTTGCTGGACTGTGGGGATGATAGAGAAGATGGAGGAGGGGAGGGGAGGGTGTGTTGATGTGGAGTTCTGCGCTGGAATTCATACCGCTACTATGTAACTGTATCGATTGGATGGAACGGGCACATACCTAGAGAATCTAGCGGCCATCGCAAAAGATCTACTACATGACGTCGACTTTCGAGATGCTCTTGATTACATATCGAATGCACTCAACTTCATCGTGTGCTCTTCGGGCTCGAATCTTTGATGACATATCCGCGAACTGTCGGCGTATCCGCGCATTGTCGGGGTAGGTTCGCATGGATGAAGAGTAGATATCAGATCATACCTGTGGTGTCATTGGCCTCGTATGTATCTAGCTGGGACTCCGAACTCGATGATGGACAACATGCAAGCCCATAGTATGGACGGACGGATAGCACTAAGGCCATGCAGAACTTGCCGAGGCGAGTGAAGATTATAAGACTTCACTGCAGTATATAGTAGTATGTAGGTGGTGAGAGAGGTAATCGGGAATGAACTCGAATGGGTTTGCAGTGCTCCGACCATCCAGGGGGATGCCAAGTTCCTGCCTTTGCCTTGTTGTTGTCAACATCAATACCCAGAGTGCGTAGAGTTCCTGCCATAAACCGCAGTCGTCGTGGTAGGCACAAAGTATCCGGACAGCGTGCTTTTGATCACGTTTTAAAGCCCACCGCACTCCCTCGGTGTCCGGATAGGATTTACATGTCCGCCACGACTCACGGGTACATTTCCACCGAAGCAGGGAATTGATGAATTGGCTCTTCTCCCAAACCAAGTAGCAGTTCAAGACCTTCAACCATACCCGATTGCGGCTGAGGCCCGCTGGAAGCTCTTGCATCGATCCTCCTGACATGAATTCATGGAGTACAGATTTTAGAGTACTCGCAGCCAGACACAGATCCAAGACTCTCGACTGCTATCCGACGCTGCCCAAGCATTTCTAATCCGGCATCCTCATTCCGAGCTCAACCTTCTGATAGGATGTGGAGATCATCTCTGCATCCAACCGTGTCTCCACATCGCCAAGCTAGGGAATGTTTCACTTCCCCACGGCCACCGCCGCCGCGTAACGGCATAAACGAAAGGCAGCGTAGATCGCGGCATGCTCTCGCAATCGAATCGCACTCCCTGCCCCGACTGGCTACCGAGAGACGGATCGTCCGGGCGGCAGATGACTAGTTGTGCCGCTGCTGCGGTTCGTTGTTGTGGGATAACTATCTTCAGCTAGCAGGGGACGACATCCGGACTGTGTCACTCGTCGTTCAATGGATCTGGAGTCGGACCAACGACCAACAACAACCACCACCACGCCCTGCACGGCAGCAGCAGCAGCCAGTTCTGAGAGTTGCATACATGGCCACACTCTACATACCGATATGTGGTACCTATGTGGCGCCCATACGGCACGTATGTAGCTTAAAAGAACGCATCCCCCCGAAGAAAACCGCCCAAACCCCCTACTCCGGAACACTCTCAGCCCTGGCTCGTCCCGTTAGGTTTAGATTCAAGATTCACGCTTTTCCCGCGCGAGCTCGCCAATATTCCGCTATCGAGCTTGCACACTCTGCTATACATATCCCCGTCTCAAACTCGTCCACCCAGAAAAGAAAGAAAAAAAACGCGTTTCGTTGATCGGCTGCTGGGTTGCCCTTGCTTCGAATTCTTGCTTCTTCGCGTTGTATCACCACCATGTCGGTTTCCGCTTCGAAACCGTCGCCGCCCAGGACCTCGACCGTGGTCTGTATCGGCGCCGGCATCTCGGCCATCGCACTCGGCGCCCGTCTCAAGATCTCGTACGGCTTCGACGATGTCGTGTTCTATGAGCAGGATGACCAGCTGGGCGGCACATGGCATGCGAACTCCTACCCCGGTGAGCTCGCCCGTAGCATCCACAGGACTCAATGATGTGTATGTGGATTGAGTGCTGATCTGCTTTCCCAGGTGCCGCCTGCGATGTCCCCACAGCACTGTACAGCTTCTCGTTCGCGCAGAACGCGGAGTGGACGGAGGTGTACCCGCCCTCGGGCGAGATCAAAACGTACCTTCTCAAAGTAGCAGCCGACTACGACATCCCGTCAAAAACCACGTTTCGGACCCAGGTCTACGCTGCCAGATGGGACGATGCCCGCGATCGCTGGGATGTCTACCTCAGGAACTTGGTTACCGGCGAGGAGTACGTGCATGAGTGCAAGATACTGATCTCGGCCATTGGCCTGCTCGCAAATCCGAATGTGCCCGATATCAAGGGAAGGGAGACGTTCGCCGGAAAGCAGATGCACACCGCCCGCTGGGATCATGGTGTGCAGCTCGAGGGCAAGCGGGTGGCGTTGATCGGGAATGGATGTAAGTCGGCCTTATTGCCAGTCCCATCCCGTGAAGAAGAGGAGGAAGAAGTGGGATGCTGACAGCCGCTCCGCAGGCACGGCCGCTCAAATTACGCCCAGAATCGCCCCCCAGGTCGGCCACCTTACTCAATTCATCCGCAGCAAGCACTGGATCCAGCCCTCCACACACTTTGAATACACCCCGGTAATCCGCTGGGCACTCAAGTGGCTCCCGCTCGCCCAGCGTCTCCACCGCTTCCTCATCTTCCTCGGCGCGGAATGGGGCTACCGTCTGCAAGGCTCCAGCGCCTGGTCCGCCGAGCAGCGCAAAAAAGACATGGCGCGCGTCTCATCCTACATGCGCCGCGAGGCGCCCGAAAAATACCACTCCCTCCTGATCCCAGACTTCCAGATCAGCTGCAAGCGGCGGATCCACGACCCATCACCCGGCTATCTCGCGTCCCTCAACCGGCCGAACGTGACGCTCACGGACTCGTCGATCGTGGAGATCACTCGCGACGGCGTGCGGACATCGGCGGGCACACTCCACCCCGCAGACGTAATCATCTACGCCACCGGCTTTGCCACGAGCAATTACCTGGCCAACATCGACATCCGCGGGCGCGGCGGCGAATCCATCCAGGCGCACTGGGACAAGCTTGGTGGCGTCGGCGCATACAACTGCACCGCCGTATCGAACTTTCCCAATTTCTTCATGCTCCTCGGCCCAAACACTGGAACGGGCCACACCAGCTGCATCATGGCGTGCGAGAAGTACCTTCCCCCCACCCCTTTCCCCTCCCCCCACCACACACATAGCTAACACGTCCCGCCCCGCCACAGCACAGCAAACTACGCCCTCAAAGTATCCGCAGCGATCCTTTCTGGCGCCGCCTCCCGCGTCGAGCCCAAAGCCTCAGCGGAGCGCAGCTACGTACAGCGGCTGCAAGCGGCGCTGTCCACGTCCGTGTTCAACACTGGCGGTTGCAGCGCCTGGTACCGCGACAAAGCCTCCGGCTGGAACGCTATGATGTATCCCTGGAGCCAGTCGCACTTCCTGTACGCGTGCCATTTCGTGCGGTGGAAGGACTGGGACGTTACATACACCGGTGGCTCGGGGGCGGGAACGGGGGCCGCGGCGACGCTGGTGCTGGTCGCCGTGGCGATGTTGGCCCTGGCGTACTTCAACCTTGCTGGGGGCGTGGGCGTGGATCCGGCGAGGCTGGTGGCATGGGGTGGGAAGAGGGTGGGTTGGGGTGGGAAGTCGGTATGGTAGGGATACATACCATCGTGGTTCGTATGCATAGGTATGGGGGTGTACGCACTGCGCAATGCTCAGTTACAGTTATTCGTCCTTCTCGAGTTCTCGAGTGACCCTTCATAAACGTGTGCAGATATCAAAAAAATCTCCAGTGAAAATTTCGCCCGCAAATCCCACCCCGTCCGTACCCACCACCACCATCACTACCATCATACGCCCCCCATCGCCATCCCTCATATCCTCCATCCCGCCTCTATATGCACGTCAAGAAAAGAAAAGAAAGAAGAAAAAGAAGAAAATATGCTTCCCCCACCATCTGATCGATAAAATAAAAGAAAAGAAAAATAGAAGTACACAGAAAGTAGAAAGTAGAAAGTAAAAAACAAGGATCTCTCATCGTTATATACTGTACAAGCCACACAAACACACGGAGAAAGCAAAAGTAAAAGAAAAAGAAGAAAAGAAGAAAAGAAGAAAAAAGAAGAAAAGAAGAAGAAAAGAAAAGAAAAGAAGAAAAGAAGTACGAACCTCCCGAATAATCCCCTCAACCTCACATCCACATTCACATCCACATCCACATCCACATCAAACACGGATTTCCACCGCCCCCCCCCACCCCCTCCCCCGAAAGAAACGAAAAGCCGAAAACAAAAAACCCCTCCCAGAGAGCCCAAAGAAGAAGAAGAAGAAAAAAAAGAAGAAAAGCCCAATCCCGATATAAGAAGATATGTACCATCGCACGGTCCGACAGCCTCCTCCTCCTGTCGTTTATTCGTGAAGAATCCCCACGGAAAAAAGGGGACAAAAGGGCAGAAGAGAAAAGAACCCACAAAATAATCGCGGAAAAGGAAAAAAGAAGCCAAAAGAACACGCACAGACCCACAAACGCCGTGATCCCAGAAAGCGGAATGAGAACCAGACACAGCAGCAAGGAATCCCCAATGAAGAAAGAACCCCACACAACCAACAACGCACGCACTCCCCCCTTCCCCCCAAACCACCCACCACCATCCCCAGCCCCCACCGCCGAATGATACCCGTAAGGAAAAACGAAGACACACACATACAAAGAGAAGGAGGAAAGCAAAGGAACGGAAAAGTAGAAACCGCAAAAAATGGCATAGAACCGCCGGCTCATCCTCCTGAAATTAACATCTAAAAGCAATGCAAACTTTTCATCTTTTTGATCCGACTTAACCGCGCAACCGCCGCAACAGTCGCCTGCGCGGTATTATCCGCACTTGTCTTGGGTCGAACAACTGTATCATGCATTCGGTTGGCTAATATCAGATCCGTAACGAGCGGTTTCTCCTTCAGCGCAGATGGTGGTGGTGGTGGTGCGTCCGTACTGTTGAAAGCGGTAGTATTGTCGACAGCTCCCGGTGTATAGTCATACCGACCATATAGTCACCCATCACTAGGTTCCTTTCGCCACGTCTTCCAGAGCTTGACCTTCTTAAAGAATCGTGATGATCTCCGCTCCATGGTCCCACTGGGGATGATGGCAGTGTTGCAGCAACCCTTCGAACACGATTGATCGCTGCAATCCCCAAGATCTGGGGGCGATGATCTGGGCCGATCCGGAGATGACGATGCATCATTCGGAGAGACAGCTCTTAAGTGTTCGGTCGAGTGCTGATAGGTCGGCCTCTTCTCGGAAACCGGCCCATATCCGTTAGTTTGAATCTTGGGATGCGTAACAACAACGGTTACAGCGGCGGCATTACCGTTTCCGGGGTGCCGTTGCACGGTGGTATCGTTGAGTCGCGGGGATGCGACCCCGGACCGAATTTCGGAACCCGAGATGGATGGCTCGTTGTCCGAATTCGGGATGTCGGCCTCCATCAAGGCCGTGCCCAGAACGGGAGGAAGATGGTGGCGATTCGGCGCATGGTGCTGCTCATGTTCGTGGGTCGATTGGGGACGCGAAGACGGTACCGAGAGCGAGGATGACGCTAGCTTCTGTTGCTGCTGTGCACTTCCACTCGTTTTATTGTCTTCGGGACGTTGATAAGTGTGAACTTCGCTCTTTCTGCTCCATGCATCCTTATTCGATACTAGCTCGCTGACACTAAACTGCATTTCCGGCAACACCGTGCTGAGATTTTGAAACAGAGGTATCGCGAACAAATTCATGAATCCAACTTGAGATTTGGCAAGTGCAACGACGGACCCAGTTATCGGCGGAGCGACGAGGGACGACGGGATCCCTAGATCAACTTCCATGTTTGCTTGCCGGGAGAACTCTTCAATCAAGATGGTAGCCCATTGCGCGGAGCACTCGTGCTTTCTAGCCTAGGAGATGTTAGCCCGAGTGATCTTTGTGCAGAGCTAGTAAATTGGCGTAAGACTTACCACATTGCTGATATCAGCGCACTTGATGATAAGTGCGCACAAAAGGATCCGATGATCGTTGACCGATTTCTCCTCCCACACGCCGGATCCACCTTCCTTCTCGTATTTCTTCCTGAGCTTGTCCAGCTTTCCCATGAAATCGAAATGTAAGCCCATGTCCGTCGCCAAGATCATGTCTATTATCATCTTGCGTTGATCCAGCGCCTTCGGCCAATGCTTCCGCAACACCTGTGAGAACGCGGCACAGTGGAAGGATTCGAGGACAGATCTGTCGTTGTACAGCTGAGCAAGCGGGGCCTTCAGAGTGACGAGGAACGCATTATTCACTCCGGGATGACCGACGTCGTGACCGATAGCAACTACCAACAGGGTGAGCGCATCCAACGGAGTAATAAGGTGGGCGAGCGATTTCGCTGTCGATTCCTCATCCAGCTCGCCCATTTTGTGGTGCTTATAGTGTGGCAATGCTCCAAGCTGTAGCATGAAGAAAAACACTGCCTGCAGCACGTCCACAACGTGCCGAAAGTTGTGGTAAGGTACTTGGTCGTTATAGGTTCCCCTGCATGCAAGTAGGAAATCCACCATACGATCTATTATCGTTGAATTAGTTGGTGATCAAACAAAGGGACGATTGCGACGCGCAAAAAGGTGTTACCTGGCGGAATGACAAATTCCGACACCTCCGGCATCGTGAAAGCGTGCTGGAACATGGTTTGAGCGCAGTGGACGAGTTCTTCATCCGAGAAATCATGGGCAGAGAAATCCCATCGCCCAACCGCTTTCTCCACATCGTTGGCTCGTGTGATAGGTATCCTAACCCGGCTGCGCATAATCAGTGACGGAAATCGAAATGCACGGACGAGGGAAAAAGCCTACCCTCCGTTGGACGAAACCTTCAGCTTCTTAGGCCAGCATATTTCGGTCATGAGCTCTCGAACCCTGTGTGATCATCTCGTTAGAATTCGAGTAACACTCCCCGGTATAAAAGTCGTGCTCACATCTTTTCTCGCAGATACGAGTAATTGTCGGCCTTCGGTTCATCTATGCCAACCCACGACCGCTTTCTGGTCTTCTGGATAGTTTTCCGGGCCCGGTAGCAGTGCATGTGCATCGTCCTAACACTGTCCTTGGAAAGCGGATTCTCAAAAGCGTCCCATGCCCCATTATCAATGCATTTCAATTCCCGAGCAGTTCTGGAATCGTCTTCGAGCTCCGCCCGCGGTGCTACCAGACCATCATCGTCATGTGTCAGAAGCGCGACGGGTATTATTGAGTTCGGCATCCGCATGCTCTCGATCTCCGAGCAGACATACTTCAACAGCGGCAAGCCCAGCATCATGTCAGCGGGTCCTGATGCTATTCCGGAATCGTGCCGTCCGTCGTGAATGTTGTTATCTTCGTCCGGTTGGGGCTCTATTGGGACTTCGACAAGAAGTAGGATCGGATTGTTGCCATCGTTATCCGACAGAGTTGTCAGACAACTCTGAGCAGAGTTGCAGATAGACACTGTAAGCATATTGTGCGTCAGTATTTGGAATTATTCACTGCACACCGCGGCCTGTCATGAGGAAGTAGTAGAAATCAACGGAGAAAAAAAACATACCAGAAGAGAATGCCAAAAGGAGGCTTTGTGCATTTTCTTCTACTGTGCCATGCTCCTGACCGATCCCATTCTGCCCCGTCGCATCCCGAAAGACAACTCGGTCGCAACTCGCACGCCGATCAACATATACGACTTGAAACGCTGTTGGATCCATGGTATGTCTGACTATATCGAAGGTTTGGGATAGCGATGTGTGCTGATACGAGAGTGTGTCCCGCCTACAATACGAGTGTCCCTAGCCCCGTCTTCGTGGTGGATAGCCGTGGACCCCCCGACCGCTTCAGGTGTGTACTCTATCGCCTTCGATACGGCTCCCCGATTGTTGAATACCAATTGATGTTACAGTTGCCAGTCGGCGAACTCCAGCTCCGATTGGTGACCCGGTGAACCTATTACCGTGTAGTTCAATTCGATTTCATGGGGAGGCTGCGACGAGCTGTGTGAATGGATGCGCGCGAGGAGTCAAAGGGATTAATCGAGGCGGTGGGCGAGCATCCAGTAGGATAAAAGGACACGAATCGTCGAGCACAGAGCTTTTAAGAAAGCGACCGAGTGGACGGGGGGGCCAAGAGAGTTGGGCCGAGTCAAGGGTTGCGACAATCGTGGGGGGAGGGGGTCTAGCTGTCTAAGTAGTTGGTGAAAGGAGGGTAGTGAAGGAGTCCGGCGACGGCGAGGGTGGTAGGTTAGGCACGACGATTGGTATTTGCCGTATAGTTGCAAAAAATTGAGAGTTCGTAGTCGGTAAGTGTGCTATATCGGGATGAGGGGAGGGGGAGGAGGAGAGGAGGAGAGGAGGAAGAGGAAGACGGGAGGAGGAGAAGTGGGAGGAAGGAGGGAGGGAGGAGGAAGGAGGAGGAGTGGGAGAGCCGGTAGCACAGGTGTGTGTGTGCAGTATGTAAGTATCTATGGATTGTGTATGGGCGTGCAGCACACTTGGGCGCAGGGAGCCGAAGGGACCGGAGGCGTTTACGGGGGGAAGGGAGTGGGGGGAGGGATACGAGGTGGGTAAGTAGCTAAGTAGCGAGAGGGAAGGGAATAATAGGACGAGAAGAAGAAGAAGACGAAGAAGAATAGGACGAAGAAGAGGAAGAAGAAGAGGAAGAAGATCAAGAAGAAGAAAAGAAGCGGACGAGACGGTGAATGGCTACGAGAAATAGCCCGGCAGGCTGGCTAAAGTAGCTACCTACGCACATACGTACTCAGTTGGCTATTCGTAAAAAGAATGCGATGAGTGCAGTAGCATTCAGACGAACACACACATGAGACGAGACAACCCGATAGGATGCAGTCACAATAACCTCCTCAGTCGAGGCAGAGGCGATTCACCCAAAATCCATTCAGTCTGCCAGTCGTTCGTTCTCACCCCCCCATTCTCTTACAATGACTAATTCATTCGCCGGTTCTCTCGTCATCATCACCGTCACTACAAATACAAATCCTCGACCTCTCGACCTCTGGACAAGACCGTGGGTTCTCGGCTGCCCTCCCTTGAGCCGACGCCGAGTCCTGGGCACACTCTCCACGGACTTTCGGGGCTGCTCACGGAGTGCTCTGATATGCATCGTACGCGAAGAGCGACTCAGGAAAGAGTCCACGACCACCTGCTTACTTCGGTATCCCGACCATCGAAACACGCCCGCATTCACTGATCTTCATCGTCCTTACAGCGATCGTCAGTGATTCCGACATACGTGCTGCGACATACATAACCATCTGCCCCCTTCAACACAGGCAGGCAGGCAGGCGGGCAATCTGCACCGAAGTTCTCCGGGGAACGGCCGAAGAACATACAGACACTAAGCGGGAGACACACACCCCTTCCCCCCACTGCCCACTGCCCACTGCCCACTGCCCACTGCTGCGGAAACCCACTATAAGCCCTCTGGGCAGAATCGGCGTGGTCTGTTGCCGTAACCCAGACAACAGCGGCGACGGCAGCGCTTCGTTGCCATCAGTTCGGGTTTTATTTTTATTTTCGCCCACCATCCTCGTGTGCTCTGCGAGTGCGCGCGATCATCCCTCCTGGAGTGCTTCGCTCTGAAGGTTTCGGACGCATGTGGGTGGGTGGGTGGGTGGGGCGTGTTCGACCTGTCTGGCGCTCGCGATCTCGACCCGATCGTAGGATGGCAGCACTCACTACTCGTGCGTATTTTTTTGCCATACGAGAGCGAATAGGGAGCCAGCAAGTGTCTCACTCTCGCCTCGCACCTTCACCTCGCTTTCTCGAAATGAGGATGGAAGGCGGAGGAGAAGCTGAGAAGAAGAAAGCAGACGGAGAAGAAGAAAGCAGACGGAGAAGAAGAAAGCAGACGGAGAAGAATAAAGCGCACCAGACGACTTTGGAAGTTCGAGAACAACCCCAACCAACATCCCTCGCCGCTCGTGCTTCCTTCCATGCTGCTTCCATCCACTTTGCCGAATTGCGAAAGAGCCAGCCCGCCACCGGCAACCCCCTTCCCCCCGACCAGACTCCCGTCCGCTTCCTCCTCCTCCTCCTCCTCCTCCTCCTCCTCCTCCACCTACTGTCTTCACATCGATCATCCAATAATACAATATATCCAATTACATGCCTGAACCTGGTCCTACTCTCATCTTCAACCGCCCAGCCCGCTATCGACCTTCGTCGGTAATGAAATAACCACTCAAGTACCGTTTCTTCTCAGCCTGAACGGTCGTACTTAGTAAGCAGCAGTCCGTAAGCGTAGGTATCGAGCGAATGACCGAGAAAGAGCACTTCGGACCCAGCACCTTCATACACATCCACCTTCGAATGCTGACCCCTCCTCAGCCTGATCGAATAGCCGCACACCCGTCCCATCTTCCATCCCACCCACCTTGCCGGAGATCCTACATGTCTATATTTCATGCTGATGTTGGCCAGGGGGAATGAACACCGTGACTGCGCACTCGAGCATTCCCTCCCGTGGACCGTAGGGTTGTCCGGACTCCCCGGTTGCAAGCCGCCCCCGTCCTCCTTCGTTCTAGCGCAACGCTGGTCGGCGTGCGGGATTAGATTCCGCGCGTGCGGAACTCTGCTCTCCATTACCGCGCGGCCAACGAACTTTCCAGAAATTTCAGTCTCCTTCCCCCACTCGCCCCTCTCCTGGCACCCTTCCCCTTGCGGACCATAAATCGGATGCCGCGATCGACCGGCCGCTGCAGACGGGCTACGGGCATCTCCACACAGCACCTCCGGCCCGCACCGCACCGCGACATGGTGACTTCTTTCTTTGTCCATGGCTCGTTCCGATTACTTTAACCAGAGCTTCAGATGTTTTGGCTCTCGGCGACCGCCCCAATGGCGAGCCGCCACAACACTCCTCCCTGCGAGTGTTTGGGATATGTGTCCGTCTTTGCTCGCTGTCATCCTGCTGGCGGACAAGTGGGACTGGCCTTGCTTCCGAGCACAAACAAACACATTCCTCGAGATGTTCCGGACAGAAAGTCTGGGAATCCATGCATGAATGGGGCCATTGTTACCTATCGTGCACTCCGGTGCAGCGTGGGTACGTAGGTACCGATAGGCCTGTCAGTAGTGTTTTCGGGCTTCGTGGATGTCCGGCCTCGTGATAACTACCAGCGCACGCCGGACTGCGACGAGTGCGTGCATATCCAGTCTTTCGTTTCGCTCGCTCGCCTGCCAACGGACGAAACGCTACGGAGTCACGGATGACAGGATTTCCACTCGTCGTTCACGAACGCTCACTCCCGCCAAGCCCGATGAGGTTGCACGGTCAGATTGCTCCTTGCTAGCGTCCGGGGGGACTATACTCTAACTCGGCTCTCCTGTCTTTCGTCCCAAGACGGCGGACCAATCACGGCCAACGTTCCTGCGTCCTTCCTTTCTGCGTCTGCGCCGCTCCTGAATTTTCCTTGCACTCTACATACATAGATAACCTTGTCGATCGAAGGAAGGAAGGAAAGAAGGAAGGAAAGAAGAAGAAGAAGGCGGCACCACATTAACTACATAGAGTACCGTACTCTATGATATAACCGTTGCACAGCACTGGAACCCACCCACGAGTCCTTTTCTATGTACATACGAGTATGTAACTGCGTCCAGAGTACAAAACAGCGTGAATAAAATCGTGCCTGCCTGCCCGTACGCGATCGATAGTTGCATGTTTGCATTTGCATATGGAACGGATAACGAAGGGAGGGGGGCGCGGGCGGGGGGGCGCCTGTCTCACCTATTTTCCCTCTTTTGCGACGAACACCCACTGCTCCTCTGCACTCTGCCACCGCCCACCGCCCACCGCCCACCGCCCAGCCCCAACCTCAACCTCAACCCTCACCCACCCGTCGACCCAACCCTGACCCTCACTCCGCCTTCCACGCTGCTTCCAGCCTTCCATCCACTTTCCTGAATTCGAAATCTTGCGGGTGCGAACGTCACCAGCCAATCAACCAACCAAACTGTCCGTCCGGAGCGGCCAGCTGCTGCTGACTTCATCTCACGAGTCACGAGTCACGAGCGATTCGACCTGAACCCAAAATTACATGTGTATTGTACATAAAATCTGGAAAGTGGCGATTTCTTTTTGCCTTTCGGTTTCCGTTGCCGCCAGCTCGAGCATGACAACTTATTTAGGCCGGTTGCGATTGAAACTGAACTCTGAACTGCGCACGCACGCAAGTTGCCTGATGTTTCACTGGATAAAAGCGCTACATGTGTACGACCGACTGACCGACTGGCTTTGGATGTGTGTGTTGAATACACATAGGGGCTCTGCGCTTCTACACTACACTGTTCGGACTCCAGCGGGCTACATATCGTGATTCGTGGTCCGTGAGTCGTCATCTGTGATGCTGGAATATATCCGTGCAATCTCGAGCCACGTGGAATCTCGAGCCACCCGGAGTATGTAAGCCGTCGGCGGTGCCTGTACCTGCTCTACCAAGAAACATTCCATATGTAGTAGATATCCAGGTACATAGTTCTCACGAACAACACGAATATACATACACTGCCTGTCTACTCGATGTTAGAACAGCGAGTCGGACAGCCCAGTCGATGTACTGTACCTGTTGTACTCAGTACATACTCCACGTTGGATGTGTACAGTATTCAATAGGTACTCACCACTGGAGGCACGTGGCTCCATATGTCTATCCTCCGCTCGCCTTCGAAGTTTGCCTTACCTTTGCCTTGACTTGCCTCACTTCGACTTGAGGCCGCAGATCCGAGATGCTAGATGCTAGATGCTGGATTCTGGATGCTCGTTTGTTGTGTTGTCGATGCTCCGGTTGTCGATCTGCCACTACCACCCACCACCCACCTACATACGGCCCACCAACTTGCTTCGTATGTATGTAAAGCACGCACGGCGCACGCAGTCAAGCAGGCAGGTAAGCAGGCAGGCAGGCAGACAGACACGACGCAAGCAAGATTCACTTTCGCAACCGCCTGCCAGCCTGACAGGCGCACGATCACTTTGTTCAGCGGCGAGTTTGCATTTGCATATGCGAACCTTCCCCAACCCCGTAGAGAACCTCCGACCGACAG